CTGGAACAAATTCCGCACATTTGCGCACCGCCCCTTTGCAGCCAGTTGCATTGTCGCGACAATGATTGAAAACTTTTGTTCGATTCCGATTGCCTCGCTCGCAATTTCGGTTATACGATGTTACGACGCGATGCGTATAAATATTTATGAGCTTGAGCAGAGACCTGCGCAACTGCGATATCGGTTTTTCTATTATAAATTCTAGCGAAAACATGTAGCCGGTTGCTTTTGAATTATAATTGTTCAAAAATCTATATTGTTCGTAAAAATTTCTGTACTAGATTTATTTCTTATTAAATTTCCATTTTAAATCTAATTTTTCTAAATATAAACATATATAAGTTACATATTCAAGGTGTCCAGCAGATTCAATAAAAAAAATTCTCCGACCTTTTCAGATTTTCCAAGACCAGAAATTAATTTTTCCCCTGACTGTGTAGTAGGTATTATGTTTCCCAAATATATAATTTGCATATATCTATATAATAAATCAATTAAATGTTAAATCATGAAATCCTTGAGATATTTTTGTCAACAATAAAAAAGTTCGGAAGTTAAAAAAAATTGAAATTTTAATCAATTATACAATCTGCATTATGTACGATAATCGAAACAAACATATGTCTAAACAAACATATGTTGAAACAAATTATAAACTATTTAAATAATCACTTTTTTCATTTATATTATATTATATCGAATTTTTTAGTTTTATCTCTATTAAACACATTGAAATAAAATAACACGACAATGAAAATATAAATTAACGAATACGCTGTAGATGAATAGATTTTTAACAACACAGAAAATTAGCACGCTGGGGGTCAAGAAAAAGTTTATATTTATTTAATAAAAAATTTCAAATTATTGAGACAAATGTAGAATAATGTGAAAAAAACCAGATAAATAGTAAAATTTCCTGATTTTTTCCTGACAATTCCAGATTTATAAAATTCCCTAACAATGCTCGGTTTTCCAGACCACTAGACACCCTGGCAATTATTAAATTTTAATTTTAAATCTAAATTACAAAAAAACAAACATATACATATATATATATATATAAGTTACATATATTATATTTGATAATATTAAGCATACGTTTTTAAATTTTTTAATAAAATTTTCTGAAAAACTATGAAACAAAATTGATAGAATATATTTCTATATAAAATTATCAAATTTGAAATAACATGCCATTTTCTGCATCTTGAATAACATACATCTCTTGACCTTGCATATGGTACCACGTTCCGAACGTAACGCACGAAAATTACACATTCTCATCGGAGGCGCCGCGAAATTTATCACGGCTGATAAAAACGGCAAACAAGTGGATGCAAATAAATCGTATTGTTGGTGAATCGAGGCGGCGCCGCTTGTGCTTATGTGCAAACGCGATAAAAGACCAGTGAATACAGCGCGTCACAATGATAGAAATAAATCATTTTAAATAACAGTTACCAATTGTTTAGATTAAAAATATGTCGCGTAGCAAAACTGCCGGTTATCGTATTTTTTTTTTCGTTTTTCACTTGTTGCGATCCAATGCGACATCCAATGCGAGTTTAAATCATATTTTTATTTCTTTTTATTTCTATTTGAATATACGCGTAACTTTCTTACAAAATTTATTATAGAAAATTAATGAAATATTGAATTATCAAGCGGATATATAAATTAGCATAATTAATATCTCTATCTCTCTACAGTTTCTCTGTTTTTATGGCTGTGACAATCGACAGCGTCGAGTCAATTAACGCTTAAAGCGGCAAACGCAACGAGAGAAATCGTTCGTCCATTAAATGAGAAATCAAACACAATCGCTTTTATGCGTCCGTGTGATCTGTCTCTTCGAATTATCTCCTTTAACGAATAGCATGCGCTTCGATTATTCACAGTTCGCGCGAATAACAGAAGCAGATTGACGAGAAGAATTTATACATTGTCGCAAGCGACAAGAAGCAGTGTGGAAATTAAAACAACAGTGCCATCCAACGATCATGTCTGTAAATTATACTCGAAAAATTCCTAGCGTTAGTGTTATCGTTAACGCCCTACAAGCTTTATCGCGAGGAACAGTAACAAGAGAGATTAGTATAGCTACAAAGTCGCTATAAATAATACAGTGTATAGATCTACAGACGATGCGACAGTGGAACAATGGGATTTTCCAGGGACAAGTCGATGAGCGAGGAAAATCTGGTACGTAATAAATTCAAGAAGAGAAAACGAGACTTTGACATATTAAAAAGAGGTCTGGCTTCTTCTCTCCTTTTCCTCCCAAAAATATATGCGCGTTATCTTTCTCAGCTGGCGGAATTATGTACATAAATATACACGCGAGTCGATCGTGAATATGTATAATTGAGAAATTTTTCGAGAAATATACAAGTATTCATATACTTTTCCTATAGCGATGACCTTCTGCTTCCGAGTGTTTGTCTATTACAAAGAATGCATTTGCAATCATTATGCAAGCTGAGAATTATATATACGGTTGCATACAGCCCTAAATCTGGAATGTGAACACGAAGCCTAAGTACATACTATATGTAGATTTAAATTTCCTCCACGTGCAATAGAGCGATCAAACATGCAGAATGTTTGCAATTGTCGTTTGCATTATTTCAACATCCACAACTATCAAACTGATCGTTTGCTCTTCCAGAGCATGATATCAGAGAACGAAATTCAGTTCAAGTACACGCAAACTTATTACAGTTTAGCATAACGAGCCCATATCATGTATGGAAAATTGATAACGTATATCTGTTTCGAAATTGTAGAATTTCAACTCTGATTCTTGCTCTCTCTAGCCTATAAATCATTACCAGAAATTAATGTTAAATTAATTTTGTTTTAAATTTATCGTAAGTATTTTTTTTATTTTTTGTGTCAGGATTGATAACGCCTCATCGTATTATCAAAATCATATCTTTCTTTTTCAGCTGAGATTCAGCTCGGCAAGCGGAGAAGGTACGTTTCACTTGATACTTTTTTGCCATGACATAAATAATGAGGAAATTTGCTCGTTGATAAGTGTCGTAATATATCTCGCGAGCGATACGCGTAAAAAATATTTCTCCATCAAATGCTTATATAAACGTCATCTATTTTTCGTTTTTATTTTCGTCCGCCATTCGTAAACTTTTTAAGCCGATGTTTGCATATTTGTCAAAATCCATATACAAAAATTTGATGATTTAAATTATTCGAACGTGACACATTGTGTATTCCTCTTTATCATCACCGACAAAATGCATATATTATCATTTAAATTTTAAAAAATGCACGATCACGTTGATATCTCGGAAAATCGTATATATATATATATATATATAATTTATGTATCGTTTCAAATAATTAAAAATAAATGAGTGAATAATCAGCTATTACATAAATACTTTAGAAACGCGTTCCAAAATGGTGTATTTAATAAGCGTAAAGATATTTACGATGTTTAGCGCACTTTGAGGTTGCGATTTCGCGGTGATAAAAAAAAAAACATCTATCCGCCTCTCCGTTGCACGTCGGTGCGTTTGTCCCCGTGATTTCTCAAGATCAAGAGAAATCTGACCGATATTCAGTGTTTCTCCTCGCAGAAACGCCTCCGGTTACTGATTAGAGCCAATAAACCGAGCGGTAAATTCATGCTGACGCGATCCTGCGTGACTTCCCTCGAGATTCCGCGAGAGTCGAAATTCGGCGGGCGACGAAATCGGCGGTGCCTATCAGTCAAAATCGATCCGTTAGTGCGTAATTGAAACGATCTTGAAGGAACGAATATTGCCGGTGGACTGCACGAGAACGAATCAGTGAAACGAATTTTTCTGGAGCAACAATAAGAGGGTTCTATACGTATTATCGCACATTTTCTTATTTTCTTCCCTCCCATCGATTTATCGAACAACGATTCTCTCCGACACCGGCCCTTCAAAATCGGATATAAGAAGAACGTTCGCTATTATTGTAAGAATATAATAGGTACGAAGGAAAATTATTTTCGCTTTTTTCACACGCATACAGTGATAATCGAAATAGAACACGGAGAGAATTTTCTCTTGCAATTTTTATCCTGAAAATCCTGGTAATTATGCGACAATATGAAAGAATTTTATAAGAATTTCTCGATTAATATTTACTACAAAAATAAAAATATTAATATATACATAATAAATTTTATCATGTACATAGAGTAAAATTAATCAAATATTTTATTCTATATTTTATTATGATAGATATTAATATATTTATTCCAATACGATATTATCCCATAATTAGCATAATTTTCAGAATAAATTCTGAGAAAATTGCTATTAATCAATTAAACAGCTTATTTGTGGAGATACATACTTTTAAGATCTTTTGATGTGTACATTGAAAAAAAAACAGTTTTATAATTCTTATAAGTATTTATTTCAATCCTGTCAAATAGATCATTTATTTGAAACTAATAATATTTATTTGATATGAAAAATATTTATTTGATATAAAAAAATTCTTTTCAAAACAAATAAATATTTGTTTCAAGTAAATGATTCATTTGACAGTATTGAACTAAATATTTGTTAATTTAACAAATTTTGTTCACAGTGTATTTATCCAAAATTATTTGTTATTTGCAATATAAGAAATGCTAATTTTTCACACTCGCGCACTGAATTATGAAAATACACATTTACGATTAACAATAAGAAGAAACTTTCGACGGAATATCTCAATCGATCCGTGCCTTCTTCATCTCATATAAATACACACACGTAATTTGACAGCAGATGAAAAGAAGGAAAATTCAGAAATACACTGAAAAGGAGAGTTCAGAGACACACTAAACTCGGTTATCATTGACATTATAACGTAACCAGATTGCGATATATGCACAGTTACGACGAGTAGGCCGACAAAGGTATGCGTGTCCGTCATTTCCGCGCGATTTGCTCTCTCGCATCACGCTATATATGATGACATATCACTCCGGAGAGAGTGAGATACGTCACGTCGCGATTGTGAGTCTTTTTAAATTCGTTATACAACGCACGTGCGCGCTGTCACGAGTATAGAGAGCCGCATTATGCGTTCGTTTATCGCCGGGTGCACTTGCATGTCGCGAAACCGCGGACGCGTTTAATTAATTATTATCGAATCGACGGCGGTTGCCGCCGCAAGAGTATAATCGAGTTCAATTAACCGGATCTCTAATTCGACCAACACACTCATTCCCCACCCGAAGATGATGCTGGTGTATTGTTTTAATTCAGTAACTATATTACAGAATGATATTTATTAATCGCACATCACGTAAGTTTGCGACAATCAACAATTATTAAATCGATGTCGGACAATGCGAATCTGTAATAAGTGTTTAAATGTGTTTCTATGTCTTATAAAGACTTACTTTTACTTCTTTTTTTGACAAATTGTTATCTGTTTCTTAATTTTTTTCAGTCACATGTATAATAATACTCAAATATGTATATCTATATTTTATAACGTTTTAAACACATATTTTAATTATTATATTTTTCGAAGAAATAATTATATCGTAATAGCTAAATATCTTAAAAAATACAATTAATAAAAAATACAATGAAAAAAAATAGATAAACATATTCGCGTTGTCTCGACGCGTCATGTTTAAGATAGTTTTTCTTACTGTTACTGTATGTTAATTTTAATTGATGTCTCTAGAGAGCTATCTATTGATGTAACACTAATCATGTGGCTTCACGATCATGCTCTACTTATCTCAATTAGCGACGCTCGGAATCCAATAAGTAATGTAAAGTCTTGAATGTAAACTGTATTAAGTGATATAGACGCGCATATTATCTTAATTCAAAATTATCTCCATTGAAAATATTGAATCAGGATATCGGCCAATTACACATGACAGTAAAACTGAACAGTACCGACCAGTGGCGCATCTTTAGTTATCAGACGTGCGTTTAGTTATCAGATCTGCTTAGCCCGTGAAAGTTCACTGATCATAACGCGAGTGGAGAGAATAATCGCGATTAATCAAGTTCCGAGACACCTCAAGGGACATTGTCGCGATGTCGACAGGTAGTTTGTGCTCGGTATATTAATAATTATATCGATATCATCGCGTAATCCACTTAATTGCGATATAATGTTCATTGACGGATGTTATCAATTAACCGCGTTATTGAATTAACCGCGAATGTGCACGCGAACGATATCTTATACTCACTATTATATCTCATTGTTAGTTTATCTGTGCTCGATTGTGGGAAATTTTTGAGAATTCTTGAAATGTCTTATTGGCTTATTTGAATTTATAAGCTTTAAATTAATATAAAATGTAGCGCTTTTTTATTTCACATAGCAGCAGATGGTTCACTTAATATTTTAAAAGAAATTAATTTTTTTTCGAATATAACAAAATACATTTTCTGAAATAATATATATATTTATTATCGCTTATTTGAAAGAAAATCTTACCTTTGATGACGCATCAAACTTCGTTCCTGTTGTGACTGCAAATTGCGATTCAAATTTTCCGAAATAATGGCTTCAAATATTTACCAAAATAACTTGTCGAATACAATCAAACCAAACAAATCCTATTATACAACTCGATTGCACGTTATCGATTACGTGATCAATTTCTTTTGACAATGATGGTCATGCGAATCTAATCTTCTCATATAATACTCGTTTCGGTTTACACTGAACAAACGAAATTTGTTTACGCTAACCTTAACTTGATGGAAAACCTTGCAAGCTTGATAGATTGCGTTCGCCATTTACATTCTTAGCGATTATGTCGCGATTAAATCGTCACTTTAATAAAATACGCGTGATTAAGCACGAAAGGCGCGTGACATATCATGATATGCGTATATGTTTACAGACACAGAGGTATTTCCTCACTTAATCCATCAGATAAGATGAATCTTACTTCACCTATCTTTCTCATATCACGCTGGTTCAGCTGTTTAAAATTTTATACTATTAATAAACTATTTCCTGCAAAGTCTTCATTACATAATTTCACAACTATTAAAATAAAATCAAAATTTTATTTTCATTTAAATTAAATATCTATGTTTTACATATTATATAAAAATTATGCCGAGGAATTTTCTTCAAGTCACGTAAATTCGATAACGAAAATAGCAATGACAATTATCTGTCTAATTCAATAATTATATAGCCGAAAATACGTGTGAGAGAAAATTTCCATAATTTTGCCACATTATGAGAATAGTTTTTATATAGAATTTGTTATTTTAATCAATTATTGCTCGTTCGCAGATTACTCGAGCGACGATATGTCGATGACTGCTCCAGAATTGACAGTCAGACGACCGGTCTACCAGCAGGACCAGCTTAATCACTTGTGTAAATACGTGAAGCCCAAGAGAATCCGTAAGTGTCACAATCTACTCGAGCGCGGATAGAGATCGCGTTTATTTTTTTACCGTTTTCTTGCCTCGACTCGCACGTATTTTCTTGAGAAACTACCTCTCTGTGCGATAATCTCGAAACATTGACCGCTATTAGTAAAACCGGTTAAAGTTGATGAATCAGTTAACAGAGAAGAACGCAAGATTCTTAAAGAAAAGTCATCTTTCCCAAAGATTAGATAACATTATATTCATATGAGAAAAAATTAAAGTTTTACGGTTTTAATGATGTTGATAATAGTTTTGAACTATCCGATCTTATTTTAATTTTTTCATTAATTTTTTAAATACACAATATGCAAAAATTTTTAACAATGTAAAAGTGTGATTAAAAATAACGTTAAAAAAAACGTTAAAAAATTGTATTTTATATTTGTCAAATATATAATTGAATTCTTCAAATAATTTAAATTTATATTCGAATTTTCCCAGGTATTTAATTTAATTAATCATAAAAATATCTGTCATTTTCTTTAGTTAGAAATGAACTGTCAAGACGATGCAAAAGTATCAAGCCAATTACGCTTTTAAAAAAATCGATACCCCTAATCGATTGGCTTTCTTCGTATAATTGGAAAAATAATATTTTGGGAGATGTTGTTGCTGGAATTACTGTTGCAGTAATGCATATTCCGCAAGGTATGTTGCATTAAACAATTTCAAAACAATATGCATAATAATAATAATTGGGACGCATCGGACGAGAATAAGCGAATTATAAATAAATTATTATTGTAACTATGTAACTAATCAAAGATATTCATGAAATGCTAGAAATTGCTAGAATTCGTAATTACGATGATAAGATTTATATCATCGAATATTTATATAGAACAAGAAAAACCTTTCTATAAAAAGAGTACAAAAACATACGTCAAATATGCATCATAAATAAGTACCCAATTTTTGTGTAATAAATGTTTTAAAAAGTTTAAAAAAAAAAATTACGATATATGTATTTGACGTTTTTTTTGTACCATAAAATAAAAACTTCTCACTCACCCTCACCGATGCACAACGGCATAATCGTTACGTTGATCTCTCTCTGTAACATACAAATAAAAATTCAAATTATAGCGATAATCAAAATAATATTTTAAAAATTATTATTTCTTGCATGCATCGCATTTTATATTTAATGCATACAATAATATGCGTAATATAAGCAGATATTTAATAAAGTAATTATCTTATAATTTTTGGAAAAAATTTATTTATTTTTTTTAAGAGACAAGCTTTTTAGGATATTACATATAAAAAAGTTTTTTAATTCTTATTTAATAAATTACCCAAATAAGCAAACATATAATACTAAAAAAAAGACAATAAATAAAGGAATAGAGAAGAATCACGTACACGATTGATAAAAAAAGTAATATATTAAAATAATAAATTACCTCAAGGTTGTTCTGCCGTTGCCCGATGCCTCCCAGACCTCCTCCTCCTCTCAGGTTGTTTCTCAAGCACTCGCACTTCATTAAGCACTCGCGCACGACACATTTTACACAGCAAACTCCCAATTAATTAATACGAGATGAATCGTCCACGGTACGAAATAAACAGGCGCGCGACACTTTGTACGGCACTCCCGAAATTTAAACTAATTAAGACGCGACTAAGCATTCATTTGCGGAAACTAGATGCAATGTACTTTTCAACGTGCGATTTCACTCGAATTACGCGATCGAGAAAATAAATATTGATGAAAACGAATCATGTGGGTATTTAGCTTCTCTTTCAAGTTAAATCTTTCAGATACTGAATTCTCCCACTAACGTTAAAATGTACCCATTTGAGAGGATTTTGTCCACGAAAAGCTGACAATGTAGCCTCTGCAACAGAGAGATAGAATATACATTATATAGATATAATATTTTTAGATAAATTATTAAAACATTTTTTTTAAATACAAGTTTTATTTTGTTTGCAATTATTTCATTAAAAAAGAAAAACGAGTAATAAGCGCAAATCAATAAGAAAGATCTTTTTAATTATAAATTAAATTATAAAATATTATATTTTATTACATAAATTTTCAATCGTGAAATTAATTAATTGCACGGCCTGTTAACCACTAATTGTTCGTAAATAATAATTGTTTCCAGAAACAGCCAAAGGAATGTCTCATTATCTGTCATTTCGAGTCTCATCGCATAAATATTACACATATACACAAACCAAACAAACGCCAAGGCAGCGTGCCAATTAATTTGTTTCTCGCATTTCTGATTAATTAATAAAACTGATCGACTATCATAAATAAGCTTTACCCATTATCTAAAATCTAAATTATTCGATCTGGCGATTCGTGTTTATTATTTCACGCTCTATTGTTCTCGTAGGTATGGCGTATGCTATTTTGGGCAATGTTCCACCAATTGTTGGTATATACATGGCTTTTTTCCCGGTCCTGGTATATTTTTTCCTCGGGACATCCAGACACAATTCTATGGGTAGGTGTGTTGCAGGTTTCATTAAAAAAAAAACTAAAGAACGCAGGACACAAATGAACACTGTGCATACTAAAATGACTTAATTTAGAAGCGTATTATTTAAATTAATTATTTCAATTATGCCTTCGAGTCAATGTTTATTCAGAAATTATGTTTGACTGCTGCTTAATTTAGAGAGCTCCGCAATTAAGCAGGATTGCCATGCTTCTATGTTAATTAAGGTACGTTCGCGCTCGTCTGCATGATGACTGGAAAAGTCGTTACTACATACAGTACCAGTGCAATTTCGGCAAATAGCACGTCAAGCGAGAACGGTACCTTAATTTCCGCCATAAACCATCAATACTCGCCGGTAGAAGTTGCAACCGCAGTTACATTCACGGTTGCCCTTATACAGGTAATTACGTTATACACATTCTAAATCCAATGCTGCTTATATTTTCTAAAGATTGTTATTCTGCCACATGTGTCTTTTCTTTTTTTTTACTGCGCTTCCAAGTTTTCTTTTCGCAAAACAATAATGTTTATACCAAGTTTAATTTAATTAAAATAAAAAAAACTAATAAATAATAGTAAAACAATATTTCTAAAAGATTAGTGTCTTAATTTTATTAGAGAATATATTTTTAATAATGCTCGTTGTTTTTCTTAGGTCCCTTAAAAATCAATTAACTTGATTTAATAATCCTGCCTTCAGCTTTTAAATTTTTAATTAAAAATAAAACAATTTTTAATTAATTAAAAAATTCTGAATTTTTCTCTTTCCTGTATCATATTTTTTTAAAGAGTCTTAATTTAAGAAATTCATTTAGCATTCTGCTCATTTTAATGACTTCATTCCCAGAGCCGCTTTATATTAATATTAATTTCGCTCCCTTGACCTCTCGGCATCGCTCAAAATTTCTTTCGTCTAGTTAGGAATGTACGTGCTGCGTTTGGGCATAATCTCGTCTCTCCTCGCGGACAGCCTCGTGAGTGGATTCACGACTGCAGCGGCGATGCACGTGTTTACATCGCAAATAAGGGATCTCTTCGGGCTGAGCGACTTGCCACGACGCAGGGGTGCGTTTAAGCTTATTCTCGTGAGTACAGTAACAGCTAAGTTTTGTTTGGTGATGCAAACTGATGCAAACATTAGTCGAGTCTTTCTAACTGGGACGCACACGTCGCTATACTGATACTGCACTTCTTCTCTTATGTTTTTCCTTTCCTTTTTCCTTGCCGTCATGCAAACATGTAACGTTTGCACTTGCCCAACAATTTAAGCAATCGTGGCGAACGCTTCCTGTAGATATTGCCGTGTAATCAAATTGTAATTTAAACGTTGACAGAATATTTTGTGTACGTATATAAAGATTACGTGGCAAATAAAAGTCAAGGTTAGTTATTTAGATCGTGGATTGCAGTATGTAATATTTCACAGAGCTAATAATAAAGAATTATGTTTGACAATATACAAAAATGAAACTCAATATAATCACTAACTTCAAATAACCATTTCAATGACAATCAATAATACAATTGTTACGGAAGAATGCCTTATTGTAAAAAAAGCTGAAATAGGAAAAAATATATGTTTGCGTCAACTGCATTAATTTTCTCGAGAAAAATCCCAAAGCATCCATTTTTTAAAATAATATATAAAACAATTTCTGACAAACAATTTTCTATTATATGTATATTTCTACTTATATATAAATATAAAATAATAGATAATAGATAAGCTAATATAAAATCGACATACTTTCTTTCAATAAAAAATTGATTTAATATATAATTATGAATAATCCAATTTTATTTATCTAGTTTTCTTTCTTATATTAAAATTTACGGTTATTTTTCTCAAAATAAAAATAATTTTAAATAAAATTAAATAAAATTAAAAAAATCTTTCTTCTATAATATATATTTTTCGTAAACTTTTTTAAATTTATGTTATTGTGTTTGCCTCATTAATTTTTTTCAGACTTACGTAGACATTTTCAACAGTATAAACGACATCAATTTAACTGCCGTAATATTATCTTGCATCACTATCTTAGCACTTCTTTTCAACAATGAAGTTCTTAAGGTTGGTAAGACACGTAACTATACTTTAAATAGATAAATGTCGAAAGTATTTTATGTACCAAAAAACAACTTTTTTGCATTCTACGAAGAGATAATTTGGATTTCAGCCAAGAGTCTCAAAGTTATGTCCCTTCCCGATTCCTATCGAAATGCTTGCGGTAGTAATCGGCACTCTGCTATCGATGCAAATGAATCTTGCGGATACTTACAACGTGATAACTGTTGGCGATATACCGGTCGGGTAAATATACATTTTTACTCTTTTTGATCATTCTGTCAATTTATCTTTCACAGCTTCTAATAAAAATTTACAGTCTGTTGCGAAAAATATTATCTTCGTACGTATATTAAAAGTAGTCGCTTCAATTTGAATCAATTTTCTCCCCGAAAAATTATAAATTTCTCAGAAAACATATCTCTCGCACAAACAAGCTGTGAAAATAAACTGTTAAAACAAAATGTCATAATGTCAAGATTTTCAGATTGCCAGTTCCTTCGGTACCACCGTTATCGCTTATATCTGACATCTTAGTAGATAGTTTCGTGATTACCATGGTCGCTTACACAATATCAATATCTATGGCATTGATTTTCGCGCAAAAGATGGGCTATGAGATCGATTCCAATCAAGAACTGATGGCACAGGTAAATATTGAAAGTATCGCAATATTTGTAGTACACATTTTTAAATATATTAAAAATTAATATATTGTATTGCAAAAAACAATAATTATCTATGTATCTAAAAAAAGCGGGATATTTGCAGGGACTAGGAAATCTTGTAGGCTCCTTCTTTTCTTGCATGCCTATCTCGGCTTCGTTATCCAGAACTTTGATTCAGCAAACTGTGGGCGGACACACACAGCTGGCAAGCTTAATATCATGCGCAATCCTAGTCAGCGTATTATTATGGATCGGTCCATTCTTTCAGCCTTTGCCTCGAGTAATTATTTCCTTTATCGTTTTTCGACAGCCTTATCTAGCTTACACTTGATAAAATGTGTTAAGAAACATTTTAGAAACATTTGATAAATGATCATGACGCACGTCGAACGCGCAGTGTATTCTAGCGAGCATAATCGTGGTGGCGTTGAAAGGGATGCTGATGAAGGTGACCGATTTTATAAAATTTTGGAGACTGGACAAGACGGACGCCGGCATTTGGGCCGTCACTTTTATTGTCGTGATACTCTTTGACGTCGAGTATGGCTTATTGGTTGGCGTGCTTCTCTGCATCGGACGACTACTTGTTCTCGCGATGCGCCCTTACACGTGCAAGCTCGCCCTAGCACCCGGCACCGAGCTCTATCTGGACGCCAGGAGATACAAAGGAGTATGGGCAGTTTGTAATTTCATTCCTAACTTTTCCCGGCATTATTTTATTTCTTTCTCCTCTTTTTCTCCTTTCTGATACGCGCATATTCAGTCTCTTGCAAATATACGAAAATTTAAAAAAATAACGAATTATAATGAAGTTTGAACTTTCAATTTAACGTTCGAAGAAGAAATGATAAAATGCAAATTCTGTGGAATTATATTTTTCAAATAATTTGAATCTCTCTGCAGCTCAGAGAACGATTTTATTTGTTCTGCAATTTTTGCTAAATTTAATGAATCGTTTGAATAGCAAATTAATGAGAATCGATCAGAAAATAATTTTTTTAAATTCGAAAAACAAATATTTTCAGACCGTAGAAATTCCTGGTATAAAAATATTCCATTATTCCGGCAGCCTGAACTTTGCGTCCAGGCAATATTTTCGTGAGGGAGTGTACAAGATTGCGGAGCTAGTGCCTCAAAAAGAGCTAAACAGACGACTGAAAGTTTCGTCTAACGGCATCGCGACGGAGGAAATTAAAAAGGTAAATGTATGTTCAATTTAACGAAATTTCGAAAAAGTCGGGTGGAAAAAAATATTAAATTATCCGGCGCATAATTCTACATTTATTTAAGATAAATAACTAGCTTTGTGTGTCGTATATTTTCTCCTATCTTCATGGAATAAAAATTAGCTACAGCTAAATTTTAGCTGTCCCTATATTACACATGAAATTTTAGGTATAATAATTAAATTTCAGGTTGTAATATAAGGATAGTTAAAATTTAGCTATAATAACTAATTTTTTCGTATTTAAATATACGCTCCATCCTTAATTTAGCGGCTACGAATTCTCATATTGGACTTCACCGCGCTGTCGCATATCGATCTGGCAGGTGCGAATGCGATGCGAAGCATCGTCGATGAGTATTGCGGGATAAAAGTATCAGTTTATATAACGGGTTGTTCCGGTAAGTGTATTTATATAAGTCAATCTTAGTTAGACGCTTAAATTTATATTTGTGTAACTTCGATCAATGATATAGGTTAATTATATGCAAAATTTATTCAATGTTATTTGTGACATCTCTTATATCGGTTTCTCTCCGTTTATATATCTTGATGCGTCTTAAATATAAAGAAGGATCTTATATAAATCATGTATTTCTATAGTTACTAATAAACAAACGAGAGATTTTTTTCTGCTTTTCTGTAGTATAAGTATTCATTCATCAAAGTTACGTCAGTGTTTCAATATTTGGAATTAACTTTTATCAAAAATAAAAATTCGATATCGCAATTGTGCAGGTCCAGTTTATGAAAAGATGAGAAAGTACAACCTAGACGAGCACAACGAGAATCATTTCTTTGCCATGTTTCCCACCGTCGCCGACGCTGTGCATTTCGCACGTTCTTACAGCGAAGTGCCGTCGATACCTACGTGGAATACTCGGATTCACGATGAGAACTGCATCAGCAGACTATGAGACCCGCCTGAGAATAGCGTTATGGTATACAAAAAAGGACGAGTCGTCATTTTTCTTTATTGTCACAAATATTTATCACGAATATTTATACGCTGCATGATGTTTAATGCAAGGATTCCATTTATCTAATATATGTAGGTGCTCCAATACAATAAGTATTTGGCACAATGATGATTGGTGCGCGAATAGTATTTTATCGTATATTTTTTATAAATTTTAACTAAGAAAAGTTTCTCGAAAGAAATATCGCGAATCCTTAAATGACAGCGGATTATTCATGTGTCACAGTAGGTGAAAGATAGGTGCAAATTGAACTCGAAAAATAGGCAGAATATAATAATAAAATTAAATAAAGAAATATAAAGTTGAATTTTGTTAATCAATAACAAATAAAGAAATTTTGTAACAATATTCCTTAATAAAATTTATAATAAATAGAAATTATTCTGTGAAGATGTGTTGGTATATAATAGATCCATAACGGTTCTCTCAACAATAAATTTAACAACAAATCCTTTTTAATCCCGATTATTCATAGCAACATCATCATCGTTATCAATAATTGTCGCCTGAATAAATTATATTATATATATTATATTTTACATTTAAAGAAAATTTGAAATAAAATGCAAAATACAATTGTTTTATAGGAATATTGTGAGAAAGTAAAAATGAGAATAAATTAAATTTTTATCGCATGCAAACGAGATGAGATTAAAAGATTGAACCGCGAAAAAGACGAGGGAAAAGATTTAAGACAAAACAGGTTAAAAAAAAGTTTATATACAATATATAGCCTCGTGCTGTTGCGCGGATTTTTTACTATGAGCCATTCAGTCACGAAGAGTGATGTGGAATTAAAAGGCCAGAATGCATCCTTCAAGTGAATGCAACGAAACATAGCTAATTTTGGTGATGGCCGAAAAGTGATCATTTCCGGGCAAAGGGCAAAGTATTTTCGCGAATTTGGACGCCGTCACCTATGTCAAAAGGTATTAAACACTCTTGCTCATATTTGTTAAATTTTCATTATTTTCAACTATATTTTATTTATTTACGTTTGTTGCATTTGTAAAATTATTTTGTCACAAATTTCAAAAAATTCTATTAATAAAATAGTGTACTTAAATTGATCTGCGACATTAATAAAGAAAAAAAGAGAAAAAGTTCTTATTACAACTGAAAATTATTATTATTCATGTAAATCACATATAATTTCTTTTCTTTATGAAACAACTCTATAAAGCAGTCTATTGAAGTTTCCTTTGCTCGTTAATAACAATGAACGATATGATTCCACAGAGAATGTATCGTTTAAAAGTACAAATTTTATAAAAGAATGAATCTTTAAACTTGATTCTCTAGTGGTTTATACAATTAAAAATACAACAAAACACTCTTCATTACTTGTAAAATATTTTATCTTATTTTGTAAATATAAAATTACGTTAACATAAAGCTGTATAGTAAAAATTAGAAGTGTGACATAAATTTATAATTTTAGAGATTTATAGTGTGTATTCATTGTGTGTCCTAGTTATAGTTCTATAATAAATACAACTATAAAATTTTTAATTTTTAATTTAATATTTTTTAAAAATATGAGCTATCATAAAATGTTTTTTTTTATATTTTTATTTGACGTATTTCTATAGTACAATCTATCATTCAAGCCCATGGTTCCATCATCATTTTAACCTCATTTTAACCGCATTGATTGATCAAATATTTTTGTCGGAAAGTCTAATGAAAATATATGGGATGTTTTATGAGAAAAGAATAACGCATCGTGCGCGCAAATGGCAATAGTTTTTAGTTTTTCAACCACTACCTAAACAATTCAAAAATTTTGAATAACTTTTGATTTATTCGTTAGTTTATGAGCTTTCTAACAGTGCTATATATAAATAATGTAATTTAAAAAAAAACTTAAAAAATTTTAAATATAAATGTTTAACCTACTTATAAAAATATCTACAAGATACAATTTGAAAAATTGCAGCATTCAATTTAAAGTTTTTAGATAATAATTTAAAATTGATATCAATGGATATTGAACGTCTTTATTATAAAATTATTAATTTTAATAGTTTTACGTTCGACAGTCATGTCTATTTTAACGAGAATTTCGTAATGTTAAAATTACGCCAAAACGTATTTGCTCGTTTGAATAATTAAAATGGAATCTTTTTCCTTGGTAATATACTGGTGCACAATCGTGCAATTATAATGAGCAGCTCAACTTGTAGCGCTATCGCAAGTCTTTCTTTAATTATGTTTATGTAGTAATATTTTACTCATTTACAATTCCAAGAACCAACATTGTAATAAGTATAAGAACCCAAGTTCAAGAACTAAAAGTTATATTAAATAATAAAAATGCTTTTATTTACAGAATAGCAAATTTATATTCAAGATTATATCCAAAGTAAAGAATCAAATGTTGAAATAAATCAAATTTTATAATAAAAATTTGATATATATAATAACTTTTTAAATAATATCAAGAATAATATAAAAAATAAAAAAGAATATTTATGACTTAAAAAAAAGATTCAGTAATTATATTTAAATTAGCCAATATTTAAAATGTCGCAATGTATTCTATTGTTAAAAATAAAAGAATAAAATAATTAACGAATCTTTTCAAAAGAGAAAGTATTTTCCATTTCACTATTAAAAATTAAATCAATAAAATTCTCAGAAAGATAATATCAAATATTCCAAGCTGTGCTTGTCATTTCATCAATATGCAAAATAATTAGAAGTCATATATACACATACCCTCGCCGTACTTGTACAGGATTTTGCTTGGATAGCTCATTTCAAAAACTTCGGCAGGCAAAAATGAGAATTTTCCTATCTCATAATTACGTGTGCGATGCGACAATTGCTATTTTCGCAAATCGCACGTGCCGCGTTTTCCTCGCAGATTCGTTACGAATGCAACACGTGCGCGAAAAAGTCGGAGATGCGCGATGCACTGTTTGGTACAACGTTAAACTCCGCGACGACGAGAGAATTTCTACTGAGGCTCTCTACTTCCAAGAAGAATAGTATATACACCGAACGTAGAAATCGGGCGGCGTTTTTTTTCTTTTTAATACTCGCGCGCGTCGCAACGCTAATCGACGTCGATTATTCGCACTGTTCGAGATTTCGATAACGCATGTCTTGCTTTCGAAAGTCGTGTTTTGCTGTCATTTAAATCAAGAGATACAGTCGTGTCTCTCCGCGCCAAGTCACGCGCGACGAACAGAGAGATGAACCGTGTATCCGTCTGTTCTGTTCGGTATTCTGTTTGCCGAGCAGGGTGCGAAAAGCTAACGAAAGTTACACGTGAAAATTTAACGGTTCATTAAATTCGCGCAATGATTAATGCTGCTAGATGAACACGAGAGACAAGATTCTTAATATGATTTAGAATAAAATAGGATACCGTGAAATGAAAATATGTCTTTCATCGAATTCGATTACAGTAAGAGAAAAAAGGGCAAAACGGTAAAAAATCTCAAATGTGCCATAGAAAAAAAGAATTAGCCACCATTAGCTCAATTTTAGCTGTTCCTATATTTACAACTTGAAATTTAATTATTATGCCTAAATTTTAGTTGTGGGAACTAATATTTTTTTAGTTATAGTTTGATGGAGAATTTTCTATTTAATTATACAGCTAAAAAATATTAGCTATTACAGCTAAAATTTAAACATAATAACTAAATTTCAGGTGTAATATAAGTACAGCTAAAATTTAGATTTTTAGATGGTAACTAATTTTTTTCCCTTGATGATATGCAATATAATTACAATTATTCAATTGTCTGCGATTATTTGCACATCGTGCAATCAAATATTTAAATGTCCTAACAATGCATATACATATGTACATATGCGCAATAGCATAGATCAAATTTTCAACATGTATATTTTTGTAATAAGAAGATAAAGTTTTAAAATCCTTTAATTTAACAAGAATAATAAATTTATTAAACTATGATTATGACTAATAAAGAAACCAAACTAATAATTTACCAAACAAATATAAATGATCAATCAACTCACCAACTGTTGTATTACTGTTGAACACAGCTGTGACTACATAATAATTGTACTGCCGTTGCATAGCCATTGTAATACTGCTGTTGCTATAGTACTGCTGCTGATTCCAATTTCCATTGAACTGATTGCGTTGCCGTTGCATTCTCGCTGCCACTTAGTTATTTGTTCTTAAATATCAAATTTAAACATATGTAATATCACATATTGAAATAAAAAATTTGCTAAATAATATATAACAATTTGCGAAATTTTTTATAATTTGAGAAATTAAATTAAGATTTTTATTTATTTTTAATAAAATATATATTGCACATTTATTTACAACTAATATTTATTCTCGAAAATTAATTTCTCATAATTTTATTCATATATTTAATAATATTCGGAACTATATAGTCGCGCGAAATTAGCTTGACAAAACTGTCACATTATTGATGTCACAACGCATAATATAACAGTTATTTGATACTTTTCTCGACATTCTCGATATTGTAATGAGGAATCAAATTAAGATTTTTATTTATTTTTAATAAAATATATATTGCATATTTATTTCCAACTAATATTTACTCTCAAAAATTAATTTCTCATAATTTTATTCATATATTTAACAATACCCCGAACTATGGTCGCGCGGAATCAACTTGATAAAACTGTCGCACTACTGCACATTTATATTGATAATTATTATCAAACATGTTAAGTTTTCATTAGATAATTTATTAGATAAGTAAATATATTTGAATAATGAATATATTACTTGAATAATGCCATACATACCTTGCAGAGAAGACTCAAAAGTGGACTCGACCATATTTTGTTTGCCAAATACAGTGGCGGAAAGGCAGCCGTTAATTCCTTCAAAAATAATGATCATATCATTAATCATGCGGTAATATAGTTTCTTCGACATTCACGATGCTCGATCACGTTTACGTATAACAACAAGTGTCCCAATATCGATAATTAATTGTGTCTAATAATATTTACATAGACGGAACACAGAAACCGACAACCATCTCTACTCCCGATTCCACTGCAGCACTGTGAAGGGTGCTCCGATTGTATCGTGCAAATCAAATATGGTTGTCACGAATTTTTACCAACCAAATAAGAAAAAGGGTGCCCTAATTGTCAAGTGCAGCCAATCGAATATTCGCTATATACAGTGATACTAACTTTTCAGCGAGAAACATTAGACACATGAATATCGAATCGCACGATTAATTCTGTTTATTGAATAATAAACAGAATCGATAGCTAATTGCATGAGACACTTTCTTGCAAACAAGCATCCTTTATCATTAATTATTAATAGATACATTAAATTTTCATTAGATAATTGATTCATTACATATAGAAGAGTGAATATTTATTAGATAATTAATTTATCATTTAATAATATTAGAAGATTATTAACGATATTACCATTTAATAATATTAGAGGATTATTAACGATATTATCATTTAATAATATTAATAATATATTATAATAATATTATAGAAGTAGAGAGAGAGAGAGAAAGAGAGAACAGAGAGAAAACAGAGAGCAGAAAAAGAGAGAAAGAGAAAATGTGTATGTGTGAATATATATCATGATTGAGAGAGCGAAAAGTTTGAACTAATCATCTCGACAGACACAATGATACCAAATAATACTGACAATGAATGAGACGCGAGATTGTTTATGCTGTACGAAAGAGAAAGAGAGAGAGAGAGAGAGAGAAAAAAAGAGGAAGATTTTCGGAGCTCGCTGCTTTGTTTACATAACAGCTGTTACACCGTGTGCTATTCCATTCAAACATACACCAATGTAAAATATTTATATATCAATATAATAATGTCTGTCTAAACACACTTGTCATAATTAGTCAAACGTGATTATTCTCACTCGTGTCACGTCATGAATATTTTCTCTCTTTACGTCATTCACGCAATGTGCATCATCGAGAATAATAAATCAATAATCCAATAAATATTGCGACGCGATTTATTTATTAATTACCAATGACAAAAGTTATCTTATATTCAATTTTCAATAAATACCTCATTTGCATACGTACATGTATACGTTTCAACACGCAGCATCACAAAGTGTGTGTGTCGATAGACTGCGTATACTACTTCTATATTAATAGGCATTATTAAAAAATTAATAGAGAGTCAATAATCTTGAAAAAATCAGATTATAGGAACTCTTCTCCCTGCATCCAATGGGAGCGCGCGATCTGTTTGCGATAATCCATAATCCAATCAAATTCGTCACTAGCGCATCCAATAGATGTCGATAAAAACTAGCCCTCGGATGTAATCGCGTCATACCGAACATATTTAATGCGCATAGTACATGCTCGTATTATTCAACAACGGTGGGCCGAGGGATTCGGAAGTGGTTTTCACGTTCGTCTCTAATATTATATCGAGAGTGATTAATTAACGTCGCGAGTGACGGAGGAACGGAATCGAGCGCTGATTAATTAATTACTATACGGTATGATATATTATGGTCGCCAAGAGTTTTATTCGACTCGCGACTCCGAGTTTTCGCGAGTGAAGAAGTTTCGGTGCCGCAAAATGGCGATTTTAGTATCGGGAGTGCCGAATCGAATTTTAATATTCTATTGCGTGCGCGAGTGATCGGAATTTTGGAAACTGACTTTTTACGAGTGAGATGCTTGGGCAACCCGGAGGATGTCGTCATCGACGAGACGAGGATGAAAGCCTGAGAGAATCTGGACGGAGTTAGGGCAACGAACGAGTGAGCGATAATAAATTTTTTTCGTTTTTATGCATATATGGTAAACCTCAAAAAGGCGCCAAATTCACGTCTACATAAAAGTTATATGCATATATAGAAAGAACATGTCGAAGAAAAATGTTAGAGGTTATCAGAGACATATATCTGCTTACAAACTTTGTTAGAGAAAGATATATCATATATCCATGATTATTAAGACTGATAACTCATTATGTCAGGATGATCTATATAAGATATCAGAAATAGTCTATTATCGAATTCTTGAAGAAAAATATATGTATAAAGACTTTGTTGAGTAATTTTGCAGCATAGTTGCACGCACATATCGATGTATTACATCTCCAAACGAATTGAAGTGCACGCAGACACAGAGTAGCGCGCATCACGCATTTAAACGCGCTTAGAGATCCATTTGAAGTTGGCTTTAAAATTTGCGCCGCATGTGACAGTTGGCACGTGCGCGCGGAGCCGACTTTCGCATCTGCGCATTCGCCGACGTGCACGCACGCTTGTGCTACACGTTCGTGAAGATCGAAAGAGCCGACCGAGCGTTCTTATCTGGGTGGGTGTGTGTGTGTGAGTTGTTGGTTTCTCGCCGCCACGTCCTTATATTTATTTACAATGAACGCGTGGACGCAGTACTTTAAATCCATCCCGACGCATATGGTAAGTAGCAAAATATTTAAATAATTATACTAATAATTAATTACTATTGTATTCTTCACATGATATAGCCCAATGATAACGTTGATTTATTACGAGAGGTTAGGTTGTCGAGCACCGTATGTTAGTGTAATTGCGAATTTTGATAGATTCTGTACAATAAATTGTATTGTAAATTTGTTGGTATTGTCAGCATCTCTGTTGACATTTGAATTTTTATGCAAAAGTATTATTTATAAAAAAAATATCCATGGCGAAGCTTTATATTATGTTTACGTATCTCATTACTTGTTACAGGATTATGATGGCCAAGCTAGAGCAGAGAAATATTCGCGAGTTATAATAACAGTATTTGGTGTAAGTTACAATACTTTATTTTTTGGAATTCAAACAACACATGTCAAATGTTGATAATTTCAATGTAGAAACTTTGTATCGCTTTGTTTACAGGTGGTTGGGTTAATCTGGGGTTACGTTATTCAACAATTCTCACAGACAATTTATATTTTGGGTGCTGGTTTTGTTATGGCAGCATTAATCACCGTACCTCCATGGCCTATGTATCGCCGCAAACCATTGGATTGGCAAAAGCCGCAGTCTGAAGTTACCACTAAACTCAAGAAGAAAAAATAATCGCAAAGTACTTTTGTGATATTATTTTAAATGTAATACAGCAAAGCATAGTGCAATCTTGTTTACAACAATGTAAATTTGATTGCTGAAAATGGAGATCTATATATACCACTAAGCATTTATCTTTATGTAATCATGAGATACGAATGTCTTTAATGTGTGAATGCGGATGTATGTCAAAATAAGTGCAAATGTGAAAGATTAGGTCTTTTCGTAAGATTTAAAATACAAATATATGTGCACTGTAATAGTTGTTGGTTACATAAATGTGAATTATAAAAATACATTTTATTTGGATAAGAACATGTTTTCATAACTCGATATTTATCCTATAAATAATATGTGATAATATTAAATAATATATTAATATGATAAATCAAGGAAATGTTTAGAAAATTAATAAGATTTTAATGTCAGCTCAAACAATTAAAAAAAAGAAATATAATCAATTATCAAACTGTCATTGAAATAGATCACAAAATAATTATTTTTTTATTTGTATATTTCTTATATAATGCAATAATATTCAACATGTCTGTCTTTGTACATACGAATACTAAGTATTTAAAGATAATATTTGAACATTTATTAGATATATCATAATTTTGTATTATAATTTTATTTATAAATACATATTATTTGGAATATTAAAATATAGAATTAAATTTTTAATTAATTTAATATGAATAAGAATAAAAAGAGAAAGGCAATATGAATATATAAAAAGAAAATTATTATAAATTGTTTAAATAAAATAAAAAATAGATATATTAGATATTTTTATATATAATGTTTATTATAAGTGGCTCAAAAATATATATTATCCAAAATTATCGATTTTCTCGAATGGTACATTTGAAACACACATTACACTTTATCTATACATAAAATGTTCTTGTAGCAATTACTATCCATATAATGCAAGCGCAGAAAAGTACACCGCAAAGCCTAGATATATAATCAAATAATTACGCCCAATGTATTGCTTCGACTTCACAAAATTACGAGCGGTTACATAAAAAGGGAATGAAAAAGTGAATCGTAATCGTTATATCTGCAACAGTTTCACAGCGGCGATAGTGCGTTTCCCTTCCGTAACGGAACCACCTCTTATATAATCGTAAAGCAGAAAAAACGTAGTGTAATGTAACATATAGCGGCAACTGTGATCACTTTTCCGGTTCGTAAACCGTCGATCAATTAAAAGTGTTCTTCGCGATTACGGCATACCGTTGTCCCGATCAAAGACCCGTTGGACCTGCTCCAACATGTGACTTTCATCGATCACGCTATCCATTTTCTCCGATCGCGAACTGACCGAGGTCATCATCATTTCCATCAGAATCGCCGTGAATTGACTTTCACGCGCTTCGATTAGCTACCGGCTTCGATCAGAAATGGTAATTATTCGAAATACGCGGTGTAGAAGATTGCATTTAAACCTGTAATCGTATAAGCTGACATTTAATTTTTTATTTATTATTATTATTATTGAAAAGAATAATTGGCAAATTATAATCATCATATTTTCGGACTTAACTGAAAAAGAAAGAAAAAAATACACCATAAATAAATGTATATTTTCATAAATTTGAATTATATTTCCATTTTATATACTTATATAAAAATTAATATTAATTTATCAAAATGACATTTATATAGTGTTTGTTTTAAAAGTCCTCGTTGAGTCATATACTTTTCCCTTTTCCCGAAATATATAAACACATGGCATAATACCGGATCAAAAACAACTCTCATACATCAATAAAAAGCTTATGGTGATGAGGCGAAAAGTCGTTTGCGAGCACGTTCACGTATACCTTACGTAATCGAACTACCGGATATTGGTGCAAATTTGTTGGGATGTAATCTTTCTCCTGGATCGCGCCTTTTATTTTAATCTCTTTTTTTCACTTTTTTTCGATTGCGCGCCTACCTGTCCTCTACGCAAGACATGTAATGTGTATAAGAGTTACGAAACGCTTTCTCCCTGTATGATGGATATTTTAAGTATGCAACTTGCCTACTTCCTGTGTAATGCAGGTAGGCCCACCAATCCGTGATCGGAGGAGAAAAGGGAAGGAGAAGAGATAATTGCAACTAAGCATGCAATGTACGACACGGTCGCGATCGTTACCTTCCTTGGTCTTAACACTGACACTTCGTTTAGGGAACTTCATAATTGACCTGAAAGCAGGAAAGTCCAACGAGATCAATTAATTAGGAATCTATACGCAATCGATAATCCGTCTCGAGGGATCGAAAATCGTGGAACGAGTCGCGTCTGTAGTCTTTTTTTTTTTTTTTTTGTTATAATCGAAGGTGTTATACATAATTTATAACTCTGAAATTATATCTTTTGCCCAACCCGGCTTCAATCGCGATATCTTTTCCTTTTTTATTACCTCTTTTCTTTTTATTATCTCTGTAATCTATTTCGACAAATGTGTATTAACTAACGTATATAAAATACTCAATATATATGTAAGTCTGTTACGCTTGCGGAAAGAAATTATTCATACAGAGAAATAAATTCGACGCAATCAATGTGCGCGTGCAATGCACTGTATTTACGTATATGTATTAGACAATTAAAGATATTTATCATTCGGGTCTGGGCGCAAACTTTCGCTCGTCTAACATCATTGATTCGCAATTAACGATTGGGAACGCGATTAAATTAGGGAACGTGAAATCATTTTACGCAAAATTGCGGACACGGGATGCTCGTGAGTTATGTCATTCGTGACTACGTTACTTAAGTATGCGCCCGTCGTTATATCGTATTATGCTTAAGTAATGAATTTGCATTTCGCAGAGAACTCTGACCTTTTACACGAGAATCAATCGAAACTCCATTTCTCTCCGAAACCAGGTGTTTTTTCAGCGTAATATTATGAATCAGCATGATTTATCGATTCAAAAACTTTCCGTGCATTCATATACATGATAAAAAATAGATAAAAATATTTTGAAAAAAAATATTTTCAAGTGTGTTAAAAAAAAAGTTTTTATTGAATTAAACATTTGAACCGATTACTTTTGTATTGATTAAATTAAACATTAATTAAAATCAAATCAAAGTATCACTTGACGAAAATATTCTGCACAGACTAATTCGCTTCGCTTCGTACGTGATGTAATGTAAGATTTCCTGTAATTTTTGTACCATCTATTGTCAATATAACTCAGTATAATTTACAAGATTGAATCTTATGTTTTCAGGTTTCTGTGCACAAACTCTCACTTATTTATTCACTCTTGCGGAAGCATATTTTTCTCCCGCATATATATGCACACGCATCTTTATTATATATATATATTATAACAAATCACTAAAACACAAAATTATAGTACATTATTTACATAAAGACATAATACAAAAAATGATAAAAATATTATATACAAGATTATCAAAGCAAAGTAAAATAATATCTTCATCCCAAACCACACTGCGCATCATTGCAATAAAAATAAATGTTTATGCATATTAAAAAAGAAATCATTCTATCTATTCTAAAAATATTATACAAAATGATTTATAACATATCAGAAGAAAGTAAAATAATATCTTTATCCCAAACCACACTGCATCATTACAATAAAAATAAATTTTAATACGTATTAAAAAAAGAAATTATTCTATCTATTCTAAAAATATTATACAAAATTATTTATACATATCAAAGGAAAGTAAAATAATATTTTTTTATCCCAACACCACACTGTGCATCATTGCAATTAGAAATAAATTTTGTACACATATTAAAAAAGAAATTATTTTATCTAATTGATATCATTACGTCACGCTGAAAGCCACACATTGTCTCGCGGAGAAATTCACAAATAATTCGAGTCAAATTTTCATCCGAGTAATCACCGGAACATCCGCACGATTTGAGCGAGATTGTTTCGAATTATATGTCCGACTGCGAAAGGACTCGCATGATTCGAGAGGCGCGGTTCACCGGCTGTGCAAACCTGATGTAAAGCCATCGTATACGCACCGCGTATCTCGCTGGGTTACGCAGCTTCGAAAACGAACGTAACGGGCGAACTTTGCGCGTTTCCTTACTTTTACGTAACTTGCGATCTGTCTCGCACCCGCTCGAGTCTCCCACCCGGGTACAATTTCACCGGTGGTTTTGGTCATCGCCGTGTGGTCTGTCCTTTATAAGCGGACATCCCCGACGAACAAAACGCAGAATCGTAGACAGACAGTTCGACAGAACAGCACCCGCCAGTCGTCGCCGCGAATCTTTTTCCAAAGTCAATTGAGATTTAACGAGACAGAGTCCAAGATGCGCTCCCACACAATCGCTGTGAGTGATATCATTTTTAATATATATATATATATATATATATATATTATAATATACGTATTGTTTTCATCGGGCATTTAGATTTTCGGCTTTCTTTTTTCGTTGGTTTTTTTTGTGATCGCCATGCTTCTGACGCGTTTACAGAGCTGAGTGTTTATCGCGATTATTTTTTGTGTGCGAATTCTGTGATTAATTATTGAGATCATTTTCGAGAAACTCTCTTAAATTTTTTCGAAATTTTTCAAACCGTGATCTCGTAAAATTAAATAATTTGCGTATAATTCGGTGATATTTGAAATAAGGCAAATCAATATTAGTTAAATCTTAGCCGTGACCAAGTAAAATTTGGTGCCTTGTGCACATGTATTTAATTCTAACGGAAAAAATTTTAGTTTCGTTAGGATAACGCACTGTCATCCGCGATTTGGCTCTTATTACCTGTCTTACACTTTAAATCAATATTAGTTACTTTTTTCAAATATATTTTTTATATTATTGTATAGAAAAGTCTAAAAAAATCTCATTGAATTATTTGAGCTGAAAATATTTGAAAAAGCATATAGCATTTTTTACGTAAATAAAATCACGCGAATTTTTCTTGTAACATAAAAATTATTAAAAGAGAAAGAAAATGAAAAGCAGACCGACCATTGATCGAAATTCTTGAATTTAAATAAACTACGCTCGCCGCTTGATTAGAAGCATCGTACTTTTGCACTGCCGCCGTGTTTGTACAACAGTATGAAAGAACGGCAAGAATGGTGAAACGTGGATAAAAAAAGAAAAGAAAAATGCCGTGCATTTAAATGATCCCTCGGCGCGCAATGCACTTTCGACATTACAAGCAAACCGCAAATTCCCTCTCGTGTTACAGTTGCTCGTGTTCGGAATAATGGCTGTGGCTTTGGCGTCGCCGTTACCGGACGGTCATCATCAGTAAGTGTACTTCCTCTCAAAAATTATTCATTAGAATTATTTTTTATTAGATTAAGCTGTCTCATTAATATTGTATCGCTTTTTAAAAAATTATAATATATATACAATTCCAGACAGCACCAAGTCCAAAATTGACGCATAAGATATTATTAAGAAATCTTTAAGACAGTTTTAAGAAATCTTATAATATATATATTATCTAAAAGATATCTTAAAGATATCTTATGCGCCGATTTTGGATTTGGTGCTGTCTGCGATATGATAGACATAATTAGAGTACTAAAAATGAATATACATGGCTTGATGTAAACAATAATTATACTTCCTTCAGTAAACATGTCATCATCCATGTACCTTACAAGGTACACACGATTCATCATCATCACACGAAAAAAGTGCACATACCAGTGCATCACGTTGAGAAAGTAAGCGTTCCATATCCGGTTCCGGTGCATCATGTTGAAAAGGTACCTGTCCCAGTGCCTGTTCATCACGTTGAAAAGGTACCCGTACCTTACCCGGTTATAGAAAAGGTTCCTGTACCTGTTCATATACCCGTACATAAGGAGGAACACCACGGGGGTTGGTTTTAAAAGTAGCGCTGCATCTTTGCTTTAATCGTCTCTTAGGTTTGTATAATATTCCTTTTCTTAAACGAAGTTACGATTTAATACAAAACTAAAAGATAAAGCTAGTACAGCAATTGTTATAACCAATTTTTTAATGAATTTTTACTCTTATTGTATAATATTATAAAAAAATTTGATTCAGTGACTTTAAATTATTATTTTTCAGGTTATCATATATAAGGTGGAGTCTGAGTAAATAAAGTTATATAAAATTCTTCTCAATACGGATTTATTGATAAGAATTCTCATCGAATACAAATGAGAAATCGAGCAGTACAAATTACTCCAGCTGTCTGTATAGAATTTAAAGACTTACAATTAGTGTAAGAAAATCAAATACTCTGTATGCACGCGTGTATAATCAGAACAAATTAAGATACTTGTACATATTTACACTTTTTATTATTTTGTATAATAAACGTCTGATAAAAAGGATATCCCTCATTTGATATATTTATTTTTATCTCTGTTTTTATCCATTAATTGCACTTTAAAAAATTTTGCGTTTTAAACATCTTATAGATACATTGAGATATAATTGTTATCATTTTTTATTTAATCATGGATATATTTGTTTTAACACACAATACTATAAAATCATATCGCTTCTTCGGAAACGTGTTAGAAAAAGAAAAAGAGAGACAAAAATAATAAACACACATATATTTATTTTTAGGAACATTTCTTTATGCGCAAAAAACACAAGAGATTATAAACTAAATATTAGTTTATATAAATAGATAATGTATAACTTATTTTGCAAAATTAACAGTGTAAAATAACAAACAAACATTGTCAGGTAATCGTAATAAAATAACTTAATCATGAAACGAAATGATTTATCGATCATCACTCGTAATCATGATGCTCGTGATGATCCGATTTTTTTATGGGTATGTAAATCTTCTTCACATGCTTGTGATAATGCTTGTGGATATGATGTGGCACATGGATGATGAAGTGGGTGCTAAAAACAATTTTGTTTTTCTGAATGTTTTTTATCTCTCTATATGTATATACTATATTAATAAATTTAAGCTATATTTTATATCTTAAAAAAATATGTAAAAGGCAATAATTTAATGGCAAAGGGAAAAATTACTGTTCATGACCAGGATATGGCGCTGCTGATATCAATGCCACTGCGACAATTAGCAAAAAGAGTCTAAAACAAAGAAACTTACGTAAAATATATCATAAAAGATTCTGTGCTTGGATAATTCGAAGAGAAATTGCCGTCTTCCTATACATTAAACATTAATAGACATACATTTACGGTTTAATTCTCGGTCAAATTACAAGTAGATCATAACCTTGTCTTTCACGGTAATGTGATCGGAGAAAGTATGTCTTCGTATGCTGAGTTTGTTAGGAAATCAGTAGGGAAGCGGTAGTGATCGAAGCAGACGTAAAATTACAGTTATTAGATGAAAATAATGTTGTTAATAAATTGATCCTCTCGTGCGCGCACGCTAACGAAGCGGAATAATTTTATTTTTCCATATAGAAAGAATATCTTATGCTATTTTACTCTTAACAAATTTTCTCGTTAATTTACATTTTTAAATGTTGGAAAAATCAACTATACAATTTTCGCCAGATAATGTTATTAAAAAATAATAAAGGTTTATCATTTTTCGGATAATAATTATATGAAACGAAAACTTGTGTACCGGATATATAATTCTTATCTGAAAAATCTTTCCTCTGCAAAATAAGATTACAAAGTTAGTCCTTAAATAAAAGTAATAATAATTTGATAAGTCTCAAAATATCGCTGTTCGCTGCCGGATGTTCAATTATAAAATTAAAATATAATAAATAACACTGAACGAAATTCTCAATTTAAAGAGAATTTTTTTTTTAATTTTGATGAAATCTTTATGTTACATGAAAAAGTTAAAGCGAATCTTTGAAAGCATAAAGTCAACTTTTTTAAGAATTATTTGCACATCAATAAGATGTGAGAAGAGAGAAATAAAAATGTCAATCTTTTTGAACTATGCCCGCGAATCGCTTTATCTTGTACGTTCAAACTAACTAACATCACTCAACAAATTCACATCCATAATTTGTGATTGACACCCACATGTGTTCCAAGTCTGACCATGTTTACTCGATGTAGACACGTGATGGACGTTTAATTCCTCCGAGACTGCGACCGTATGATAAGGGTCTCTTCACGGCCAGTCTTATAAACAGAAACAGAATCAATGAACCGTGTATAACCGGAAACAGTTCCTGAGTGCACCACCCTGCCTCAAATCACTCTCACTATGATTTTACATAAAATGACGCGCGGTTTTATACACGTGCATTGTTGCAAGTGCAATTTTCCCGGACTTCCTATTACAACTTTATGCATCAGTTAGTGGACATTTGCCTTTCCTGAATGTGATACTCTCCTCCCCTTTGAATTATGTAATTCGGAAGTATCGATATACACAAAAAAAGGTTAAGCATAAGAAATTTAAGTTGGAAAAGGCGACAAGATTTCTCCTTCAAATGGAAATCACCAGATCATTTTTCAATTGCAAATTAAAGCAATATTTTATTCTTTGTAGATCATTAAAATGTAATAATATCAAGAATTAAGAAAAAGATAAAATATAGAAAAGAATAATATATATATAATTGTTAGGTATGTGATTAAATAATCTAATTTTATTAATATAAATTTGATCTTTAATAATCGCTTGTGGAAATAAAAGTAAATATATTTTTTGAATAACTCATACACTTTATATGAGAGTCATGCCTTGTTGCATTTTTATTTAATTCTCTCAGTTTTTGTCTCGCGGTCTTTGATTATACTTAATAACAGAGAGAGTTCTAAATAGTAAGGATGTATTTATTTTAAATTTTTTGCAAATTATTACAAAGGCTAATATATTCGTTTTATATGTATAGTGTTTCGCAGTATGTGTATGTACATGCATACGAGTGAAATCGGGTCTCGTTTATATGATTCGTTCTTTCACTGTCCATTTATACTTTCCTTTTCGAACTAATCCAACATCAACGAACCTTTACTATTCCATGAATGCGATTTATTATGACAGTTAAGAGTTATCTATGATTGAGTCACCAAACGAAATTAATACTAATCAAGGAAGTGAAAATTATATTCAATGTACACGTCACGGAATAAAATTACATCTTACAAATCAATGCAACTATTAACGCGGAAACGAGGATGAGTTGAATAAATTAAAATGTGCTTAATTTTCTTCTTGTTAATTATTATTGACATACTTTTTTTTAATAGACAAGAAGTTATATATATTTGCATTGACCTTATTTTTAAATAAAATATTTATTTTAATTACTAAAAAATGGCACGACATAGGTATATTTCAATATTAAAATAAATCCATGCAAAAATGATAAAAAGTATTTAGATTATGTACTAACAAAATATTTTTTATATTGATAATTTGTTTCAAAAGATATCACATGAATTTTCATTGATATCGATGCAAAGTGTTTTATATGAACGCCGTGTTTAACCATCAGAAATGCAAGCAAGTATTTCAGGTTGCATATTCTTAAACGTGAAAAACTTTGTTCATGCTGACTTTCCTAGACAAACTTATAGTTAAAGATCAATATATTTTATTTATTATAAAAAATTTTGCTTTAATTTTTCTCTTTAAAATTATACACTCAAAAAAAAATATTGAAAAATTCAGATTACATTTTTGAACGATAAAAAGATATAAATATATAAATATCATTATCGTTACATCAATACAGTTTATGTAAATACGTTCAATAAAATAATAAAAAATAGTTAATGAGGATGTCTCGTGTTTTTACATCATAAGATGCGTTATAAATGAGAACGTGAAAGATAATTCACGCACTAGCTAATCATAAGCTTTCTTCGCAAATCGCTTCCTGTGGTGCTTTTCACATCGTTTTGCATGATTAATGACCATGACAATATTAACGCTTAATGGACAAGTATTAATGTAAATATCAGGAATTAGTAAGGAAAAAATCGAAAAGTAAGTGAAAGTGAAAAATTTTCACATCTACATACATGTATGTACATTTTATATCGAACATTTTTAAATGCAATATTATTGACATAAACCACAAAGACAATTATTTTATCAATATATTGAAAAAAAAATTTTTTTCCAGAATCATTATTTCTATAAAATGTGAAATTTTATCAATTATATTAATGAAAACTAGAAAAACGAAAAACATACATTTACATCATTTTATTTTTATCGATATTAAAACTTATCTGATTAGATTTTTTTAAATATTTTTGCTCATTTACAAAAAAGTTTCTTATACTTTCGTGATTCGCAGATAGAATTACACATAATTGTGAAAAATTATACTATGAACAATTAATTAATATTCTATTGATACGGGAAGAGACAATGTATAGGTAATGTATTGTAGTATATTATAAAAACATATAAAAAAACTTTATTAAAAATAATATTATAATATAAAATGCTCTATTTACAAAACGTATTATATGTACAAACACAACATGTTGCTTTGAGTATGCACTTAGGTCGGGGTGAATCGCAATTGCGTTTATATGTGATACCAACCGCCAAGGTGCTGAACGAGGCACGTGAAGATCTAAAATTAAAGTGCGTGCCGGATTTAACAATGAGGTATAAAAATATATAAAACATGGTCGTGTAACAATGAATTATGGCGATATGCGCTCGATAGCTTTTATCACAAAATGATTTAAGTATTCTATAATCTTTCTTAGATCACTTGAGCTCTTAAATTGTTAATATCTCTAGTACTCTGACGTCATTTCTGAAATTGTCATCAACAATAAAATAGATAATTTTTAATATAATAAAATATAATATAAGACACTTGTGATATGACATAAATAAGAATATTTAAATCATATTTAAATAAAATTTTGTTCGTTTACTTCTGTAATTGTTTCTCGTTTTGTATCGTCATAAATTTGTCATTGTCATAAATCAGTCAAGTTAAATCAATGTTAATTAAAAATAAACTGTTTGCTGCTTTAATTTCTTTAAGTAATTTAAAAAAGATTGTCTACATGTCATATAACGTCAAATATATCAGTTGAGTCAAGTTTCCGTCCATTTAATAGAGAAATCTATAATATTAAAAAATATCTTAAAAACTTTAAATAAAGTTTTTTATCATATCTGTCTCAATATTTAAAAAAGTATCAATATGTGTATTTCTAATAATTCAATTTTTTTTCATGTCTCGTAGCTTTACGGAAGAATAGAAAATTTCACTTATACATACGTCAATTTTTTGTCGTTAAATTATAATTACTTCGTCGTCATTTTGTCCGTCACGTAAAAATCTTGCAAAATCAGTAAAATTGTTGCATTTGATACATTCTTCCATCAGTATATTATCTGTCAAAGATGAGATTAATATCTAAACAATGTCTGAATTTGAAAGAAATGTGAAGAAAGCTTATGAATAAATTTTGCAATTTTGTAAAGTAAGTTCAAAAATAATAAGAATATTTAAAATTATTTTTTGGCATGAAACAATTCTATCGGTGAAAACAAGTTTCAGTCATTGATTGTCGTTTAAAACAGTGTAAATCATGAGAAAGCATTTACACATTATCATGCGTCACACTTTTTGATTGTTACATCACACAATCAAAGTGACAATATTGTGATTATTATTAAAAGATATTCGCGTCTATATCGATCAATTGAAATGGATGTTAATATAAGAGGCTATAGGTGTTTCCAATGCACGCTTTGCGCAACATATTGGTTATAACGCGATCACTCTTATTTTTTTTTGTAACCGGTAAAACCACCACCATGGCCTCCGCTGTAACTATCGCCACCGCCACCGCTGTGGCCACTTGAATAAGAATCAAAGCCGCCGCCAGAACTGTAACTGCTTCCGCCATGGCCACTGAAAGTTATCACAAATTTAAAAAATCGATTATTTTTTACATTTCTGTTACAAATATCCCTTTGCATCGATCACAATTAATCTCTTGCAATGTGCTCCGATATTTACCTGCTACCGAAACTGGACGAAATACTGTTGCCGTAACTGCTGGATCCGTGATCACCGCCACCGAATCCACCGCCATAATCTCCAAGTCCACCGCCTCCATGACCACCTCCGAAACCGCCACCGTGTCCGCCACCGTGCCCACCACCATATCCGCCACCTCCTCCAAATCCACCCCCGTGACCGCCTCCAAAACCGCCGCCGCCGCCTCCGTGTCCTCCGTGTTCAATAATTAAACCACCTCCGCCGCCGCCATAACCGCCACCTCCATGTCCACCGCCACCTCCATGTCCACCGCCACCTCCGTGTCCACCGCCAAAGCCACCTCCTCCGCCATAACCACCTCCGTGTCCACCTCCGAAACCGCCGCCGCCGCCACCGTGTCCTCCGTGCTCGATGATAATGCCGCCGCCACCGCCGCCGCCATAACCACCGCCTCCGTGTCCGCCGCCTCCGTGTCCGCCACCGCCGCCGTAACCACCACCGCCTCCATGTCCGCCGCCAAATCCGCCACCACCGCCTCCGTGTCCTCCGTGTATGATAATACCACCGCCGCCGCCGCCACCGTATCCGCCACCTCCGTGTCCACCGCCTCCAAATCCACCACCCCCGTGTCCACCGCCTCCAAATCCACCGCCTCCGTGTCCGCCGCCTCCGTGTCCGCCGCCGCCGCCGTGTTCATCGTCTTCTATAATTATACCGCCGCCACCCCCGCCGTATCCACCGCCGCCATGACCACCTCCAAAACCGCCGCCGCCGCCAAAACCACCCCCGCCGCCATAACCACCTCCGCCGCCGTGGCCGCCACCGTGGTCTATGATAATGTCGCCACCTAAAAAAAATTATCTTGACATTTTATTTGAAATTTTGACTGTAAATTTTCTCATTGAAGGAGATATGAGATATATTTATTTAATTATCCGCGAGTATGTTCTGGAAATATTAACGTAGATCCTCTCGAAATTAATTTTTTAAATTACACTTGAGGCATCTTTAACAACTGATTTAGCTCGAGTTAGAAAATTCACCGTTTAATTTCTAGCATTATCACATTTTAGTTTTATTGTAATAAAATTAATACGATTGTGCCTAGTTATTTTTTTTACAATTTTTTAATAACGCATTTTTGCGCTAAATAAAACATTTTTATCGTCAGAAATTAATTTTATTAAAAAACCTGTATGTGTGAGATTTAATAAAGAAAAATTTTATAAAAAAGAGATAATATAAAATTATAATATTTTTAACATAATTTGTTCTTACCTCCGCTGATATCGCCATGGCCACCTCCGAAACCTCCACCGTGACCACCTCCGAAACCACCCCCGAATCCACCACCACCTCCATAACCTCCTCCTCCTCCGTGACCGCCGCCAAAACCTCCGCCGTGGTCATCCCCGAAACCACCTCCTATGTCACCTCCAGGACCGCTGATATCGTGATGATCATCACCGCCGCCTCCACCACCGTGACCACCACCGCCTCCACCACCGTAACCACCACCGCCTCCTCCGTGATCCTCGTGTTTGTCATGGTCCAATGGCAGGTGTATCCTTATGTGAACGCTGAAATATGAATAGCATGCTTAAATCGGGAAACGGTGCGTTGCTACTTAACACACTTCTCTTAAGATGTTGATTAATTATGGATGCAAAAAAAATATATTGGTTCTTTCATACGATTTTATGATGACGATGAATTAATTATATCCCGATCGTTAAATTGATTACTCATGATACGTTTTTCAACAGAATATAATAATGCAATTTATAGCGTAATAAAAATTTATATATACATTACTTTTTATGAATAATAATTATACTTGCCGCAAGAGAAAGGAAATTTTCTATTTTAAATATTTTTACGAAGTATTGCATCCTTTATCAACTAACACGGTGATATAATCAGGCTAATAAATTTTTATATAATTGAAACTCACTGTTCATTTCCGAAGGTTGCAAAACCTATTGATAGGATACTTGCAAGGATGAGAGCCTTTATCTGCAATTAGATGAATCTTCTTAATAATTTATAAATTTTTCAAATGTACGTAATAATTCAAGAAAATAAATATGTTTTTTTTGCCTTCTTGATTTTCTTGTATTACATACAAATTGTTTAACTACTATATTTACATTAAGTATCCTTAAAAAAGAAAATTGAAATAATTGTGTGCATAATTTTCATATCGATACTGTCTGATACTGATGATATAAAGGCCAATGAATAAACCAAAATAACAGAATTTTAATCTATAATCACGAAACTGTCATTTAAATGCACTGTAAAAAATATGTAAAACTACATAAATAATAAATGTAAAATTACACAATAAATAATGAAACCGTATACATTTTCATTCTTTATCGTGTAATTTAACATATTCATTATTCATGTAATTTTACATATTTTTTATTGTACGATCACGGATTTTAAAAAATCCACTCTACGCAAAACCATCTCGATGTCTTGCGAAATCTCTACTCCTTCAATTTTTCAACGGTTTCAATTTTCCGTCCGTTTTTTTTTTCCTTACGATGTATTTGAGTCCCATGCTGGTATCCAGGACGCGACCGGTCGTCCGGATCCTTTTCCCTGCCTCTTATTTCACGCACAGCTCACCACGGCGATCAGGCACACACTGTCATACGCTTGCGGTCGAGGTCTTACCTATATATATACCGGACGGGAGGAAATACCGGAAGAAGGGGGTGGGGATAAAAACGAAGAGGTTCGTACAGGTACCACCGGATGGGTATACCTGTTGGGGAAGTGCTCCGAAAGGCATCGAACGGGCGAAACTGGTGGGCGCATACCTCTTACCACGTACTCCGGATACATATACTCAACGGAGATGATGTTCGATGTATGTATGTACGTACGTACGTATATTGTAAATGCATGTAACGCGTATTCTTATGAACGGGAATGGCCGTGACCCACACACACAGCTACTGTTCTAGAGAAATTCGCGCCTGTGCTTTCTCAATTTTGCCAACATATGTATACGCATGGACGATACATGTATCGATATTCGACATCGATATAGCCTGATCGCCGCTGGCTACATTTTCGATAATACCGAGGCATATTCTGCAATTAACGAAGCGAAATTTAAAATTCAATTCTGTAGCAAATTAAAAAGGATTTTTGTGAAGAGAAATATAGATCTCTATCAACTTAATCTAATATTATTTTGACAACTCTTGATTAATCCGTAAATTGACGTCTTTACTAATGATAACTCAGCGTGGATTAATATTTTATATCTTGTATTATTTGTATAAGAATTCCTTTGTAGCAACGGTGATGGTTTTTTGTAGGCGCGTTTCATTGACAGATTGGTTTATTTTACGGCACACGGATATGTGAGCGAATATAAATAAACCTAAATATCGAATGTACACTATATAGCTACTGTCAATTAAACTACACTTTCCCTGATTTCCACAATAAAATGAAGTAGAAAACACCACATATATCTCTTTGGGGTCTTTGCCCCAATATTTCAAACATAAAAGAAGTGAATGTTTATAACGCCGTATATGAAAATATTTTCACATACATTTATTACATATAAAATATACATTTTCTTAATTTTTATTTGCAAATTTACTTTTGTCTTTGATGAGACTTCATACGTATAGGTATTGATATTATTTTAAATAATAAAAAAGTATTAATTACATAAAGAATAAGAATAATTCTAGGTTTTTTTTGAAGAAAAATATATTTCTTTACAAAGTATTTCTAATTTATTTAATAATATAATTTTATGCATATATATTAATGCGGTAATATTAATATATGTACATGGCATTAATTCAATGTTAATACTTAACGCGCATTGGAAATGTTAATATGCACGAAAGATTAAATCGCATCCGATCAAATCAAACAAGTTCTATTGATCGCGGATATTCAATACAAATTAATTTGATCATACGCGTGTCAAATTATAAATAGATGGACGCAAAAACATTGTAAATTCTAAGAGCAGCGTTCATTAATCTATTGTACCTATTCCCTAATCAAAATTACTTGATCTCCAGAAGGAAAATCTTCTTCCTGAAAAGCTATTGTTTAGACAGAGTCAAAACAAGAGCAATTTTATAATGAACGTATAAATCTTGCTAATTAAAGGAATTCTGACAGAATATTGTCTTTGATGAGAAATGTTGTGTGAGTAAAAGGAACGACAAGTATTTTATATTCTCTTCATGATCTGTATCAAATGCATGTTCATGATGCAGTAGTATTTAAAATGCAAGTTGATATAATTTAAGTAGAACAAATGAATTAAATCGATGAATTAAATAATTATTAAAATATATACAATAATAATATATAATTTAAACTGTTGCGTGTACTTAATTTTTATATTGAAAAAAATTCAACGGTTTTAGAATATGATAAATATTTGTCAAATAAATTTTTTGTTAATTTGATTTCTAAAATTTTTCATTTCGTTTAGAAACTCAAACTCGTTAAAAAAATTATAGCGAAACGTAATAAATATTACTCTTCTACATGAAATATCTATAGTAGTAGCAGTTGCAAAAATTTGTTACATTGCTCTCTCTCACCTCTCCCATATAAATTCCTCTCTTGCACAGAAAAACAGCTTTCTTTACAAGTTTAAGTTTCCTCTTTTGAACGAATCCAATGACGAGGTGATTGAACATCTGTTTTGATTGAAAGAAGTTTATTTCCTTTCTGTATTAGTAATATATTACAAAATAAGTACGTGAAATAGATTGAAATGATAATCGATCATTTGTAAATAAATTTCAAAACTGCATTTACACAAATTAAAATTTTTAATCATTATTTTAATTATTATCTTAATCCGTGATAAATACAAACATTTTGAAAAGGTATCTCTCTTCTTATCATCTAACTGCTGTTAAACAACAAAACATTTTGCAAATAAATTTTTATATTTAATTATAAGATATAAAAATTAAATGTTTGTAAATAATATTGAATTTTGTTTTACGTCAACAATAATTTCTTTCCAATTTATAATTTATCACAATCTCTCTATCTTTCAAAAATTTCTTTTCTATCTCAATAATTAATTAGATCTAAAATATGAAAAAAAGGATTCGCGAAGAGTTTATTGCACTTGGGATTAATAAGAATTCGTGAAAACAATGGAAACAACAAATCTCGAGCTAATTTATAAGCTTCTACTTTCTCAAATCCTTATACTTCATTGCAGCTGAATAGCATTTTAGTAATATGTGTATGTGAGTTTAGCGATTCCATTACATTCACACGTAAAACAATAAAAGATCAAGCATATTTGAATAACTTGCTAGATGCAATCGGTGGGAGATCTTTGTCGATGCAACCATGTGAAAGCACTGAATGACGATTTGCCTCATACTTTTTAATCATGTTAATTATCGCGTAGGAGTCTCTACTGTCCTAAATATATAGACCATAAAAAAGCTGCGTTTTCTCTGAAAAATTTCTTATTTATTTCAAATAGATTTTCTTTTGATCAAAAAATATTGGAAACTAAGAGCTTTTAAATCGAAATCTATATTGAAAAAATTAAAGTAAAACTTTAATAATATACAAATAGATAGAACATTATCCTTTAATCCATTTCAAATTATATTATTAAATTTGTTAATTTTAAACGTATAAAGAAATATGTACAAAAATGTTATATTTTATATTTTAACATGGTAGAATAAAAAAAAATTAAAATATTGTTTTATATCATTAATTTATTTTCAATTCTTAAATTATTAAGAGTCAACATTAAAATTAATGATATTAAATTTGTTAAATTTAAAGATATAAAGAAATATATGCGAAAATGTTATATTTTATATTTTAACGTAGAATTAAAAATTGTTTAGATGCAAATGTGCATTACCTAATTAAAAAAAAAAATAATTAAAATATTATTTTCTATATATATGATTAATTTATTTTCAATTCTCAAATTGTTAACGAGTCAACATTAAAAATTAAGAACAAATGCAACGCATAAATAATATTTACTTTCACTGGAGAAGAATCGCTATTAAGGAAAAAATTCCTAGGTGAGATGACCTGCGATCCTAGATATTTAACTCGCACGTCGCGCGATTCTGCATCCGCAAATAATAATACCTACATCTACCTCGTATAGGATGTTAATGGATATTGTACACACACACACACACACATACACATACGGTTTTCTCGCGCTCATAGACACGTCGTCGTCATCGTGCAACAAAATAGAAAGTAGCCAGGAAGACACGGGAGGCAGGCAGACAGGATAGGGCCCAGAGAAAGGGAGAGTGAGTGAAAAGAAAAGGGTGAGAGAGCGAGCGAGGAGAACGGAAACGCGGTGAGAAAGACACGGTCGTTCGAGCCGGCGAATAATCGTGAAAGGCTCTACCGAGCCTGCATTGTGTATACGTACACCGCTCCTTATCCTTTCACTCTTTTCCCTTATCGTATGTGTGTTTCCAGTCTGTAAGGTATAAATTCCGCCGCCCGATGCGGGCTTCCGTTTTCAACGAATCGCCTATGTTCGGCCTTGATTCCCCTGTCTAGCAGATCTGACATTGACACGGTATATCTCCGTTATATCACTCGTCAACGTTAACGTCAGCGAGACTCGTATAGGTATACTTTTTTTTTTTTTTTTAGCGAGATATGACGTTTCTAACGATATATAGAGGGAACGTTCAACTACGCTCTACAATCTTAATGGAGCTCCAATTTTTAATTAGATAGACTTTTTAGTAGAGCGAGCCAGATTAATTGCAAAGAGTAATTGCAGAGTTTTTTCGTTTCCGATGGTATCAAGATATTCTGAAGTCGCGCGCGATATCAATCTCTGGAATTTTAATTTATACCCAGAAACTTGGAAAAGTCATTAAGGTATCTTAATGCGCAGAAGACATCATTATTCGACTAACAGATTACTCTTAGAATAATATAAATGAGTATAATGATGTGATATTAGTTGAATAATAAATATATATGGCAGATTTTATATATATCTCTTTTTCTTCTCTCTCAAATTTATTATCATAAATAATGTCTGTCGTGATATGTATTTGACATTAGCCTAAAAATAACAATAATGTTTGAATCGTATGGATAGGAATATAATACAACAAGAATGTTTTCTCATTATTACGCTTTGTAAAACGTTTCTCTCACACTCGACAGCATAAAGATAAAACACCGACAATTATTTCATTTTTTCTTCAAATTTTCTAAAATTTCTATTGTCATGCAACAAATAATCAAATATCACTCTTTTCGTTTACATAGGACGATTCACCCGTATTTTTCTAATAAATATATTCACGAATAAATTGGTATTCTTACATCATCGTTACATCCGTACAGGCGAGATTTAATATTAACACGTTTGAGGAACTATATTATTGCAAAAAATGTATGTTACATCTGAATTTGTACACTGAAACAAATTTATTGAATTCGAATAAATATTTATTTCAATACTGTCTAATAAATTATTTTTTTGAAACGATATTAATTAGATGTGAAAAATATTTATTTGTTTCAAATAAATAATTTATTACGCAATATTGAAATAAATATTTATTCGAATTCAATAAATTTGTTTTCAGTGTGTAATGCACACTGGGAGGGATTTAATTGTTTATTTCTTTTTCTTTTATTTCAGAAAAATGCTGGTAGTCGTATCTGTTTGAAAGACACAATTTGATGTGAAAAATATTTGATATCAAAAAATCCTTTTCAAAACAGATAAAAAAATTTTTATTTGTTTCAAATAAATGATTTATTGGGCAGTATCGAAATATTTATTTGTTTCAAATAAATGATTTATTAGGCAGTATTGAAAGAAATATTTATTAATTTAATCTTTTTTTTTTCAGTGTACTCTTGTATGAATATTACATAGATCTGATCACATGACTATTTGTATCGCGAGCTTCTTCTTAGCGCGCGAGATTGATATTAACACATTTGAAGTATATTATTGCAATAAGTTTATGTTACATCTCGAATATTAAATGGCACTCCAACTCTAATCGTATCGCTTCCTCTTAAAGTGCAGCTGTGCATATCTTAAGATGCACAGCTGTAAGATCTTCAGCGATGCGAGTCGATGGACGACACTCGTTCCTTTCACATGCTTCCGCGAGAAACTACCGGTGAAGGTGAACCGAATGACCTTACGTTACAGTCAAGATCAAGATCAGCCTTTCGCGGTCGAGGTATTAAAACGCTTTGCGGTATCGTGCAATTAAACGTAACGTGATCAAATAGACGAGTAGGCGTTGAGCGAACATTTATTACATCCCATCTCAGCTGTTATTTCTCCAAGAAATCTTGATATAATTTATTAACAAATAATTTATTGACTTTTTGTCGTCAAGTATACATCGGATTAATTGTGATTCATTCTCTCTCATGTTTTTGCATTGAGATCCACCGATCAAATAATCAATAATTACGAATGATGGAATAAATAATAAATGATTCTTATTAAATATTTTTGCACTTTGAAAAATATTCATGTAAAATTTCCTCCTGGAAAAATTTTCACAATCTATATATATATATATATATATATATTTGTCAGCAATATCGAGTAGAATGATTGCAATATTTACAACATACAAATTAATCTGAACAAATTCGAAACAAATAAAAATTGTAGAATTTATCGAAGCTTCGAAATTAGTCTGCGACTGAACAAAATTTAAAAATAAAATGAAAATAAAAGATAATCCATCGCGCGATTTATTATAAAATATTGTTAACCAAATTTTTCGCTATTCTGTACATACACTCGAAACTCGGTAATCGTATCAGTAGCAAAAAGCGCATTCTCGAGCAATTAACTCGTAAGAAGCCCATCTGTCTCGTTTATGGTTGACATCGATTCTCGTCCCTCTTTCGAGCCCTTTCACTTTCTCTCTTCTTCAATCGATTCCCTTCCCTTTTTGCGGATTACACAGAGCGGCATCTATCCAGCGCACACATGAGATCATCTCGCGTCTCGTTGTTGAAGAACGTTGCTTTCTCGACTTTCAAACGTTCAATCGGTCATCGGTCTTCCAGTGAAAGTAACTGGAACGAGAGAGGATGCAATCTTCGCGGGTGACTATAATCTAGCACTCTCCTCCGACAGTCGGGTAAGTCGGCTAGTTTTTTTTCTTTTTTTTTACAGACGCCTGCATGACCGCTCGACCGTGGAAATGTTGGAATAATGCGCGATTTCCGTCTCGTCAGATTTAACAATCATCGTCAGAATTAACAATCATTACCCGCGAGTTGCTAGTTATTAAAAAAAAATTATGACAATTTGTTCGAATAAAATCGAATAAAATTATAATTTGTTAATGTCAAATTTGTGGTAATTAAAAGGGAATATTATGTTTCTGCTCATTTTATCGAAATAATTATTTAATTACTTTTCATTATTTAATATGATTTCTTTATCTAATAAACTGTCATATTCATTACTTGAATAATTACAGAATAATAAAATTTGCAATGAATAACTCGTTTGCATAATTGACTTGTTAAATTTCATTCAGGAAGGATAAGAGCTCTCATATATTTCTTTTTATACATTTTGCACATATATTTTGTGTATAATATTTCATACTTAAATAATTAAATATAATGCACAGTATACATTATGATGATATATCGGAATGAATATTCCTCGTCCTTTATACAACGGAGCAAGTCAAATGTGTACATACAAATAAATTTAAATACCATTCCGTTTCTGAAATAATTAAAGTATCTAATTAGTATGCAACATGTAAAAACCTTATCGCTCTAGAATTTAGTTATATACATATATAAATTGATTTTTTCGTAACTTTTTCTTGTGTTTATCTTTAGAGAAACTTGTTAATTGCGATATACTAAATACGCGTCCATAATTTTTATAAGAATAATAATCTTGTATAAGTCCCTGAAATAGTTTTAATATCATTTATATTCATGCAATCTTAAGGATGAGAGAGATTATTATCATACTATTACGCATAAAAGACTTAGATAAAAATGCTCCATGTCATCTATTTTTCATATTCAAATTTCTAAATTTTCGTGCAAATCACAGATTTCATAAATTTAAAATGAATAAATTTAAAATTGACATTTACCAAAAAATTTAATGAAAAGCTATTATTTATTATTATTCAATAAATATTTTAATTTGATATGTAATGTTAATTTTTGGCTGCAACGAAGGTAATTTCTATTACACAAAATATAAAAAAAATAAAACATTTATTAATTCCGACATAGAGACATTTGAGGACCCAAAATTGCAAAAAGTTGTAACATTATAAAATAGAAGAGATATTCTTCCAGAGTTTTCAAAAATTACCAGTGCTCATCATCATCATATATCAACTACCTTAAATAGTATTATAAATAAAATAGTATAAATAATCCAGAAATATAAATCAGGTAGACAAACTAATCGACGAAACTCATCCGAGACATCTATAATATTTAACAAATGCAACACATGCATCGCATTTTATTTCTGCAAAAAAAAAAGAAAACAAAATTTGTTAAAGTATTAGAAAATATTATTGTAATAGATTTTGCAAATTTTTTTCGCGCTTAATAATTTGACAATTGTTTGATGTCATCAATTTCTATTTTATATATACGTTATATTCTCTGAACAGATGGAAAGGCTTCAGAATAAAATTTTCGTATGATTAATACATCGTTAATCGATCGATCAATCTTGATGCAAAAACACGAGGGAATGAATGACAATTAATCCGAGAATATCAAGACAGCAAATAAGATTTGAAAAAGATTCTAAAGTCACACCGCATCTGTACTCGAGCGTACCAGGGATTTGAAATTTCCCGCAAGTTCAGATCTCTCGATATCTCGAACTCGAAATGGTTTGAAAATTTGGATGACGTAGAATTCCATCTAAATTGCCCTATCCGTGAACACTCCTGGTGAATCCCGCTCCCAGGGGCAGATTTACATTCGCTCCAAAGGGCAGCTGCTGCTGATACGCGGCGTGAATCGGCATCGTCCTGAAGTCGTGGGTCGTCTGGTCCCCGTGGTCCTCGCGCACCGCGTAGCCTTGCTTCGGCTGAGCGAAGCTGGCGAACCAATCGGTCGGGCCGGCGAAGGTCGCGGAACCTGGCAGACCGGCGGTCGAAAAGCCGCCGACCTGCAGCTGCTGGTGATACGTCGGCAGTCCGGTGCTCGCCGCGAAGCTGGGCGTCTGATCGGTCAACACGCTCGGCCAGGTCTTGGTGAGCTCCTCCAACTTCTTCTGGTACTCGTCCAGGGACACGGTGTCTCGCAGGACGATCCCGTTCTTGTTCCCGCCGATGGTGGCCGACGGGATACCGGCCGGCAGTATAACGGCACCCTGGGCACCGCCCACGGACGTGGTCACGTGGGTGTATGGGGTCGGTGAGGTGTCCTTGGTGAGCATCTCGGCGCTCTTGATTATCGCGTCCTTGTTTATGACGGTGCTGAGGGCCTGCTGATTCCTCAGGCTGAGATCCTTCTCGATGGAACGCGCGCTGTAGTATTTGCTCGCGCTGTCTTTTAAATTCTCATGCATCTCTCTGGCGGCATTGTCCATGTCGGAGAAGTACGAGTCCACTTGCGGACTTTCGTAGGAATGCGCCGAAGCAGCGGCCGCGTAATCCTGACCTACCGACGCGATACCGGTCGGCGGATAGCTCGGTTGGCGCGTGTAAGCGCCGGCGTACCTGGTGAAAAAAGAACGAAAACGTGTTAGGAAAAGATATGGAAAGTAGGATAGATAGTATTGGTAATCGGCAGAGTTGGGTAATAATTTTATCTATTAGTTATTTTTGACCTTAAACTTATTCACTTTTTTCCCAAGTTAAATTTCTTTTATCTCTGAATACCAATATTGTTTTTTTATAAGTTATACATTTTTAAAATAAAGTATTATTAATTTTTATGTTTACTTGTCATTAATTGTAATTACCAAAAATATATATTTTTATATAAAAATTAATTTTTTTATTTGTTATTATAAATTTTTTAAAAAATTAACAAACAAAATTCTAATTTATTATAAATAATGTTTTTAAAAATTAACTTTTGAGATTTAACTTTAGTTAATTTCATCTTAACTTTAACTCAGCTAATTTTTTTGTTCATGCAACTTTTAATTTAACTAAATTAATTTTATAAGCAACTAACAATAACTTTAACTTAACTTAGTTTTAAAAAATCATTAATCTTACCCAACTCTGGTAATCAAATATTAATTGATTTTTTTAAGTACGTGGGGGAGATTTTCTCTTAGAATTTTTATTGTGAAAATCATAGTAATCGTGGGACAATATATGGTATTAGAAGAATTTTGTAAGAGTTTCTCTGATTAATAAGAAATATTAATATGTACATAGTAAAATTAATCGAACATATTTTATATTTTATTGTGATAGATATTAATATTTTTATTCTGATAAATATTAATCAAGAAAACTCTTATAAATTTCTTCCAATACCATATTGTTATAGATTCTAAGAAAAAATTCTCTCTATGTATAAATGTATGTATAATTTTTATTAAAATCATTAATTTTGTTAATTTATATTTTGAGTGAAGCTTTATTTTATATAAATTTCAGACTATTTCTTTTTTTATCAATTTAAAAATACAGAGAATATATTCTTGTAAAATCTAATATATAATAATTTTGCAAAAAAATACTTTTATTACTTTGACGTTACGTTAGAAGAAAAAAAAATAAAATTATAGAGAGAGAAGAGAAAGAGAGCTCGATATAGAAAAATAAAAAATGAAGGCAAATAATTGAAAAAAAGATTACCTTTCATGCATAAATGGTAAATTGCTGCCCTTGACATTATACGGGATATATGGTTTGCCAAAAGTGGTGTGACTGGCGTCTTTACCTAACGGTAGATGTACATGATTCACAGATTCATAACCTTGATCAAAGTTGTCACTCGGGGGATATGGTGAGAATGGCTTTTTGTTATAGTAAGGATTACTATAGGGCGGGTAACGATAATCGTTACTTCCGTAATTACTTGCGTAATATTTTTTGTAAGGTGGTCGCCATGCTGGACTTCGTCGTGTCTTTCGAACAGGTACGACTACCAGCACTTTTCTGAAATAAAAGAAAAAGAAATAAACAATTAAACCCCTCTCAGTATCATATATAATATATATTAAATATATCAAAAAAATTTTAATATAAATAAGAAATAGATTTCCAAATTTTTTTCAGAGTTAAACCACATGTAAAGAATTAAATCTAATTACATAATATTATTATTTATGAATTTTGAGATATGCATTACACACTGAAAAAAATTTATTGAATTTGAATAAATATTTATTTCAATATTGCGTAATAACTTATTTATTTAAAACAAATAAATATTTATCTGTTTTGAAAAAATTTTCAAATAAATATTTTTCACATTAAATCAATATTATTAACTTCAAATAAATAATTTATTAGGCAGTATTATTGAAATAAATATTTATTCAAATTCAATAAATTTTTTTCAGTGCATAAATGCGCGTAGAATATTATAAAATAAATATACTTAGTACGTGCAATATTATATGCTTGTACTACTACTACAAGAAAGTTCCAGAGTAGCGCTTATTCTTATTAATTTGCATGTGATCCACTTTTATATCTTCATCTATGGTTTTTCACTTTCTATTAAAAAGAACTAATTCGAAAATTATCGATACGGCTATTTCTGTAAACGAAATTTTTTCATACAGTCGACAAAGTTGCTATAGAGTTGCAAGAAATGATCGTACTTTCACACATTTTAAATTTTCGCAAAAACTGGATGATCCAGATTCCGCGGTATTCATGTTCTACTTTGACGATTCTGCTTAAGGGAAAAAAGCCGTCATAGACGTTAGAGACGAGTGAAAGAAGTCTTGTTTTTGCAATTTTACGAGAGATCCCTTGCACGTTGCATGAGTTCATATATTATTGATTGATACTCAATATTTTATGATCTTTTATTAATCTTCCAATTACACTAAGAAAAACAGATTTGTTAATTTGACTGAACCTTTCCATTAAATTACTATTTTGTGAATTGAAAATATATTAATATTTAAGTCAAATATTTGTTTTGTTTGATTTAATGTGTTATATTTATAATTTAAATATTTGTATATATTTAATTAATAAAATAATATTTAGTTGAAAGGTTTAGTCAAGTTAACATTTTCTTTTTTCAGTGTTGAATTAGTCTTATTATAACTAGATTTTTTGTCATCGATAAAAGGTATGTTGATTAATTTTTTATTAATATTATATTGACTATTATTACAAAGACGATTTGTATTTACCAGGATTGAGTAATAACTAGTTAATTAATTAAAAGTTAAAAAGTTAATAACTTTTAACTTAGCTTAGTTAATTTAAAATGTATTAATTTTTAACCTTAATTAGTTATTTTTGACTTTAAACTTATTAACTTTTTTCCTAAATTAATTTTTTTTATCTCTAAATACCATTATTATTTTTTCTAAGTTATATAAATGTATTATTTTAAATTAAAGTATTATTAATTTTTATGTTTATTTGTCATCAATTATAATTACCAAAAAATATAATTCTATATATAAAAATCAAATTTTCTTTGGTATTTGTTATTATATGTTTTAAAAGAATTAACAAACAAAATTCTAATTTAATATAAATAATATTTTGAAAAATTAATTTTTGATTTAACTTTAGTTAATTGAATCTTAATTGAATCTTAATCTAATTTTTTCTTCATAAAACTTTGAACTTAATGAAATTAATTTTATAAGCAACTAACTTTAACTTACCTTAGTTTCAAAAAATCATTAACTTACCCGACCTTGGTGTTTACAAACCGCCTTGATTAAAAAAAGGGGTGATTATGAATCATGAACTTTCCATAGTCTTGTAACACATAAAATCTCCTATTTTTTCACTTAAAACATCATTTACGAAGACTTAAATAGCCAGCAACTTTCGACCGTTCTAGTGCTGATCTAATGTACTCACGTAGCCTTAATTAAGAACAGCTCGGGTACTCACGCGTGAATGAAAAGAGGCTCGCTGATCGCCAGCAGTAGAACGCAGAGGGCCTGTGAACATTAATTGCTGATTAGCACGCGTTTAAATGGTAACAAGCCTACAAACGACCAAGTGCACAGACCGCTTATCGCGTTGACAGACTTTCACGTGCATAAACAGAAAGAGAGAATTACGCGTGTCTCACGTTAAGACACGCAATCCCGTTACGCTGCAGTTATTAGTGTTTGATGCAATTATACCAAAATCACAGAGAGGTTGCAATAACTCGTCATCCCTTCTATTGTAGTTTCACTGATAAGCGTGATGAAAACTTTCACACGATGAAAGTCCATATACATATATCCGAACTACATTTTTCCAAGTCGAGCAGTTTTCAAAAGTTCATTTGAATTTCAGGATTCAAATCAATTTCTTGCTTTTGGTAGATTATTATTTACACGCAATCATTCAAAGTTATACTCTTCGTTTATTTCTTATTGTTCAATATATGCAAACAAAAATTATTTTGTGTGTCTATAAGAATTAATATTTAAAAATATATTATGTGTTTTTATATTGTCATTACATTATTAACAACTTTATTCAATTATTTATTTTTATTTATTTATTACAAGATTGAAGGGATAATTCATTAACAAATAAGTTGCAAGATATTTCGCTAAATTAACGAAGTAGATATAAATACGTAGATTGCATTTTTCACGATAATTTTCTGTCTTTGCTTCCTTCTTCATACATAATAATCACAAAAAATATATTTATTCATAAATTAGTCAATTTGGAATATTATTAATTAATAATTTAATATAAATTATATAAAAATCGATTCTTTTTTCTACCGCACACTATTATGGTATACTCTAAATAAATACAGGTCCAATAAATTATTATTAAATAAATTAAATAATAATTATTATTAATTCTCTTATTAATAACACAATAACAAAATAAATAAAAATTTCTATAGATTATAAATTCCCCCCACACGTGTCACATCTATGCAAGGTGTAAAAAATATAATCTAATTTCAAAAAATGTTCATTCTTGTTCTTCTTTAATGAGCAAAAATCATGAAATAAAAACCCGTCAAAATCGTTCGGAGATCTCACACTGAAAAAAAATTTAATTAATTCTTATATTTAGTCAAATAAATCATTGATTAGAAACTAATAATATTTATTTAATAATATTTATTTTATTTAATAATACTTCAAATATTGATTTGACATATAAGAAAATTCTTTTAAAATATTGATTTGTTTCAAATAAATGATTCGTTTGACAGTATTGAGCAAAATATTTGTTTTTTCAAGAAGAAGAGTTTTTCGAGACTCACCGAATACCGCATCCTGCCGGACCCTGAAATGATCTCGCGTTGTTCGCCAAGCTCGCCCTCGCCGCACCTGTCCTAACCGAACCGAGAAGGTTCCCCGGGTCCGAAGATTCGACGCGCTCGTCGCACTGCGGACGGTCCAGATGGTATTGCGGCTACCCGCGCTACTCCTCTTCTCTTTTATACAAGATAAAAAGAGCATAGACTCGCGCGCGAGTCCGCTCGCGATCGCCTCCCACCGTTGAAATGCGTGCACCGGATCGCTAGACGGACGCGTGGAAATGGAAAACGAGCAGGGCAGAGTCTCCTCTCCGCGAAATACGGGGCGAGTCGTGTCGCCGATTTTTGTCCACGGAGAAATCGACGCTTTCTTCGTCGAGACGGTGACGGACAAGGGCGTATTCCTTCGAGATCATCCGCCGGATATCTAGTGATGAGTCCGGTCTGGTCTCTCTTTCTCTCTCTCGCGAAATCAAAATAAAATGACCATTAGAGAGATGCGGACGTATAGCGTGCTGGATGGAGAATCAATCTAACGAAAGTTAGCCGATAGCTATCGACAGAAAGTGGAGGTAGCTTTCTTTTATATATATTAATTAATTATTATATGCAATAATTAAATGGAAATCAAAAAAGTAACATACAAGGCGTGCGTGCGATACAGATGTTTTTATATTAATCAATTAGGCTAAAAACGTGCTTGGGCGTTCGAAGGGAATCAGGAAAAAATTCGGCATTTTTTTTTTTCAATTAAAAAGAAAACCAAGTTGTGCAGCCTTGTTGATCTCTGACTAATTTTTGAATCTCGCGCCCTTGGCGCAAATCTCTCGGGTCAAATGAAATTGATATTTTATTAATCGCTATTTTCCGCGAAGGATAAGGATATGTCTATGCATCTGAAAGCCGCACCCAACATTTGCTTTCCAAAATGCGAATAACAAGAGAATGTAAGTGCAATAGGATCGCACGGAAAGTGTTCTACATTTCACGAGCGAACCTGCGACACGATCGATTCGCTTGATTTAATATCCGATTCCTTTGTGGCATTTTTTACGCCGAAATGAAACGAATCTCTGCAACAGAATCACAATACGAATATTGATAAATTGTTGTTAATCGCATTCAATTATTCGTAGATCGATATAAAAAAGAATGTTATATAAGCAATCCAAATAAATGGCGAGAGAAAGAAAGAAAGCAGCTCGTTATTAATACTTTGACGTGTCATTGGCAGTAAACGCTTGAATTATCGGCTCTTGGTCCGACACAAAAACTTTCTTCAAACTAATTATTCACGGAGTGATATCAAAGAAAGAAAGAACGCGATTTAATTGCAAATTGCGAGCGCGATCGAAAGTTCAAATTATTGTATATTCGTGACAAAATTGTCTTGGACACAAATTGTTCTTTCCGCAAATTATCATTCGTCTCGAATAAAAGATGAGATCGCGGAATATGCGGATATATTACGGCGGTTTCTCCTTCGATAATAACGATTCTCGTAATCCTGGGCGGTTTTTTTTTTTTTTTTTTTTATCTCTCTTGAGCAGAAAAATTTCACTGAGAACAGGCTATTTCGCGCAATTTCATATTGTTGCCGTTACGGTCCACATATACAAATCCTTTCTCGGATACCGACGAAATGGCGTCAATTAGTTCATTCACGCGATATACTTTCTTGAATCGAATTCAAGGTCGAGTTTCTAACCTCATGCCTTTTTCAAACGGGAATCTGCGATAGCATCTTGTTCCTTAATAGCGTATTCCTCTGTCTTAATTACACCACAAGAATTCATCTCTTTCAAGAATAACAAATTAGGAAAAATGAACAATTACACGAGATATCCATACTTTAATATCTAAAGAAAAATTTAATATCTATTTAAATTTTAATATTTAATCAATTTCCGAATTTAAAAAATACAGTAAATTTATTTAGATTAAACTTGTAATAAATTTACAGAATCTTTAAAAAATAAGAGAGGGAAAAACTGTGGAAGATATGTAATCTAATAAAGAAATGGGAACATATTACTTTTTTTTAAATAATTTCCTTAAAATTTAGACTAACACCACAAATTAATAATTTTGGAATATAACGGAATATGTGAGAATTTTTGCATAATGAATATACAAAACTGTCGAGAAAAATGATTACGATGATTAAGTACAACTTTTCGTGACCACGATTCTTTACATACAATAGTTCTACGAGTCAGTGCGCTCTCGCAGGCTTGAAAATTAATAACCTTATATAGCTTGCTATTTTTTTAGCCGCTCTTATTGTTAGTCACGCTTTCGACTAAACGATTTGTAGTTATCCAAAGACTTGCATTTTTTATTCTTAGAAAACGTTGTGATCTCTTTAACATGATTATAAAATATTTACTCTTTTTAATATAGAATATTTTAAGCTTTTGTTGTAATTTTTCTTTTATACATATGTATTCTTTTTCATTATATTTTAATGGACTCTTTATTCTATTTTTTTTTAACAAAAATTATTCGCTGATAATTTGGAATTTATATAATTCTTTTTATATAAAAATCCAAGGAAATAATGATTAATGACAGAATGTCTGCACATCTAATTATCCACATTTTACGGTTTTAATATACACTCCATTCGTGAAATAGAAAAAACTTTCAGATATAATCAGCAATCGTTATTATTAAATAGATCATCAAAATTCGCATGAAAAAATAAAGGAATAAAATTTAGCATGCCGGAAAAAATTTCACTGCGGAACCAGAAAATTATAATTAATTTCCTTCCGTCTATCTTTAAAGCAGAAAATTACGGTAAGGAATGATCGATAAATTGGTCTATTACGAGATCGTGTAAAATGCTCTATAAAGAGAGAGTATATGGGCCGAAACGTCGTTTACTTTAGACTTTATTTTCCGCTTAATGTGACATTTTAATCACCTCGCATTGGGACTCCATCATAGACGAACGCATAATAAATACTATATTAATGTTATGTACATATGTGTAAACGTAAAATACGAGATAGACTTTTGCGTGTGGAAGCATAAAAAACTGTCTGCACTTTCACACGATAAATGTATGTTACAAGAAATTCAGAATTGCAAGAATATAACTAGCTTCAGAATTGAGTGTATTAATTCCTTTACAGTAAATGATGGTCAATTAATGGCAATCTTGTAACGCTTGTAACGTAATGTAAGTATAATCACTACATATCACGTTTTTGTTATCTGGCGAAAATGGTTATTTTCTGATAGAACAAGTATGAGTATAAGGGGTTTCCAATGTGAAACTTCATTAACGAAGATCGATAACTGCTCAACAAGATTGATAAGTATGCACTTTCTCAAGTGCCACTTTATTCAACAAACTGTATAATATTGTACTTACATATAAGTATTTATCTAATGTCTGAAAGCGTGTAAAAGATATATCCAGAAAAAATAGAAACAAAAATAACAAACAAGGACTTGTGTTTTAAATTAGTAAAGAAACTGTGCACATAAAATAAAATTTGGATTCTTTATATTAGAAAGTACTCTTCAAACTGTAGATTTTTATAGATTTTTCTCTCTTTCTCTTTCTGTGATTTTCTCATTAATGTTTCAAATTTTTATCTTACTTTTTACTTATAATTTAACTGTACCGAAAATTTCTCAATACGTCATATAAAAATTTCTTTCTAATAATTATTATAATTATATGATTAATCAAATTTGTGAAACCAGTTAAATAGCAGTTTCACTATTGAAAGAGAGAAATTAATCCTTTTCAATTTGTAATCGATTTTTCTAATTGCTCTTATCTCGAGTCGCGGTTAAAGATAATAATCGATGGTCCAATGATCATGATGCTACCCTTTAGTGAAGTCAATCCGGCTTCTCGAATGGCACCATTCGATCTAATGGTCTATAAAGGTATATCTCGGATATATTTTGCCAGGACTGGGCTATTGACGGGACTGAAATAAACGTAATATCCCGTACATGTACGTACATTCACCGCGACCCTGGCTGGTGATCGGATTCCTCCAGTAGAGAGTTCACTGTCATGGTCTCGCGAGAGAGGCCTTGGCGAGGAAAGAAACGGATAAGACCGTATCGCGTATGTGTGTTACTCGTTTTTGTTTTCGCTCCGGCGTGACGTGACGTATAATTTGTGCGCTCTTTTACGAGACAGACAGACAGACACATCACGATACCCGGATCGGTTTCCCTTTCTCTCCGGGGCGTGTTTCTCGCCAAGGTTCTCGCAGAAATCTCGGAGAGTGAGCGGCTCTTCCCGGTCATCGCCTCGTAGGTTTTCTGCGTCCACGTATAGAAGTTATCGGTACGCGCGCTTCTTCAGGAAGGGGAAATACGGATATACCTATATACTCTCGCTTCCGTGATCTAGCGACGATCTATCGGTGCATATTGCCGATAATGCGATTCTGGATTATATATACACGGAGAGAATTTTCTCTTTGAATTTACCCTGATCCTGAATTACCTGAAAATCATGCTAATCGTGCGACAATATGGTATTGGAAGAATCTTATCAAAGTTTCAAGGATTAATATCTACCACAATAAAAATATATACGTAAAATTTACTATGTACATTAATATATACATTGTAAAATTCTAATCTATCGGTGCATATTGCCGATAATGCGATATGGTATTGGAAGAATCTTATCAAAGTTTCAAGGATTAATATCTACCACAATAAAAATATTATTATATACAAATAGTAAAATTTACTATGTACATTAATATATACATTGTAAAATTCTAATCTATCGGTGCATATTGCCGATAATGCGATTCTGGATTATATATACACGGAGAGAATTTTCTCTTTGAATTTACCCTGAAAATCATGCTAATCGTGCGACAATGTGGTATTGGAAGAATCTTATCAAAGTTTCAAGGATTAATATCTACCACAATAAAAATATTAATATATACATATAGTAAAATTTACTATGTACATTAATATTACTATGTATATATATTAATATTTTTATTGTGGTAAATATTGATCAGAGAAACTCTTATAAGATTCTTCCAATATCATATTGTTGCACGATTACCATGCTTTTCAGGATAAATTCTAAGAGAAAATTCTCTCTGTGTAAGTATGCTTTATAAATAATATATTTGCAAGGTCAGAGAAATCTGGAAAATCGGGTATTGTTAGGGAATTTTATAAATCTGGAATTGTCAGGAAAAAGTCAGGAAATTTTACTATTTATCTGGATTTTTTTACATTATTCAACATTTGTCTCAATATTTTGACATTTTTATATTATAATTTTATAACATTGCTCAAGAATTATAATATTATTCAAGAACTTTATTCTAATTAATTTTTTTATTAAAAATTAATACATTAATTTTATTAAAAATGTTTTATTTAAAAGTTTTGTTGTGATATTATAGATATCATTAAATATATTAAAATATATTGAAAATAAAATTTGATATAAATATAAAAGGTGATTAATTAAATAGTTTATAGTGACATGTTTGTTTTGATTATGCAGATCGTATAATTGATTAAAATTTTTGTTTTTTTAACTTCCGAACTTTTTCATTGTTGACAAAAATATCTCAAGGATCTCATGATTTAACATTTAATTGATTTATCATATAGATATATGCAAATTATATATTTAGAAAAATTAATACTAAAAAGTCAAGGAAAAAATTAATTTCTGGTCTTGGAGAATCAGAAAAAGTCAGGGAATTTTTTTCATTGAGTCTGCTGGACACCCTGATTCGTCTTCTTGCGATATATTTTCTTTAAAATTAAGAACTATATTTATTTTTATTTTTATTATATTCATTATTATATTCATTTTAAATAGCATCAGCTATATTACTCATGATATATATTTTCAACTTATTTATAATTTAATATTAAATATTATTAGTTGATAACAATTTTATAATAAACTTATTTGAAGAGATAAAAAAAATTTTGCAATTTTTATGCTGTGATTTAAAGCTCTGAAATATTTATTTTCTACTTATTATTTTGTAATAAAACTTAAAAAGTCACGCAGCTTGCATTAAAATACACGTGTACTCTGAAGCAGTAACATACGTATTTTCTGTAATACGTAAATTATATGTTGAGATCTCTTTCCATTGCAACAAGCCATTGTGACAATTTTTGAAGCAATTTAATAAAAATGGGCGAGAACAATATGAAAAAGTAATTTAAGAAGCCACGTTCCCTAGAGAAAGTACGAGATTGGATCTAAACACTTCCTAACATTCAGTAGAGAAGCCAAGTAAGAATAATAAAACGGAGCGACTTTACAATCTAAAATCCGATTTTCACCCTTCATTTATACTAACGTTGATATTGCTTTAATAAATATATGAATAATCGATTTGGGGGGCCATAATTTGAAATCTGTGCGATTAAATATGTATTCTATTGAAAACTATCTGAAAAAAATCCTGAAAACATGATTTTGTTATTTATTTTTTTCTTATTTATACTTTCAAAGATTTAGATAGCAATTTGACATTAAATAATTCGCTTTTTATCCAATTATAAGACTAGATTTAATATAAGTATATAATAAATCTAATAGAGATAATAAATCTCAAAAATCACATTAAAAAATATTTGCTTAGAAAACATGAATAATTTTAATTTAGAGTATCCTACATTATGAAAGAGTGAACGAAGAATAAATTTCTCGAAACGAAAGGAAAAAGAATGTCTTCACAAACGCATTTATATAAACGCTTTTTTTTTTTATTAAGCACATGTTAAAATCACGTTTATATAAAACTTTCGCTGATATGATTTTATACATCAGATAAATTTAATTTAGTAGACCCAAGTTAATTACTGGGTTTACGATGTGAAATTGTATTATTATATATGAAGATAATAATCTATACAATCGCATTTTCTTATACTATGCAAATTGTTCCTTATGCACAAAAATGCTCGCTTACATCATGAATAATTTTTTATAACATTTATGAATTTCAACTATTGATTAATTACCTATTTTATTATTATGTAATGTAATAGAATAAGCGCATTTAACAATTTCCATACTTATAAATCATATATTTTCTGATATGCTATTTTTTCAAATGTAAGATACAAGATACTCTAATTTTGATGAAATTTGTTAACATACAATTCTCATATATACGACTATGATGTATGAAATAAATCTTGTGTTCGTTAGTAGTTCGCTGATAGATGGCAGCAATTACTTAACTTTCAAGTGAAACATAATGAAGCAGAAATATAAGCAGAGTACTATCTTATCCCGTTTCTTTGTAAGTTAATCACGTGGAAGTAATATCTTTTTAATTTTCCATTTATTATGTTATATATATTTCAAAGACAGAACTGAAAGAAAACATTATTAAATAGCACATCAAGAATCGCTATAATAAATTTTTTAATTTCGCCATGATTTTTTCATTTCTTAATTCTCTAGAATTATTCGAATAATCAATAACTCAAATATTTCAATATTTAAATAATAGATTATTTCAAAATGATTAGAATTATTCGACAAATATTTAAACAATTTTTTAAGTTAAAAAATAAATATATCTGAATTTATATATTAAAATTATAAATTATTTAAATACACATTAACAATTATGAAAGTATTTTTTGACGGTCTAATATACTTCTTTATATCATAAATACGATACTTATATAAAAATTTCTCGTACATGATGTGTTCGACGATCGATAAAATAATAAAATATTTTAACAATAAAAGCTGAAAAAAATGAAGTTAGAATGTAAATGCAAGTTTTCGAGTTTCAAGTTAACATGCCCGAAGGATTAGTGAAATGAACAAACCAATGGCACGGCCCGCCTTGATTCGCGTGTTATAATTCTTGATCTTGATCTTGGGCCGTTCACCGGACGTTTGCCTTTCATTAAGAGGAGGAACGGCCCGGATCTAATCGAAAAAGAGGAAGTGCACAAAGAGGGAGGAAAGGCGCGTTAACCCTCTCCTTCCCACGAGACGCGGTGACTTTTTACTGCACCTTTGCTTTTGTGGCCATTAGAAGCGACTCCTTTCACGAGAGGCACCATAGCGGCAAAAGGTAGCAAAAGACTCCCTTTCAATTCTCTTATCCATAGCTACTATCACCCCACGTGTATAAAAGCAGCACGCGTATTCGCGGTAGTCGTCAGAACGAAACCGCGCGGATACTCGCTTCCTCGTTCAATTTTATACTTAGTCGTCGCAGCTTTTTCACCTTCTCGGTTCGTCTTCTTCGTGGTCCCGCGGAAGTGACCCTCCTATTTCCGCAACAATGGGACGACAACGCGTGATTGTACCGTGTCTCTTGGTAAGACTTCCGTTGGACTCTATTAGTGCACTTAGGATGTGTGGTTTTATTTCGGTGCTTCAGCAGAGAGAAATAATGTATAATGTTTGGACTGTTCAAGGGGATTAGGTCTGTTTTAGCGACAAATATTATTTTCATTTAACTCTTCAGGGTGTCTAGCGCTCGGGGAAATCTGGAAAACCGGGCATTGTCAGGGAAAAGTCAGGAAATTTTATTATTTATCTGGATTTTTACACATTATTCTACACTTGTCTCAATAATTTGACATTTTTGTGATTAAATAAATATAAAAATATATTTTCCTTGACTTCCAGCACGCTAATTTTCTGTGTTGTTAAAAATCGATTCATCTACAACGTGTTCGTTAACTTATATTTTTATCGTCGTGTTATTTTATTTTAATGTGTTATATATTTCAAAATATATTGTAACATTGCTCAAGAATTATAATATTGTTCAAGAACTTTATTTTAATTCATTTTTTTATTAAAAATTAATACATTAATTTTATTAAAAATGTTTTATTTAAAAGTTTTGTTGTGATATTATAGATATCATTAAATATATTAAATATATGTATTATAATTTGTTAAAATATATGAAAAATAAAATTTGATATAATATATAAATACAAAAGGTGATCATTTAAATAGTTTATAGTGACATGTTTGTTTCGATTATCGTACATAATGCAGATTGTATAATTGATTTAAATTTTTGTTTTAATTTCCGAACCTTTTCATTGTTGACAAAAATATCTCAAAGATTTCACGATTTAACATTTAATTGATTTAAAAATAATACTAAAAAGTCAGGGGAAAAATTAATTTCTGATCTTGGAAAATCTGAAAAAGTCAGGGATTTTTTTTCATTGAGTCTGCGGAGGACACCCTGACTCTTTATTAGCTATACAGAATGAAAAATCCTGTACTAAAATTTAAATATTCATAATAACAAATCTGGGCTATTATATGTGTATATAAAAAGAAACCAAGAAAGTTAAATAATTACCGTGTTAGGTTGATCCAATGCAAAAGATAGAAAAACTAATTATTTAGCTTTTAATTATTTTTTTATATACATATGTATGTAGTAGCCCAGATTTATTATGCATACTTTAATTCTAGTAAAGGTGAATTCTAGTAATTCTAGGATTTTTTATTTTGTATAATCAATAAAGAGTTAAATAAAAATTAGATTTATCAATAAAACAGACCAGTCCCCTTGACTTAGATAAATTAATTTTTAAATAATAATATCCGCGTTGCAATCAATCGTTGTAAACACTTTTTTGTTGTCAATAGTATGGACGTAAATTACTCTTGATATAGCTTCATTAACGATCTTTATTATTTTTAGTTGAATCTTCTCCTAGTCGTTTCACTAATTAACTTGACCAACGCCGGACACGGAGGACAGTAAGTTAAAATTAAACTCTATCAGCTATAGGCGTCCGAATTTGTTTCCTTGGAATCAATAAAAAAATTAAGCATTTTCTCTTCTTTTTATTAAACATTGGAATTTATATGCATATTTAATACAAAGGAAAAAAATGAAAATAACCCAAAAATGAAGAAAGATAAGAATAAATATACGATCTTTCATATCTCGAATAAATTAATCACGTAGCTTCTATGTCTTCTTTCCCGAAAAAAACAATCAGAATCTTCATTACTTCCCCTATACCTTTTGCAGCAAGCACGTGATAATTCACGTGCCGTACTATATCAAGAAAATCCAGCACACACACACAATCACGAAACACATACACCACGGCGGCGGTGGCGGCGATAAGTACGAAGTACTCGGATACACCGTGGGTCACCCGATCGACCTCGGAGGTCACGGAGGTCACGGCGGCGGAGGACACGATTTCGGCGGCGGCGGACACGATTTTGGCGGAGGTGGCGGCGGCGGACACGATTTCGGCGGAGGTGGCGGCGGACACGATTTCGGCGGAGGCGGCGGCGGACACGATTTCGGCGGAGGTGGCGGCGGACACGATTTCGGCGGAGGTGGCGCAGCACTCAGTTTCGGAGGAGGTGGCGGAGGACACGATTTCGGCGGGGGTGGCCACGACTTCGGAGGCGGTGGCGAAGGTGAAGGTCACGAGGGTTGGTCAAGTCGTTAGGACGGTTCTTTCTGCATTATTGTTACTTTTGGAGAAAACCACCCAGACAGCACCAAAATTGGAGCATGAAACATCTTTAAGATGTTTTTGACATGTGTTTTGGATACGATAAGATTTCTTAAAGATGTTTTATGTGCCAATTTTGAACACGGTGCTGTCTGGGTAAAATTGTCTTTGAGGTAATCCTTTGAGGTGTACATCCCCTTATGTATCCCCGTTATCCCGCTGATAATAGTGATACTCTATTCGTATATCGGTTATGTACTCTTTTTTGTCTAAATATTTTATTTTATATTTATGGCTTTAAAGAAAGCTTCAAATGTTTTTCTCTTTTATGTCTCTAGTCTGACAACGTTTAATCTTCGACATGTTCTTTCAGCACAATGTGTTGTACATATTGTTATTTTTGTGTTAGCTTTATGTTGTATTATTTTTATATTATATTGTTTTTGTTAAACATAATAAATAATAAACATAATAAATAAATTATATATGTTACGGCGCGATTAATATATTGCATATATATGTACCTGATTGCATCCTTTATATTGTAATTTATTATTGAAATTTGTTCTTTATAAAATAAAATTGGCTAGTTTCAAATTTGAGATCTTTTTTAGCCAAAAATTGAAAACTAATAAACTAAACCAGATCTCTGTACACAATAAATAGTATTTTACTCCAATTATAAACAGCTATTCGAACAGATGAATAAAGTTATAAATAGTGATTTTTGGTGAAAGATTCTTTAATTGTTTACACAAAATTAACATATTTTGCATACGATGTTAAGTCATATGCATTCAAAAAAATTCACTAAATAAAATAATTTTAATTTTTCGTGATAAAACATACTATTTTACGATGGACATCTCAATAATATAAATAATACGCGTGATTAAGTCTTTTTCGGTATTTTATACCAAATTTAGATCTTTTTTAATATATTATATAAAGCATCACATCATAAGCGTTTTATTTCAAATATTTTACGTAAAACAAAATTTCACATACAACAGAAGAAAATAATATAAAATTGATTCGTCTCTAGATCTATTTATTTAAAAGATATGGAAATGCATACTCAATTATATATGCGTACATAATATCTTTACATTGCTATAAAGTTTGTCAAATAATATTTTAATTCTCACTGTAAAACATTATCTCTTCTGTATTGATAGGCTTAATTATTTCTATCCATTTTCTTTCTCTCAATATACTCGATAAAATAATTATACGTGTGTAATTGAAAAATATGTTCAAAATAATAGGTATTTGAAAATATACAATATATGAGTCAAAATCTTTTATATTATTAAAAATTATTATTTAAAAATTTATATATATATTATCAAATTCAAAGTAATATATAATAACAAATTAATACATCGAATTCAAAACGGAAAATTCTAATATATCTAGAAATATGCAATCTTTTATATATTTACAAGTTCAGATGTAATTAATTTAAGTATATATATATATATATATATATAAATTTATTATTTTAATTTTATATATTTGACACAACTTTTACAATTACAATTTATAATTTAATGTTAAAATTTAAACTATTATTCAACATTTTTAGTTATAAATTTTATTTATTCGTCTCTTAAATACTTCTACGTATAACAGGTAGCATATTGACAGGCGTCTTGCATTTAGATTCGTCGTTTTGTGTTGAGAAAAGCATGTCTACTTTCTTCAAGCATTTAATGTAAAAAACGTTTATCTTAGTCTCTTATAATTAATTAATATTCTAACAATGTTCTAAAAGAAGTTAATAAAAATTTTGACTCACATTTTTTTAAATCAAAACCTTAAATAGACTTATAAAATACAAAATATATTAAAGTCCAAACACAGAAATAGTAGAAATACTTAATATATACAATTGAAATGAAAAATTGTCAAAATATTACCGTCGAGTATTTGATCTTGCCGTAATTGCAAAAGTTTTCTTTTACCTGTAAGTATGATAATAATCAAAGAGACGTAGTTCTGCATAACTCTGGATCATAAATTAGATTGATCGATTCCCATAATAAGTATTGCAAAGTTAATATCTTTATAAACGAGAATTTTACGCTTCGTTTAAGTATTCATCAATTATATGAATTATCGAAAATAAACTTGTACCCATTAATTACTTCTAATCGCAGTTGTTAATCGAGCAATCTTCCGAGTTATTATACGATCATCTTGATTGCACAATTTACATTATCTCTTTCTCACATCTTGTAAACAACTCATGAATATCTAAATCATTTTCAAACGTTATATATCATTCATTACATTAGATACATATTTAATATGGGTTAATTTATTGTAACTTTGATGTTATCATTTAATTTATTATACATGTATACTATACATTTTTATTATTATTTAACTTATATATATATTTATTTCTGTAATTCACTTATTGTGCGTTACTTTATGATTATCTAACTCTAGCTTAATGAGATACTATTTAATTTAACATTTTAACATGTGTTAACATTTATTTTTTTATTTCATTTTTTAGCATTTATCTTTGCATTATGCGATAACTCTTCAACAAGTCTATATTCAATCGATGTCATTATAATAATTAAGATTAACGAATGTTTTCTCTTTTCTTTGAAATTAATTTTTAAAAAATAATATCACAAGAATAAAAAATTCAAAAATGTTTGCGGAATAGGTCGGTGAAGACTCATCGCGAAATTAATATTTTATCATTGGCACAATCTCTCGAATCCGATTTTACATAAGTTTTTTCGCTTTGCGATACCCGAACGTTCCAAAAAAAGCGCGCTTCTCCGGTTTATCGGCCTCATGCTGGTACTCATTATCATCAATGAAGTAACGACCGGCGTCCGTTTTCTCCGTCGATTCCTTATATTCATCCTCGACGGAGTGATCGCCCTCTTCTCGCTTTTTATCATAAAACTTTATCACATCGCCCGTGTAAACGTGTCCATGCGCAGATTCGCCACCTTTGTGAAACCCTTCCTCATATGAGTGCATAAAAGGTTCAATATCATTGTGATCTGTTTCCTTCACGTTTTCATGGACCGCGTATTGCGGCGGATAAGAAAATCCCATCATGTCACCCTGTTTTCCCGTGAAATTTTCGGGTTTATTATTCTGCTGCGACGCTGGCATGTGAGGATCTTTGTGACGCAGGAAGGGATTTTCCTTCAACTTATGAGGCTCCTCTTTGTTGCCCGATTTGTGATCGTTATGATAACCGTAAGAGCTCCAGGAACTCCAGTCCTCGTGATGCGATTCCTTATAATGAACTTTCTTCGGCGCTTCTTCCTTGATCTTCGCCTTCTTCGGCTTGTGATGGTGTATGAATATCGTTTTCGTGTGAATCTGATGTTTTATGATCTCCGGCACGTAGATCTTAAAGTGCACGCTGTTAACAGAATAATTGAAAAGAGCGAAAATTTTAAATTCGTAGAGAATTGCAAAAAGATGTTGTGCAAATAAAACTTTTACCGCGCAATATATCATCCAGTTAGAGCTGCAACTTTTGACAGCGCATTAATTAAATATCAAAATTGATTCTCGAACGGGAGACAGAGGTGGATGTACGCGTGTGTTCGTTAATTCGACAACGAGCGAGAACGAGAGTGAGCGTGTACTGTGATTTTCGCCACGAGAAAGCGTCAAGCTCGGTGACCACATTTATAATGCTAAACGCTCCGCGATTAGCCGCGAAATGAATTGATTAATTTAATAGCAATAGAAAATAATTGCGTGTACATTTCGTATTATATACTACTCACTGCTTCGCGTTTCCGCTGTTCAGCGCCTCGTTTGACAAAATGATAAGCAGACCGAGAACGATCTTCTGAAACACAAAGTCGCGCTCGTTACTTCTTAAATCACCCATAACACCACTCGCGTTCGCTGAATTAAAATATTTATGCTTGTTGATCACGAGCTAGTTGTCCGATATCTTGTACCGATCTAAAACGCATTTGCGAGGATGCACACATTACTCTTAATAGCAATTAAATCACTAATTATAACACACGAGAGCAGCCGTGCAGAGAGTGCGATATATGTACATTTGAATCAATTACTTTATATATATATATATATTATATAAATTTATTTGTATACCAATTATCGCGTAAAAAGTTCAAATATATATATTTAAAATTGAAATATGTTGGAAATTTCTTAAACTATATATATTTGAACTATCGCTTTTGATAAGATTATGACAAATAAATCACACAATCTGCACGCGCGACTTTCGAGTTTCACTTCGATATTTTATCACAATTTTATTACCATGATTTATTGTCGAGTGCGATATAGCGATCGCGAACGCGGTTATCGGCGATCAATCGCCGTTTGCGATTCGCCGACGACGAAATGGCCATTTATATGCAATCTTCTTTTCATCGAAAGCCAATCTCATGGAGAAACGTGATGCAGTTCACGGCCGATGATCGCTTTCGCTATTCTTCCGGTGATATGCTTCATCTCCCTATCCGGAACTAACGTTGTTTTAGAAATTACGGGGTCGATAAACTATGAAAAGATGCGCGGCCAAGTTCAGTGTCGCGGTGAAATGATTTCTTTTGTTCCGACGATTTATACTCTCTTTTGAGGAAACAGTATAAATAACTCTGATACTTCTCTAATGTTCTTCTGAGATTTTTTTGAGGAAGCGTAAGGTACAAGAAATGATTAATCCAATTGAAGAGCGTCTGGGAAAATATAGAAACTTGCAACGTGCCTTCAGTAAAATAAAAAGTTTCAGTAATAAATATATATTTTTGTTAAATAAAATATTTAAATTATATTTCTACATAGTTCAAATATATCTAATTAAATTTAAATTTCGAATGTTGTTATCAATATGTCGAAAACATATGATTTGAGTTAACAATGACTAATAATGAAAATATATTAAATGTCTGAGAATATTAGATAGAATATGCAATCAAAAATTTTAATTATATAATTATTAAATATTAATAATATGATCTCGGTTAATTGAAAGAATATATAATTGTATTATTTTAGTAATAGAAAGCTATAGAAATAAATATATAATACTTATTTTCTGAACGGTAATATTTAATATCGTGTGATTTAATAGCTATTTTAATATAATAAAAATAATTATTACAACTATTATTGCAGCTTAAAGAAGATATATATCAAATAAATAATTTAATAAAACAAAACATTTCTATGAATGTAAATTATAGAAATAACATGTAAAACGATATATAGGTATAAAAATACGATGTTAAAAAATTTTATTGTATCGAATTATAAACGCAAGTTTCAGGAATGCAATTTACATCTAAAAATTACATTCTTCTTTCATGAAAGTAATTTTTTTTTTTTGTGTTTGAATAAACGGAAGAATATTGCATAATCTGCATATCATTGGAGAAATGATCTTAATACGTTTCGGATTATTGGGGAAATATATTAAAAAACAATCTTATATATATTTATATATATATATATATTCGTGCGTGTATGCACGCATGTCATTTATTTATAGATAAACATAATGCCATACATATTATATACATGATGTATTATGACAAAAAATGTCTAGTTGTAAGTGTGCTTAAATGAATTGTAAGCTAATGAGACAAAATATTTAAGTGTATTTAAATGAATTGTAAGCTAATGACAATCTAATGACTCTTTTTCTTTGGATTTTCTTATTCATAGATGAATACTACGTGTTACAATTTACGAAAATATACATTATTGCTCCTCCTCATCATAATATACAAAATCATCATCTTCACGATGCTTTGCTTTAAAATGATGCGGAATTATCTTGAAAATTGTGTGCGTATGTTTCACATTTTTCACGCGATAAGGAACGTGTATCACCACCTTTTTCCTAAAACACAAAAAATTAACATTTTTATACATATACATTTTTTCAAATATCTCATATATATATGTGTTTATCTTATATTGTGAATATTTACGATTCGATTGATTGATGCAACAGGGCGAGACTTATTAGGAACAAGACGCTGTACTGCAACAAACAAAAATATCAATGTATTATTATCATATATTTTGATTATCTTATGAATATTACACAGACTTTTTTCGATCAAATAAAAAGTGAAATTGTAGAAATATCACGTAAAAACTCCCTCTAAATAGTGAATTAAAAATTGTAAAATTGAAAATAAATAATTTTAAGTCAAAATTAAATTGTTAAAAATTTTGAAGCAAAACTTTTGGATAATTTAAAATAAATTTTAAATAAAATGTTGAAATTTAATTAAAATTTAAATATGATGATGTAGCGGAAAACACCTTACCAGGAATTTGTTCATTGTGACAAATTTGAGCCTCTTCTGCAAAGTTTTTCTCGAAGCACTCCGGCAAATCGAGAGATACCTTCTATGCATCGCACAGCTAAAAAGCGAACGTTTATATAGTGCAACCAGTAACTATTGGGAGGGAGATGCATCAAGTATTCCGCGAAACTCCGCCCAATGTGCACTCAACGCACTATCACTTATGCTTACCATTCTAAAGAATACCGCAGAACATCCTTTTGCACCGGATTTTCATCTGGAAAATATGTTTTACGTCAATATAAAAAATCGAAAAAATGATAAATTTATCTTTTACACACATATTAAACATATATTTTATCCGTATCAAAAACCATTCAACCGCATTTACTCCAAACTTATTTATTTTTAGTGCATTCTTTTCCAGCTCATTAATTCCAAAATTATTCATCTTTTATTGATTATTATTTATTATTTTTCCCCAAAGTTATTTATTTTTCAACGTTCGCAGTAAGAAAAATGTAATTTTATTCGCGTCATGTCGGATTTGGCTATCAAACAAAATTTATTCGAACTAATTGTTTAGTAGCAGCAGGCAATATGTAAACAGATTACGAGTCTTCGTAGACTGTAATTTATTATCCGAGAAACAGATAACGTACAAGCGTGTTATCCTCTTTGAGTCGTAGTACACGTTGAAGACTCAATAGTAGCAAATCGTTTCGTCTAATCAAATACAGTATGACGTGTAGGCGCGAGTCAATTAAAAGTGAAATCTCGGCGGTGGAAAGCATCGTGCATAGAAGAAATGCCACCTACACGCGTGTGCAGATATACGGTGTTTCTGCGATTAGCGATTTTTATCCGACGCCGATTCCGGCCGTGGAAAAGAAGAAGAAATGTATTATACGAGAAGATCGCCGCGGCGTGACCGCCTCGGCTAGCTATCGCGATCGTGTAATCGTCGGCCGTGTTCATTTCACGGCCACGTTAATCCTCGAGCAGATGGAAAACCAATCGATGCGAGGGCCGTAACCGCGTATTGTTTAGAAAGTGCGTATTATATATTGTCTTTATCCCTCTCTTCGATATGTATCACTGAAAAAAAATCACTAAATTAATACATATTTATTAGTTCAATACTGCTAATGAATCATTTATTTGAAACTAAAGATATATTTATTTGTTTTCAAAAGGATTTTCTTATATCAAATAAATATTTTTTATATCAAATACATATTATTATAGTTTCAAATAAATGATTCATTTGGCAGTATTGAAATAAATATTTATTCGAATTCAATAAATTTTTTTCAGTGTATAATATATGCTCGACATGTCTATATGAATGTCATTTACCTCACTTTTAATTATCTAAATATATCTCTTTTTATGTAAAAATTTGAAGTAAATCTTTTGGATAATTTAAAATAAATTTTAAATTAAACGTCGATATTTAATTAAAATTTAAATATGATAATGTAGCGTTATATAAATATGATAATGTAATCTGAGAAAAAATTTCTGTCATCTATGAGATATTTGACATATAAAAAATATAATTTTTTTACAGAGAAGAGATAAATAATAGAGATACAATTTTCGCTTATCCTTCTCTTTGATATATGTATTATCCTATCGATACGTTCGACAGGTCTATATATATCGATCGCTGCGATTGCAAGATGAATGTTATTTGCCTCACTTTTAATTATCTACAAATCTAAATATATTTCTTATACGTCTCTACATTGTATGTAAAAAATATAATTTTTTTTACAAAGAAGAGATAAATAATAGAGATAAAATTTTCGCTCAATAGCTAGCTCGAATAAAACATTTAAACGCGATCATATCTTGAACGTTCTCGAATAATGTTGTACGTTTTCGTATAATATTTTTGTTTTCACTAGATATATTGCCCCATTTTTTCCGAATCGCTAATTTTGTCTCGCTTACTTTCAACGTGGAGATATTAATATAAGTGTTTACATTTTATGTTAAAAACTGTATTATAAATGTATCTAAAACCCACATCAAAACTTTCTAATACTACGCATTATCTTCAACGGATGTCTAATTGCAGTTTAATAACAATAATAGCTGCATTTTGTATTATGCTCCCATTCGTCATGCAATATGTAACTTACGTCAATGAGAGTAATTAGAAATTAAAACAAACAAAATGTGGATTATCGTTTATTTTGCTTTTCATATAAACAGTTGGCGGAATAGGTAAAAATACATCATTCCCAGGGATCTGTTAACTTATGTACAACACTTTAAAATAATACAATAAAAAACTCATATTTATAGTATATAAATATATATATATTCATGATATACACAATTATATATCATGAATATATATATAATTTATAATGAAATCGAAAAAGCTTTAAAAGATAATATTTGTTGTTAACAACACTTTTTTGTGTTAGATAATTTAGTGCACATATATAAATGACTCATATATAACTATGGCTATGCCTTTTATATCTAAGAAATTTAATGACACTATATTTTTTCATGTCAAATTTCGCTGAGCGAAATAATTTCTTTCATTCAACTTCAGATAAAGTTTATACAATTTTAATTATAATACAATTTATACAATTCATACAATTTTACTTATGTGGCGACGATCTTTAATTCACTGATCAGAAAAAAAACAAGTTCGGTATTTGATCGATGAAAAAATTCATTGAGATAAAAGGAAAAATGACAATAATCTTGGCTTGTGCTATATAAATATAAAATGCGATGAGATAAATAATGTATATGATTATCTAACGATAACACTATTTTTGACCAAATGCAAACGTTAATAAATCTTTATTGAATATGTCATTAATTTCACTTTTTTTTGTTTTAGGTTTCACAAATACCTATTTAACGCCTTTTCGGAAACAGCTGTTCGCAACGTAAGTGCAATTAATTTTTTAACACAAATTATCCTAATCGATAAGTTGCTATAATACAGGATAATAAACACACATATACAAACACACACACACACACACACATATTCATACGCGTGTAGACAAGACTTTTACGATTTTTGCGTAAAACATCAAAAGAATCAAAAATCGTTTTTTTTTTTTTGGAATATAAATTGCGCGTTACAATCATTCATTCACGAGATGACAAATGGGTAAACTCATCGTGCCTAAAGAATCACGCTATTAATTAATAAAACTAAAAGCTTCAAGTGGTGCTCGACTTTGCTTTCGAAGTACCTCTCGGAATTTTGGACTTTCTTGCGACCGTCGTCGTTTTCTTGGTCGCATTGCTAACAATCGTCGTCGTTTTCTTGGTCGCATTGCTAACAATCGTCGTCGTCTTCGGCTTCTGCGTCGTCACCGGCCTCTTCGTAGTACTACTCACTTCCGGTTTCTTCACTATGACCGTCGATTTCTTCATTACCATAGGCCTCTTAGGTAAATCCGGTTTTCTCGCTTTATTGCTCGTCAGGGACACCCTCGTGGTGTTCTTCGATGATCTCTCGGTCGTAGTGCTCGATTTCAATGATTTCTCCGTCGTATTGCTCGTCATTGATCTTGGAGTGACATTAATCACGCTCGTCTCGGTCGCGATTAATTTATCCGCCTTAATATTCGGGAAGGAGCTTTCGAGAGCTTTAATCAACAGAGGTTGTTTCTCCGTCGTCACGCTGTCATCGTTGATTTTGATCAACAACGGGGCTGCTTCTGTTGATTTGGGACTCCTAGGACTCGTCACCGACGTCGCCGGTCTCTCCGTCGAGCTTGGACTCTTCGAGATGACAGTGATCGTGGAAGGATTCGAAGTCTCGATCGTGGCACTCGTAGTTGATCTCTCGATCGGTATCGAGTCCTCCTTGACAGCTTGCGCCTGTTTTTCGATGATCCTTACGGTGCTCTCGGAACGAGGCGTCGACGTGATCACAGACTTCGCTAGCTCGCAATCCACATCTTCTCCCCAGGTCGAGAAACATCTTGGATCTCGAGCGATCGGGCGATGTTTACTATTTCGACGTGCCTGATCGGCACTTTTTCGCGAGGGCTTTCTGGTGGGTCGATCTTCTTCCAGGGGCAGCTGTCGTTCCGTCGTGACAGCCTTCGCCAACGCGGCCTCGTAAACTTCCTGCCAGTCCGAGTTCTCGGGCGCGAACACAACCGGTTGCCATCTCTTGTCGTCGATCTCCAGACTCTTCTGGAAACCGGCTTCGCTCTTCTCCCGCTTCGACTTACCGTAAACCACGTGGGACGGCGACTCGATGGACAGGTCGATCGGGTTGTCGTTGAAACGCGGTTCTCGAACCGCGGGCGCCGAATGACGGAACGATCGGTTCTCCGTTCGATAATCGGTGAAGAAGGGCGGCGGATCTATAACTCGAAGCGCGTCGTTGGAACTCACGCCGATTTGCTTCTCGTAGAACGTCGACGAAGATGGAACGCTAGCGGGTTTCTCATAGGAGGTCGACAAAGGTGGAACGCTAGCCGGTTTCTCGTAGGAGCTCGAGTAGACACTCGGAGCGCCAAAGGGATCGTTCTGCTTTTCGTAGGAAGTCGCGTAGGAACCTGCAGCTTCGTTGTTATACTTGGGAGCTGGATAAGGGACCGAGTAGGGACTCGGAACGAACTCGTTCGGATTCTGATAAGGCACCGAATAGGAACTCGGAGCACTGTTCACCTCGTTTTGCTTATAGGACGTCGGGTAGGAACTTGGGACGTTGTAAGAACTCGGGTAGACTTCGGGTGCTAAGTTAGCAGCATTGTACTGTTCGTAAGAGGTGGAGTACGAGTTGGAACCGGGGAGAACCTCACTTGGTGGTTTGTAAGTGTTTGCATAAGTGTCGGAACTGGAACCTTGGTGTTCCACCGAGTGCGGATACAATGGAGCGACTTGCCGAAGAGGTAGACGATGCGTGCTTAACTGGTACCAAGGTTCTAACGAGGGATTCTTGGTGCCACCCTCGATCGCCGTCGTGTTCTCCGAATGAAACAGCTCCTTCACTTTATTCATGACCTCCTCCTCCGCCGCTTGTTGGTACTGATAGTACGAGGCCGCTGATTGACTGAGTAATTGCTGCTCGTGATTTTGTACGTTTACTTGCGTGTCTGGGAATTGATTCCTGTTGCTCTCCGCATTATTGGAAACTATCGGGGGCGGGACCACGTTCCCGTTGACCTTGGAGGGACTCTCCGACAAGTTCTCAACCACCGGTTTCACCACCGACTGCGACCCTTTGACGTGGCTGACGTTGGCTGACGTTGGATGAACCGCTTGATGGCGATTGGAGGAAGAGGAGGCCAGCAACGCGTCGTTCGACAATATTGGGTGTAATGAACTGTGATGAGCGTGGTTCATAAGCATGCCTACAGGATCGATGACGGAGGGTATCGGGACGTAGGGATCGTACTGCTTCTCCACATCGATCACCGGAACCGGTAATTGCGTGACGAAGCGCACCACCACCTGGCTCGAGTCCAGCGGCTCTATCAAGCGCAAGTAGATCTTGCGGGTGGACCCGGGCATCTTGATGGGCACCAGCGGGCCCTTCTCGTTCTTCGGCGGGTCTAGCAATTGGCGCAGAATCTCGAGGATGGAGTCGAGGACATTCTTCTTCTTGGTGACGCGGAGCACCGGCTCGATGCGGATCGGCTTCTCGTCCGGAATCGCCTCCGGAATCGCGTCCAGCTGATTGTCGCTCAATTCTACCGTCGAGGTGCCGATGATCGAGCGGGTCTTCACGCGTTTCGCTGGAATCTCGAGCGGGTATTTCGAGCGATCGCGGTTGTAGCGATGCTGTTGTTGAGGTTGTTGTTGTCGTTGTTGTTGGGGCTGTGATTGTTGTTGTGGTTGTGGCTGTGATTGTTTTTGTGGCTGTTTTTGTGGCTGTAGTTGAGGTCCAGGGTGAAAGTAATTCCTCTTGGGCCTCTCGATTCGTATCTGCGGTTGAAACTTCTGTTGCAACGTGGGAAATATGGGATAGATCTGGGGGATGGGGATTATCTCTCTTCTCGCCGTGGCATCTTTAGTGATCAATTCATCTCGTGGCCTTGCAGTCTTCTTTATCCTAAAGATGTCAATTGGAAAAAATAGAAATTATATATATTATATTATAAATTATATGTATTATATATACACTATTTAAATATGAGGAAAGAAAAACGCGAAAGAAAAATATTACTTATAATTAGTGTTTAAAAAAAATACAATTTTATTTTATATAATTTTATTAAATATTTTTATTATTAAATTCAATTTGATGAAGCACAAGTACAGTATAAAAATAAGTGTGAGGAAAAATTGTTTTAGATCAAACGAGAAAGAAAGAGAGAGAAAATGTGCTAAAAAATTTGCTTACCTATTTAAAAATGTGACTTCGTCAATAGTAGATACTGTTGATGACAGACATGCGCACACCTATACAAAGATTATATATGTAGAAAAAAATATATTTATAATTTTGTATATAACATATAATAATTAACAATTGTACCCGTACGAATCTCATGTATTTGCTCACTTGTCAATCCTTTTGCAAATTGATCTAAATATAATGTTAGCCTCTTTCAATCACTTTTTGCGTTTAAAATACTATTAATAAATCAACTGTACATTGAAAAAAAAAATTATTTGAATTCGAATATTTATTTCAATGCTATATACCTTATAAATCATTTATTTGAATCTAATAATATTGATTTAATGTGAAAAAATATTTATTTGATATAAAAAATCCTGTTCAAAACAGATATTATTTGTTTCAAATAAATGATTTATTTAGCAGTATTGATATTTATTAATTTAATAATTTTTTTTCAGTGTATTAGTCGCAATTTCGTCAGCACTGTGTATAAATATACACATATATGTCAGTGTATCACTAATTATTTTTTCAAACTAGAAAAGAAATATTTTTCTCAGCCCAGCAGACTAGAATTTCTCAAATTTTCACGTATTCTTCTTCTTATTAATTATCAAACGAAAAAATTTTCGAAAAAATCCACATTGGTTGAATCTCGGCGAAAAATTCACATTAAATGGTATCGCATTTTCCTTCACTTTTCTCACTGCGAAGACAATAATTTTCCGACGAGATGTCTTCACTCACCGTAATGAAACACGTGAACTTCATATCGCGTAGCTCGCACGAAATCCCACTCGCCTCGCCGATTCCGCAAAGACGACTGTGGTGCAGCGATATTTAGCCACCTCTTTTAAAGCTTCTCCCATAGAGCGGTGCCCGTAAAACCGAAGCGTGTATACTTGATTACGCATCCTCCCCGCATGCACACGCGCCATTACGACGGCCGCAAATACCGGGCGAGCAATCGGGAGTAATTGGTTTTTCTGTTTCCTTAATATTATTATTATATATATTATCGAGGGATAATGCCGCGTTTGATAATTACAACATAATTTCTAAACTATGATTAGACGCTGTGACTATAGTAAATAATCAGAGTTGAATGACTCTTAAGGGCTAGTTTCACCACCATTAATTAACTTTCTTTATAGCTTTTTAGATACGTTCTTAAAAAGAAATATTTATTTATATATATATATTTATATTAAATATATAATTAAATATATAATTAAATATATATAATATTAATATAAATATATTATCAATTTATAAATTATAAATGTATGGCAACAGTACATTGTGTACGCAAAAAAAATTCCAAATTTTGGATTTATTGCACGTATATTATGTACTCATACTTGAAACAAATTTAAAGTGAAAGAATTTTTGAAAATTTTATCGTAGTTAAAATAATTCTTTTTATTTGTAAAGCGCCCTTTTTCGGGTCTACGTGTCCAAGACTTTTAATTATGATAATGTGTTTCGTGTATATGGAAGATGAAAGTCTTTTCTATTAGAAATCCATCATAGCGTTTTCTCATCTTTATAGTTATTTTTCTGGACTTTAACACAATTGCACACGCATTTTACAACGTCGCACTTTTTCGACGTATTAATTAATAAGCGATAATTAGCTGATAGTTGATTAATTCTTGAGATACAATAAGGTTCTTTTGCAAACAAACCCCCTGTTTCCCGCCACATATACGAGGAAGAAATTATATAGGCAGTCTTCTCTTCATTTTCCACGTTTAAACAGATTATACCTTACAACAAAGCATATATACAAGTAAAAATCTTTGATTAATTCACTTAAAAATCTTTAATTAATTCACTTTTATAATAAATTTACATACATTACATTGTTTATCTATAAACTTTAATATGTAATAACTTAAGAAGAAATTATGACAAAACTTTTACTCGAAAATATAGAATCTTATGTTTAATTTATTGATATGTAATTTAATTGCAAGAATGTAGATATAAACGCAATGCAATAAATATTTCTTGACACGCGAATTGATACGCCTTCACATAATGCTGTTTTACATTTCGAGGTATATCGTGCGAACACGTAATAAATTTCGAATCTCTATTGAAATCTTTCGGGCTTTTCCAGTTTAACGCGAGAGTAGTCATAATAAAGGCCATTGACTTAATGAAAGTAAAATTACTCAAACGCCCCGTTTTAATTGCGTGAGTTTCCCATCTCCACGCGCAAATCGCAAAGTTTCTAGCACATCATCTAACCATGGAAAGTTGTTTGCGAATCGCAAAGCTAAATCGTATCGGATTCTTACTTTACGCGGCGCAGATAAGAATTCTCCGTTATAGCTGGGTAGAAAACCGTCTATTAACTAGGGCAAAAAGGAGAAGAAGTTCTCTGATAAGTAAAGGCGCGAAATACAAAACAAATTTCGATCTCTCGGATAATTATGGAGCTGCAAGCCCGTCTATGAGCTTGTACCGGAAAGGGTGTGGTTCGTCGGGGACACATTTGAAAAATGCGTAAATTGATGTAAAAATTCCGAGATCCTTCGCGAGAGCTCGGCATAATGATATCTGATCTAACAGCAAATCAGCTGTTTCCTTCATATGATTTTGCACATGCACAAAACACTTTAATCTGATCGGAGTATTAAAGTCGACGCGCGTTAGCATCTCGATCATTCATCGACCAAGTATGACCAAGTGACAATATATCAACATCCATTTTTCGTATCTTCGCATAAGATCGACTACTTCGAATACGTTAGATAAGACTCTTGTGTTATTCTTACGTTTTTAGATAAGATCGCCGCCTTTGAATACATTATAATTGTAGTTTACTCTTACAATCTCTTTCTCTCTCTCACTTTCATAGATGCATAATTGAGTAATATATGCAAATATGTTGCAAAACGTTGCAAGATTATGCAATCTTCTCCTAGTTGTAAAGATTTTGATCAACTTGCGAAACCAATCTTCTCTTATTGTTAGATAAAGAGTTGTGAGAAAACAGTTTCGCAGTTTTCTCATTTTTAATGTAGAGGGAATATATTTTTTATTTCTTTAATATTTAATTCTTAAAATAATGTTTAATTTATGAAAAGCTTTTTATTCTCAATCCCGAAAATTCAACGTTTATAACATAATTTCTATAAGTTCAACAAATGTTATTTTATTACGTTGACTTTAAAATATAAATATAATATATTACATATATATATATATCTTTTTTAATTTTAGAATTTCAATTTAATAGGAACATATATGTTAATCTACATTGGCTCGTAATTTATTGCGCTGAAATAATTTATAATGAAAAATGATGATATCTGACATATCTTAATACGATAATCATTTCCTTTGATGACACGAAACAGATCTTATAAATTAATTGAGCAAGTGTATTCATTAATCATATCAGCACGAGTTCGAAGATTAATGATTATTTCGAGTACACATTTCGTTAATGTCCTTTGATTTCCTTGCAGCTTTCTATACAATAAAATTAATTTAGAGTACTCTAAATTGATAAAGACTACGAGATACATATACACACATACACACAAATTAAATAATACGGATGATGACTCAAAATTATAAACCTTTATTCTTTGATAAATTCTAAACCATTTGTTCTAAAATACATCGATTATTAATCCTTATATTATTTGCGGGAATCGCGTAAACGTTTCTATTTCTTAAAAAAAATGTTATCTATAAATATATATATAAAAACGTCGATATTTGAGAATCTCGCCAGACAGAATTTAAAAAAAGGTAAGAATCTTCTCTCGACCGTACTGGCAAATATTATTTATTCAATCACAACGAAGGGTCGAAACGTTGTGATTGAATAAATAATATTTGCCAGTACGGTCGAGAGATATATATATATATATATATATATATATCTTACGTGTATCTAAAATATTCTTAGATATTCGAATTACACACTTTCGAATTACACGCGTGAATGCACAAAATGATGCTAATCGCTAAGCGACTAGACCGCAAAAACTTTTTTTAATTTTTGCGTTTGAATCGATAACCGCAACCTTGATGAAAGTATCAGTAAATGTTTCTGAACCTTTTTTCATTTTTTTTCAGGCTCAATTATCGATAATAATAATTCAATTGAAATTGAAACGGCGTTTCCCGTCGAAGCGGAATCCATAAGCCGCGCTATTTGGGGCGTCGACCAACGCAGGATTTCGATACTGATGAAAGGATCCATGAAGATGGGGTGGTCTCACGGCGTTTTGCTCCTCGTCCTGCGTCCCCTTCAGATAAAACGCCTCGAATTGACCCTCGGGCAGCAGGATGTCTTTCAGGTTCTTGTCATTCGGATCATACGCAGCTGCGAGGGTGATAATTAACGCGACGACGAGGCACATCTGCGAAATTAAACATGCAGGGTTAGTTAAGTTAATAATTTTTTTAAATTAAGTTTAGTTAAAGTTAGCTGCTTATAAAATTATTTTTCATGTAGAATATATATTTTTTGTAATTACAATTGATGACAAATAAACAAAAAAATTAATAATACTTTAATTTAAAAAAATAATACGTTTAACTCTGACAAAAAACAATAATAGTATTTATAGAGATAAAAGAAATTTAACTTGGAAAAAAAATTAATAAGTTTAAGATCAGAAATAACTAGTTGAAGTTAAAAATTAATATTGTTTTAAATAAACTAAACTAAGTTAAAAATTATTAACTTTTTAACTTTTTTCAACTAATTAACTAGTTATTACCCAACCCTGCTTATCTTATTATATATTTTCATCTGGAACGTAAAAAGAAAAAACTCGTAAAAAAAATTTCTTGAAAATTCAACGGAGCAGAATATCGCATACAATCTGTGCGTCAAAGCATTTAATGACGCCTTATTACGATCGTCACTATTGGACGTAACGAGTAATTAAACGAGAGAATAAGTGGCAATAATTTGCGCATAAACAAGCATATATACGTACTAATAAAATGCCTCTATCGCTCCACGCCGTTATCATTTTCCGTTCCATTTCCTCGGCGATATCTTGCGCGATCAAGACGAATTAAAAGTGGTGACTAATGTGATGTGATGTGTCGTATGTCGTTAGGCGATGTGTAAATCTCTCCCTCGGCTAAATCAATGAAAACAGGGAAAGCGATAAATCGGGTCATTGGTCGGATTAATTGCAGGTTGCTCCGGGAATGTGTTCGCAATTAACTATAAATGGAGAAAAATGGTTGCGTTTGTTCGTCCGTAAAGTGCATTTCCGTTGGGCGCTAATATCCAGGTACTCAAGATATACCTGGGCACCACGTACTGTGGATTTAATGTTGCGTGTGAGCATCGCCTCGATTCGCAGGATAAGTCTAGAGTAAGATACATCGTGTGCCTCTAATAATAACTCTACTCTGCGTAAAAGCGAGTCTTAAGAGAAAATCGAAGTGTGTAAGAGAGGCAGGAGATCCCGTGTGTATAGCATTAGAATCTTGTGAAAGAGCTTAACTTAATTTCGAAAATTTCAAAGTACGAAGGAAAGATTAACATAAAGAGAGAGAGAAAAAGAGATAACGTTTACGGAAAAATTTATCTGTCGAAAGAAAGAAAGAAAGATCGGCACGTTCTCTACGCATTTATTTATGCATGGATGACTTTAAACGTGAATGAATGTAATTGTAACCGCAATGTAAATCGTTCGAAATAGCGAATATTGCGACGTGCGTATCATTTTAAATACGGTTCTCTCTAGGGGCTGTCCACTTAACCCATTTCCTGTCAAATTTTTTGTATTCTTTTTAATAATATTATATGTGTTTGCATAGAAACACGAGTGAAATTTTACATGCAATTTTCAAAGGTAAAAAATAAAAATAGATCCTTTATTTAATTTTGAAATAATTCCATTTAGGTACACGGATTTGTAATTTTATTGCAAATCGTCAATTGCTGTTAATAAATAAATCCCCAAGTAGAAATCAGAAGAGAATGGATCAAACGATTTAAAAAATCACATTTTTACGATTGTTTTCAATTCGCCTTGTTACGTGTGTAAATATATACGTGTACCTTGACCGCTCACTTATTGCGAAACAGGTCTTTACGAAATGCAAGGTCTTTCATCGTCCAGATACGAAAGTCTAAAAGACACCTAAAAAGAAATACGAAGACATCTTTAAGACGTATTTTTACGACGCAGTTATATCCGAATTAATAGTGAAACAATAAACAATGGAGAGGCAGTTATTACGTCAATTGCCGTAAATCTTTTAATCACGTGGAAGCCATGAAAAGTCCGTGTTTTTATGAACATTTAACTAATGTTAACGATGCAGATCACGCGAGAGAAAAATTATGTTTCTCCATCGCTTTCTTTCTTTCACACGAAATAAGAGGAATGTTGTTATTCTGAGAAGCCACTGAAATTGAATATTTATAATCTGTGAATTAATCGTCGTATCAACACCGCGTAGGTCTGGATGTGCCGAGATAAAGCATCAGTAAATAACTGTAAAACGGCGTTTACACACAAGCCTATCCAATTAAGGATCACGATGATCCGCGGAGCACGAAAGCGAAAGTATTTAAGCAAAGCGTGACGAAACGAAGCGTCTCATCTAGTCACTTTACGGATTTTAAATGGTTTCGAACCAACACATCGCAGATGATCGACTATGATATCGTAGAAACAGATACCTCCTTCCTTTGTGTTTACAAAAAAAATATGCGAAATGTACATAATTATATATAATCTATAATAAAAAAAGGAAGCACGCTAATTTACCAAAATTTTTTCAGAAGAACCCACCAGTTGTTCGTCAACGGATTACCATTCCCACCAGCTGATACTCTACAATTAAGGACTAATGTGTTGCGATCTAAAATGAAGATAAAAGGAAAAACATGTTAGACTCGGGTCAAGCGTGACGAAGCAAGACGTCTCATCTAGCCACTTTACGGATTTTAAACATCTTGAAACCAACACATTGCAGATTGATCGACTATGATAGAAATAACAGGTATCTCCCTCCTTTGCGTTTTCGGAATTACAGAAGAAAAAGCGAAATGTACATAGTTATATATAATCTAGAATAAAAAAAGGAAGCGCACCAATAATTTACCAAAATTTTGTTCAGAAGGACCCACCAATTGTTCGGCAACGGATCACCAACTGGTCGAACTGATACTCGACTATAATTGATGAGGACCAATGTGTTGCAATCTAAAATGAAGATAAAACGAAAAATACGTTAGACTTGGGTCAAGCATGACGAGATGTCTCATCTACTTTAAGAATATTATACGCCTCGGAACCAACATATCGCAGATTGATCGATTATGATATCGTAGAAACAGATATTCCTCTTCCTTTGCGTTTTTGAAATTACAAAAAAAACATGCGAAATGTATGTACATACATATAGCTATATATATAATCTAATCTAATAAAAAAAGAAAGCGCGCCAATTTACCAAGTTTTTTTTTCAGAAGGACCCACTGATTGTTCGTCAACGGATCACCATTCCCTCCAGCTGGTCGAACTGATGATACCCGACAATTGACGTGGATCAATGTGTTGCAATCTAAAATAAAGACAAAAGAAAAAACATATATTAGACTCGGATCAAGCTCTGTCCATCGGCTTTATTAAATTGTATCCTTCAGACACGTGCCTTAGGTAAATGACACCTGCGGAAAATCGCGCGCACGCGTGGACTCTCCGCGCGGAAAGACTTGGAAAGACTCACCGAGTCAGGAAAAAGTGAAAGCCAGCAGCGGCGCCGCCGCCTCTCGCGATATAGAAGCGGATTTCAAGCGTCACCGCCTCGCATCGGTGCGCCTTCGCGGCCTTGTCGCGTTCCTCGGCGAAGTGGAAGTCGCCGCTGCTGTCCTCGTCCGCAAAAACGGAAGTCGATGAAAGTGGAAAACGAGCCGAGGCGCGTGTGCGCCTTCATTTTTTGTTGCGCGCTAGAGACACGCGCGCACGCTTCTCATCGCGATTGACGCGCGTATCTCTAGCGAAACGAATAAACGACAGCCTTTTTTCTGCTTGGCCGACGCTTTTTTCTAAGTACACTTTAATTCTGTAATATCTCTTCACCGGCCGATCACAATTAACGTTTATATTAAAAGCAACTGAACATAATATACTCTGTATGTTTAATACATGATGAAGAGATATCGTCCCGTCAATCAATAAAAATATATAGCGTCCTGTCGATGAAAAGAGAAGTTCAATTTAATTTCTTGATTGAAAGATTATTAAGGAGAAGTAGAAAAAACCTACGAGAACGATATAATTTTATGAATCGAAAAAAAAGATGTAATAATGCGTTCTTAGTAACAGTAAAACATAAAATACAACTGACTTAAACACAATTCCATAGGAATTGTTCCACATAAAAAATACAATCCAACGATTGGCAATTATCGTTGTGCATTAAATTATTATCATTATTATTAAGAGGATAATATGTAATATATTCTTTATAATATTATATATATATATATATATATATATATATATATATATAGTAATAATATATAATAATATATCTTATTTAATTCTTTGCGGGTAGTGGTCACACAGAGAAATTGGAATAATAAAGTTATTTCGTGGAATATATTGCAACATTAAATTGTAAAGAGTTAATTATATACTTTATCGTTATTATAAATGCTAATTATTGACTTTTTCTTTACAGTTGTTGTTTGAACAACTAAAAACTAAATTTATGGATTACAACTGAATTGCTATATATTTCACACTGCCGCATTATATGATTGTAGAGAGATTAATCCGCTTGTGTGCTTTACAAGATATTCCATTTATTATTATATGTATTATATATATATATATATATATATATATATATATATATATATATATTATGTTTAAAAGTTATATATATATATATATATATATATATGTAATACACCCCCGCATAATTCAAAATATAATATATATTTATTTCCAGTTTGGAGAACGAGTATAGAAAGTGATATGGAGAAATTACTGCAGCAGATTAAAATGCTAATTATTGCCAATCTTTTTCACATTAGCAACCGCGCGACTGATCGCTCGTTTCCAAGTCAAGCAGGGAAATCTCCGAATGCGAGTTTAAGAATGCGCGACTAACAAGGGAACATTGCTGGAGCTCTTGCAAGTTTGGATGAAACTTTACGAGTACAGTGACTCGAGAAGGACATGAATTAATTATCCGGGGAAATACACTTGAATTTCAAAGGAATAAAACATCTTCTTCGATATGTCGAGGTAAGTTTCCTATTTTGGCATTTAATCAATGTTGACACGTTAGCTACGAGTTAAGAAGAAAAAAAAATTTAATTCTTAAAAGTTAGTATTTATTATGTCTTTTAATATGTATATATATATAATTTGATGTGTGATTGGAAAAAATACAACTCCCCTCTTTACCTGCGGAATGAAGAAAATAGATCGTAACAAATATATAAATTAAATAGTTAAAATTTAATTATATTAAATATAAAAGTCAGTTACAAAAATTATCTTATTAACAAAGATGCATAATTTTTGTCGTGTAACATTTCGATATAAAAGTCGCGTAGTTTGTGTTCAAAGTACATAATAGTATAGATATCAAACAGAATTATTTTATAAATTATTTGAGTTTGATATATGTTTATAAAAATATGAAATAAGTGTGTGAAATCTAATCTTGACAGAGATAAATGAAAGTTGAAGATGTCAAAGAACGTTTTCATTGTCCATTACAATCATCGTAATATCTAGATCATACGATTATATTTCTATTTTGTCGCAATAATCTTATTTATATATGCTTTATATCTTTAGGAAATGTTATATTTCTTTGGATAAAATATCATAATTACCAGAGCCGGATTTACTTGTAAGCGCACTATCTCGGGTAAAATCGTGAATTCAGGGGCCTTTGACAAACCACATCACTATTATAGAAACTAATATCAAACTTTGCAACATTATATCAATTTAAAAATTCATATGATGAATATATCATACACATATGTATATATAGTATGTATATTTCATGCATATACTTATATAATAAAATTTCTTTTAATTGTTTATATAAATATAATTCTAACTGTAATATAAATGAAATTGATATTAATAAAAAATCAAATTATATAATAATCAATAATTTTAAAACAAACGTTTATAGATATTATGTATGCATCTGTATTATAATCTTATATTTATAATTTGAAAAATTAATTAGGCCTAATTCTATTTGTGTTATATTATATATATGACACTTTTATTAAATATGTTCATTTTCTATATCTAAATTTATATACTCTAGCATTCCAAAATATATTGCATCCAAAGACTTAGAAAACGTAAATTCAGCCCTGATTATTATTCTTAAGTACTTTTCTCTAACGTCATTCTCTAACGCAATTCGGACAATATATATTTTAGATAATAGTATAAAATTACAAATATTCCACGCGCGCGAAAGAGAATGTAAATATACATACATTTATATTAAATATCTATATGTTCTATATCGAGAACTTCTCACTTACACCTTTTTCGTTACAATTGCAAGATTTGTGTTACATATTATGTTATGTAGTTTTATATATATAAATATATTGTATATAATCAATTCTCAAAATTATGAAATAAATAAGTATAATATAGCAACAAATAGAATTTTTATAAAAAAAACAAATATAAATAATTGATTATAATATAATATAATTAAGGCTCCCGTTTCTGCATTAGTCATTAAAACATAATGTCAAAAGCGAGAAATTATGTAAATTTCTTTCTTGCAATATATATATTAAAATAAATTTTCTTGCTCCACCACATATCCGGTAGAACATTGATAAAATACACCAAAAATTCATTATTCCATAAATCAAAAAGTATAAAGGAATTTCCCAATTTAAATTATTGAATATAAAATAACAAGCATATATAAAGCAAGAATACAAATAAGAATATAAATTTTATTTTACAGAAGAGAGATTTGCGTGAATTTTTCATTTCTAATATAAATCAATATGACGTTAATGGGAGACGAGAAGCCTTAAGCCGCATTAAATTTCTCACTTTGTTAATTTTTAATACTTTTACTATCACAATATCTTCTTTACGAGTGATAAGCAAAAGTTTGAGAAATAATATGAAATTCAATTACGTGAAATAGTAGAAAATTCTTAGCATTTTGAACTGAACACAATATCAATCCATCCTTACATATATATATATATACAGAATAATCCTAGAGTGGAAAAATTTTGCACGATTTAACAAACTTTGAGAAAAAACAATTTTTACATAAATATTATATGATTAAAGTTAAAAAAATATAAATTAAACTTTAAAAAATAGATAAAAAGTGCAATTATTGTTTACAGATGTATCAATATATTTGCTGAAAAAATGTCATAAAGAGCTAGAGTTTATTCAATTATATACTTGCGTGTGCAAAATTTTTCTGATATCTTTTTCTTAAAAAAGGTTACTCCAGTTTCCAGAATTAATCTGTATGTCACACATAAACGTTAATAATTAATTAGTATTTATATACACTAAATATTCCTCTATGTAAGTCATGGTTATACATATCAAAATATATAATTTAGACAGAATATAGATACGAATCTAGTTTTGTCTTTGCATTAGGAGGTGAGGTAAAAGGGGAAAACCAAGCTATCGAAAATCTTCCAAAAACTGCCTGAATTGATTTCCATCTGCTATTACGAACCCATCTAGCTTCCTCTTTTTTAAGTTGTTCTATACCCTGCAATTTTTATGAGTATAAGTCACAATATCTTTTTTATATAATTTCATAAAAAAATAATTAAAATCTACATACAGTTTCATCATTCCAAATAGCTTGTAATTGCGTGCCTAACATCACAGCAGTAAAAATGGCGAATAAAAGTGCCTCGAATGCCAAAAATAACAATAATACTACCGTCGCCGGTGGATTAAATGTGGAGCATTCCCTCCATTCTTGTCTGACACATGTGGTGAATTGTTGTATACACAAAAATAGAGATTGTAGGGATATGCCCGCTATATAAAACTAAAACATAACAAAAAGTATAAGTAAAGAATTATTGTACAAAGTATATTTCAATAGATTTAAAAATGTTTAAACATTTAAAATATTAAAAATGTTTTGACAATTTTAATTGTTCTTTGCAAAGATTTACATCACACAATAATATATTTATATATAATTTTTAAAATACTTACAGTAAAAAGTACAAAGTATTTTTGATTATTTTCTCCCACACAATTATTAACCCATGGACAATGATGATCCATTTTTCTAATACACCTACAATCAATATTATATAACATATAATTGCCTACACCTCGCATATTCAAACTCAATCCTATCAGTTTACCTTTGGCAAACGGAGCAATGATGTGCTCTGTCAGGCTTGATAGAACAACATTTTGGACACTTAAAAATAACTTGTCCATCTCTAAATCCCATTTGTTGTATCATCTCTTTTGTTGCATTACCTTTTGGTACTGCACCCTGTGTACAAAATATCAAAAATCTTTATGTGCATCTTTATGTGTATCTTATATTTTTCAATATTTATAGTTGTGAATATATATCTAATAAATATTAAATATTATCTTAATTACCGGATCTGTGAACATGGTTCTTAAATGTGATGCAAAAGCCAAGAATGCTAGAGATTGAAAAATGGCCATATTTAGGCTGGAATATACTGTATTTATTGTAGGAATAAGAATCACTGCCATTACAACAAATTCTGCATAAATTATCAATAGCCATGTTAATATCGCACATATGATGCCACATATGTCCTATAAATACAAATGTTACATTAAGATTACATACATTGAGGTAAATAAAAATTTAATGGATAAGTGTTGCTTGTGTTTGCTTTGAATATTCATATGGTTGAATACTAAATAAGAATTGCTTATTTTGTTTTCTTTGACTCTATAAGTACTAAATAAGACTTTAATGATGTCACTGAATGGCATCATTAAAATCTGAACAGCAAAATACGAATTCTTTTTGACCATAGAAAATGCTATGAAAGAAACATTATTTTATTTATATTTTGTTTATAAGGATATTTCAAAAATTGATTGTTGGATTTGAAAAATATCAATTTATTTTTAAATATCATATAAAAACAAAATTTTTTCTTTTCCTTATCTAAAACTTACACTTATACATATTCAATTGCTTATGATGTTGATGCAAACTTTTATTGCTTACAAAGCAAACTTATCCAATATAGAATGCAAAACATGCATGCGTTAAAAATAATATTTATAAGACTTGCCTTAATACACCAAAGTTTTCCACCGCAACATTTATTATGAAAATCTTTCTCCCTGTGAAAGGGCATATAATCATAATCCATTGTTGAAAGTATTATTCACTGAATTGCTATATCCTTTGCGAAACATAAGGGAGATCACAAACACCTCCACCTTCGTACACGCAAAAATTCACAGCCACACTCCTAAAAAAAAAAACACAATTTTTAAAAATATAAAAACATCAGTTGAAACATGTTACATTTTTCAGCATTAAAGCTGGAGCCTGAGTATTATTTGTATCCGATATGAGAATCACATTTGACAAGATAAATATTGTTCAGTGTTGTTTGTCAATGATAACGAAAATTTAGACAGTCGCAGATAATACACGGAGTACATCGGAAATGACATGTCAAAATTTCTCGGAGGTTGCGTCAATAAATAATAAAAACTATTAAATACTTACATTGTTATGCGATGACATGCATTCGTGATGGACAACGTACGATGCTTGTCGTCATATTGTTTTGCACTGTAGCGTCGCAAAAACGCGTGTACACCGTAAAATGGAAATTGATTTTCCCCGATAACACCTACGATGTAATTAGCAACGAAGTGGGTAGGGTGTGCGTTTATAAAGCCATCGATATCTATATACGAATATATACGTTTTAATCTCTCGAATGAATTTTAATTTATCAATCGAGAGATTAATATCTCACGAATGGAGCAGTCGGCTCTTATATCCGATGTACCAGAGGATATTCCTATCTTCCTCTCCTTCAACGTTATTATCATTTACGTATCATAATTCGTAATAACGGTTCACGGAAACATGTAAACGCGCCGCACCGAAGGAAGCGCGATCTGACGATCCTGTCACATCACGTGCGCAATCTAGGAGATCCGCGAATAATGACATTTGCATCTAGAGCGGAAACTCGACTCGTCATTTCGAATTCTCGCGCCCTCGCTTCCGACCGGCCAATCAGCGCCCGGCGCCTCTCGCTCCCGATTGGCCGGCGTCACGGGCGAGCGGCCAGTCAGCGCGCGACGCTCCTCGCGCCCGATTGGTCGATCGAACGCAGCGCTCCTCCGACTGGCGAATTCTCGAACGCGACCCACATATGCACGTACGGCACGTAGGTCCGTCGAGGGGGCAGGGGGGGGGCCCACGGTCATATTGGCTACTTGTGACTTTGGGGAGGAACGAGTAAAAAAATAACCCAACTTTCCTCGTCTCTGCGTGAAGGAAGAAAATGCTGTTCTGGAGTATCATCGTCCATTGATCCCCAGGCTACGTCGATCGTGTCAACGTGATCGCGGCACCGGGCGCCGGGGCCACCTCATCTCTCGCCAACGAAGACCCCGTCTCTCTCTCTCTTTCTCTCCGTGGAAAATGGTGAGTTTCGTCCCTCCCGGTCGGCGCCCACCGTCCGTCAACTTTCAAAATAATTACGCTCGCGCACTTCCTCGGCGTTACATCACTCAACTTTGTTTCTCTGCACGCAGAGTTTCTTCGGTTTCGGCCAGTCCGCCGACATAGAGATCACGTTGGACGGCGCTGAGACGCGAAAGACCGCGGACATCAAATCCGAGGATGGCAAGAAAGAGCGGCATCTGCTGTATTATGACGGCGAGACCGTGTCCGGCAAGGTATGGGATCAGCCGCACCGAATTCAACGTTGTTCGGTTTACCTGTTTCCCCAAAACTGCAGGAATTTCAATAGAGCTGAAAACTGTTTACGTATTTGCATGCGATGTGTTTAGTGCGTTGAAAGCTACATGACTTATTTCATGAAACTTGAGTATTATATTTCTATCACGCATAGACCATTTGTTAATACTTGGTGAATTGAATTGTCAATTATTACAAATTTTATATGTATATAATTCATTTTATACATTCATTTCATATTTGAAACATTTTATATTTAAGTTATCTTACTGTTCTACATTTTATATTTGTTTTACATATTAATTTATTAATAATTAAAAAGTACAATTACTGAAGAATAGACATAATATATTTTATAGTTATATATATTTCTCTACAAAATCTATATATCATGCATTTTTTGAATTACTTTGAACTTTGCATTATATTAATCGTTTGTGATACATTTTGTTACTTAAAAATTTTATATTACTTATATGCTTTTATAATGTACAAATTTTTTACTAAATTAATGCTTGCAGATCAACATTAGTTTACGGAAAGCTGGTAAATTGGAGCATCAGGGTGTTAAAGTAGAGTTTATTGGACAAATTGAGCTATATTATGATAGAGGTAACCATCATGAGTTTACAAGCTTAGTGAAGGAATTGGCAAGGCCAGGAGAATTAACACACAATACAGTGTACACATTTGAGTTTCCAAATGTGGAGAAACCATTTGAGAGTTACACTGGCTCCAATGTGCGACTAAGATATTTCTTGAAAGTGACAATTGTACGAAGACTTAGTGACATTGTTAAAGAACTCGAATTAGTTGTGCACACTCTTAGTTCCTATCCAGATATGAACAATCCCATTAAGATGGAAGTTGGAATTGAAGACTGTTTGCATATCGAATTTGAATATAATAAAAGCAAGTAAGTAAATTGAACGAAATATTTAAATTGTTCTAATGATTCTCTGAATTTGTAGCACTAAGTATGCCTTTTTTCAGGTATCATTTGAAAGATGTAATTGTTGGCAAAATATATTTTCTCTTGGTTAGAATAAAGATAAAACATATGGAGATAGCAATCATCAAACGAGAAACTACAGGTTCTGGTATGTTTTAAATAACATTATGCTTAATTAGAGAATGCAGTAATGCAGTATTAACTATAATTTTCTGCAGTTTTGAGTGCATGTGGAACAGCATGTTTGGCAAAATTGGAATGCGAGTTTTGGTTTTACAAATATTTTTCTTGATATTCAGGCATACTGAGGCAATAATTAGAATACATATTTGCAGGTCCTCATACGTTTACTGAAAACGAAACTATAGCAAAATACGAAATCATGGATGGTGCACCTGTTCGAGGAGAATCCATTCCTATAAGGGTGTTTTTGGCTGGCTACGATCTAGCGCCTACAATGCGCGATATTAATAAGAAATTTAGCGTTAGATATTATCTGAATCTGGTTCTCATGGATGAAGAAGATCGGCGATATTTTAAGCAACAAGTGAGTTATAATCCATATAAATGTAATATTTAATACGATTTTCTTTTAAATTATTATATTTTTCTATGTATTAAACTAATTGTGTTAAAATATTATTGCTATACTTCTTTTTATTTTTATATTATATATTACATGTTCTATTATATATTAAGCGTGGTCTATAATAGCAGTAAGAGTAAGTAATGAGATTTGTTCATTTCGTTATTCCCGACGAAATGAGCAAATCCCATTTCGTACTGCTTACTCTTACTGCTTACTTACTGCTATTGTAGACCACGCTTTATATATTTTATATATATAGTATATTATTTTATATGATATTTATATATTTTTGTATTCATAGGAGATTACATTGTGGAGGAAAGGTGAGAAAAGCAGAAAATCACAAACGGCCTCGCCACACATGCCATCGCATTTAGTGTCTGCCGAGACGGGATTCCCGCAAGGCGCACCTCAGAACGGTCCACCGTCAGTGCCGCCTGATTCCGATCAACTGCCAACGAGTAATATTACGAATGTAGAGGATACTCCAGCGCCAATCGAAGGCATGACAAGAGAGGAAGGAGACGGCGAGGGCGAGAAAGAAGGAGGTCCAGAAAGTGATTGAGTCCTTGCACGTAGTTCTGTCCCTGGTGTCAATTACGGCCCAGATTAAATGAGAATGTTAAGTATGGCTAAAATGTGCAGCAAAGGGTTTAGCTTAAAAATGTCTCCTTTATTGTGTACATTGGGAGATTTGTTTTTATTGAGGAAAACAGCGGGACATATAAAAGACCTGCTAATAAAGTTGTAAATATTTTGGATACCAGAAATATATATATATACATATATATATTGTGCATGTGTGTATATATATATATATATATGCATGTACGTATAATTGAGAGCGAATGATTTATAATTAGTATATTACTGATCAAAATTATAATACTATCGAGAAATGAATTAAGAAAAAAAGATTTTGCCATTTTGAAAGAAAATAATTCCAAGATAATTTAACGTATTGCAAATCAGGATATAATATGAACAAGCAGTACGAAAATATTTCTGAATGGACGGCTTACTAATCAAATATTAACCAACCAACGGTACATTTTGCAAAACATCTGAATGTTACAGTGTTCTAAATGTTTTATACAGACAACTTTCACCCGCCTACTGTATAATTCTGAAAAATCCAAAGTCTCTCTTTATGGCAGCGTCATGTTATGCAAAGAGAGTTTATAAATGCTGAGTGGATATAATATACTCACAAAGGCTGCCCCATATTAATCCGTTCACCTAGTCTACGAAAATAAATAAACGAAGACATAAAAGAAAAAACTACTTATGTATATGATGCACATTTTTTGAAAATAATTTATATGTATAAGTATATATATTGACACGCGTGACATTTCTCAAGCGAGTAAAATCGCATTATTTTTAGAACAAGTTTGTATTAAAAAAAGAAAAATGTCGATTGTTGCATAATATTACCTATAGAGATTCACCTTTGAGTTTAGCACAACTGTAGGAATCTTTTCATAAAATAGACTTTTATACGCAGAAATGTGTACATTTTGCGTATCATAATCTTCCAAATAGGCAAATTATGATATCTGCTCAAATCTTGATATGCCTTTCTGAACACAGGAATGGACTATGATAGATTAAATAATGGGGTAGCCACCTCGTATATTTATAAATATACATAATACATACTGTGCAGTATCATGTATATATATGTATATGTATATGTATATATGTGTATGTATATACATACATACATGTATATACATATATATATTCACTTTTTCATTCTGGCAATAACTTGGATTATATAGATAGTCCAATAAATTGACACATTAGCAAAGTAATATTTCACGAAAACACAAAAGTAAAAATAACAATAATTTTTTTAAATTAATTGCGTAGCATTTTCAGAAAATCAATTTTGAATATTGAGAGTAATGTGCGTTTATTACACTATATGAATTAGTTTTCTTGTACAGAACACCAATCAAAGAGAGATCTATATCTTAATTTTTTTATGAAATTATTTTACAGACTAGATCATGATTTAATCAATATTCTATATATATATATATATATATATGTAAACAGACATATATTTATATATTGTAATATTACACAGACAGTCATATAAAACATATTTTCTTTCTTCCATCGTTACAGTGAAATACGACGATGAAAGTAAATGCTTCTGTAGAAGAAAAACTTATCGTTTTGTACTGTTCTAATAATTCTATATCATGGAGATTTGACTGTAAAAAGAACTTTACCAAGATATATATATATATATATATATATATATATATATATATATGCATAGTAATAGAATATATATATTATATAATATATATGTATATAACATATACATATTGTATGTATATGTATATATATACATACATGTAACTAACGCCCATAATTTTGTTTTGTGTAAGTTGAATCTTTACATAATCCATGCCTTTGTTATTTGTTGATTGTAAAAAATGAGATGATAAGAGAGACAGAGAGATACAGAGAAGTAAGAAAAAGGAAAAAGGAATGTGTTATGTAAGTAAAAGGAGGAAAAATCTATTTGTGAATTATTTGACTTGTCAAATATTGTGTGTGTATGTATGTGTTTGTGTATATACATTTATATATATATATATATACACACACAGATATATACATATTATCATGTGCGGTATTCACCTAGTTGTATATTTTAATGCCCATATGAATATATATTATATATTGTATACAATGCATATGTGCATACACATGTATATTGGAAACTTATAGCTAATTGACTTATATATGTATATGTATGTATGTATATATATATACACACACCCAGTCCAGTCTTCACGATCCTGCTCAGTTTTACATAAATTTTTAATGTATTAGAATTAGGAAATCATTTACTAGCGAGTAAAATTATGCATAAATTTTATAAAATCATGTATATCTGTGTTGAAAGGGTTGCCGAAATTGATACTTTTGCGCCTTTTTATTTTTATCAAATTGTTTTAAAATGTGTAACGCGCTTACACTTGATCGTCAAATGTAGAAATTCGTATAAAAAAATAAAGAAAAATTTAATTTTTGTTAATAAGAATGTAAATCGTCAATTATGTTACAATTTAATAAAATGATATATGATGTAACATGTGTAAAAGCTACACTGGCTATCAAAATTTTATAGTCATCATTAGCACAATAATTTTGTGTAAAATTCTATAATAATTGACGATTTTACATATAAAAAATAATACAACATGAATTTAAAATTTCATGTCATGGCGCGTCGACATTTTTGTAGCTTCAAAAAATTCTAGCCAATCAGAACGTTCGATTCATCATTCGATATATGCGATATTAGCCTTACATTTAATGTCTCTTTTCAACAGAGTCCTATCTATAATTCATTATTTCAAAGGTTGATGTTTTTCAAATCCTTTGGCTACTGCAGAATCAAAAATTATGTCAAGAAAAAACATAATATATCATACATTAAACCGGACGAGCCGAAATTTTTACGAGAGTTAAAAGAACAAATCGGATATAAAGAAGGTCCCAATGTCGATACGAAAGTAAGATATTTAACAATATGCAACTTTGTTTATAACCTTTGTGTGTATGTTTGTAATACTTTGCATGTTTTACAATTTATTAATCTTGAAAAAGGACAGAGTTATATTATAATAAAAATATTTATATGTTTGGTTAAACTAGAGGGAAATACTACCAGAAATCTCTGACGATGAAAAGGAAGAGTTAGCCGAGGAGAAGCCTGTTGTTGTTGTATTGAACTCTGGTGATTTAACAGCGGAAGAAGCAGATGCCTTCCAAAAACAGAAAGAGAAAGGTACAAGTTGTTTTAAAATGCTTTAAAGTAGTTACTATAGTACAATTTATCACAGTTATGCATTAATTTGTAGAAGAAAAAAATGCTCCAGCTGATCTATCTAAGAAGATTATCTTTCGTAAGACTAAAGCAGCAGAAACTGAGTTGGATAAATCGGATACAGCTGCGACAGATAAACCTGTGAGGAAGAAAGCAAAAAAGGACAAGCAAAAGATTGTTTTATCCTTTGATGCTAATGATGATGACGATGATATTGGATAACATTCGATATGAATTAAATATCATAAATGTAAGTAAATTTTTTTGTAAATATAGTAAATTATTTAATACATATTTTATACATTAAGGTTATATATGAGAAACTAATCATAAGAGAAATGATTACTTTCGATTTGTGAGAGAATGAATTTATTGTCAAAACTTGGAGATGTGACTCTCCTTGAAGTTTACAAAGATGGCACAAATGTATATTACATCAAGAGCAAAGGCAATAAGTGAATTACTATTTTTTACAATAAATATGCGATGTGTCTGAAAGTTTAAAATGATATCCTTGACTAATAAAATAAGAAAAATTACATGGATGATAATTAAAGAAACCATAAGTTGATTATTAGGCATCTGCATCAGGAAGACCTAAGAAAATGCATTAAAATATATTATATTTTTTCATATTTTTCATATATTTATATAATTTTTTTAATTTTTAATATTTCATATAATTTTTCATATATTTATATATTACGTATTTATAGACAAATAGCTCACAATAAATTATATATATTTTACAAATTGATCAAAACTAAAACTATCATTAGAATCAAAATGTATACATTTATATAGTATATAATTTACAATATATACATATATACGTGTTGCAAATATAAAAATATCGATCGACATAAATTGCTGGTAAAGAAATAGGCGATTTTCGTCTCTTCTCTCCAAGTCCCGACTAATTTTCGTCAGGAGACATGTTGAATATCAATTAGAATAATTCGTAAAGGGCGGATGCCCGATATACGTTGCGGTCCTTGATCGCGTTCACCCCCCCATTCATCGCCATATTTCGATCGCGGATCGCCCTTATTTTTAGGGAAGCGTCATTCTCATTGGACACGCACGTGCGCTCAGTCACGTGACGCGCGCGCGACAAGCTGTTACTGGTCGTTCGCGCCGGCCCTTTAACAGACGGCGCGCGCGACGTCATTAAAGTACGTCGGTGCGTCACGTGATCGCCGTGTCCGCCATCTTGGCAGTCTCGTCGACGGTGGGTTAAGAGGAACGGATCGGTGACGTCGCGCGTCGCGTCGCGTCTCTCGAATAAAACGCGCGAGGTGTCACGCAAGAGCAGGTCCACGAGCTACCACGGGAGCATCGCCGAGACGAGTAGTATCCCCGGATGATCACTGGGAGGCCGTCTGCACCGTCGCCGGGAGATTCGCCAAACACGACACGGTCAGTGCGAGTTTAAATAAGCGCGGCAATCCGACGATCGTGCGTGTCGTATCGCCTCGTCGTCGACAACGGCGTCGACGTGCAACGATGATCCCCGTTGTCGTCCCCCATGCGGATGACGGGGATATGGGGTCGCCGCGGCAGCTGTTCCACGACACGTCGGTCGCCGAGAAATGGCGGGAGCTCCGACCAGTTCATGCCTATGTGTATATATATATATATATGTGTGTGTGTATATATATCATATTATCGCATCGAGTGAATTGATCTGTCAGATTTTTACGACAGCTTTTTTTCTCGCGGATTCTCGGCGACGATTCACCAGGTGCCCGCGCGTCTCCTCTCTCTCCTTTTCTTATCGCCTCCCTCCCTTTTTTCTCCTTCCCTCTCCCACTCTCTCGTCATCATCCCGCGTGAGATCTGCTCCTATGAACGAATAAATCTCGACGCAAGGCCGTATAAACGACGGACACACGCTTGCATCGATAAACAATGCCAGAAACCCAAAATGGAGGCTAGGTAGGGAGTTTTGATGATAAACAGTAGCGTCTGTGTTAGCGTCCGAGTCCCCCGGGTCGTTGAATTTATTTTTGCGTTAAATTTATTTCGACTTTTTTTTTTTTTTTTTTTTTTTTTTTTTTTTTTTTTTTTGTTACAATTGATTTTGACATGTAAAATATACACGTAAAGATAAGAACATTTTCTTATATAACTGTCTGAAACCTGTATATATACGTTCCTTATCTCTATATATTTTTCGGTAGATGATTCATCGCGATAAAATCTTTTAAAAATGTTTGTTAATTGTTTCTTTCTTTTTTATTTTAATGAGTAAGAGATTTATAAATAGAAGAATTGAAGAATTATTATTGATTTATTTATTAATATTATTTATTCACTAATTTATTTATTTGTTTACAACACAAACTAGATATACATTTATTTATTTTTATTGAATTGAAGAATTATTTATTTATAGATAGAAGAATTGAAGAAATCGAAATTTTAGACAACTGTAGCCTCGTAGAACCAGATATTCTTGCATCTTTATATGTACTATAATAGAATCAGGGCACTGACCTCGTTATTTATGCTTCTTTTTGTGTTAACATTACCATAGTCGAAGAAACGAGGCTTGAACAATTCGTAAATCCATAAAATCGATATTTTTTTCAGAAATAACTAGCTTCAATATAAACTTATCTATATCTTAATTGAAATTGACAATTTAATTGATAATTAAAGTTAATTACGGTCCAATCATCGCTAATTTAAAAAAATTCTCATTTTAAAGTGCTTTTTAAGCGTAAATTTTAAATGTAAATTCACTCTACGAAAAAAGAATTTTTCTTTTATTCTCTAAAATAGATTGTGTTTAAATACTTGCTAATTGAAACACGATGTCAAATTACACGAGATGCACAATAAATTTACCAATGTCTAATATATATTAATTATAATGCTCACAATTTTAGCACGCGGTCTCGTTAGTCAATTATCGACCGAATTTTACGAGAATTTTTTTTCTTTAATTGTCAGACTAAAAGCTCTACGTGCTGCAAATTCTAAACTTGTGTTTACCACGGTAAAAGTATAACGGGGAGATTGAATTACGCGTGTTAAACAGATATGGTGAAATCGTGAGAAACGCACACTTTGCCGTTTCCAACAGTTTGCTTCCTTCTCGGTTGCTTCTCGCCTTAAGGGATTAGAAACGCCATAAACGTTCTGCAATTCTTTATTTATTGCGTTTTTTTTATTTCCAAGGATTATCGTATTCGGTAAAAGGGGGAAAAATTAAATCGACCGACTTCCATTGTGCAATTAATTGCAGAAATTTGTTTCCGTAACGAAAATAGCGTCGCATTTATAATCAATTGTCACAATCGCATTGCGAAGGAAGGAAACAAAATGTTTTTATGCAAATGCAACTGCAATTATAAAACGAACGAAAGGTCAACTCTGAATAACAGCTTTAATTGATTTAACTATGATTAAAATTATAGGTTTTCGTGTAAGATTTTAGGTAAATCGATTATCTGGAAGATCCATTTTGGACAGTCGTATCTAAAACGAGCTTCAGAAATCAAAGAATTAGATTTTCAAATCATTTTAAGTTTTGGAAAATAATCATAATATAATAATATTAATATATTATTTATATTATATTATAATTATTTATATTATATAATTATTATAATATATTATAATCAATGTTTTTTAATTAATCTAATAAAATTATATAAATAATCATTTAAAGTTTTGACGTTATCTTATCTTTATATAGATGATAAAAATATGATGATAAAAATAATTTTATTTTGAAACGTAACACATAAAAATACTTTAGTAGTAGAATTTAAGCAGTATAATCGATAAAAATCTACAAATAAAAATATGAATATATATGATATATATATATATATATATATATATATATATATATATATATATTTACATTTTTTTTTATAACTGTGTTAACATAAGTAATTTTATAAGTATGCTGTCTTCTAAGCTGGGCAATAAGTAATTTTATAAATAATATTATCTGGAAATTATCTATATAGATGAGTCGCTAAATAATTTTATTTTTATCTATAGACATAATTAAAACAAAATCGTCTTTATCTTATCTAAGAGATAAATGTACATATTTTATCTCCTCTCTTGATCTAACTAATTTTAAAATTATCTAAACAACATTGATTATATTATAATTTTCGTTATACATGCATATATATATTCTCTTTTTAAATATATATTTTTATTTAAATGTTTAACCGTTAAATTAAACTATACTTTCCAAAAAGTACAATATATAAAAAGTTTGAGAAGAAGCTCTTGAATATACATATATTACGGAGCTTATCTCATTCTTGCGCCGATCCTTTCAATTCTTCTCTTGATGCAATTTATTGACCTAGAAACTCTCTCATGCAACGCTAAAGTTTAGAAGATTTTATTACAGATATATACGAATATCCAAGAGAGCAATATCTCCTCTAATAAGTTTAGACTTACTTTGGAAACGTTGCGTTTTGCTTCGCGGAGAGATATTTAATGTTGCGCGATGACGTAAGCAAAGGCACAAAGTAAGCGATTCTCGATATACTTTCCTTAAATATACATATGTATTTTAAGAAAAATATATCGGGGGGAGGGCAGGATTGCAAATTATATATGTTATTGGAGAATTATGGTTCCGTAGAGTGCGAGGTGTGTTTGATAGCGCATATATATTTCCGAGAGCGTTCTCCCGTTATGACAGAGAGAGAAAGAGAGAAAAAAGGCTATTTAGCATACGGGGATTCGCTCTTACTTAACGGCTTTATTATTACTTTTATTATACGGCATTGATTTTGCGTGTAAACTTGGCAACGCTGTGTATACCGTCGGCGCACAGTAACGATTTCAACAGTTAAAAGCGTCATGCAGAGAAGACGAGAACCCCGAAATTGATTTCAAACGAATATGCGCTCGCCCTCACATTTATACAGAGCGTTTCGAAAACTGTCAGAGATCTTAAAGGCCTATTCTAGGGCTCAAAAAAAAGAAAAGAAGTCCTATAAACATGGGTCCAAAAATGAAAATTAGCCCTTCCTCATCCCACATCAAAATCGGATCAAACTGTCAAAATCGCGTGAAAATGAAGTATTCACTAGAAATTATTAGGCTGTCAAAATTTCAACTGTATAATGAATTTTTTTATTTTTCTTCTCCCAATTTTAGAGGGCATAATTAGGAAAAGGATTTTTTTTTCTTATTTTGAGCCCTAAAATATGCCCTTCAAATCTCTGACGTAGTTTTAGAAACACCTGGTATATGCATTCACAAACACGACCTCGCCGCCAACCGTCAAACAAATCGGAAATAAAAAAGGAAACGTGGGGCACCGCACACGAGATCTTCCGGAAAAAGCACTCGTTCTTCCGGAACTTCGAGAATTAATCGGATATTACGAAAGTTAATGGCTGATGTATATTTAATTAGTTATTAATCGATCATTTTTTTATTCTCGTTCTCTCCTATAATTAGAAACTTGTGGTAATCTAATCCGTTTTAATTAGCAATGAAAAAAAAAAAAAGAATTGAGAACGTTTAAGGATCGAAGGACGTATAGAATTTCCTATTGTTTAGAAATTGATCTTCTTGTTGGATATTCAAAGAGATGACGTCATTGAAATATCAAATTTTATTATTTAATTTGCCCTTTATACGATAATATATATATATATATATATATATATATATATATATATATATATTTATTTTATATGGAAATATTTACATATATACATATTTATTATCTACATATTTATCTTATATGCATTTTTAATTTCAATTTAAATTAATTTAAACCACAGGGAAGCGATTAATATACAAAAATCCTGCAAACTCTGACGTCAGCAGATATATTTCGATATCTCTCGTGCCTCTCCTTTCTATTAATGTTCCTTGAAATATATATATATATATATATATGTGTGTGTGTGTGTGTGTATATATTATATATTATATATATATATATATATATATATATATATATATATATATATATATATTTCAAGAGATACTACTTTTTATCTCCTCCCTCATTCCTTATTAAAACAACAAAAAAAAAAGATAAAATAGCTTAGGATCTAAAGTCTTATATCCATTGACATATAAACGTAAAGTACTATAAATCGCGTCTAATGCGGATCCATCCTACATTGCATTCGCTTAGATCCGGCGCGCGATTGGTCGACGTGATTTTTCCATTCCACACACCCGTTACATATCACCCGTATTATGCGGATAGGCCTTTATACCCTACTAGACGATCCTGGGGCTGCGAGGGCACGAGTTTTTTTTTTCTCTCCACGCTCTCTTTCTCTCTTTCTCTCGCTTCCCGTTGCGACTGCCCTCTAGTGTCCCGATCATCATGAGATGAATGTGTTCACTCTATTTACAGGTTTTCCGAATAAATCGTGCGTAATCGCGCTGCTCTCCCCTCGCGCTAATTTGTGAACGAGTTGAGCGACACCGGATCCTGAAGAGAGAGAGAGAGAAAGAGTACTTGGATAAAATAACCGGACAGCGTCGTCGTCGTCGTCATCGCCGATGATGATGATGATGATGATGATAATGATGATGATGCGTCGTCCAACGCTCGCCTAGACAACCCCGTTGTCGCTCAGGTCGTCGTCGACGTCGTCTTCTCCTCGTTTCTACGTGAGTATACACACATCATCCCTGGGATTTTTTCTCACCCCGGGAAACGGAGCCGTCGACGGAGATCGAGCGAATTAATTACATTTCAAAAGGGGTCCTGGAAATTAACCTCAATCTCTCTGATGTCGAAAAGGACCGCATCCTCGGGGTGATACAAGGATCCCTCCTCGTATAGATTATATGTAATGCATTTTTTGATATGGATGCATTTTTGGATATCATTTTTTTTACGACCGCTCTCGGGGATGAGTGTCTTGGTGCGTACGTGTGACCGCGACCTAAGTGGCGCGCGATCGCGTCGTCGTGGACGAGCTTTTACATTCTGTGTGTGTGTGTGTCTCTCTCTCTCTCCCCCCTCTCTTTCTCTCCCCCTTCCCCCGTCTTCTACCCGCGCTCCTGCGCTCTCGAGCGCGCGTCGTCGCGTCCTCGGCAGTAGTGCATCGCGGAACCCGAGAGAGTGGGTCTTCTTCCTGACGAAGGGTATCTTCCGCGAGTTCATCGAGCCCTCGAGTGAGTGAGTGAGAGGAGACCACCCTCTCGCGAGAGGGGTTGAAGCGGCGCCAGGACGAAAGGTCCTTCCCGCAAACCCCAGCTTGGGAGTCGCCTCGAGTTTTTCGCGTCGCGTGCATCTTCTGCATACTCTGCGAGAGGGAGAGACCCGGTGGGAGTGCAGGGGGAGGGAGAAGGATAAAAAAAGTGCAGAAGTGCAGAAGAGCGCGCGCAAAGACGTTACGGTATCTCGCTTACTACGATCCTTCGCGATTCTTCAGGGTCCTCGTATACCAGGTTAGTGTCCAAGGGTCCTTAACTTAGCGCGGGAGAGTCGAGAGAGAGAAAGAAAGAAAGAAAGGTGGACGAGAAAGTGACGATCCTTCCTTCTTTCTTCTCCGCGAGTGGGTCGGCGTGGGCCCGGGAGTCGACCTGTCAAACTTGACGTTAAACCTCCAGGAAGCGCGGAGACTCACGCGACCGCGTGTTTTATAACCTTTAAAGTCTTCGGAGCGTCGCCTTCTCTCTTCTTCACTCCCAGATTCTTCTCTCCCGGCATCCTCCGCTTCCTCTTTCTGGACGACGCCGGGGTACGTCGCGAAAGGAACTCGTGAACGTCACGTTCGTGGACGACGACGTACCCTCGGGCGACATATATATATATATATATATATATATATATATATGTATAATTAACTTTCTGGATCATTAAAAAATCAGTATCCTTGGACTTTTGTAAATGACAGATCGCCTTCCCGTCATTAATCATTAATATATTTTCATCATCATCGTCATCATCATCATCATCGTCATCATCATCATCATCATCATCATCGTCATCGGGTGCAGCATGTTGGACGCCTCGTTAAAAAGCTCAGCGCGCGCGCAGCCGACTGCGTTCACACACACACACACACACACACACACACACACATTATACCCCGTGAGGTCTTGTTCCGAGTGTAGGAGGTAAGAGAGAAAAGAGAGAGAGAGAGAGGGAGAAAGAGACGGCAAGACACGGCGTGCACGGAGAGTCGAGGCCCACGACTGACTGACACTCGCTTAAGCTAGCGAAGCGCAGGTGACTGACTGACTGGGAGACGACGCTAACTTCAGGAGGCTCTCGGATACCCAGCCGAGAGGTTTAGTTTGCGCGTCCGTCCGTCCGTCTGTCTGTCTGTCTGTGTGTCTGTCTATCCGTCCGTCTGTCTGTCTGTCTGTCTTTCTTTCTCTGTCTGTCCGTCTGTTCGGTCTGTCCGTCCGTACATCCGGACATTTGCTCGTCAGTTTGTTCGCGAGTGCGGAGGAGAATTCGAGTGCTAGACGGGACGTTCCTGGGACGACGACGTCGTCGTCGTCATCGGCGTCGTGCTCGTCGTCATCGTCGGCGTCACCGTCATCGTCGCGTTCATTCTAAGGCCTCTCTCTCTTTCTCTTTCCCCTACTCTCTCTCTCTCTCTCTCTTCTAGCTTCGGAGACGGCTGGTCGGAAGTTTGTTGGTTATGGGAGCGAGAGCGGACGCAAGTGCGGAATTCGCAGCGCCATTTTGAAAAATTCGGCCCCGCTAAAAATTCCTCCCTCCCGCACCCCCGCCCGCCTACCTGCCGCGAGGAGGCGGAGCGCCTCCCTCGTCTCATCTTCGTGCCTCGATCCGAGAGAGATTGTCATCAGCGTGTGATATCGTTAATTGTTTAGATCGACTGTGCGGCGGAAACGCGGTGGACTCATGGAAGGCACGTTGGAGGAGCCCGGTATTAAGGACTCTTCGCGGAGCAGTCCCGACAGGCACCTGAAAGGTGAGCATCATCTCTCCTTCGCGGCTCTTGCACTCTTGGCGAAACTCGTACTTTCGAATCTCTCGCAAAATCTCCCTGAGATTTATAGACTTTTTCTGTCATTGGAGTTCTCTCTAATTTTTTTTTTTTTTTTTTTTTTTTTTTTTTATGTAAGAGATACTCTGAATCTAATTAATCTTTTATACATTAGGATGTTCATCAACTGGTTAATTGTGGGGTAGTGATTTTAGTTGTATATTTATTTTGAATTTTAGTTTTAACACTCTCTTTAATTATAATTTATACATTAATACTAGTATATTTTGTCATCGTTAAAAGGAAGAGTTATTTATATAGTAAATAATGTGTATATATTAAATATTTTATGATTACTTGCAGATATGATTATTCCAAATGGTGTCAACGGGAACTATAGTGCTGACAACGAAGAGTACATGGATATCAGTGACAGCGCAAGCCAGAATATGTCAAAAGAATTTATCACAGAAGATGAAGAGGGTGATGAAGAAGAGGATGGAGATGATGAAGAGGATGATGAGGATGGTCAGGATGAAGAGGAAGCAGTCGAGAATCAAGATGGAAAAAATGAAGATAGTGAGGAAAATGAAGCGCTAGGTAATAATAGTAAGGAGGGTGAAACATTTGATTCGAGAAATGATTTTAAAGTATCCGATGGTGTCAGTGAGACGAACAATTCTAGTGTAGTGTCTAAAACTGAATCCGAGTGTAAAAACGCATGTGAAGCTATGGAAGTAGACGAACAGAGTAACAATTCTGATGTCGAGTGTCTTGACGAAAGCATTACGGAAATACAATTGGATAATGACGATGTGTTCATCTCGAAAAAAACTGTCAGAAAGCAAGACCATGATATGTCATCAAATTGTAGCTGTGACAGTAGTGAACTTGCTGACAGCAGCATGGAGAAGTCGGATGTCAAGATGTGCGAGGAGAATGGAAGTTGTGGTAGTCCAGATATCGAAGAGATAACAGATAGCGCAAAGAATAATGGTCATAATGCTTCAGATCTACGCGCTCTCAAAGATCCCTCGAAACAAAGAAAACCACGAAAACAAATAGATCTTAGTAGTATTACGCCAAGAAGAAGTTCGCGCAATATTAAACGTACAAGCTACATAGAGAAAGAAATAGAAGAAGAAGTAGAAGACGACGATGGATCTGACATAGAAGAGATTAAGCCTGAAGATCCGTTAGCTTGTATCGACAGCAAGGACAAGGAGAATTCCAAACTAAAGTCACCACTGAAGAACAGTAAAACTACCATCGTCGTTAATGACACTAAGCGTCTGGTGGAGATTGCCGCTGGTAGTAAATCTGTCAAGGGTGGAAAGAAGGAACCTACATTAGTCATAATAGATACAAATTCGATTCTTTCAGGGCGCGGTGGAATCCCTGTAAGTAACAGCAAGCCTCATTCTATCTCCAATTCTAGCTCGTTTTCGGTTGTCCCCGTAGGCGGTATGACAACGCAGACGATGTATTCCAATATGAGGACGACCATCACGCCGGTACCAATGACTTCGAAGACGGCACAACTAAGTCCGAAAGCTAGTAGCATGACCACAGTTACGCCGACAGTACCACCGATTTTACCAACCCTGACCGATGACATGTTCGTGGTTGAAGCACCATCTTTCATAGTACCTTACGTATACGAGAAACCACCTCTAAGACCGTTAAAAGAATTTGTTTCCAAATTGGAAAAGAGCATTGAGGAGAGAGAGAAGGAGTTGAAGAAACTCATTGATGAAATTAAGGATAACGAAGAAAATAAGGAGGATTCCTTGGATATTCTTAAGAAGGGCAATGAAAAGTCTGACGAGAGTGAAAGCGAGGGACGAAGCAAGAAAGAGGGCGACGACAGAGGAAGTGATAATTCAATAGACTTGACCGAGCATGGATTTAGTAGTGTAGGTGACAGACAGAGCGAACTAAGGCAAGATGACAAGAATAAAATACTAACATACTTCGATTTACCGCTGGGCAAGTTTTTCATGCAGATCGGAATGAATCTTGTACAAGAGTTTGTGCAAACTGATCTCTTACGGACTCAAAAGCGTAAGCAAGGCAAGGGTAGCACATCGGCCGAGACTCAATTAGCTATAAATTCGCTCATCAAGAATCTAGAGTTTAGTAAAGAGAATAACGAACCATTCCATTTAGAGCTGAAGAAATGCGAGTTCTGTAGTTTTAAAACGGAATCGATATTAGTCATGCAGCATCATCTAGAGACTCCGCATATGCGCAACTACGTTTACAAGTGTAACTTCTGTCCGATGGAGGTACGCAGTCCCCACGATATCCTATATCACATGGAGGCGGAGCACAATACTCGCGGCAGACTGGAGCGCGGCCCGGCTTTCCACCAGTGTCCGAATTGTCCGTTCGAGGACAATCAGAAGGGCAAACTGACGCGGCACATTCTTGCCTGTTCGAAAAAATTCCGCCCGGAAAGAAACTTGGAATCTGCTGCGGATTGGGAACCACCGGCCAAGATACCGAGACTAAATCGCGCGCGACCGGTCGGACCGGCTAATCCGAGCGCCCTCGCCGCGATGGCGATGAGCGCCAAGGGTCCGCAACCGCTCTTACCAAAATTACTACCGGCGCCGATCACGGGTCGTGGAAGAGGCCGACCGCCGATGCAGCCGAGATATTCCGATCTGAAAACGTTGCGACCGGGTACTACTACAATGCGACAAGGTACATTTTTACAAACCTAACAATATGAAAAAATGTATTTCTTACACTGAACATTTTTAGAATCATGTAATACATATATTACAGATTATTATACATTATATATATTTTTCTCATTATATTATATTTAATATATTATAATATATAGATATTATATTGATGAAATCGCGTTTCAGACAATGTCGCAGGAATGATGTATCGTCCCACATCTTCCGGTTTATTGGTACCTACGTCATACCAGTTTGGTAGTAATCAAATATTCCAGGTAAAAACATTTATTCTTTATATTTTATATTTCTCGCTATGCATACGCAGACACTAACAATTAAACTTGGCGACGAATTTATAAAGTGAAATTCGATTGGCCAGAATTGAAGCGGAAAGAGAAAATTGTAAATTTGTTCTTCGTATAAAATCGAAGAGAGAGAGTATGTTGTAAGAAGTGAGCGAAACGAGTTTTTAATTAAAAATATTCATGTCGCCGTCTGTTTCCCATTATTATTTATTTTTAGAAGGAGCTTGGCGCATAGTAAATATAATTTATCGTAAATTGACGTATTTATATATAATTTTTGTGATTAAAATATGTGCTTGAACGGATGTTGAAAATCGTGACAAATGTCCCTTCTTAATGCTCTTAAATTTAAATTTCAATATATGTTTAAGAAAGCCACAATTCACATATATGTTGCATAAAAGTCAAAGTATTTTTTCATATAAAATTATATCTATATGCACACTACAAGGTTACACTATAATACTATCTGTTGAAATTTCTAAAAAATTTCTTTAACAGCGCACACATATCGTTTTATTTTATTGCGCATTCATATCTTATGTAACAATTTTTAACAAAAACAGAATAGTATAAACTACATTAAAGTATATTTATAATACTGTTGTATAAATTAAAATCGAAGCAAGGGTGGAAAAGCTTTCAAATATATTTAATATTTGATATATGCACTAAAATATAAATATTAACTTATAAGAACTAATTTTTATCAATAAACAGTTATTTTTAATTATTTTGATATAGAAGAAATTATTATCAATTTATTATTTGCGAGATATTATATGACAAACACTCAAACTTGTATGAAACATCCCTTACATCTTTGCAAGAAGACAAGATTATATGTTAACTTTTGAGTAAAATTTATATAGTGTCGTTTTGTTTGTCATATTTAAATTATTTTTACATAATAAAAATGTATTAATGTTTTGCAATGTAGTGCATTTTCCGAATTTTTTGTAATACTAAAAATGTGCGTACACACTCAAACTGTCACACTTTAAATACACTCGAGAGGCTCTTAAGAACTAGTAAAAAAGATATATGGGTGGTGGCAGGTGGTGGGTGGTTCTGGGACTGTCATGTCGGCTGTCTCGGGAGTGAGTAGCAGTAGCGGCGGCAGTTCCGGTCAACCCACACCAATTGCACTTGTACCCAACGTAATCGACTCTCTGTCTAGGTTGTCCTCATCACAGGTAAATAAATATTGGAAAGTAACCGGGGAGAGAGTGTAACTGATTTCGTGATAAATGTGAGATCGCATGAATGATATGTTTTGCAGGGGTGCAAAAGAAAGGCTTTTTCATAACACTGTTCAAGTCTCTGATTGTTAAGTGAATTTATAGTAGCTTAGAAGTCTTAACACTCACTTAATGTACATGACAACATATTTTTCTTCACATATTTGTCATATTATTCCTTTGGATCAATGTTATATACTATCTCTCTGCATAATTACTGTAGTAATATTCAAAAGCTAAATGTTTATGTATATTCTCAAAATATTTTACCCTTTTATTCGTGTGGCATAACAGCATAAAAGATATTTATTTTAATCTTTAAAGAAATAATAAATTGTTATATAGTCGTAAAAAATTAATAAGATTGAGAAACAACTTTTAAAAATAAAATTATGATTTAATTGTAAAATTCGATAAAAGAATACACACACATACACATTATATGAAGATAAGAGTAATCTGAAAAATGACGTAAAATTTTTCAGGTGGATATTACTAATGAAATATACATATATGATTTATGAGAGTAACGTTACATCGATGAGTTTGTATATCCTAAATAACACAAGTACTTTATATTTTTCAGAACACAACAACCAGCCCGAAAAACCCTACAGCAAAGCTGTTAAGTCAGCCGAGTATATCTATTACTCCATTACCACGTACGACATCTCAAACCTCCATTCCAGGATCAGGAACTTCTTCAAAATCTGGAGGGAAAAATACATTTGTTATATGTGAAATTTGTGATGGATATATTAAGGCAAGTGTAATAAATCTACATACTTTTATTTCATATTTTAATCAGAGCTACATTCAAAAGTTGATGTTTTATTTTACTTTTTTAAAGAAGAAATACGAATATTTTATTAAAATACTTTTTTATAATTATTGAATAGAATATATTCCAATTTAATCTAAATTGTTATAAATTGAGTTTATAGAGTTTATATTTCAAATTCGTAATAATAATTTAAAAAATATATTTCTGACTGTATTTTATATATGTATATGTATATATTTATTTATTTATTTATTTATTACATATATATTAATATATATTACATAACTATTATATTACTGACAAAATTTAATATAATGGATGATAAAATTATAATGATTATTAGCAAATATAAAACCATTATGAATACAATAGCATATATTTTCAAAATAGTTTTCATTACATTTTATCATTTATTTTAGGATCTAGAACAATTACGAAATCACATGCAATGGATCCACAAAGTAAAAATACATCCAAAGATGATTTATAATAGACCTCCATTAAACTGCCAGAAATGCCAATTCCGATTTTTCACAGATCAGGTAAAATTTTGATATGATTAATTGATGTACATATTAATGTGTTTAATTAATAAACATGAGAAATTCTTAAAAATAATTAATTATAATTAAAATATGAAACATTATTATTTTTTTGCACATATAGAAAAATACATATCGACATTTTTTGTCATATTTTGTTTACATTTTACAATTTTGATAAAATATACATGTTAGATGAAATTTGATCGCGTTGCCCTTATTCTAACAAAGTCTATTAACGAAAATAATTGCATGGTAATTAAATGTTTTAATAGGGCTTGGAAAGACACTTATTGGGATCTCACGGGCTGGTCACATCCAGCATGCAAGAAGCGGCAAATAAAGGAAAAGATGCTGGTCGTTGTCCGGCTTGTGGCAGAGTAAGTCTATCTTTTTTTTTTCCAAATAAAATTACTTATTTTTGAGAGAAAGCGAAAAACATAAACAAAGACACAAACGATGAACCAGTAGTTGAGAATTATGCATATTTCGCAGGTATATCAATGGAAATTATTAAATCATGTTGCTCGTGATCACGGGATGACATTAAAGCCGGCACATCTATCGTATAAGTGTACAGTTTGCACTGCCACATTCGGAATGTACAAGCAATTCGAGAATCACGTGTACTCGGCGCATAGTGTCGTGGCGAAGAGAGTGATGGATAAGAAGAATGCGCCAGCATCTCCATCGTCTAGATCGAACGACTCGCTTCTAAAACCATTGAAGATCAACGACGAGATTACGATTATCCCACAACCAGCGAAACCTACAACTAGATCCGGTGCAACTCAAGGCAGGGGAAAATAGCAATGATGAGCTTGAGTGATACTTGTGTCTTGTCCGATCGAATTTCGCATAACTCTTTGTGGTACTCCATACCAATCACTGACAAATGTACAGTGATTAACGTGCCGTGTACATGTGTATACTATTCTTAAGATGCGAATTTTAAAAACATCTAAACGGGAAAAACATAAGGAAAGGAAAAAAAAAAAAGAAAGAAAAAGGAAAGAATACACGACTCTTTTATGACGACAGAAATCTAGTTGATTGCATAACAATATTCCATCAATGATTACACCGATATATTTATTTAAGAATTTTTATTGTTGTTATCGGACCTACATAAAATAGACTGTAAAAAACATTAAAGGGTGGCCTTCAGTCTGACTCCTTGGTTAACTCCTAGAGCTGCATACTCCCGACCTATAAACGCCTATGTGTAACACGGACTCATTCGCGCGCGAATATAGAGTATATCTGCATTCGATACGTTGCAATGCGTGCGGATTACTCTCTTACATAGCGAATTCTCTATAATGTAAATTCTTTTTCTAAGATAAATATATATTCGAATTTATTCTATTTTGTTATTGACTCTAATATGATTACTCGCGGGACAATGAAGCTGTCCTCAATCTCCGGTTTGATAAGACATCATGTTTGCGGAACGTTTTCCGAATGATATACGATGCGATAAATTATATTAATTGACCAGAGTGCCCTCGACTGTCACGCGAATCTATAGTACACAGGTACTAACGACAAGTGTATACTACCACATACGGTTCTTTAAATCGTATAGATACTGTATTCTCATTTCGCCATCATACGTTTTTTAATTAACAGTTAGTGAAATTATCGTCATTATCTTTATTTATGATATTTCATAACTGTGTGTATGGAATAATTTATGGTGTATAACACGAGAAACATTTCTTTTTTTAAAATTGAAATTTGTGTAAATTGTATATCTTATATATTACTATAAGTTTGACCTTTCCTTCCCCGCCTTTAGTCACGTATATCGTAATAAAACAGAGAAATATTCGGTTTTATTTTTGCGCTCTTATAAGAACAAACAAAAATGTACATTAACATAGGATATAATATAAAGAAATATATCAATAAAATAGGCTGGCACACAAAACACACACTCGTGTATACATTTTTTCTGATAAAACGATAAACGTGAATATAAAACGGAACATTGATCCTGTTAGCACACAATGCGACGCATACATCATTTATATATGTATATATATAATATAAAACGTTCGCAAAAACAACGTATTATATATATAAATATGTAAAATTATAATAGTATAGAGCAATAGTGTAATACAAGAAGAGACTATTCATTTCATTTTCTTCTTGTATACACTCTCCGGAACGATTATAGGATTATCATCAATATGTAGATAGTCGTTAAAGAAAATTAACGCGGATTTAATTTAGTAATTTCAATTTGTCCCGATAATTTTTGTACGTTATTGTAGGATATAATTTTAGAGGGAAAAAACCGTAATCAATGAAAAAAAAAGAAAGATGGTGCGTTTTTGCACTGTATGGCTGTATTATTTAATTCTGCTACCTTGCCGAACGCTTATGGCAAGCCATGTTGGTAAAACTAAGAAACAGACATAATTACAGAATATATAGTTTATTGTAATAATTTGTACAATATTATATGATTACAAAAATAAAGTGTACCAACATTGAACTAAAATTCAATATGTGCAATATGAGCTATGCTTTGAAACTTACTATTATTCATAAAAACCGCAACAAAGTTTGTGATCTAAGTAAGTAAGAAAGCACAGAGTCCCATATATTTCAAAACTTACATTGTCCGCTCCATTAGAAAGTATATTAAAAAAAATTATGATTATAATTATATAATGCATCTGTAATTATACGAGAGTATTCTAGGAATATATCTCACTTTCTCTTCTTCTTTATTAAATATCCAAAATATATAACTCTTAAAATTTTAATATATTTTAAATAAAGTAAAATAAAAGTGCTGAAACAACTACCTATTTATCCCAAAAAATTTAGAATGAAAAAGCATACTAAAAATAAGAAATAAAACAAGATTAAATTACTAGAAAGAATACCTTGTATATAATTGATAGGTATTTCATGTATGTAAGAAAATTATAATATAAACAGATTTGCAAATTACATTAATTGTGACAAATTTGTTTTATTTATAGATATTTTAGATCTCATTTATTTGATATACATTATTTAAAAATTCTTAAATATTGTGTATAATTCTTTTAATGAATAATTCATATACAATTTATATAAGGAATTCGAAATTTGTTTTATATATAATTATTAAAATATTTTACCATGTATTTAATAATTATCATTAAACATATTTTATGTAATGTGCTGTAAAAGCTCCTGCTATTTAATTTATTTATGTAGTTTGGAAAAATGACTACACACATATACAGTTGTATTTTTCATTTTGTTTTATGTAAATGTACATTTTAATCGATAAATTTAATATTCAAAATGGAAATCAAAGTAAGACTGATCAAAGTTATTAATGCGGATATATCCATCTTCTCCACCTGTGGAATAACTACGACCATTGGGATGAAAAGCGAGAGAATTAATGGGTCCAAAGTGCCCTTTCAAACGTGCAAATTCTTCTTCAAACACTAAATGAAAGAATCGCGAATCAAATTTGCCTTGTCGTGCGGACGTTGTAGTAACATCCATAGCGTCTTGACCACCACCAAGGACCACCTGTAGAAAAATATTTAACATATTGTAATGTTCGCAAGAAATTTATTTTTCCTAATTGCAATTATACTAATTTCTACTTTATGTTCTCCAAAAAAATTCCAAGATAGTACATAATAATAGAAATACAAATCTCTTACATGATCGAAAATTGGCGATATTGTGGCCGAATTTACTGGTCTCTCTGTCTTATATGTCTTCAATAACACCAAGGATTCACTGTCAAAAAGTTTAGCCGTGTGATCTTTAGATGCTGTTACAAACATGGTACCATCTTTATTGCATTGCATATCATTTATCTGTGATTTGTGACCTTTGACACTGGACAACTTCTTCCCTGTCTGTAAGTGTCATAAACAGTATAGCAAACTATCGAGTATTTCCATGATCGTTATCACTATAACATATAAAGACACTTGCCCTGACATCCCAGAGCTTAATCTCGCCATCCTCGTGACCTGTAATAATAGTCTCGTCCAGGGCACCCCATAATATAGCAGATATTCTAGGACCATTGACGGCGATCCTAGAGATCGCATCTTCCTGTGATAATGTAGAATCAACATTCCGCACATCCATAATAAACATCTCACACTGATGACCTAAGGCTTTATCAGTAGAGAATACTGCAAGGTTTGCTGAATAACTGAAACCGCAGGCTCTTACAGAACTGTTTGTGCTCAACTGACCTATCTCCTTGCCTAAATAACAATTACACAAAATTATATACACATTTATATATACAATTATATACACATTTATATATACATTGCATATGCAAGCGAAATGTATCGTGTCCATTTTTGTATACAAACCAGTTTGACAATCCCAAACTCTCAGGGTATTATCACCACTGCCAGATAATAATCGCGTGGTGTCCCAGTTGACATCAATGCACCATACGGAACCGTTGTGTCCATTGAAAGTCCCAAGACGTTCTCCATTCAAAGCGTACCAGACGTTAGGCTGTTTATCCTTGCTGGCGGAGAACAACAAATCTCCCTCTCTATTGTATTTTATTTTCGTGATGGCACGCTCGTGCCCGTGCAACATCAAGGGTTTCTGCAGCAAACAATTCCCTTTACTCATATACATCAGTACATACATAGGAAAAAGATTGACAACTGTAACTTTGATATATATTGTAGTGTTTTGTGCCTTTATTAAATATAAAATTGTTTGACACTTCCTCTATTCTTTTTGAAAATACTAAATTATCTTGTTAATTTCCCTAAGAAAGGTCCAGGTAATATGACAAATGTATCTATCTATAATTGAGGTTATATTGGCACATGTTTTATAGCCTCAATACAACACAGATTTCATTAAAAAATCAATAATAAATATATATTAATGTAAGATTAAAGCGAACTAACCATTTCGTGGCGTTTTGCTCGATTCCACTTTTGATTTCACTCGATTCTTTATTATCTTACGACACAATTTCGCGAGAATCCATTCACCGAGGAAGATCGCGGTTGAGAAAGATGTGAGGTTATGTTCGAGCGACAAAACATGGCTGCATTCTCGATTGGTCATCGAATAGAAAATATCTAGAACCTATGTCGGCGATTCGCTCTAGGAAAAATATCCTGCGTTCTGATTGGACGATAGAAACTCGGAATTTATAGAGATTGTTTAATTAAAGGATAAATAAATAATAAATAAATAATAAATATAAACAAATAAATAATATATAAATGATTAATAATAATCTAAATAAATAATAAAAATAAAAAATAAATAAATAAATAATAAATAAATATTAATAATAAATAAATAATATATAAATAAATAATAATAATATATAAATAAATAATAATAATATAAATAAATAATAAATATTTAATTAAAATTCTTTGATTAAAGGGACTTTAATAATTAAGTACGATGTGTTCCATCTAGATATTCGTTGCTTGTGGTTTAAAGATATTCTGTGAATACATAAACACATGCGTGCACAAATGTGCATGTGTACGATTTGATTTGTAGAATAAAGAGCTGGTTGAACTCGAAGCGAAGAAAAATTATTTTAAAGCAAACATTTGCGTATCCACAAAACGTATCGCGATGTGACAAATTCAGGAGGTAAAGAATCAGAATTTTTGATTATAATTCGCTCACGTATTTTTTTCCACACGTGCTTTCATAAAATGTTTTGTATATACAGACACGATGTGTGTGTATAGAAATTCTATATGCGTCTCAATCGCGCCAATTAATTATTCTCGCTTTATGTCAAACTTTTTCGAAATATCATGAATATGTGAGATTAAATATGGGATTTTTTTCAGATTTTTTTATTGAATTCTAAAACTCACTAATCTGCGTAAGATGGATGAATAGCAGCATTGCAAGATGTCTCATATTGAATCATGTAAAGTTCGGCAGCAACATGAAGTAGAAGTTTTGAAGGTATTAAAATATATTTGTAAAAGTATCTAAGGCAAATTTATGCTTTAACAACCTGCATTGTATTTTTTTTTTTTTTTTAATGACTATGTCGTTTATAACAGTCCATTTTGGTGATGAATTATGTGATTTGAGGAAGAATAAGAATAAAAAGAAATGGCAACCTCTGGATATTGTTGTTACCTTGACACCGCAGAAAGGTATGTCTGGACCAGTAGAAGTCTATGCACAAGTAGATTTACACATTATATGCAGCGACAAATATCCTGATGAGTAAGTTTTATATATCGATATACCTTCCAAATAATAACAATTTATTTTTAAGTAAAGTTTACATTCTGTCATTTATATATAATTTATTATGTTATTATAGAGTACCAACTATTCAATTACAAGGTAGCAAAGGTTTGTCTCATCAACAAGTGGCGGTTTTATCATCCGAGCTTGAAGACTTGGCAGAAAAAATAAAGGGCGAAGTTATGATTTTTGAACTTAGTCAACATGTTCAAAAATACTTGCATGAACATAATAAACCAGGTTACAGTAGTTTTTATGAAGAAATGGTAGAAAAAAAACGAGAAAGAATCGAGTATGAGATGCAGGAAAAACAAATGAAAGAAGACAAAGAAAGACAGGTTCGAATTTATATTTCTGTTTATATACACATGCACATATATATTAATTTTATTTATTTTATTACTAGATATTGCAAAACGCCATACAGAAACGTCAAGAGGCTTTGAAAGCTGAAAAACGTGATAGGAAAGAAACAATTCGGCTAGCCACAGACTCTGATACTGCTTTCAGATCAATACCATCATCTCCGCACGAAAGAGGGACAAGTCGTTTCAGACGCAGATGTGTTAGCACGTCAGAAAGTTCTGAAGGATCCCTATGCGAGCATAGGGGTACCAAGTTCATGCATTTTGATAGTAATAAAGGCGAGAGGCAAGTACATCGAGGCAAATGCTTGGGTCACAGTGCAAAAGGTTCCGTGGTATACGCCGGTGTAGATGAAACCACTGGAGAATTATTAGCCATCACAGAATGGACATTAAAATGCGCAGTGTCGAACGAATGTCACCCTGCTCAAGAAGCTATCGATATACATTATGCTATGAAACAAATCGCCAGCTTGGAACAAGAGCTCAATCATTTGTACAAACTGCACCACCCGAACCTCGTACATTATTTAAATATGAAATATCTACAAAACAACAACAATATCGTAATATATATATTACAAGAATTTGTGGTATGTAAAAATATTTTATTTTAGAATAGTGTGCATGTGTATAAAAAAATATATACAGGGTATCCCATAGAGGAAATTGCTGAAACTAATCCGCTCTTTTTTTTTTTTTAATGCATGCAGTTATATGTGGATATAAATAAAATGTTTTTATATCAGTTTATTGATAAAAATAATGAAAAAAGTGCTATTTTCTATGGGATACCCTGTTATAAAAACTAAGAATATAGTTGTCTCAATTGTAATATCGTTGTGTAAAAGTAGGTTGGAACCTCATGCTCGGTCTTCTTGATGGCAAACATTCCAATTGACATCGATACATTGAGATATTTAGCAACTGGCGTCTTAGAAGCGTTACGATATCTCCACGAAAATAATGTGGTGCATAAAGATTTGCGCGACACCAGTGTTTATATAGATCGCATGGGTTTTGTAAGATTATCTGATTACTCTTTAGATAAGAGACTATCAGACATGTATCATTCAAACTCCTTGGCAAAGACTGAACACGATTTTCCAACAATTCAAGGTCGAGGAGGTAAAAAGGCAGATATATACAGATTTGGAATATTATTACTTTCGTTGTTAAAAGGAACTATTATATCCTCTGGGGAAGAAATCGATCTAACGGAAATCTCACAGGTAGATATATTTTTTGTATAATGTATGCAATAGTGACAACTGATAGACATGTATGTCCTAAATTAAATAACTTTTTTTCCAGCTTTACTTGAGAGATTTTATTTCAAAGTGTCTTATCAACGATGAGAGGATGCGTTGGTCCGCGGAACAATTATATCAGCATAGTTTTATAAAAACGCCGTTAGAACGAGGTTTATCTCCATCATCGCCAGTCCATGATGAAAAGGAGAAAGATTTAGAGCCGGAGGAGCCGGATAACGATATTCGATTGCATTTGCCATCAATGGATGGACAATCACGAATACAGAATGAATTTGAAATTTTAAAATGGTTGGGAAAAGGAGCCTTCGGCGACGTTCTAAAAGTGCGAAACAAATTAGACGGTGGTATTTATGCTATCAAACGAATAGAACTGAATCCGAAAAATAAACAACTGAATAAGAAGATTACGCGCGAGGTGAAATTACTCTCTAGAATGAATCACGAGAATGTGGTACGTTATTATAATTCATGGATCGAAAGCGCTACCCTGGACGATTCTGTCAGACATAATCAATTTACACCAGTCACCACATCTTCGGATAGAACAACCACCACCCAGGACAAAATAGAGATAATCAATGTAAGTACTATCCATAAAAACTATCAAGAATAATGTTTTATTATTATAGTTAAACTTCTAAAAATTTTGAAATATATTAAAAATTAAATTAATAATATCAGATTTGTGTATTGTATAAATTTTTTTTTTTTTAGCAACTGGAAAGTGATGAAATAGAAAAATTTGCTCCACCTTTACGCGACGTTGAATGGAATATATCGTACGAGTCTCGAGCAAATGGTGCTGATAGTGATGATGATAACAGCGATACCTCAACCGATTCTGATAGCGAAGAACATTGTTTTTGTAAGACAGATTTTTTTTAGATATTAGAAAATCATAAATCATAAAATATCATAAATATCATTTTCTAAAATCATAAAATTCTATAATTAATATTTTGATTTAACTTATGGGTCTTTGTTTTGTATATTTATATTTAAAAACAGTATATCGTGTAAAAAAAATTTGTTTTAAGTTATATTTTTTTCACTTTCACAGAATGCGAACCTTACTACGTATTGAGTCTTCCGATAGTATTGAGTTTGAGAGAGATGGTATATCACAAAAATCCACAGTAACGCCAGATGTTTCAAAAAATGATGTTAAAGACGTTGAATCGACTAATGAAGACGTAACTGTGAAGGAAATACAATTTATGTACATACAAATGGAATTTTGTGAGAAAAGTACATTGAGAACTGCCATAGATAATGGTTTATACGAAGATGAGGAACGCGTCTGGAGATTATTTCGAGAAATTGTAGAAGGTTTAGCGCATATTCATCAACAGGGTATGATACATAGAGATTTGAAACCCGTAAACATCTTTCTGGATAGTAACGATCACGTCAAGATAGGAGACTTTGGATTAGCCACGACTAATATATTATCGACCTTAGTCCAAACTATTGATGCTGACAAAGAGTCACAATTCGAGAAAGGTATGAGTATCTGTGCGTAGCTATTAATGATAAATTAATCAATTTTACATATCTATGTCTAATATAATTTATATCTCTAGGTGGAAGTTTTGACATAGAAGAATTGGGATCTCTCACCGGTCAAGTCGGTACAGCTTTATACGTAGCACCTGAACTTTCCGCGAAAACTGCCAAGGCGATCTACAATCAAAAGGTGGATATCTACAGTTTGGGAATAATCTTCTTTGAAATGACGAACAAACCATTAACCACCGGAATGGAACGCGTAAAAATTTTATTAAACTTGCGCTCCAAAGAGATTGTCTTTCCTTCCGAAATAGTGGAAGCAGATAGGCCACATCAAGTTCATGTTATACGGTAAAAGATTAAATTCGACAATATTGTAGATAAATTCGACAAATTGTCGATTGAACAACTAAACTTTCTTTTTCTCGTCAGTTGGCTGCTGAATCACGATCCAAGTCAACGTCCCACCGCCCAAGAATTGCTCTCCTCTGCTTATTTACCGCCGCCTCAGCTAGAAGAGACGGAATTGCAAGAGATGGTGCGGCACACGTTATCCAATAGTCAAAGTAAAGCATACAAATATTTAGTGGCATCGTGTTTCACGCAAGACGTTACGCCGGCCGAGGATATTACTTATGACATGAATTTGCCCGCTAGGGGAATGCCAAGCGTTCTTTCCTCAAAAAAGCAAGTTCTGCAGGAAAACGTGAAGCAAAAGATCGTCGAGATATTTCAAAAACACGGCGGGATATGTCTCACGACTCCGCTGTTGATGCCCAAGTCCGTTCAACATTCCAACTTCACTGAGCACAGCGTGAAACTGATGACGCGAACCGGTAGCATCGTTTCTATCCCACACGATCTTCGGACTCCCTTCGCACGATATATTGTGTGGAATAATATTTCGCATATTCGGCGATACGCTATCGAACATGTCTTTAGAGATAAAAAGGTACGTATACACCTTGAGAGGTCTTATAAGTAGCATCTTTCAAATTCAAGGCTGACGTTTTCAACTTCTTGGTAAGTAGTTCTAAAAAGAAGAGACGAAGATATGCTACCTGTCGGGTAAAACTTACCAAAAAGTTGGAACAACCAGCCCTCAATCTCATGGTATCTAAAATGATGTGTTTTGCGAAATAAATTTATGAATAAGAGTAATGAAACATACACATGAATAATCGCAAATTGTTGTTAGGCTCGAGGATTTCATCCGAGGGAATTGTACGAATGCGCTTTCGACATTATTAGTCCTATAGACAACTTGATGACCGAGGCTGAACTAATTTTCATTATATGGGAGATCTTTAACGAATTACCACAGATCCGGGAATATAATTTCATTGTACGTTTGAATCACACGTCACTATTGCAAGCCGTACTGATGTACTGCGGCGTGGAGAAGGACAAGTATCAGGATATATATTCTATCCTGCAGAACGCTCGCGATGGAAAATTAACGAAATTCCAAGTACAAACGCATTTGATAAGCTTGTGCCTTACCGATCAAGCTATGGAAACGCTTTTCAATTTGCTCGAAACGGAAAGCTCCGTTGCAAAATCTCCAGTGTCTTAAGAACGATAACGAAAAGAAAAGGGGATGTCGCGAGTTTAGCCAAAGAGAGCCTAAAAGATATAGAGGCTGTAATATCTAACGTAGAAGGTTTGGGTGTTAAGGTAATAAACAATCTACAGGGTATCCCATAGGAAATTGCTGAAACCAAACTATCAATATTTTTCATTACTTTTTATCAATAAAATAAACTGGTATACAAACATTTTAGTTATATCCATTAAAAACTGCAAAATTTCCTCTTTTCAACACAATTTTTGTTTTCTCAATAACTGCATGCATTAAAAAATAACAGCTGATTAGTTTCAGCAATTTCCTATGGGACACCCTGTTATACACAATTTGAGTAAACTGTGTTTGCATAAATTTATATCTTGTTACAGTGGCCTATTACCGTCGTACCTTTGTTAACGTATAATGTACAACAATATAGCGGTATGATATATCAGATAACTTGCGAATTAAAACATAGACGAAAGCGAGGGGGTCAGGATGTAATAGCCGCAGGTGGTCGATATGACAAGATGCTGATGTCCTTCAGAAAGGTCTTGGAACGTACTGGAATGGCGAGTAAAGAAACGAAGCAATACGGCGCCGGTATTAGTATATCATTAGACAAATTGGTATCCGCCGTAAGCGAAGCGTGCGAGAATCTGAACGGTGAAAATAAATGCGGCTGCATCGACGTGGCCGTCTGCTGCGAGAGCGGTCCAGGAAGCGAGGGAAGACGAGAAAAAGAGATGATTAATATACTGCGAGAAATCTGGTCGTTAGGATTGAAAGTAACGACACTGGATCTATGTACTATGGAAGAAATATTAGAGTACTGTCGAGAAAATTCTATAAGTCATATAGTTTTATTGAGAAACGGCACTTTAAGAGTGCAAACGTGGGAGAGAGATCGGTTCCAGGAGAAGAAGTGGAACACCATACAGGATATTACCGAGTACTTGCAACGACAGTCGGAAACCACATTGCCGATATTGAATAGATCTGAGAGTAAAGTGAACACGAATGACGTATCGATAGCGCCGAATAATCCGGTCAATGCTAATATCAATTTCATCCTTTCCGAGCGCGACAAACTGTCCGGAAGCGGGAGAAGAAATTTTAAGAATTCCATACTAGCGCAAATGTCATTCTACTTGCAAAGAATATCGCATAAAGTTCCTGTAGAAATCTTTGCAGTCTTTTTGGAAATGTCAGTCATAAGAACGATCATTAGTTTTCTAGAAATCGATGAGGAGGAACAGATATTTCAAAAAAGTATTCAAATAGTGAGAGACAAGTGAGTAATTAATTAATTATATATATGTAAATATATTTAATATATTGTATAAATAAATATTTTTACAGGCATCCACGTCATAAGAAGTACATTAAACAGATATGTGAGGAAATGAAAGAATTGCGGAATGAAAAATCAAAGCCTGTGGAGATACTTTATAGTTTAATAGATAGTGCATACATGACCCTCTTATAAGTGATATTATCAAAATCGAGGAATATATTTTTTCATAGTAATCATGTGAAATCATTGAGATGATGAATGATTAGAATGTATGTTAAATGTAAGACTAGATACTTAAGAATTTTTGTACTGCATTATATATATTTGTAAGTGTAAAACGTTTCATAAAAAACGTTTAATAAATAAAATTATGTATATCTTATAATTAAGATATGCATAACAATTTAAAATATATACAGATTTTAATTCGAAGCTCAAATAGAAAAGCTTTTATGAAACAATTTATATGAAAATCAAACATTTATAATGTGATATATTATTTTTATTTTAGTCAGGCATTATTATAAGATTAAAATATATTTAGAAAAAATACGTGTAATCGGGGTACTTAATTTTTGATAAAAAAGTATTTTTTTTTGTATATGTGAAATAATTTTTATTTCAGAATTTCTATCATTTGATTTGTATGAATACCGAAACGATAACAGCTTGTATTACATTTTATACATTTATATATACTATATATATTTTTATCGCCATTTTTCAATGTTCAATTTTACGGAGTCGTTTGTTTTAGCTCATTATTTCAAATATCAAATTTTGGGAGAATCAAATGTTAAAAATTGAACGAAATATTGGACGAGACTTATTTATGTCAACTTCAACAGTTTGAGTTATTTAGTTGCTGATTATTATAATTCATAATAATACAGAATGCTGTAGCATTTCAAGATTATATATACTACAGGTATATTATTCGTATTAATCTCTTTTTTTTTATTTCTCCTTAATGAGAAACACGAGCACATCTCACTTCCTATTTAAATCCATCGTTACCCGCACAACCCTTCTCGAATCAATACGACTTTGTGATACTATATATACGACAACGATGCGCGGGTATCTTGGAGACATGCGTGTGTTACCGCTAGAGTATACTATTCTAATTTTAGAAAACGGCCTATTCTAGAGTAACACATTTATCTCCGATATCGAAACTTAATCAAAAACAGTTGGCAAAGATATCGCAGTTATTTCTAAATAGACTGTTTGCCATTTTGATGTATTTAATACCATATCTGTCTTATTGCAATAGAACGTCGAGATAATTTTGACAAGCATGCATTCTGTACGGTTGCTGTCAGGATATGATATGCCGACAGTGGGACTTGGGACATGGCAGGTAAAATAATATCAGAATGATGATTTGTGATAAAGTAACGTGTATTCCGTGTATCATTAATTTTTTTTCTAGCTCTCTTCCTTATTTTCTTCTTAATTCTTAACTATTTTCTTAATTATTTTAGCTCTCTTAATTTTTTTATTGTTAAATCCATTATTATATATTTATATTGTATTTGTAACTTTTTCCTTTTTCAGTCTAAACCAGAAGAGATCGAAACTGTTGTAAGCACAGCTTTGGAATGCGGCTACAGGCATATCGATACAGCGTCAAATTATAATAACGAAGAAGCGATTGGAAAAGCCTTAAAAAAATGGTTTGAAAAAGGTGGCACTAGAGAGGAACTTTATATCACGACAAAGGTAACGTATCGTTGGGAATTTGACATCAAATATCTTGTGATCGCATCGTTTTAAGCAATTGATTTATTCCAACAGTTGCCTCACTTTGGGAATCGACCATCCGACGTGGAAAAATTCATCAAGTTGTCATTAGAGAAGCTTGGCTTAGATTACTTAGACATGTACCTTATTCATTTGCCATTTGCATTTATGTTCGATGAAAAGACGGGTAGTGCAGCGACCCATGAAGATGGAAGTTATGTACTAGACTTTGATACAGATCCTGTGTCAGTATGGAAGGTGTGTGTGTGTGTTTAAGATCAATTGATCTAAAATATTATAAGATTTCTGAAAAAAGAGATTAAGATTATTATTTCGCAGGAAATGGAGGAACAAGTTAAATCAGGACGTACTAGATCCATAGGTTTGAGCAACTTTAACGAGGAACAAATTATGACTATATGGGAAAACGCGCAGATTAAACCGAGTAATTTACAGGTAAGACATAGATTTTATCTCTATAAAAATTCGTCTAAGTTTTAAAAAAATGTTTTAATAATTTTGCAGGTGGAATTGCACGCGTATATGCAGCAGAAATCAATTCGAGATTTGTGCAAAAAGCACAATATTGTTATAACGGGTTACAGTCCGTTGGGCTCTCCGGCCGCAAAGACGCACTTTGAGACAAAATATAAATACACTTTAGAAAAATCTCCCGACTTATTAACCCATCCGATCATACAAAACATCGCCACGAGACAAAAAAAGACAACGGCGCAAGTTTTATTACGTTATTTACTGCAACTGGGTATCGTAATTATTCCCAAGAGCTCGTCCCCCGAAAGAATCAAGTCAAATATCGATTTATTCGATTTTGAATTAACAGAAGATGATATGAAAGCTTTGAATACATTAGATAAAGGTGTTAATGGGAGAATTTTTAACTTCTTATTCTTTAAAGGGTAAGTTAGAATATATAGATATTATTTTGAGAGATATATTATTTGACAAATGAGTATTTAAAGAGAGAATCCAAATAATCTAAAATATATATAAAAATCACACATATAATATTTAATTGTATAAAACTAAATTTTGCATCATTTTTTAAAATATTTTTGCACAGCTATATAAATATATTGTATGTAATAAATTATTTGTTTCAGAATTCAAGATCATCCTCAATATCCATTTAAGGACGAACTTCCATAATTGTAAATTAACACACGGTCATTAGTTTTCTATCAAAATAGTTGAAAAAGAATTATGTAACATACGCAACAAAAGCATAACGTTATACATACGCATTAAAAATGTTTTTGTTGTTCTCTTCAATGCAGTCTGTACAACATTTTACGTTGCAAACGATGTTGCAGTTCACCACGACGTATCATTGTATGTATGACTTTGTAAATAGCGCGTTCCGGAAATGATTGCTTAAGAAAATCTTTCACTATATTTTGCTCAGACACTTGATGTCCAATAGGAAATCTGCTTTTCAATTGTTTTTCGATGCGCGACAATATTTCATGATCCTCTTCTGAGGTAAATCCTTCAGCTCCTAACAATACACATGTAATATAAATAATATTTACATATGCAAAATAGGTATTACATTACTTTGAGCTATATATATATAAAATATAATTTATTACATATTTGTGATTGAAAATATATACATAAACTAGAAATTATTCAAATGTTTATATTTTATATAGCTCTAAATATACAGCTCAAAGGAAAAAGAAAGTAAATCAACATTTCTTATCTGAGTAAGTTAATGTAATATTATATTTTTTTTATTTTATCAATTTGTAGCATACCTGCTAATGATCCAGACATTGCTGCTTCTAACGTAGACACTTGGAAGAGCCTTAGAGCTTCGTTTACATGAACTTCAGTAGCAAAGGGTTGCATCTGCATTTTGGCCAATGCTTCGGAGATTCGTACGATAGCCTCAAGCTGCCGGACTGTTATAGGTATAGACAATCTTTTCTCGGCATCTTTCTCATGTTCTCTAGTACCAGCTCGCATCATTACATAACGATTTTTAATTTTTCTCCTGCCTCTGCACTGAGTCTTGGACCACAACGGCTATATTACAAGAAAAAAATAATAGAGGCATATGGAATATTTTATATAAAGTTTATATATACGTTTGTACGATAAACAATAAGATATGTAACAAACTTACGTTCTGCAATAATTTATATACTTCTTGAGAATGTGTACAGGTATCTCTCCTTCTACTGATTGTTCTGTGATCTGGCCAGCATTACAATGAATGTTCAAAACGTGTTTGGCCAGTGTTATATCTCTGTTGTGCTCATGCTCATCTTTAACAATAAATATCGTATCGAAACGGGATAGTATCGTCGGCATGAAATCTATATTCTCTTCTCCTTTTATCTCGTCCCAACGACCGAAGACCGAATTTGCCGCCGCTAACACGGAACAACGCGTATTTAGGGTCGTCGTTATTCCCGCTTTCGCTATAGAAATTGTTTGTTGTTCCATAGCCTCGTGTATCGCCACTCTATCGTCCTCCTTCATCTTGTCGAACTCATCTATGCAGACAACTCCACCATCCGCGAGTACCATTGCACCGCCCTCCATAACAAAATTTCTCTGAAAGCGGCAATATTTGTCATCATATTAGAAAATAATTTGTCGCTGTATTTAAGTTTTATTCTTAACAAAAATACAAACTCACAGTCACTGGATCTCTCGATACAGACGCTGTCAAACCAGCCGCGGAACTACCTTTTCCTGATGTATAAACAGCTATAGGGGCGACTTTTTCCACAAATTTCAATAACTGCGATTTTGCAGTACCCGGATCACCCAACATCAACACATTGATATCACCTCTCCTGCATAAACCGTCCGGCATCAGTTTTCTGGATCCACCGAATAGTAAACACGCGATAGCTTTCTTGATGTCTATCGCACCAAAAATACTGGGAGCTATGCTCTTCGCGATTCTCTCATATAGATTAGGATCTGCCGCTAAACGGGTGAAAAGGTCCTCCTCTTCGGATGACACAGGTGGCTGAGTTCCTGTATTAAAAAATACAAATCGTTAACCAATATTTTTTATGATATTTTATGCCTTGCTTCTTAGATTTATTATGCTATTATTACCAATGTTTGCATTTTCTCCATCTACAGTGATACCAAGAACTCGAATATACGGAGCCCGAACACCTACTAATGCCTTCTCTCTGCCTGCATTTTTACCACCTGTTTTAGACACCTTTTTAATGGAATAGATCCCAAGAATCAAAACCCTATTACCAGGTACAATTCGGTCGCATAAATACCGATCGCAATATAATTGCAAATGTCTAGGCATTTCACCCTGCGGTATATGATCTGGTAATTCTTGAAGCTTTAATACTTGAAAATCTACGCAACGGCATTTATCTGGCATTATAAAAAAAGGATCTAGAGGACATCTTGGTCGACCTGCTTGTTCTCTAAAAAATTGATGAAAATTTACAATATAAAAATGTTATATATAAACAAACAATGAAATATTTTGTGAAAAGAATACTCCTTACGTAGAACACTTCCTAGGTAATGCATATCCTTCCAAGCCTGGCTTGATAGGAATATTGACTTGAGTAACTTTACAAGAGCGACATTGTATTGCAATTTTTGTTGCCTTTGCTCTGATTCCAGATGCAGAGACAATTATACCAGGAACTTTGACAATCTTGGAAACAATATCGGGCTGCAATAGTAACAAACTGTTGTATTTAATTGTATCTATCGCACGTTTTGTATTTTAAATTTATTGCAATATATAGTATTAATATATATAACATATATTTATCTATATATAAATATACCATTTATTCCTCATCTAAAATAGCAGATATAGGACTCTATTGTTTCTGCATACTGAATTATATCTTATTTTACCTTCATTCCTCTCAAAGAGGTTGGATGAGCATCCGAGCACAACAGCACCTGAATATCTTCCACTTTTTCTTCACCTTCAGGTCGTGGCGTTGTAAGTTCGTCCGCAACATCCTTCGCAGCCTCCTCTAGAATCGGTAAATATTCTGTTGGGAGTTTTTGGATCTTCTCTGCGAGGGACTCGTCAAAAGCTGCCAGATCTTCCAAATTAATCTCCAGCCAGTATTGCCCAAGATTGTAATTACGTTTTAGAGTATCCCTGATCGTAACAGAATCAGACGCATTAAATCGATAAGGAAAGGATCGAGCAGAAGCGTAAGATACAAAAAGAATTAGCATCTTAAATAATTTACTCACCGATATTTGTAATTGAAGTTACCCTCGTGAAACTGTCGAATGAATTCCTTGAACTTCTTCTTCGAGTGTTGGAGATTCACCCGATTTTCGTCGGTGTCGTTCACCGCAAAATTGTCCGAGAAGAATACTCCTGGATCGTCGAAGCCTTCCATGTTACGCGAGTATTCGTTTGAAGTTTGAATAAAAAGATCGAGCAAAAGTACGATCACAATCAACAAGTATGTCGCGTCGTGGAAAACTTTCCGTTTTGGCGGGAAACTTTCAAGGTAAATTTTAAGGTCGATACGGAACAACCGATTGATTGGGGCGATATTTCACGAATACGAACGTCTTGGCGTGATTGGCTAATAAATAGAAAATTTTTGAAGTCTCTAGAATTTGTCCATTCGACAACCAATCGGAAAGCTACCTGTGCGCAGCATCAGCCAATAGGAAATTGCATTATTTAAAAAAAAAAGATGTCCGCTCTCTATATATACTCTCACCTGCGTATTAAACGGAACAAACATGGTAATCGGTTTCGATGAGAAAAAATGTGTAACAACGTGTGAAAAGTGTGAACGCGATGGATAAAAGGATTTTCGCTTTTGATCATAATAAGCGCGAGACAAGAAGTGATTATACAATAATAAAACTACGTCATTGAAATTTGTTGTCGATTCCTTCGAATAGAATTGAACTGTCTTTAATCTCAGTGCAAATGACTCGTACATTGGAAATACGTTTCTTATCTTCTTTTAAGATCGGAGTGATAAACGTATTCTCTCTGACAGTAGCTTTAAAATAATGTGTGATGCGAGAGGAAGATCAGGAAGCCAAATTGGACATGCAAAAAATGTGGTATGCGAGAAACATGTATCTTCAATTCTGATATATTTAATATTGCGAGAAATGTCAAATCGGCATATATATATATATATATATATATATATATATATATATATATATATATATATGTACAATATTAGTTTGACATCGGAAATAAACTTTAACTTTAAATACCTACCATATTTTTTTACAGCTGTTCAATGCATTTTCCCTCATTTATTCGCTCAACTCGATATTTCGCATTCGCGAAAAATGTTGGGTGTCGATTAATTTAATGGACTAATCCAACTGAAGAATGTCACTTGGCACATTCGAAGATAATTATTTCTAATCGATTGATATATCTTGTGTTGACAGATGCATTAATAATACAATCATCCTAAAGTCAGAGTAATTGTCGCAAAGAGTTAATTGGCGGAACATGCTCGTCTGTTGCTCGTCTGCTGGCATTTTCGTGAAGTGATAAGTCATGCCCGGAGAACCATCAGCGACAACTGGAAATAAATCCAGTGGTAAGGCAAAGAGGATATCCATACCTCGTGTGCAAAGCAGTACCGATACAGAGCTACAGTCGCAACAGAGCGGTTCGACTCCCTTGCAACCCACTGCATTGCACTATGTCAGTTTTCGTTCCGAATTAGAGGACAGCTCGATCCCCCCAGCTTTGCGATGTCGCTTATATGATCTCTTTCAACAAATCGAAAAGGAATTTGAAATGTTGTATACTGAAAATCTTGGATGTAAGTATTTACTCTATTATACTTGATAATCATCCAACATACATTAAATATATATATATATATATAAAGTTTATTTCAGCTTCTCACCAAAAAAGAGACTTAGTTTACAATTTTTCCGACTCACGTTTATCCATCCATTTCACTTACTGCTATCTACTATTTTATATTGTTTCTTTTCCTAATAAAATAAAATAAATATTAATCTAATTTTATTAAAAATTAAATTAAATTACATTATATTATACATTAAATAGTTCACATTTTACAGTTTTTATATTGCATCCCATTTTCTCATCTCAACATACATTAAATAAATGAATGCTATTATGTTTTGTTACAGTACAAGAGAAGGTTGACATCCTAAATGAAAAACTCGAAAGGGAATGCTATGGATCAGGTGAACGCAGTTTACCTCCTGGAGATCTTACAGATTATCCAGAAACAAAAAATCTTTCCAAACAGAAATGTAAGACCATATTACAGTATTATATTAATATGATACATTAAAAGATATGTATTTTAAATCACATATATAAGATGTAAAAAAATATTTTAAAAAGATAGAATATTCATTAAATTAAATCAAAAGTTATTCTTCTATCTCTGACGGTGATGATTGATGATGTATTATTTTTCTCCATCTATAAAAGTGCTTCTATCTCTGACAGTGATGATTGATGATGTATTATTTTTCTTCATCTATAATAGTTTAAATTTATCAATAGTATATGCAATTACATCATTAGTTCTTGAGTCTAATAATATAGTCTTTTTTAAATTTCTAGCAGTGGGCGTAAACTCGGCGCAAAAGATCAAAACTTCTCACAAATTAAAAGCTCAGACTAGTAAAATAGTATCGAGCTTTAAAACTCCATCCATGACTTGCACTATGCAAAGAGAATATGTGGGCCATCGAGATGGTGTATGGGAGATATCCGTGAGCAGATCGGCACAACCTATCATAGCAACTGCTTCTACCGACCGCACAGCACGTATATGGGCGATAGACAGCGGCCGATGTTTATTACAATATATCGGTCACAATGGATCTGTGAATTCAGTACGATTCCATCCAACTCGAGAACTGGCATTATCGGCGAGTGGCGACGGTTCCGCTCACGTGTGGCAGGCGGCCGTGGATTGGGACATGCCGAAAAGAGTACAGTCATTAGAGGAACTTCCAGTGGCTGGCTCCGAACGATCCGCTACGAATAATCTAATTAGTAATAATGACGAGCAGGAGGAGCCCCCGACTCTGAGAACACCAATACGAGAACTCCTGGGTCATTCGAGCGTCGTTATGGCTGCAGATTGGCTCTCCGGAGCCGAACAATTGGTCACAGCCTCTTGGGATAGAACGGCGAATCTGTATGACACGGAGACCGGAGAAATTATACACACGCTGTGCGGACACGATCAGGAATTGACTCACGTGTCGACTCATCACACTCAAAGATTGTGCGTTACATCCAGCAGGGACAACACGTTCCGATTATGGGATTTTAGAGAACCGATACATTCGGTCTCGGTGTTTCAAGGTCATACAGAGTATGTATTATTAGTGTTAATTTGTAGATTTATGTATAACAATAAATAGGATGAGATATTTGACATATCTCTTTTTACAGAACAGTAACATCTGCAGTCTTCACAAGGGAAGATAAAATTGTATCTAGTTCGGATGATAGAAGTGTTAAAGTATGGGAACTACGTAATATACGCAGTCCGTTAGCAACAATACGTGGGGATAGCGCTGCTAACAGACTATCAGTTTCTAGTACTGGTGTAGTGGCAATACCACATGATAATAGACAGATACGTTTATTTGACTTAAGTGGCCAACGTTTAGCAAGATTACCTAGAACTAGTAGACAGGTAAGATATATATATATATATATATATATATGTACATTTTGCATATTTTTATATTTATGTAAGAATTTGTCTTTCTAACCAGATAGTTTATATTGAAATATATTAATGGTGATTAAAAATTTAAAATTACTGAAACTGTAGAAAATGGTACAGTTATTATAAGTAATCTTAAACTTTTATTTAAGTGTTCATTTATTGCATTTAAATATAATAGGAACATATTTTTAAACATATTTTGTTATTTTTCAAAATAAAAATTACACAACTTGATTGAATTTTTTCTTTCATTCTTGATATTATAAATATATCTCATTAAACAAAAATAACATGATTTTATTTTGCAGGGTCATCGTAGAATGGTATGTTCTGTCGCCTGGTTGGAAGATAATAATGTATGTAATTTATTTTCCTGTGGTTTTGATAGACTAGTATTAGGTTGGAGTGTTCTTCCCGTCAAAGATGCTTAAACATCAAAAACTATACGATTTTATATCAGACTCTTTATGTCATGTTAATGTAATATTGGGAATATTTAGGTGCAATTTAGGAATGGAAGTACATATGTAACTATACAGTAAAAATCCAGCAATTAATCCAATCAAAGAGCCTCCTTTCCACTCTTGCAAACAACTGCAATAAATAACCAAAAAATATATATATATTATATGTATTATATCTAAATAATTTATCAGAGATAAATTATAAATAGAATGTGTGATTTTAAAGTTGCAATAAAAGCTGTGAACATATCTTATGTAAATTTTTTTTAAATAGATTCTTACCCGAGTATGCAGTGAAGAGACATAAAACAGTGTAAGCTTGGATAAGAAGATAATATGGACCCGACGCAATATGCCTCCAGACTATTCCCAAAAATCCCAATAATTTGCCACAACCTCCAACAATTAGAGCACAACTTAAATCTCTTACACTGTATTTGTATGGTTTTTTACCAATGATAAACCATTTTAATTCTGTTACTAGAACAACTGTACAAATAAATGCTGCAAAAGCGAATGCTGTATGTAGCAGCACGCTGTAAAAATTACAATAATCTTGTAACGTATCATTATAGATCAAATCCATTTGCAATGTGTTTAATTCTGTCTTGCTTATCTCGCAGGAAAACCAAGCTCTGAACGATTCGGCTAGCCATAATATTATAAGTAATTTCCAATATGATTTAAAATTGCTGTTGTACAAGAGATGTCTGTAGGCTGGTTTTTCTATTAAAATAAGATCTACAAAAACTATAACAGGATCATATTCGATGTATTTATCAGCTAACAAGCCACAATTCTCCTAAAATATAATACAAAATTGATATAGTAAAAAATTGAAATAGTACACAATGTAAGTATATAGATTCATAACATTCCACTTACGCATTTTAAGATTTTAAGAACACTAGGACAGTATCTCCTAAAAAGCTCTTTGCATTCAACTCCACAATTTATACAAATGTACATTTAGACAAAGACTTTGAAATATCTGAAATAAATAACGAATCAATTTCCATAAATAACATTAAGAAATAAAAAAAGATGGATTTATAGTAGAATAATTTTTATTGTTTATTATATTATTATGCTTTTTTCAATCAATCTAAGAAGATTAAGTTGAATTACATAAAACGAGATTAAGTTACATAAATGTATGAGTCACATAATTACAAATTAATGATAATTTGCAACATATAATATCCTCTACATTTGCAATTGATTTATAACTGATTTATTATTTATTAGTTTTAGATATTTAGATTGAAATAATATTTCAATTTTCAGTTCGGTCTAGTTTCTCTTATCTACAGCAAGATTTAGCAAGTATTTATTTAGAGAGATAAAGTTTTAATATTTACAAAGATAATACATGTTATTATGTACAGGGTAGGCCATTTTAATCTTTCCACTAAAATTTCTCAAAATCCAAAAATTTAAGACAAAAATGTTTCAAATAAAAGTTGTATGGTTTCAAGGGGGACATGAGATGGTGTCATTGATTTGACCTTGAATAGCCATTTGAAGGTTACGTAAAGGTCAACTTCAATTTCTTAAATGGAACACTATATTTTTTCTTGCATACTTTTGTAGCTGACTTCGAGATCTTTCCAAAACACTACAATAAAATATTTTTTCATGAAGTATTTTTCGAGTTATTAAGGCTGCCAATTTGCAGTATTTTGACATAAAATACAAAATATCTTGGGAAATATTCATTTTTCGATTATCATACCTTAATACTTTTATGCACAGAATAATGAGACGAATCAATTGGTGTAAAGAAAACACATAGTTTTTTAAAGAAAAATTATCTAACTGCTTATTGCAATTTTCATATTTTTTTTAAAGGTAACTATGTGTTTTCTTTACATCAACTGATTTATCTCATTATTCTGTGCATAAAAGTATTAAGGTATGATAATCGAAAAATGAATATTTCTCAAGATATTTTGTATTTTATGTCAAAATACTGCAAATTTGCAGCCTTAATAACTCGAAAAATACTTCATGAAAAAATATTTTATTGTAGTGTTTTGGAAAGATCTCGAAGTCAGCTACAAAAGTATGCAAGAAAAAATATAGTGTTCCATTTAAGAAATTGAAGTTGACCTTCACATAACCTTCAAATGGCTATTCAAGGTCAAATCAATGACACCATCTCATGTCCCCCTTGAAACCATACAACTTTTATCTGAAACATTTTTGTCTTAAATTTTTGGATTTTGAGAAATTTTAGTGGAAAGATTAAAATGGCCTACCCTGTATATTTACATTATCTGAAATCATACTTACTAATAATATAATGAGAGTTTATATAATAATAAGCTAGCATATATAATGAGCTGCATAATAACTACACAAATATAAGATAAATATTAGTGAAAGGAAAGCAAGATAGTGGTGGGAGTATCATCATAAAAGCCTAGCAAGACATGTCACCTTAAAAGCAGTCTTATTTCGACTTTCATTCAAGTCACATCGAATATGACATCAAATTCAAGTGTACTTTTACAAACAGGGCAAAAAATGCCCATATTGGGATTTGGCACTTGGCACGTAAGTATACAAAAGAACTTGTTTACAATGATCCTATATATATATATATATATGTTAAGAAAATAAGTATTTATTACAATATAAATATATAGGCAACTGGAGAAGAGTTAGAAAAAGCTCTCGATGCAGCTTTGGAAGCAGGATACAGGCACATCGATACTGCGACAGTATATGAAAACGAATGTACAATTGGCAAAGTCTTGAAAAAATGGTTTGATTCTGGCAAAATCAAGCGTTCTGATTTGTTTATAGTGACAAAGGTAAGTTATAATGACAAATTTTGACACACACACAACATTACTGTTAATACAATATTAAAAATATCTTTAGATGTGTATAATTATATCTTAAAAAATATTAAATTTTATTTATAAATATATATACTTATTGTGTATATATGTGTTTATATTATGTTATGCTTAAAACATTACAGGTACCGCCGAGTGGAAATAGACCAAAGGATATAGAAAAATGGCTTAAGCAATCGCTTCAAAACTTGCAAATAACTTATGTGGACTTATATCTGGTGCATGTCCCTTTTGCATTTGAGGATGCTGGAGAGGATTTACATCCACATAATAAAGACGGAGAAATTAGACTTGATGTACATACAGACCATTTAAAAATTTGGTCAACAATGGAGCAACAAGTGCTGGAAAAGCGTACCAAAGCAATTGGATTGTCAAATTTTAACAAAAAACAAATCGAAAAGATTCTAGAACATGCAAAAATACCTGTGTCAAATTTACAAATTGAATTGCATTTGAATTTCCAACAAAAGGAATTGGTACATAAATTTTATATTACTTTTAAATATATTCCTGTAATTATAAAATTCTGTAATTACAAGAGATACATAATGATATTTCAGGTACAGTTTTGTGAACAGCAGAACATTAGAGTCACAGCGTACTCGCCATTAGGTTCTTATGGATTTTTCAAGAAGATAGGTGTGCCAAATTTGTTAGAAAATACTGTCGTATTACAACTTGGAGTCAAGTACAAGAAAACACCTGCTCAAATACTGCTTAAACACATTATTCAAAAAAAAATAGTAGCCATACCAAAAAGTTCAACTGTTTCGCGAATTGAAGAAAATATCAAACTATTTGATTGGGAACTAACAACTGAAGATATGAAAGAATTAAATAAGCTGGATTGTGGAGAATTTGGGCGCATTTGTAATTTTAGTTTTTTTAAAGGTATCGAAAAACATCCTGAATATCCATTCTAATATTACACAAGTATTATGCTAAACTTTATCAATTATATCTTATTGCGCTTTTTGTATATCTCATTATATTTTTCATATACGTTATAATATAATAATGTAAAGGGAATATTATATATCTTTAAAAAGAATGTTACATATAGACCTTAATAAACAATAAAAATTGTACAATATATAAAATAAACTGTAATATATTAAAGAGATTCCTGTCATTATTACATATAATTTTTGTCCTAATGCAAAAAATATTCATATAAATATTTCTATAAAATAATCATGTATATATGTTAATTTTACGTACAAAATATAATACTGATTATAACCTATACAGCTTTATTTCTATGTAACACAAATAACGATTCAAAAAATGTGTCAAGTATTTAAGGCTATATTTGCATATATTTCAAAATGTAGGTTACTTTCACATTACCTACTTTTACTTCGATTATCTGCTTTCGTATTTCTTCGTCGTCGTTAATAAGATAAGTTGGTCACAGTTGTATTACGATTACTAATTAAATATGTAACGTAATCAAAACAATATGACAAGCACATATCCACGTTCAGATAATAGTAACACAGGTAAATGTTTATTTCACAATAAATAAATCATTAAATAATGAGATAGGTATCTGAATGATTAAAGTATCATTTAATTCTTCTATTCTATTGAGATACAATAGAAGAGATAAAATACATCTCCAGACACCGTGCTAAAGTATATACATATAAATCCGTGATTATAAGTATAATTAAGATTTAGAAAAAAGCTGAATTTGTTTTCCAAACAAAGTAAGCACACAAAATATTTTCACACACGCACACATGTAAACACATGACACACATTCTTGATAAGAAAACAATTTTTCGAAAACATTTTCAGAAAGAAAGAAAGAGAGAGAGAGAGAGATGATCCTCTCTCGCTTCACCATGCTACGCAGTAGTGGAGGGAGGCAATGACTAGTGCGCAGGCGCAGCTGTTCTCTCACTCCACGTCTGTCACGTGACGCGCTCCCCACTCAGCGCCTGTCACGTGATTCGTGACGCGTCGCACATCAGCGCCGCCTAGAGGTCAAAGTTGATTCAAAGTCGCACGCGTCAAGGCGCGTTCTCTCTCTCGCCACGATAATTATAAGTATTGTACGAAAAATTCTTTAATTAAGGCAGGTATTGTGCGCTAACATTAAACGCATTGAAGCATGCGAAACGTAATTATGAAGGACAACACATAGAATACTTTGATTGAAGTAATATTACGACTCGTAAACAATAGGGACACGGTACAGGTGTTTCCCATGCAGTGATAACGAGACATCCCGTATTATAATTGAACTGTATGTATGACGATCCTGTTGCTATATTATAATTCTTTCCGAAGAATACATCATCTGTTTATACAAATATGTGCATTTTGATGTCAAAATGCATCATTTTGATGGCAAATGATGCATTTTGACATCAAAATAATGTCATAATAATTACTGTGGCTATCTGGGCATTATATAAATATATCAAAATCTTTGCACACACACATATATATTTCTTTCCGCGAGTTTCTGCTTCCAATTCGTCTTTATCGAAATTTAAATGCACGCGTGATTTAAATACGCATTGAAATAATATGGAAAACAAAATTTACGCGATAATATTTAATGTGAATAGAAAAGAGAATAAGGATCGCGAGAGAGAGAAATTATTTTTTATCAATTTACAATAATATATATATTTTGCACGTGAATATTATAATAATTAATGTTAAATTTAAACGAAAAATAGTAAAACATGTGAAATATGGAATGCAGAATCTAGTTCGACTTTCTGAAATTTGTTATAGGTATATATATATACTTTTATTTTATATCATTAATGTTTTACTTTTTACAATCAATGTTTAATAAAAATTATACGATATTTTAAAACTGTTTTAAAAATTGTGAAATTTATTTTTATAACATCTTCAATTTTTTTAGAGTATATATACGCATGTTTTAAGTTGTTAACAAATTTATAATACCCTTTTTTTAAATACAAATTTAAGATTTTAAAATATCTTCAAATCGTGAATAATTTTAACATATTTTTCTATTATCCTTTAATAGAGAGATATAGAATCAATGATTTAATTGCTTTGTATCCTATATAATATTGAATTATAAATGATATTTTACTAAATTAATAATTTAAATGGAGATTATTATTTGTTGTTTCAAATGCAAATGTGATTATATTTCTCACGAATTTGACGTTGAAGCACCGAAGGATTAAATTCGTGCTAAAGATGATGATATAAGGTTATGTCCTCCATGATCTTTCGTTAAAATCCTGCAATGTATCATCTAGGACAGTTTAGATAAATCGCAATTTCAAATTATAATTATCATGATATACATATATTTTATAAGATATTATCATAAGTATGTATACAATACATTGCATATATTATTAAAATATTTACAGATTTAATTAGAGATGAAAACCACGCGACAAATTGACATTCGATCTATCAAATTTCAAAAAAATCGGAATTTTTTGATAAATTGATGTATCAAATTTTACTTTATATATATATATCCGTTTGCTGACGTGTTGGAACATCGTCGAATTTAACATTTGGCAAATTATTGTTTTATACAGAATGTAGAGTTAACGCAATTGGAAAATAAATATAATTTAACATTTATCTCTAATAACAGAATCTACTTAAAATGGATAATAACATAAGGAACATTTTTTTTTTCTAATAATCTTCGGCTTGTCTGTTAGATACAACTACAAAATGACTACACACTTACATTGTCACATAATTATACAATGTTATGTATATGCATTCGAGAATACTACATTCACTGAAAACTTATTGTTAAAGTACATTTTGCTGTAAGTAAATTACTGTGCGCTCATCAGCTTTGCATTGCAAATATTACAGGTAGTAAATACTACAATTAACATTAATAATACATGTAATGCCGTGAATTTAAGTAATATTTTGTTGATCGTGTGTTGTCAGAGAGCAATTACGCTCTCTCTTCCTGCTCCTACACCAATCCACTTGACTGTAACAAAATAGATTCTTCTATAGCTAATTCTATCAGAATATTTAATATGAATATACAATGCTATGTAAACATACCTGGCACATCTAAGTACTCCTCTATAATTTGGATGAATTTTGTGCATTAGGTGGCAATTTATCTAAGGAACGTACATCACTGGTAGCGGATTGCCAACCTTCAATTGTCTCATATACAACTTCAACCTTCGCTAGTTCAGAAGTACTGCCTGGAAAGTATTCTATGTCCTTCCCGTTCAACCGATATCCAACGCACACTTTTATCTCTGATAATATATCCAAGATATCAAGTTTTGTTAAACATATAGCTGTATATCTGAAATAAGAGAACAATGAAACTGATATATATATCAGCATAATATTAATGCAACAATTATTAAGTCAAGCAGCCATTGGAAGCAAAGATATAATTTTCATATAATGTGATACATTTTTTTTACATACCCATTAACCAACGTTGTAAATTTTAACAATGGCAAATCTAGCCACCCGCATCGTCTCTTTCGCTTTGTGGTTACGCCGAATTCGTGGCCTCTTTTCTGCAATAATTCTCCAGTAGAATCTAAAAGTTCTGTGGGAAATGGTCCGTCACCGACTCTGGTGGTGTAGGCTTTTACGACACCGATTATCTGGCCGATTGTGTTAGGAGGTAAACCAAGACCGGTTAATACCCCACCAATACTGCAATTCGAACTTGTCACATATGGATAAGTTCCAAAGTCAATATCCAACATTGCTGCGTTAGCACCCTCCACTAAAACCTTTTTACCATCCTTTAAAGCCTGGTGCAAGTATTGCACCGTCTCCTTCACATACGGCCTTATACGCTCAGCATATCTGCAAAAGAATCGTAATATATTATAAATCATATATTATAAATATCTATATATATTTAAATCTTGTAGAACAATATAATTACATAAAATACTCGTTATACTTACTCCTTGTAACGTTCCAATTCGGCCTTAACATCGACATGTAAAGCAGGAAACATTTTTTGATACGATGTAACTAGTGTGTTAAACTTCTGGGAGAACTTGTCGTAGTCACCAAGGAGATCTCCGATTCTGAGTCCATTCCTGGCAGCTTTGCTCGAATACGTCGGTCCTATACCTTTCTTCGTAGTTCCCAATGACTGCGTACCTTTCTCCAATTCTTGCAATCCATCAACCTGTTGATGAAAATCAAACACTATATGTGCCCGATCTGATATTACAAGTCTGTCCTCCCAGTTTTTAAGCCCTTTAGCCTCGTTCTTTTCCAATTCATCAAACAGACCAGGCAGGTGAATCACTACTCCATTGCCTGTAAACAGAAGAAAGATGGCAAATATGAATAATTATATATATGATCTGCAGTGTATTTATCAGAATTATTGAGATAACAATATTCAGGTACTCAATATCTATTTATATCAAGAGACAATAGAATAACCCATGTATAAATATGTGGAATAATTGTTCGATACATTGATCTTGTTTTCTCATACATTTGTTTTGCTAAATTGTTTATCTCCTTTATATTAATCACTACAATCATCAGTGATACATGTCATTGTTTTGCAAGTGCAAATCAGAATATTAATTTATTTGTGCATTACCTATAACGGATTTGCATCTAGGATTGATTATTCCACTAGGCAGAAGGTGAAAGTCGAATTCGGCACCTTCTGCAACTACAGTATGCCCTGCATTATTTCCTCCCTGCAAAATTATATTAATGCTTAAAGAAACAGAGCTTGCCTATGACAGGCATATTTACGATAAGAAAGATTGTATTGTAATTTTAATAATATTGAATTGAAATACACAAGGTCTTAAAATGACATAAACAATGGCATTGAAGTCTTGGAATCAAGTATACAGAAATATTTATCATCTATATTCTATTACAAATAAAAAATATAGACAAGAGGAATAAAAAAGAAAGAAATATAATATAAAATCTTCTTCAAATACATATAAATAATTGCTAAGTTATCAGAAGTAATTCTCTCTCCGATAATATTTAATATTATTTCTTTTATAGGAAATGTGGACATGCGCAGCCTGAGATTACATAAATCTGAATTTTCTCTTACATTAATATATATCAAATCATTATTCATAAATCCATCAATTCTGTAATTATCGCGTGTATTGAGACAAATATCCTGTTACAGACAAGAGATAAGGAGAAATCCGGTTATTTATCGCGTTTAAGCCATACAAAGATACGCTGCATGATAATTTCATGATTTTACGATTTTTTTGTGTATATATAAGAGCTATCAATTATGTAATCTCAGGTACCAGACTATACTGCCGAAGATGTTTGTTATACCCACAGGTCAGGTGACGCGTGCGTGCATTATTTCTAAAAATAAAAAAAAAGAAAAGTAAACGCAAACGTTTTTCGCGCTCATATGATTTCAATATTTTTCAGAAATATTCTTCAGCGTTTCCCAGAGCACGCGCTCGACTTCTCCAACTGTAGCTAACCTAATCCTCGGATGTGTCAATTTTTCAGGGTCATAGAGGAGCATGAAATGAACGAGAAATTGAGCAAGCTTTTCCTTTGAACTTTCGGAAGGCGGGAAACGCGTCGATGTCCAGGACAATCCGTCATACCTGACACCTGCAGACGACGTCAGCTTCCATCGCCAGCATGTCCACGACCTTTCCCTTGCCCTCGTCGCCCCATTGCGCGCCGAGGACCACCGTGACCTTGGATATGGAACCGCCGGACATCCGTTGTTTCTTCCTCGGCGAGACCGGGGCACCGTTGCCGTTCGCCTGCTGCATCCTCTCCTGGGAGAATACGAGGAGTTACGAAGTGAAGTCGCGAGGTGATCGCGCCGGCGCTCCAACAGAGTCACGCGGGAAGAGGTTCTTCGGTTCTTCTTCTTCTTCTTCTTCTTCTTCTTCTTCCTCCTCTTCTTCCGTCCTCGCTCGGCGGCGAACAGCTGACGCGACAGAAATCGGCCGGAACGAAATCGGGGGCGAGTCACCGCTCTTGATCTACTCTCCCCTCTAACCGCTGTACCACCTCCTTCCTCTTCCGCGCGCGCGATTACTCGCTACTTAACCTAACCTGACCTAACTTGTCCGATTAAAGCTGGTTTTGAACGAATCAAACGTCTTCGTCATAATCGTTTGATTTTCGCGCGATTTTTTCTATTTTTTTTTTTTAAGTATCGAATATATAGATATGTTCTTTCTCTCTTTTCAAAATTATTAATTTGATTGAGGAGATTATATGTACCGGGAGGAAAATGATTCAAAGATCGCGATTTTAATTTTTGAATATGAACGGTGCATAAATAAAATGAACGCGCACGTGACGCATCGTCTGGGAAACTTATCGTTAGTTTTTTTTCCACTCGGCATCAATTATTTCCTATATCTACATTAATGTATATATTAACTGCATTTTAGGAAACCTGAATATTAAATTGGCAAACTATTTATTAAATTTTATTGATCAAACGAAGATTATAAATATATCACTATAAAAGGATATATATAATTGCAATGACCTTGTGCTCGTTTGATATATCTACTCTCCGATTCTCGGGATATTCGACGACAATTTTTTACTTGCGTGCGTAAAAGGATTCTCGAAATAATTATCTTCTATAATGATCAAATGATAATATATATATGGAATCGATATAATAAAAATAAATAACAGATCGGAACAAGATTGATGACATACATAATAAAATAATCGAGTTAAAAGTTGAATTAAAAATTAAAATTGTAAATAAAATATAAAATTTATTTAAAAAAATATATATATAATTAAGTTAAAATTAAAATATTTTATTATTGAAATTTTGATGTAATCTATATATACTTTAAAATGTAACGTATGATATTTTCAACAGATTTCCAAAAAGAACAAGAAAAATATATCTTGGCTTCCTAACGCGATGAATATGTGGAGAAATACGTACTCGATTGACGAAGGTTTATTTCAGTACGCATGATGTAATTGTGGAGTAATTTGAGTAATCATCTGCTGAGAAACGACGATACGTGTCCAAGACGATAATTCAAAATATAAGCACCGTGTGTATACATACACATATAGTCTACATTCATATAGGTATATAACTCGATATGTAATACGAATTTCTTCGTCGTATTCTAATGGTAGAGATGAGTTTTTATAATCCTTTATTTGAGAAAATCAAAGGAATTGTTTTAGGGAAAAAATGTGCCAAAATATTTCCCCAAGATGTATGAATAACTTTATAACTCTTTCAAGATCAAATAAAATATGCAAAAAACAATTCTTTAAATTTTCTACGATATACAAGAAAAATTGTGAATCACCAATATCGTTTAACTTGGAAGAGTCTTATTGTGCCTGTATAAAGTATATATAACAATACCGGAATAAAGCTGCGCGCACAAGCGCTGTTCAATATTTACATCAGCGAAATGGATATATTACCGGATTAGAGACGTGACCCCCGTGGCTTTTTAATTATACAAGCTTCAGTGCATCCCGGGACACACATCTGCCCTATAGAAACTCATCTCTATACCCAGCGGTCGACGAGAAGAGATCCGTTCCCTCGCTACCTAGTATCAATTACATTGTTATTATTACAAGGGAGTAGCCGAGGAGAGATGCGGTCAGAGATAATACACTGTTATAAGAGCATGCACAACAATGGGACAGGTACACGCGGCGTTAACCGAAGATCTCCCTTTAGTCTCCCTCATCGTGCGAGCAACGCGATAGCCATCGCGCGTGCAACTATGCGTTTAATTTGGATTTACCGCAAAGAGAAGGAGAGAGAGGATATCGCGAAAACGAGGGGTACGCACCCCACGAGAGAGAGACCTGGGTCACGTGTATGTATTATATAATGCGTGTACATACGTAAACATATACATATATGTACACGCGCGATATATGTATATTATATATAGCGAGGAGTTCGTCCTTCGGGAGATTTAGTGAAACATTCGGGATGACGAGCGAAGGAACACGGATGAGGAACACGGATTTCAGCATAGCCCGGATACTGTCGGACGATCGCGAATGTTGCTCGCCGAAGGACGAAAGTTCCTCAAGAAAGTTGCGTATCCCGGTTTCGTCTCTCCCGGAAGCGAACGAAGAACAAGAGGCATGCGAGGGAGAGACAAAACGCGAGAAATACGTCGTTGATCGTGTCGTCCCGAGTGAAACCAGGGATGATCCTTTTCTAGCCGGCGAGACGAGACAACGGGATGGTGAAATACGGAGGACCGATCTCACGTGGCTTCAGTACACCAGGTACAGACCGCCGAAACTGCCCAGAAGATCCTACATCGAGAGGCGAACCAAGCGGCGAACGGATGATCGTCCTCGCATTCCCTTCTCTTCGTCGCAGCTGCAGGTGTTGGAAGACAGGTACAGGAGGAGCGCCTATCTGTCCAGGAACGACGTCGTCGAGATGTCAGCGATGTTGAGACTGCCGCAGAGCAAAGTAGGTCAATAAAAAAGAAATAATATATATGTAAAAGAACTTTATGTCAATGACATGTGGATTTTTAATAGCATTTAAATTGTTCGTAAATAATGTTAAACAAATTTATATCTATGATTGCTAAAGCTTATATATATATATACACACTATATAATGCATATATTATATAAGCACATATGTGTGTTTCATATATTAATAATAATTATATATAATTAAAATTATGTGTATATAATAATATATTGTGTCATTGTGTACATAATGTCATGTATATTATGTCATTGATATAAAGTTTTTTTTATTTAAAAATGCACGCTACATTCATGCTTTTTTTGTTGACAATCTGCTCAACTTACGCGAGTATAAATTCGAATTTAAATGTTTCGCGCATTTTATCTTGGTAAATAAAGCAGATTTCCTTTTTATCAACTCTTGGTTAGTTATTGACACACGTGAATCTTTAAAAAATGCAGTGAGATTGCACGAAAATGTTTATTCAAAATGTATGATTTTATATGATGTTTTTTTGTTTTTTGTAGATAAAAATCTGGTTTCAAAATCGTCGAGCGAGACAGAGACGCGAATCGTTGAGTTCCACGGCGCGATGACAACATTAAATTGAAGCTCTGCAAATGGTTCCTATAGGATCCAAAATCGTATATGAGGCTATATCTCCTTGAAGAACGATATTATATATGTATATATAAGATTCGAATCCTAATTATATTCCAAGCGACTCAACTTTTCATATCGCAGCTATATTTATATTTTCTTAATTATTGTACAAATGCAAATAATATATATCAATAACAAATATATCTTTATATATATGTATTAAGAAAATAATGCGTATATAGACATTTTATATAATGAATAAAGAAACTTACTGTAAATCATAAAAAATAACAAAGCAAACATAAAATTTTATAATTCGTGCCTAGGAAGACGCGTTGAAAATAAAAGGTTAAGTATACAAATAAGATATATATATATAAATAAATTGTGTAACAGAATTTTTTGCACAAACATTTTGTAAAAAAAATGTAACATTTGCGATGAGAATAAAAATCAATGCAACTTACAATAACATTTTCCTTCAAAAGAAGATCGAAGAAATGAGGGATGTATGAAGAAACATCTCGTCTGAAGTTTGAAGATTTTTCTCCGATTTCGATTTCTCGATCCCACGTATTTGAAATGTCTACCGCGAGAGGTCGCCCTCGTCGTCTTAGATGCGCGCCGCCTCTCTTCTGCCTCAACCCGGCTGCGCGAGTGGATATGTGTGCATCATATTTAATTTATATATATGTATATGATAGGCACAAGATATCGAGCAATAATCTTTTTCCATCATAGATTAATATTCTACGAATCACGTTTCTAACATAACAGATAAGGCTAATAATGCCGTTGCAAGTTCACGACGTTCAGGTAATTATCCGATTTCGATCGGGGAAAACACGCGTCCTCCCCTCGAGATCGAGTGATTTAAGACTAAACACGAGGGAGGGTTATCTCCGAAACGTTATTCACGTTCGCGTTTATTGTCGCTTTTTTCACGATCTAAATATATACTTCTATTTCGATTTAAATGTACTCGTGCACGAGCAGAACAATGAGATAATGTATATATATATTCTGTTTCTTTTGTCCTACAGCAAAATGTCGTGGAGCCAATGCAGGTTGATGCTCCTACAGAGGATAATGATAATGCTGAGGAAGAACCGTATATAGTAGAAAACCCAACGTTGGTATGTAAAAAAAGATTGGTCTATCTTTCTAGAAAGATTTCTTTTGAAGGTTAAACAAATCATTGTTACGTTTCCTTACCCTCAGGACTTGGAGGTATATGCCAACAGCTATACCGGACTTGCAAAATTACATAGACTTGTATATATCGCCGATCATTGTCCATCGTTAAGAATAGAGGCATTGAAAATGGCAATTACTTATGTGATGACCACATACAATGTTTCGCTCTATATAATGCTACATAAAAAGCTCGTCGAAGCCATGGGGACTCCTGGTTTACCAGACGTGGCGGCGCAGTCTACTTCGCAGGACATGTTAACAATGGATCAAACATGGGTGGAGACTCGATCTAAGAAAGCTGCCCTAAAATTGGAGAAATTCGATACCGATTTGAAAAATTACAAGAGCAATTCTATCAAAGAGAGCATACGAAGAGGCCACGACGATTTGGGAGATCATTATTTGAATTGCGGCGATCTTGTTCACGCCTTGAAATGCTATTCCAGAGCACGAGATTACTGTACTAGCGGCAAACATGTTGTGAATATGTGTTTAAATGTAATCAAGGTTTCTGTATATTTACAAAACTGGTCGCATGTACTTAGTTACGTTACCAAGGCTGAAGGAACACCAGATTTTCCAGAGTTGCACGGTAAAGACAACAATCAGGCTATTATTACAAAATTAAAAGTGGCAGCAGGTCTAGCAGAATTAGCAACGAGAAAGTATAAAATGGCTGCGAAACATTTTTTACAAGCATCCTTAGATCACTGCGACTGTCCCGAATTATTATCTCCTGGAAATGTGGCTCTCTATGGCGGACTTTGTGCTTTAGCTACCTTTGACAGACACGAACTGCAGAAACAAGTTATATTTAGTAGCTCTTTCAAATTATTCCTAGAGTTAGAACCGCAACTTCGAGATATAATTTTTAAATTTTATGAATCAAAGTACGCATCCTGTTTGAAATTGCTCGATGAGATAAAGGATAATATTCTTTTGGATATGTATATAGCGCCTCACGTAAATCTGTTGTATACACAAATTCGAAATAGGGCCTTGATACAATACTTTAGTCCTTACTTAAGTGCGGACATGAGACGAATGGCAACTGCATTCAACAGAACAGTATCCGAATTGGAAGATGAACTCATGCAACTTATCCTTGATGGTCAGATTCAGGCTCGTATAGATTCACATAATAAGGCAAGTCTTGCTCGCAGACTTAATTACATACATATATCTTTCTTTAACAAGTATTTGATATTTTCAACAAATGTTTTTAAATTATTACAGATTTTGTACGCGAAAGACGTCGATCAACGTAGCACTACTTTCGAGAAATCTATGAGCATTGGAAAAGATTATCAGAGGCGTACACGTATGTTGATCTTAAGAGCCGCAATGTTGAAACAGCAAATTCATGTAAAGGTAAATTATAATTTATATTTAAATTTATAGTCAAATTAATTTATAATTAAAGAAGATATCTTTGAGATTATCAAGTTCTTCCATTGTTGCATAGTATTAACTATGAAATCTTTATTGAAACACCTTGTTTACTGGTGTATTTAAAAACATAATTTATTTTAACATAGAGTCCTCAACGCGACAGTACACAAGGAGGTGAGATGTCGGTAGCACCAGGAAATGGTACCTTAGCAGCAAAAAATTGAACCGTGTTTAATATTTTATGTTCCGAGAAAAAAAAATTTATACGTGTTAACTGCCACAATCAGCTAGGTATGAGATAAGATTTCATCTCCGCATTCGATATTGTTACTTGCGTTCTTTCCGAAGTTGATGTCCTATACCTCATTTTCAACGTATAATATATGGCATGTATATAATATTGCTACACTGTGTTTATAAAATAAAAAGCGACTTTCTCTTTCAATTATGATTGAATGGAATCATAACAGAGATGTGTAACATAGACCAACCTTTTGATTAATTTAACATAAAAGTTATACTAATATGTTCTTTTTCACATAAATAAAATATGTATTAAGAAATCGTAATTTTAAGTTGCTCTGTATACAAACGATGTGAACGAATTTAAGACTTTAACATAATCTGCTGGGATTTAGAATAAATTCATTACATTAAATACACGCACGTATATCGTTTATATACAATCCATTAAATTTTTTCATAATTGCAAATCTAATAGAAAATTAAAATAATCTCTGTTATGTATTTATTATATATATATTTTTTATATACATAAGCTTTTATCTACTGTACACATGTATCTGATGAAAAATGTAACACGATCGAATAGATTAACAAATTGGATATATTAATTAAATACATTGAATTTCGTATATTATTTATAAAGAAGAAAATATATTAATAATACATATATATTATATTATATATTTTTCTTATAATATAAAGAAAAAAGAGAGTTTAAAAAAAGCGCCTTTTCAGGAGAAATGTCACGTGACGAAAAATGACGAATCAAAATTAGTCACGTGACACCGCCGAAAGAAAAGCGAACGATTCGATATCATAGTAACAGTCCAAAGTCCCTAGGAACTAAAATTCGCTCGTTTCGTCGACCCGGAAAACTTGCCCAACTTCAGACGCGTGCGAAGTCCTAAATCGATCCTAATGGACGTCTACTGAGATTTCGTCAGTGCGATGCGTAAACAAGTCGAGTTTAGCGAGGCAGCGCGCGAATGAGAAGATTCATCGGTTGCGAGGTTTCGTTCTTGACAGCGAGAGAGTTGGCCGTTTTTATGTGATCCCGAGACCGGATGTGTCGTCATGTCGTGTTGGCCAAGTCGGAGTATCATGACATATTTTATATGTTAATATTCTAATCCGCGAAGTATATATATACATTATATTATATTTTGTCGCGACGAAACGTGAAACGTCCCGAAGATGGTTTTGGCGGACCTAGGACGTAAAATTACGTCGGCTCTGCGGTCGCTCAGCAATGCGACCGTCATCAACGAGGAGGTGAGTTTTCGAAGGTGTTTATTCCGATATTGTCATGAAAGCGAAACTTTGCTTGACGTTTTGTAAACAACGGATTGAAATTATTTAATATTCTTCCATGTACATTGCGTTTTTATTTCTTACTTTAGCGTAGGACATTTCCTAACTTTTTGTAGATATATCTATGTATCTCTAATTATCTCCAATAACCTCGTTATATGTGTCAAACTTATGTTTACATTGTAAGATTTTTTCAAATAGTCTTGAATTTATGTATTTATGTTGTTACAGAATTTTATTTTTCTTTTCGATTCGATAAATTATTTTTTTAGAAATAATTCTTAATTTTATACTTTTTTTAATTATTTTTATACACACATATGTCTCGTTGTTCTTTTGGTATTTATAATTTTCTCGCTATTGTTTGTAATATTGTATGTATTTTTATAACGCATTTTTATTAACAAATATTAACAAATATGCTTTCCCCAACAGGTTTTGAATTCTATGCTGAAGGAGATATGTGCAGCATTACTTGAAGCCGATGTAAATATTAGATTAGTGAAAAAATTACGAGAAAATGTGCGCCAGGTTATCGATTTTGAAGATATGGCTGGTGGTCTTAATAAAAGGCGGATGATACAGAGTGCCGTCTTCAAAGAACTAGTAAAGGTTAGTTTATCGTCTATTGTTATATTTCTAGAGGCAATAATATTTATGATAAGGTGTACACAAAATTGATGCTAACACAGAGATAGTTCTTAGCATTTAAATAAATGTTGAATAATTTTTTTAGTTGATTGACCCTGGTGTAAAAGCGTATCAACCAGTAAAAGGCCGTCCTAATGTGATTATGTTTGTCGGTTTGCAAGGTTCTGGTAAAACAACAACCTGTACCAAACTTGCGTATCATTACCTTAAGAAAAATTGGAAGGCATGTTTAGTATGCGCCGATACCTTTCGTGCTGGTGCATACGATCAGATAAAACAAAATGCTACGAAAGCTAGAATACCATTTTATGGAAGGTAATTAAGAAGCAAAAAATGCTAATCCTACAATTATTTTTTAATTTGGAATTATTATTTTTAATTAAAAAGCAGAAAATGCTGATCCTACAATTATTATTTTTTAATTTTATGTATTTATACAAATGCACAATTCCTTTTAAATTTAGCTATACTGAGGTGGATCCTGTAACAATTGCCCAGGATGGTGTGGACATGTTTAAGAAGGAAGGATATGAAATAATCATTGTAGATACAAGTGGAAGGCATAAACAGGAAGAATCATTGTTTGAGGAAATGTTGCAAGTCGCCAATGCTGTGGTAAGATTATAATACATTTTTTTGTATAAAAAATTAGTTTTTTTTAATACTGATAAGTTTTTGTGTTGTAGCAACCAGACAATATAATCTTTGTAATGGATGCAACGATAGGTCAAGCTTGCGAAGCGCAGGCGAAAGCTTTTAAGGAACGCGTTAATGTTGGTTCCATCATAATTACGAAACTGGATGGCCATGCTAAAGGTGGTGGAGCCCTTTCTGCGTGAGTTTTTTCTAGTTTAGTATCTTTTTACTGTCTATCACGTTATATTTGTGCAAAATAAAAATATAAAATTATTTTTTATTATATACTTCTAAAACAAATGGTTGTAATAATAATTATTTTCATAATTGATTATTGTTTTATTCCTTGAATATTTAATTCTTTTCAGTGTTGCAGCAACACAAAGTCCTGTAATATTTGTTGGTACAGGAGAACATATAGACGATTTAGAACCATTTAAAACAAAACCATTTATTAGTAAATTGTTGGGTATGGGAGATATTGAAGGTCTTATTGACAAAGTAAACGAACTCAATCTGGACGACAATGAAGAATTACTTGAGAAAATCAAACATGGTCAATTTACTTTACGAGATATGTACGAACAGTTCCAAAATATCATGAAGATGGGACCATTTTCACAATTAATGGTGAATATCACTGATACAAATTAATAGGAAAATTAATTTCTTTCAATACAAGTTCAATAGAATAATATTTATAATTTGTATTCATGTAAAAATTGAAAATGTAACAATATTTTATAATTTGTTTCTAAAGTTTCATTTTCACTGTATGTAGGGTATGATTCCTGGATTTAGTCAAGACTTTATGTCAAAAGGAACAGAACAAGAATCAATGGCAAGGTTAAAGCGGCTCATGACTATTATGGATAGTATGAATGATTCAGGTTTGGTATCATGTTTTTATAATAATTTGTCTAATTTCAGTTATTATTTAATGTGTTGTATATTTATGTTAGAATTGGACAGTAGAGACGGAGCTAAGTTATTTAGCAAAACACCTGGAAGAATAATTAGAGTAGCAAGGGGGTCTGGTGTAACAGAAAAAGAAGTTAAAGATCTAATTACGCAGTATACAAAATTCGCAGCTGTTGTTAAGAAAATGGGAGGCATAAAAGGTTTGTTCAAAGCAGGAGATATGGCGAAAAATGTTAATCCTACACAAATGGCAAAACTGAATCATCAAATGGCTAAAATGATGGATCCGCGTGTATTACATCAAATGGGTAAGTAATTTTATTATAATAGATTTTTTTAATCTATTGAAATAAATTGAAAATATTTTTTATTGCAAATTTTTATGTGAACTGAATATAATTTCTTAAATGTATTATTAAAAAATTAGATCAAGTTTCAATAAAAAATGTATACACAGTAGTCCAAAGATATCTGTTATTTCATATTTGAAAATTTGTAGCCATTTTTTAAAAATATTTTTCCATTATTATTTTAGGTGGTATGCCAGGACTGCAAAATATAATGAAACAATTACAACAAGGCGCTGCAGGTGGATTGGGAAATTTAATGGGAGGTTTTGGTGGTAAATCCTGAGATGAGGTTCCAGGCAGTGCAACTACTGCCATTAAGGACGTTACATACCGTTATATACAACTTACGAGAAAATTACGTCGTATTTGAACTACGATATTGAAGGAATTGTGTTTAGAACATTTTTCTTTTCAATTGTTGAATGTGTTTTATATAAATAATGGCAACACGATGTAATGGCAGTGACATTAAAATCTCATATCCTTCTGATTCTTCGAGATACTTTATAATTTTTTCAATTGCTCAGCGAATCGTTAAAAAAATACTTTTGATGTAAATGCAATAAATTATCAAAATATGCTACAAAGTTTATGCCATAATAGAAATTAACTTTTTATCATATTGTTTACAGTCCCTTTATGTTTCCTTACATATTGTAAATTTTGTTAAGCTTCTTTTTTTAAACAAATTTGTTGCTTACTATCTTTTTAATATTGACAAATTCTATATAGATAATATTTGTTGTATTTCTATTATGTTAAATATGCATATTATGACAGAAAAAATAATAACAAAAAAACAATATTTTTAGTTGGATGTTGACCTTATCACAATCAAGTAATAAACATGCAATTGACATGTGATACATATGATTATCAATGCAAATATTTATATTAAATATAATAAGAGAAGCATATATTTTGTTTAAAAAGAAATAGAAATAAAAATTAACTATTATTTTTCAGTTTCACACAACATAGTTTCATGTATTTTGCTTTTATAAGTAATGTCATAATAACTAATATGTTTTAATGTTAATTAGTTTATTTGTCCATGTAAGTAATATTTGATGAAATAACAAAACTAATGCAAGACTATTATTTGCGAGTTTCAGATCTTTATTCTAAAACAGATGACAGATCTTGTTATATATGCGTATAATTTGGAAGTATATGGCACATTTTCTTCTCTTAAACTGGTTATATAATTTATGATGTTTCTCTTTGATATTATCTAATCCACGATATTATATCGGTTATCTATTTGCTTTTGAGATATATGAGAACAATAACAACGTAGGAAACATTATATTCAACATTTTGCGCATAATATATAAATCAATTCGCGCGTATATATAAATATCTTTGATTTGACTCAACCACAGGTACAAGTGCTACACTCTACTAGAGCATTTATAATACTGTATATGTGCTTTAAATATCTTAGCAACTTATTTGTACAAAAAGATCTTTGAGCAACCGAAGTAGAGTGTAAAATATCAAGTAATATATTAAGTAGGAATGTAACAGTTTCGATGGAAATGTATACGTTTCAATGTAAAATACTTTAAAGCTTTTTCGGAGAACAACTAGATAGATTTATCGATATTGCGCGCGCGTGTTCGAAGAATTACAATCCTATTGACGTTTGTTGTTTACTATCCGACTCCCTAAATAATACCTTGGAAATGGTACGTGTCAAAGGAAACGTTTCATTTGTGCCGTAGCAAGTGCCATTCCAATCGTCAACGTTCAAAGACAGAATCATGGCTCCCTTGAAGCCACTAGTGCGAATCCATGTACTCTGCAACACAAATATATTTCGAATTAATTCATTTTACATGTTAGATTGCACACAGATCTTATAAATATAACTATTAATTTATTTCACATGTTAGATTGCACACAGATTTAACAATCAATATTTATTCCGTTCAAACAACAGAGAAAAACAAAGGATACCTTGTAATATATGCTCTCCTCGTCATCGTAAGATATCCATTCTCTGTCTTTGAACACGTATGGCACGCGACTTTCTTTGTTGAAGACTTTCACAGCTCCGGATTTAAAAAATTGACAAACTGTAGGATAAGACACAAAGCCCTTTATGCCAAGCTTCCCGAATCCGCCAGCTGGAGCTTGTAAATTGTGATTCAATGGATTGTCTAGCTGGTAAGAGTGACCGTAAGCCGGTATGCCGACGACGATCTTCTCCCGTGGCATCCCCTTCGCCACCCAATATTGAGCAGAGAAATTCACATTTAATGTGGATAAATAACCGGTTTCTGTACGACGTGGGAAGAGAGGAGCGTTCAAATCCGTGACTGGGAAGTACCAAACGTAGAAATGATAATCATACGTCATGAGATTCACAAAGTCGACATACCTGTAAAAAAAAAATATATATATATATATTTCTTATTTAATAATATATCGCTCTTGTTAAATATTTTATAATTATTATATTTTTTATATGTATAAAATGCGTACTCTGCCATTTCAGGGACACTGTAACTTTGATCTACAATGGCCTGCGGTGCCGCGACCGCCACTGTCAGAAGTAATTTTTGTCCGCTACGATCGAATTCCTTCCGTAATTCCTGTAACAGCTGCACAAAGTGTATCTTTTCACGATCGTCGGCTCCTATCCACGCCGGGAACTCCCAGTCAACGTCGAAGCCGTCCAAATGATAAGTTTTGGTTACATTTAATACTGATCTTATAAACCTGAACAGAGAGTGATCAACAATAGTTACATATTTATCTTGAAAATTTATATTACGCGTATATCGCACATGAACATACTTTTTTCTATTCGCGTGAGTTTTCACCATCTCGGAAAATCCATCGTGGAGCTCATTATTTCCGCCGGCGCTGATCATGACCTTCAATTTAGGTTCGCGATTCTTTAAAGCGACAACTCGCTCGTACACCCACGCATTCTCTCCTACATCGAGCATGTTGTTTACCACGCTCGCAAAACCCACGATAATATGCGTACAAATATGAGGGTCAATGTGCGACGGACTGAGCTCCCACGACGTGTTCAGGTTCCACGGTATTGTGTAGTAGCATACGATGACCTGGCTGAAATGTGTATATTTTTGACATAAGTTACATTATGTATTTCAAATAGATTTCAAATAATCATGTACTAATTGGGAAACATTTCTTTTTCACCTGGTGCTATTGCGGTGGTATTGGTCCGATGCACCGACACTTGTGTTCCTGTCCGCATTCTGATTCTCCTTCGTCGATTCGGCGTACATCCGAGCCCTACGTAGCCACGCAACAATCTTGGCATTGTCAATCTGTTCCTCCACGAATCTATCGTCTTTGGGAGGAGCCCTCAGAACGAGAATGCCGAACCAGGCGCGAGTGATAAACAGGACGCCGACGATCAGGAATGTCAGAGTGAGGCAAACAACTTGCGTTCTCCAGCGTGGTCTAAAAAGAGATATTAATTTTATTATATTACTCGAGATATTTATTTTAATTATTTTATATTTTATATTGTTTTATATTTATTATGTCTTAGTCTATAAATGTGATTTAAGAGGATTTAAGAGGAAAATTATACATTAATCACAAGTTTTAAACACCAAGTTTTAAATGTTGGGAGTTGATCAATTCGCTTAGGGTTTAGAGATGACATTTAAGGCCAGAAATACATTGAAGCTTTTTGTTTTTTCATAAAACTTAGCACTTAAATCACCTTAAATCACCCTTTGTAGAGTAGGACTAAAAATAGTCCAAGTAACAATACACAAATGATTGCGCGCGTATGACAGACCGTGACAGATGTGGAACATTTATGCGTCAAGCGATCCTCGATTAATTATGGTGACCTTTTGCGACTAGGGAGAGGCGTGTAAGTTCAAAAGCCAGGAATGACGTAAGGATTTGCCCATAGCGCGAAAAATCGATACAAAATTTTCTCTCTCTCTCTCTCTCTCTTTCTCTCAACACACACACACACTCTCTCTCTCTCGATTACGTTTCATTAAGCAAGCAATCCCGAAGAACACGCGAGTGTTTACGCAAACGCGATACACTCGCCCTCTCCTCTCCTCTTTGTAATAATAAAAAAGTGTCATAATACATAAAGATGCATGCATACTCACTGTCGTATATCGGTTAATAATTCATATTTGGCCTGCGGCACAGGTATTTGGTTAACCATTGAATGATTTTATTATTTTTACTAAATTGTCTGCGACGAATATCTTAATATTAAAAAAAAAAAATTGACACGCGAGCGATTTTTTATATTTATTTTTGTCGTCAATCCGTTTGACACTTCGTTCCAAGATCCCGCTAAAAATCGCGCGCAATTGACAGCTGACAGCTCGGAGATTAATAAAGCGTCGTTAAATTGGAACGCACACGAAAAGTCATATATAGCAACGAGATTCGCGTTTATTTACGTCAGTTGCATAAGTACGAGATGGGTGTGTTTCCTCGCGATTTATATGGGCCACCGAATATATACGGGCAACAATAATCGCGATCAACCGACGTAAGCATGTGTTCTTCTTTTTCTGTATGGCTGCTAAGGCATCTGGGGGATTCGCCTATATGCCACAATGTGCTTGTTGTAGGGAATTTGTTGCAGGTTTCAATAAATTGCGGCTATCTCTTCGTTCCGTAAGCGTGTATGCATGTATGTCTAGAAATGTACAAATACAGAAATACACGCGTCAAATTTTGTTGCTCTTCCGCACGGATCGCCGATTGATTCGGAAATGCATCTCTAGGAAACGTGCATCCGTCGAAGTTTGTTCGTTTTCATTGCATACGAGACCATTTGAAGGCATTAGATACGTAAAACATAGATATCATTGCTGATATGAAGATGGAGGGAAATTTTGAAAAATTAGATCTGCTTGATCTCATATCGTTTTTTTATAAAATAATGATTTACACATTATAATTGCTTGAGATTACATACATATATTTTTTGTTACATATATTATATATATATATTTTTATATATATATTACATTTGTATATTAAATTATTTAAAAATATGATAAAACTTGTTAAATACGTATGTTCGAATAAAGCATACGTATATATAAATAGCACCACATAAAATCCAGAAAAATGTAAAATTGCTTTTAAATTAAAATGTAAGCACAAATATACATTTGATTATCTAACACAATAATAAAATATATAAGAAAAACTATTCAGTGAAAAATATTAAACACTCAGTCTAGAACATCATAATATAAAAAGATTCGATAAATTATTTTCTATTAATTTTTTTTAATTAAAACGAACATATTGTTTCGATTAATTGGAAGCAGCCTTATTGTGAAATTATATATAAAACTTATACCTAAGAAAGAACCTGTAGTAAGTACATTCCATTGAATTTGAGATTTGGTATCGATATATATATTGTGAAGTGAATCACAGCAAATTGTTGAATTAGGATATTAGCGAGACAGTAAGACGTCATCCTCAGGTCTCGGTAAACGTCGATAACGTTCCTGTGTTACCAAGTATACAGTTAAGCCACCAAATATAATAAAGAGTAATCCTATACAGTTTATCAGTATTCCTTCACCCACAAAAGTTTTGTATTTGTCCCTGAAATTTCAAGTAGAAAAGAACGTATCTTTTTGCATTTAATTTTTTTGTAACATTTTTTCTCAATCAATTGCTACGTACTGCAAACTAAAGATTGCTTTCTCGTTGAGTCCCAATAAACACGATGTGATTGCACCAACAAAGGCTGCGACACCAAAGTATACATGTATTGGCATATAAGAAGCTCGTAATGGTCCTTGTAACCCAGGGAAGAGGAATGAGACACATCCAGCGACCCACTGTAAATGAGAGATAATAAATACATATATTTCTTAATTCTAGATATTATTGCAAATAATTATCATATATTTACCTGACAGCAAAATAATATTACGGTCGTTAATCCCACCCAGCTATGTAATGAATACATATTTGGTATAGGATTAGGCGATGCTAAATTATGACTGTCAAAGACCGCTACTAAGGCAATCACTGTCAATAATACAATAAAGAACATCATTCCTGCATGGGTGAACTTTAGTCGGCGTTTGCGAACGTTTCTTTGCGTTCTATAGATGAGCATGGCTAGTGAGTAGAAAACACTTGTAAATGATATGTACACAATCTTGTAATAGAAAAAGAAAATTAACTTTTTATGGAATACCATTAGCATACAGAAACACGAGTCCTATAGTCATTAATAGAGGATGCCAATTAAACTCAAGCTGCGGATTAGACTTCCATGAAAAACCATCTCTATAGTAACTCGTCCATATGATTACCAAAATCATGAGCAGTGCTCCACATGCTTCGTGAATGCTGAGAAGTGGAGTAAAACCTTCCAAAGAACGAGCTTGGGATGATTCATCTATTTGATCCATATCTAGAAATGTTTCATATCTCATTATACATAAAGTATTAAGATTAATTAACGATATAACGATAATTTAAAACAGAAAATATGTGCATGCTAAGTTTATATAAATTCTACAAATATTTGAGTGTTGTATGAAATGATGCGATGCTAAATTTCTGAAATTCTTAGTTGTTGCACATACCTAGACATCTCGCATATTCATACGGATAATTTGACATTTTGTATGCAAGTGTTTAAAAACAATTTCTAAATAATCGTAACAAGATTTTTTTCTTCCTGTACATTAATATGACAATAGATTTCTTTAGAAGCAACAGGTCAAGAGTAAAACATTGATAGAAGGCAAACAAATGAACTAAGAAAAGTCTTTACATGAAAAGTAGTAGATAACAAAATATATTGTCATCTATAATATGTGATAAGAGACACATAATCTATCAATTTAGATAATAGGAAATAAGACTAGCAAATCAATTTTCACATTATATATGTATATGTGGATATGATAATGTGTTATGCGCTATAAAAAGAAATAAAAACGATGAATAAAAAACATTTCATTTGTAAACAAAGTGATGTGTCATCATTAGAAGACCGAACATATGTTTCCTCAAGCAGCTGATGTAAGAATTACTAAAGTGGCGGCGGCCACTTTTATCTTTTAAATGGACCGACGCATTCTTATAGATACCAGCTCTTATCAGTTTCTTGATGATGTGATAATGTTTATATACAGAGGAAAGACGTTTTTGACAAATATCATGTTTTTATCGTGTATACGTACTTCAGCTTTTTATGAATAACACCTGCTGCAGAGATATCAACAAGTATTTAGTGCATATACATATGTATAGGTTATATGTACATACACATATATATATTATATATATATGTATAGGTACATGAGCGTCACACAAATAAAATGTTCAAGTTTCTATTGATTTTTTCCTTGACCTAACAATAAGAAAACATTTGCATCTGGCAAAAGTTTTTGTAGAGGAGAAAAATGAAAAATAGCATTTGACAATACGTGAATGACTTAAGATGTAATTTACATATGAAATCAAACCGAGATATGCCGGCAAAATCAAATGCATCAACGAGGGAAATGCAATTTTAATTTTTAGAAAGATTATAACAATTTTTTAACGTCGTCTATTTTAAGAAATTTAATATCGATAATTATTCTTTTATTTCACAATTCTATTTTATTTATTTGTCATTACAATTATAAAAATAAGTGTTTTATCATTTTTTGTTAACTATATACTACTATCATATTGATTTGAAAAGTGGCGCGCCAACAATCGAGTTTAATCGATAGTCTAACTGCGTTTCGATATATTCATCGTCTACTGACAATCTATAGTTTATGTCACGCACACTATGGATTTTCCGTCACTTTTGTAGCTCGAGTGTTAATTTATTTGTATATATTATTGTCGTCTTTTTTGGAATAATGTATTTATTACTGTTTTTGAGAAAAAAAATACAAGTTGGCTATGTTTATAGGTGAAATAACCTAACCATCGATAAAGTGTTTACATGACCTGCCTTTATATGTGTTTGAATTATATTCCTTACCGGCAATTTCTGATAAACTTTCGAAACGGAAAGATTAATTTAATATATACTGGCGATACTCAGGTACGTTTTATGATCTTTTTCTATGTATATGTATATATTTATAAAAATTATATATGTATTTATATTAACAATAATGCACTCAACAGTTAATTGTCACAAAGAATTTTATTCTAACCAAATATATATAGTATTGCGCTATATATATATTATTTTGATATGAGGTGAATGTCAATTAGAAATAGAACACGATTTTTAGTATCTTTTAAAATTTATAATCTACTTATATATATATATATATATATATATATATATATATATATATATTAAATATCTTTATATATTTAAAATAAATATTCTAATATATATATATATTATATATACATGTATTAATTGATTTTCTATAGTGTGTTGATAAAAATTACATATGACGATTATAAAAATATATATCTCTTTGAAATTTGCTTAATTGGAGAAAATTTTATAGATTCTTTTCTTGAAAGATTACAAATTTCTGGATGTCTCAAATATTTAAAAAAGCTTTTTAAATATACATTTCCTTTTTAAATATACAATATCACATATTACATCTCTATATATAAATTTATATTTTAGTCTTTAATTATATTAAATCTCAGCTGATAAATATGCTGGATACGCCGGAAATTTGTATTATAGATATTGATAATACACTTTGATAACTTTAAAAAAACGAACTTGGAAACAAAGTTTGATTAAATTTAATCTTGTTAAATTAATAAAATAATTTATATAACTTTAGTAGAAATTGTTGCATCTTGACGAGTCCTTTTTTATTTTCATACAAAATAAGTCACGCGATAGGAAAATCATATCGCACTGTATTTTATATTTCTTTGCATTTCTCTTTCTTCTAACAATGAAATATTTTTTACAGATACATATGGTAACTCAGATGGCATTTCCGAGGCTGCTATTAATTAGCAACCTAATATTCGCCGCTTTCATTGATAGAAATGTGGTAGCTGATTATTTGTCCGATGAGATTACTCGTCCCTGTTTCCCGCATGACATAATACCGGAGGATTATTATTACGTCCAGCTAAGATTACACGTCAATGATGATGATAATAATAATTGTAATAATAATAATAAATATAATGCATCAGACTGTCGCGCATCGTTTCATTCGCATATCAAGACACAGCGAATCAATGGCGATCTTACTTTCGATGGCAAAGCCGTTATACTTATCAATATCACTCATCCAATGCGAAACATGACATTACGCCTACGACAATCGCAAATTAATTTATTAACAATAAAATTGAGAAGTGTATCTAACAGAAAATATGAGATCCAACCAGAAAAATACTTATACGATGATGATGCGGAAACGTGCAGCCTTTATTATAAGAATGAATTAAAAGAAGGGCATTATATTCTAAATGCGAATTTTGAGGGCACTATGGGTAGAGATCTCGAAAATATCTCTACAATCTCCTATATGAGTAAAGGAATGAAAAAGTGAGTAAAATCAAGAACATTTTGTATTTGTTATAAAATATCATTTATATTATCTTTATAATAAATTATATATATATAAATGATGTGTGACTATACGTTATATAAAAATTAAACATATTATATAATTAAAAATATTATTTCTTCAAACACATTATTTAATACTATATATAAATGTATTTGAGAGCTTCATTATTTCTAGTTTATTAATAATAGTTGATTTATAAATTTATCGTCTCTAAGATATGTCATTTTAAAATGTGACAGGTGGGTGATAATAAGTGAATTTCAAATGCTTATGAACCAATTGATATTCCCATGTTTGGATCAATCGAAATTAAATGTTAACTTTAACATTTCCTTAAAGCATAATGGATACACAATAATCTCGAATATTGACGAAATAACGCATACGGTTCAAAATGGCATGGCATCATGGCAATACAGTATTCCTCCTATGTCATCTAATTATTTCCTGTTTGCCATATTGAACGATTTCATTTATATTCATTATAAAGAAGAGCTCTTCTTGTGGTGCAGAGAACAGATATACTCACAAGTAGGCCTGTTTATGTGGGAATTTGTTGAAAAAATCCCAAAAAAGCTAGAAGAGAATTGGTATATTATAGAAGATGAGAAGAATAAGAAAAAAACACATTTTATAATTCCAGGTTATCGAGAAAATGGTCTAAAAACTCGAGGACTTTTTTATATAGGTAAAAATATCTATATAATTAAAATGCGAGATATTAATTAAAAAGCAAAATTATTTGACGATTTTTTTAAATAAAAAAATATATATGTTTCTATTTCTTTCTATATGTAAATAAATAATTATAGTTTTGCTATTATTTATCTTCATAGACTTTTACGAAATAATAATAAAAAATATATGTAATATATTTTCAAATTTATTTAAGAGAATTCATATTTTTGCTCTTTTATCTTTCAAAATTTATCAGATTTTATATTAATATTTTAATAAAGACTAGTGAATTGCCGTTATGTAAATTGCTTTCGATATAAACTAATATAATATTCAATATGTAACTGAGACGTACAAAATTAATTCATTTTCTTAATAATTTATAAGGTTTTTATGTGAATATATAACGGAAAATAATTTTTAGCGAAATAGATGTCACATACTTTCACTTATTTGACCACAGTACAAAAGAAATTCAAATAGTGCAATCAATAACGCGGAAATTATTACAGCAATATTTCGGTGATACATCATCTTGTTTGCTAGATGGACTCATTACGTTGTTGGAAGTGAATACCATCGAAGAGGTATTATTTCATATATCTATCACATTAGTTAGAATATTTAAATTTTTATATTTTTAAAAAAATTTTTTTGACATTGTTATAATACAATTTCAAAGTTTTCGTAATTTTTTATGTCTGTTTTTCTCTTTCCCAGTTAAAACCAGAATATTAATCATTCGATTCTATTAAATTTTTATAAAATTTAAAGTATGTATAAAAAAGTTATCACAGAAAATTAACGTATATATTAACATTTATTCCTTTTAGTTTTTGCCAGAATCTCAATGATGGATTTATTCGTAGTTCAGAAGCAACACGAATCTCTTCATTTAAATTATTATTTTAATGGAGAAGCCCTAGAAAACAAGTGCTCTAAAAGCACTCGAACTAATTCTTCTCCATATTACAACAAAGGTAAGATGCAATAAATGTATATATAATTAAAACAATTATCCGTAAATTCTCAAACGCGAATTTTTATAAAGATGTTGATCCAACGATAAAACAATTATTATATAATAAATTGTAACTTTTCTTATGTTTCTTGTAACATGCAATCAATTAATGAATTAAAATATTAATTTTAAGTTCTTATATATATAATTTAGATTCCTTATATATGTATATGTCCTTAAAATTAATTTTTTCTATGAAATTAGCTAAGAATTTATGGACACTAATAAATTTATTTCAAACATATGTAATATATATTCTAAATGTCATGATGTTGCATAGCTCCCTTTTTCCTGCGTATGTTGCAATATTTAATTACCCATGACGTGTTTCGGGAAGGTGTCCACAAATACATAAAAAGACAGTAAGTACTATGTAATTGGATTATAATAATTATATGCATCAATTGGATTATAATAATTATATGTCGATGATTATATATGTTCGTCACCACACACACATACACACATTCACATACGTAGTACTTTATATTGAGTATTTTTATTTAATGTCATTAAATTAAGTAATTAAATATAAATTAATAATAATTTCATAAATGTTCTGATCTGATTTCCTGCGATCTGTTACAATGTTTATACTTGTTAATAATCTTATTTTCCAAATTTAGTGCATCTGACTCAACAACAGTTCCTAACAATTTATGGGCCGCTATGCAAGATGCTCTACATGAGAATTCACAAAACGAATACAAGGAGAATATTCATAACTTAACATATCTAATGTCTAGTTGGATAAAACAAAAACATTATCCTGTAGTGACAATAAAACGACATGTCGATGACACTGTCTCTATGCAACTAGAAAGTTATATTCCAACCGATATGAGAGATACATTGATGATTCCTGTAACTTTTACTTCGCAGTCACATCCTAATTTTAATCATACTTCGTATAAAAACGTCAAATGGTTAAGCAGTGTATTACACAATTGGCCGATTGTTAAATTCCCTTTGTATTTTGAAGAGAATGGTTGGATCATAGCAAATTTAAAGCAAGCTAGTAAATATTGATCTTTACAAATATATATTAAAAATATAAATATGATGTTTTCTAAATCGGCCAACAGAGCCAAAGCACGAAAAATTAATTATTCGGAACTGTATCTCTTGGTTTGAGATCACAAAGTTCCATATATAAATTAATCTCGAAACTTACATATGGAGAAATAGGCGCGATATTTCTCCATATGTAAGTTTCGAGATTAATTTATATATGGAACTTTGTGATCTCAAACCAAGAGATACAGTTCCGAATAATTAATTTTTCGTGCTTTGGTTCTGTTGGCCGATTTAGAAAACATCATATTTATATTCTTTATATTGAGATTCTTTATATTGAGATAAAAATATTTAATTCTGAATATATTAAAAATATTTTAATTTTTATTTATATCTTTTTCTAAATGAATGAAAACATATATATCGCACATGCACAATATTATATAATTTATTCACTAAAATATTATATTCTCCATTGTATTATAAAACTTGGATTCAATCTTATTTTGCTTATAACTTAAAAAATCAATTTAAATTAATAACATAATTTTTTATACATAATGTAATTCTATGGAATATATTTTAGTGTAAAAATGATTATATAATAATTTGCAACTTTTACTACAATATAATTTTTAAAAATATCTTTTATGCACTTTACATACATATATACATATCATACATATACATACACACTTTGAATTAAAAGGAAAAAATGTGTTAATAATCAAAAAGGTTTAATGATAATACATATAAAATTTATTCATTACAGACTACTACCGTGTAAATTACGATTCTGAGAATTGGGACAAAATCGCGAATTATTTGAACTCTTCAAACTATACGGAAATACACGTTCTCAATCGTGCACAAATCATTGACGATTCGTTTCATCTTGCCATACAAGGATTACAGGATTACTCCTTATTCTGGAAGATTTCAAGCTACTTGTCGCGAGAGACAGATTATATAGCGTGGTATCCTATGTTCAAAGCTCTTGAATATATATCTAGCATCTTTCCTTTTGAAAATGAAAAAAGAGTTCAAGATATCAAGGTAAATAGTAACATAACAAAAATATAAAAGGAGCTATGTTGTAAACATTACATTGACTTTTTAGTAAAAATAAAATAGAATTTAAATATTATATATATATATATATATATATATATATATATGTATATATAATAAGTACATAGGTATATATTATTTTCTTATTTCTTCAGGAATCAAAATGTAACATTGATAATATTTAACAATATTTTTAGGATTTTCTAAATAATATATTTGATGGTCTTTTTACAAAGATAGAATATTTATCTAACGATACCGATAATGAGTTTACTAAATATTTAAAGCAAGAGGCCAGAAGATGGGCATGTACTCTTAATCACAATGAGTGTCTAATACAAGCCTACAATAAAATGGGACAATATGCCGACAAATCTCGAACGCAGTACTTTTCTTTATATTTATTTATATATTTTTTTGTGTTACACGAATCTATTAATAAATTATTTCATTAAGGTACTTCATAAAGATTAAATTTCTAATGATTTTTTTAGTATGAATCCATGGGAGAGAGAATGGACATTCTGTCAAGGTTTTAAGTCAGTGGATATTTATACTTTGAAACAGGCGTCTTATATAATGTTGCACGATTTTGGTGGTCAAGCTATGATGTTCATGAGTTGTGTACGAAAGATTCCTATCAATAATGAATTTTTTGAAATTGTGAATTTGCTCAGATATGATCGAGCAAAGATGACAGATAAGATCTTTCTTTTTTATTCTGTTATTGCAAAACATGCTAGGGACCCTAAAACGCTTGATTTTATACTTTCGGAGTTTTACAATATAAAACCCAGGTAAATCATTTTTTATATATATTAATGAAAAATCTGTAACCATGAAATGTTTATTCATATATACTGACAATCTATATAAATCTGCTGTGTTGCATTTTTTATAGCCAAATTAATACAGAAGCAGCATTAATTGTTATTATCAATAATATATATTCAGATGAAGAAAGCAGGAAGGTAAATTTTATAAAGTTAAACTTCATTTATTAAGATTTTAAAATTAATCTTATATATTTATCTCTATATATACTTGCGTATATATATTTATTATATTTCTCTTATGTTAAAAACGAAAAAAATTATTTTATGTTTAATATACAAACATGCAAGAAAATTATGAATACTCTATAATAATGTGAGAACTTATTAATTACTTAATAAAAATAAATGTCTAAATAATCTGTTTCAGGTAATCTCATTTCTGATACAGGATGACAATATAAATAGATGCCTAAAGAATATCATTAGATTTAAGATTAAATTACGCGCATCTCAAATCAAAACTCAAAAAAATTATTTTCTGCGTTTAAAATTTGCAGAAAACATAATATACAACAACAATATACACCATAACAATAAAACATAAATGAAAAAAGAAACTAATCTCTATAGGAGATAATAAATTTATAATTAATATATATATATTGATAATTTGTATATTTCTACTTTATTTTTAAATTTATATAATTTATTGTCTTGTTAATAATTATATTTTTTAATAACTGTAATATTTTAATTATTATTATGATTAGTTTTACTAGAGTCTAATAATTATCTAATAATTATTAACCCTATAGTTAATACTGTTATTGATATCATATATAATATATATTCACATTTATTATTAAATTCGTTTAATAATGAATTTAAATATATTAAACTTTAATTTTAATATTATTGTTATTAATATTTTTAACATGAATATTGTATTTAACCATATTAATATTAAATATGTTCAACAATAAGATATATTACTATATTGGTTATTTATATATTTTTCCTATATTAATCCATTTTCAATATTCATTTTAATAGTATAATTTATTTAAAATTCGAGATATAGCTTTAACTATTTGATTTATAGTAAATCACACGACATTATTTTATATTTTACTGTACTATTACTATCACTGTATTTTTTATTTTATTCTTAGAAAGTACATGTACACATATATACACATAATAACTTAAGTTTTGTTTTATAACACGTCACCTATATTATTTCATATACAAAATTAAATTCAATATACCATAATTAGATAAATATGTATCTTTTAAAATTGAAATAAATCTTTGTTATATTAATGAATCTTCACAACGAAGGTATTCTCCAATATCTGCTTGGTGAAAGCAAATTGTTGCCATAGGATCTGCATATTTACAGTCGGCTGTACTTTTTGCAGCAACGCCAAATCCCTTATATAAAATTTAATGAAATATTTATTGAAAAATACTATAAATAAGTTTTACATGCATTGTCTCATTATTTGTAAATTAATAATGTTTGAGGCAAACATGTAATCAACAATTGTATTTAAAAAATAATTGTAAATTTAATGAATTACATACCAATGGTACATCGTTCATGGAAAATATAACGACACCCTGATATTGAGAAGTACCTTCAGTTATACGAGCAAGACCTGACTTCATAATGTGATGTCCATATAGAAATTGTTGTTCTGCAGAAGCTTTCACCCAAATTTTGTGCTTAATGTACAAACAATTGTCTATTATTAAATTTACTTACGTCTCTTAATAAATACCCCGTTTTCTGATATTACTTCTAATACTGAAAATCTATAGTGTATGTAACATAAACTACAGCATTTCAGTACTGGCAGTGAATATCAGAACACAACCGCAATTTGATTTCAAATACTTACTTGTGCATAAGGTGCTAAATAATGTAAGGCAGTGACGTGCAGCCTAAACTTTCCTGATTTTGTGAATTTACCGAAACAAGTGCCTAAGCTCAACAAATGATCGGATCCCACAGTGCTCGCTAAAGATAAAATCTTTTCCGACACATAATAAACTCTGTCCTTATTTTCTCGGAAACAATAAACGCCATCCGGTCGATCAATCAAGTTTTTCAAATTCGAGCCGATACTGTAACAAGTTAAATTTCAAGAAAATCATTAAATTTCTACGCTTTTGAGATGCATTCTTATACGATTTTTAAGTAAAAATCTTATGCGGAGGAAAAAAAATTTGAATATAACTTAGAAAAATTGAATTAACAACTTACTATTTCGTTAGCTTCTCAAATACTAGCTTCGTTTTCTCTTCCGACAGTTGCTTCATTTTCGCGAGAAATTTTCTTCTTCTTTCGTGGCAAGAAACAGCAGTACTAAAATGAGAAATTTTGTATGTACACATTCACCACGTGTTCGTTTACCACGTTTCCTACAATCATAGAAAACACGCGTCACTAGAGACGATGTTGCTAAAAAAAAAAATCCAATTTCTTTCACCAGATGGCGCGACTAATCGCAAAACGAGTCGCGTCAATCTTCATGACGTGGCCCGTCAGTGACGTTAGTCGACGACGTCGACGATCGGTTGCCGGGTTGGAGTTGTTGTGGCACGTTTAAGGTTGGGATCGCATTTTCTCCCTGTCCCCGTAGTAGAGACACAATCGTGACAGGAGACAGTCAGCACGCTGAAAAGAGGAACCTGTAAAAAATGAACAAGATCGTATCTTCGCTAGCTTTAGCTAGCATACTCGCTTCCGTGGCTCTCGCCACTGACAAGATCTGTCAGAAGCCCGAGATCGTCGCCTCGTCCTACGTTACGGAAGACGCAACCGTGCTCACGAATGTTGCCTTCACCATGCAATTTGTGTTGAAGTGCAGCGATGGTGTGAAGGGAATTAGTCTTTACGCCGAGGTCGAGGGCAAGTTACTACCGGCTGCCAGATTGAGCGCCGACAATAAATATCAGGTAGTGCAGCGGTTGCTTATTCTTAACATAAACAAAATCTAAGCAAAATTATAGCCTTGTGTGTCAAAAACAAAAATTGTAAATTAAATACTATAATTTTATTAAAAATTAATATATACTTAATTCTATTATATATTAATATTATGATATATTAATTATATATATAATTATATATTAAAAATTAATATATATTATACATATAGTATAATTATAATATTAAATAAAAAAACTAAGAATATATTATATGTTAATTTTATAAATTAAAATGTTTAAAATTGATGCTTGAAAGTCAATCTTGAGCTAGTACTTAGTTGGAACATATGTTTTGTGTGTCATAGATATCGTGGACAGAGGATATCAAGAAAGCGAGATCTGGTGATTACTACATAAAGCTATATGATGGAGATAAATACAATGCTGTTCGTAAAGCGATAAGGAATGGAGAGGATCATGACAGTGTGAATCCATTGGCGGTGGTTGTCCTTAACAATCCAGGGGTATATCTTGGTCCTTGGGTGAATTCTGAATTTTTGGCTGCATTCCTAGCTATTTTTGTATCCTATTCGGCGTTTTCTGCAAAGTACAAACTTCTAGCATAGAAAATTTTTGTTATTTAAAAAAAATAAAATATTTAAACATGGCAAAAAAAGTACTATTTATCTCCTCAAAGTCTTCTTGCACATGCTATAAAGTTTTTCTTTTTTACATTTAAGTTTTTATTGTAAATAAGTTGCAGAAAAATTGTATCAGAAATTTATTATATCAACATTTAAACTGTTAGTACCTATTAAGTCTTTATATACCACAATCCTAATTTTTATATTTAACAAAACTGTCAACTTTATTTTAGATAATTTGCCAAACTTCGCATCAATTATATATAGCCGTAGCAAAAATTTTATTATATTATAAAATTAACAAAGTAATATTTACAACACATCACAATATATATTTAATAAATGTCATGTGGTGGTGGTTTTCCAAATAAGTGTTTCCAAGAAGGTGGATACTTTAAATTACTACCATCGTTTGTTTCTAACACGTGTATCCACTGATTTAAATAGCACACCAGTGCTATCGCGTCTGCGATATTATCCCCCTCAGAACAGAATTTGAACAGGATGGCACAAGGAATATTAGCCCGTGACAAAAAGTTAAATATACTTTTTGCAAATCCACCTCCAGGTATCTGCAACTTTCCTTCTACCCTTGTATCAGATGTAACTTTTGGTTTATGTGAAATCCAATTGAGATTGTCAAAAGCTGGCCACTCTCTGACTGTATGTCCGATGAAGCTACATATCTCAATTTAAGATGCTGTGGCTGGATATCTCTCTTTTCATAATCGTAACTGCTCCCAAGGATTATCACCTGGAAGAAAATTAATTATATATATACAATGTATTAATAAATTTATAATATAAATTTTATTGATATATATATTAATATTAATTTATAAATTAATATATATATAATATATTAAAATTTATAACACATATATATTAATAATTATATATATATATATATAATGAAAAGAAAATTAAAGACATGAAATAAAATATATTACTTTAGCTATTTTTCTTTCAGTAACGAATCGCGCCAATTCATTGAAAAATTCTGTCAGCTCTCCCACATAAGGCGAACGGATCTGCACGACGACGACGCGTTTCTCGGAACCGGCGTAGACGTCGATCGCCGTGATAAGCTCGTCCGAGGATTCGTGATAAGCGTTTGCGCCTACGATGGGCACAAATGCCGCGCTGAAGATCTGGCCAATTTTTTGCAGGTTAAGATTTGAAATGAGCAAGTCAGCGGACAGCTGACCGACGTTCCCGACCGCCACTGACGGCAAAATAAGGGTATAATTTCCAAATTAACATCCTGCATAAGTTTAATCATTTTCTTTTCCGTATCTTCTCTTTTATTCGTAAACCAGGAGGCTAAATATTCTTGCAAAGTAATACTGTCACTGTCACATTTACATACCTACACATTGACATTTCTGTTTTCGTTTTGTCTGCATTATCTGCACTCTTGTCAAATTCTTCTCTCTCTCTCTCTCTTTCTTTCTCTCTCTACTCTCTTTCTTTCTTTTTCTAACACTCGAGAAGTGCAGAGCGCAAATAAAGGAGCAGCATCTGTCAGTTCAAAGAATTCCTCTATATCGAAAAAAAAATTCCCTATTGAGCGAGCCAATCAGGAGGCTTGAAAGCTGCTTTTGCACCAATCGATCACTCGCGTGACTTTCTAAGTCTACGTATGTGTTTTGGATTTCGTGGCAAAGTTGTTGGGACGTGATAGCGGAGTGATTTTTGGATAAAATTCGCATTATCGAGGCGAAGATTCTTGTCTGAATTGTTACGAAACGATAAATTTCTCGACGAGGCATGGTGATCGGAACTTACGAGTGAAATGCGAGGACATTTTTCCTTAAAAATGGTAAGTTCGCAAGCTGCTGCGAAGGTAACCTCACGAAAGAAGACGTGGAAAATTACGTGAAAAAGGGGAGAAACTTGGAAATACAGCTGATTTCGGGTTTTATCGTGCGATTCCTCCAATTCCCATTTTTTTTTTCGCGAGAAAATCTCGCAATATTCGTATATTTTTGGGACGGAGAATAACTCTTATCATATGGTGATATGTCTGATATGCGTGTCTCATTTCTTCCTGTTGTGAGTCAGAAACGCTTTTTTGTGTGTATTTGTATTTCGGTTTTGTTCAACACTGTCGATTTGACATATGAGTAGTGTATGATTACTGTTTTCGACCAATTAATTTTTGCACAAGATATGCGAGTTGCAAGGAGTAATCATTGACTTAAATGAAAGGTCAATGGTTTTTTTATAATATTATAAATTTACGTCATGCTGTGTGTATATGCAATTATATTGTGCATTTGTATAATTTATAACAGGTAAAATGTCATATCTTTAATTATGTGTATCTGCTACGTCACAAATTTGCTATTCTAATTATATATCGTGTAGCATCCATGTAGGATTAAAAAAGATTATAGCAAAGCTGATTAAATATGGCATACTAAGTGTGGCGTAAAAAAAGTCGTTTAGTATTATGTATGGCATTGTGACTTTCAATTTTCTTTCTATTGCACTCTTAATAAGATTTATGAACATAGATTTATGATTGATGAACAAAGTACAGTAAAATAATATTTTATTTGTGTGAAATTAGATTGTCATGATGCCATGGAGAAGTTTCCACTGAAGGGCACATCATTTTCAAACTCTACAATCCCTCACACAAATGCAAATGCTGTTACGACATATAATTCGGTTGATGCCAAGGTATGCTATTAATTTCAATCTTGTTTTTTTATTTTATCTGCTTATTTAACTCGAATCAATATTTTTTTATGACATGTATATACATAAATATTTTTTAAATAATTTTATGCATTTTACATATATATTGTATTATTAAAAATTGTTAAAAGAGAAATAAAATTATATATTTAATTTTTTTAATAGAAATTTTGTTCTTTAATGTGTCTTTTGTCTTGTGTTAAAATTTAATACAATATAAATTCTAAATTAACTATAGCAAGAAATAGACGATAATGTTAAAAGATATAAAGTTTGTTAAATATATAACAAACATATAATTGTAACATATTAATATGTTGCACATAATTTTCAGAATCTAAAGTATGGTGAAACCACTAGTACAGAAGATGTACGACTACGAACCGGAAGACGCGAGACAAATTTAAGCAGCGACGACGATATGCTAGATATTAATCATCATATGTCTCATCATTCAGATAACATGTTATCAGATTGTGTCCGTATTGATGATGCATCTTCCCATAGTAAGTTGTTTATATTTTTAATTTACAGTGTCACAAATCACACATCACACATTTGTTGCTGAACAGATACTATGTAGAACATTTTTATTGATTTCTAGCAAATGTTATAAAGAAACTTGAAGTAAATTTTACAATTCTCAAGGCACAAATTTATTTTTATAACTCTGTTATATTTAATTTTTAGTTTTATAAATTTTATTGGTTCAATATATCCTAGCTTGAAAAATATCATCAATACGTTATCTCACTTCCTGTTGAAGAAACTAGAGGAATATTTGTTGACCTACTCATCTGATCTGATGACATCTATTATCCCTGAGCGATACCAGTTAGACAAATTGAATCAAATTTCTTAGTACTCACAGCATGTCATAGTGGCAAAATGTGTAAGTTAGCACAAATAATGCCAATATATTTAACTAATTAATAAAAAAAATATATAAAAAGATACACAAGATAATTGTGATAAAGATATAGCAATCCCCTGTGTGTTAACCAGTTTTTTTATATTAAACAAAATTATTTTTTTTGTAGACACATTGATAGTCTTTATATAATTTTATAAAAAATGAACTAGTTTGATAATGTACAAACCTGTTATAATTTCTTTGTTCAGCAAAATACAATAATGTGTACGTGCATGTGTTAATCAAGTATGGTATTAAAATAAAAATATTTATTGTTATTACTGGAAAAATTTTGTAATGTTCTCTGTAATTGTCTTATTTATAATATTTAGAACAATACTATACACAATCATTAAATATCTAACAGATAGAGATATTAAAACAATTAAAAAAACGAAATAGTTTTATTTATTCTTATCATGAAATTTTCTAATGTACTTTATTAGTTTCAGTTGACTCCGATGACATACCTGGTATTGGGCAGTATGATGATTTTCATACTATTGATTGGCAACGGGATATCGCGCGAGATCGAATGCGGCATCGTTATATAATAAAGAAGAAACACGATTCCATCTGGGGTCTAATAAAAGGAGCTCACGACGCTTGGTCCGGATGGCTGTGTGTGTTACTAGTCGGACTTTTTACGGGTGTGGCGGCTGGTGTGATAGATATTGGCGCTTCCTGGATGACAGATCTGAAATTCGGTATCTGTCCGCAAGCTTTCTGGTTAAATAAGGAGCAATGTTGCTGGAGCTATAACGAAACTACATTCGACGGCGGAAATTGTTCACAGGTTAATTATATGATTCTCCAGTACTAACTGCATATACACTTGTTGCATAGATTAAACAAAAATTGCTTTTAGTTACTTATAATTAAATTATAATATTTCTAATTAAATAATATGCTTATTTAAGTATTTTCTCTATTTGATTAATGTATACAATATAATATTCTTTTTTTTTACAGTGGTGGACGTGGCCCGAGGTATTCAATCAATCAAAAGATGGTGCAGGACCTTATACAATTTCATATTTATTTTATACAGCATGGGCCCTTTTATTTGCGGCACTTTCCGCATCTCTAGTGCGAATGTTTGCACCTTATGCTTGTGGTTCTGGTATACCTGAGGTAAATCCATTATTCTCAAGTTTTCCTTTTTAGATATCTTTTAAATAAGAATTATTTTTCAGATAAAAACGATTTTGAGCGGTTTTATTATCCGCGGATACTTGGGTAAATGGACACTGATTATTAAATCAGTAGGCCTGATTCTTTCTGTATCGGCGGGCTTAAGCTTAGGAAAAGAAGGCCCTATGGTGCACATTGCATGCTGTATAGGAAACATATTTTCATATCTATTTCCAAAGTATGGTAGGAATGAAGCGAAGAAGAGAGAAATCTTGTCCGCCGCAGCCGCAGCAGGAGTTTCTGTTGCTTTTGGAGCTCCGATTGGCGGCGTTCTATTTAGCTTAGAAGAGGTATTGTTTGAAAGAATTAAGCAATTAAATTAAAAATTAAATAGTAATCTTATACTTTAAAATTGTAATATAGTAATCCTATACTTTAAAATTGTCTTTACCTTTTTTGTTAAAGTTAAAGAGGCTATTAGCTTAGCAAAATGTCTATTTTTAATTTTATTACTCTGTATCTTTAATTTACGTTGTGTGTAAAAATAAATTATATCTTTATGTATATTTGTTTCAGGTCAGCTATTATTTTCCACTAAAAACTTTATGGCGATCGTTCTTCTGTGCTTTAATAGCTGCTTTCGTACTACGTTCCATAAATCCATTTGGAAACGAACATTCAGTATTGTTTTATGTAGAATATAATAAACCTTGGATATTCTTTGAATTAATCCCTTTCGTTATACTCGGTATAATTGGGGTAAGTAAATTTCTTTATATGATTGCGAATATTAAATTTATAAAAAGGCAGCACATTTTTATTTAAAAACAAATTTTCTCAACAGGGTATAATAGCGACATTATTTATCAAGGCAAATTTGTTTTGGTGCCGATATCGTAAAACTTCAAAATTGGGGCAATATCCCGTAACTGAAGTGTTGATTGTAACTGTTGTAACAGCAGTAATTGGATATCCTAATCCTTACACAAGGATGAGTACCAGTGAACTAATTTATTTATTGTTTAGCCAATGCGGGGTATCGAACGCTGATATGTTATGGTTAGTAATTATGAAAAAATAGATAACATTTTTTGTATTTTCAAGATATATATATATATATATATATATTATATTAATTTATATATATTTATTATATATTTATTTATACATATTTCACTTAATTAACACACCCAATTTTATATAATTGTTGATTAATTAAATTAATGTATAATATATCTATCCATTTTACGACATAGTATAACACACTATATATATATATATATATATATATATATATATATATATAGAGATATATGACAAAGAGTGTAATTATATGTAATTGGAGAAATTTTCTGTGCCCTAATAGTGACTACAATAGGAATTTTACTGCCGTGAAATCCGCAATCGAAATAGCTGCAGCTGGACCTGGAGTCTACAAAGCTATATGGCTACTTGTGCTTGCACTGATATTGAAACTCATCATGACGATATTCACGTTCGGCATGAAAGTACCATGCGGTTTGTTTATTCCGTCTCTATGTCTCGGAGCGATAATGGGTCGCATCGTGGGCATAGGAATGGAACAGCTTGCGTACAATTATCCTCACATATGGATGTTCAGCGAGGAATGTTCCATGGGTGTCGATTGTATAACACCCGGATTGTACGCGATGGTCGGAGCCGCCGCTGTTCTCGGAGGTGTGACCAGAATGACGGTCTCCTTAGTCGTTATCATGTTCGAGTTAACCGGCGGCGTGAGGTATATTGTACCTTTAATGGCCGCGGCTATGGCAAGCAAATGGGTTGGCGATGCCCTAGGAAAACAAGGCATCTATGACGCTCACATCGGTTTAAATGGATATCCATTTTTGGATAGCAAAGACGAATTTCAACACACCACTTTGGCGGCAGACGTTATGCAACCCAAGTAAGTGATGCTTTCATATATTTTATATACGAATATTGTATATATAATATATATTATATAATATAGAATATTATAATTAATTAATGAAAGGCTCGTATAAATTAACAAAATTAAACAAATCAAATATAGTAGGCCAACTGAACGAGCAAATAAATAAGATGTAAAAACTATTAATAAATTTTTACATCTTATTTATTTGCTCGTTCAGTTGGCCTACTATATTTGATTTGTTTAATTTTGTTAGAATATTATATATTATATATATAATATATATTATAATATATATTATAATGTATATTATAATTTATATTATAATATATATTATAATAATATTATATAATATGTAATATGTATACATATATGAATTCTGTTTACAGACGAAATGAAGCTCTTCACGTTCTCACTCAAGACTCGATGACGGTTGAAGATGTAGAGAACTTGCTTAAGGAAACTGAGCATAATGGCTTTCCTGTAATAGTTTCTAAGGAATCTCAGTATCTCGTTGGTTTCGTTTTACGACGGGATCTCAATCTCGCCATCGCTAATGCCAAGAGGATGATTGAGGACATCAGCAGGCAGTCGTTAGTTATTTTTACTAACGGAAATAATGTCCAAAATCATTCGCCTCCGCCTTTAAAGTTAAAGAAGATCTTGGATATGGCCCCTATCACTATCACAGATCAAACTCCTATGGAAACTGTAGTTGATATGTTTAGAAAATTGGGATTACGCCAAACTCTTGTTACACATAATGGGTATGTATATAAATTATTTATATATTATCATGTTACTGTTGGATATTTCTGAACTAATATCGAGATCACTCTTGCGCAGGCGACTTCTAGGTGTAATAACAAAGAAAGACGTTTTAAGGCACGTGAAGCAGCTCGACAATGAAGATCCAAATTCTGTTTTATTTAATTAAATATAGCCGCGTGCTGCGACAGCAACTTGAAAATATCAATTTGATTCATAATGATATAGCAGCATAATAACATGAACAACATATATATATATATATATATATTTATATATATATATATATATATATATATATATACATACAATATATATATATACATATACCAGAGATTATAATTTATATTAATTTAATTAAAATTATGTATTTTATCTACTTTGTCAATATCTGCACTTAAATCATAAAAACGCTGTATGTAATTAGAAAAGAAGAAGTAAGCGTGTAATAGACTATTAAATTTGTATATTCATCTTTGTTTGAATAATATAGGAAGATTTAAGATTTTATATCTGGTCGTGTATTCCGATCAGCGGAATTTTATTTTTCATATTGTAATCGATAATAAATCATATTGACCAGTTTATGATATAAATATATAATTTACTATGTGTATGCACTTTTTTGCAAATTACAGGCATTAAAATTATATAAATAATATACACACATACACATATATGTGTATGTATAAAATATTGTTATATGATATATAATTTTCTGAATGGCATTAAAATTATATTAATATACGTTATATGAAATAGTCTTATAAAATTAAATTAATATTCAATTATAGATAACTGTGTGTGTTGCCACATTCTGTGATATACTTTTTATCCCTATTTACACAGATTTCATAGTTAAATTATTGCTGGTATACTTAAACTTCTAATTTATTATTTTGTCTTTTGGATTTCAATATTCAGTATCAACTTTGATTTTTTCTCCATGAAATATTGTCATTAATATCTCTATTATATAAATCCATCCACATTTCAGGAAATGTTTTTATGAAATAAAATGACATATATAATCACATCATAACCATCTTTATATATTCAGATCAATTGGAAGTATATCATATAAATATAATAATTATTTAAATACATTAAAAGTTTTTGGACTAAAGTATTACAAAATGTTACCATTTTTTATATATTGGAAATAATTGTTTGATTTGGCATGCAAAATTAGTCATAATATTAATCATGAAAGAATTAATTGTTTTCAAAAATACAATTTCTAAAAATCTTCATATATATATATATGTATATATAATATAATAAATATTAACAATATAATGAATAATTATATAGATGTATACATATGTATGTTTATATATATATATACAGTGCCGTCTTTACGCATGGGCCCCGGGTTCCAGGGGGCCCCCGACTGACATAGGATAAAAATAAAATAAAGAAAACTTGCATTCATCAATTATTTATCTATTGAATAAAAAGTATATTTATCAGAAAGAGGCCCCCAAAACTAAGTGTGCCAGAGGCCATCACATGACTAAAGACGGCTATATCTATGTACACATATAAACTATTTAATATCGTAACAATATCACAACAAATAACAATTTTGTTTATTTAAAATAATAACAAAAAGATAAGTTTTATTATATAATTCTTTCTGAATCAGATTATGTAAAGTAAATATTTGTTGACAACATAAAGAATACATATGTTTATATGTAAATGTATATATGTATATTATATACACGTGTGCGTGTATACATAAATGTTTAATGCATTATCAACAAATTTTATATCGATTTTTTAAAGAGGAACAAAGATAAATTTTATTCACAACATTATTTAGGCATTATATCGAATTTTTTGGACATTTGCATATTTTACACACAATGTATATATTTGATGTATAGAAACATGTATATGTATATATGTATGTGTGTATATATTATATATGTGTATATATACATATTATATGCATGTATAATATATGTATATGCATATATACACATATATATATCTATATAATTGTAATTGACAATTAAGAAATATTCTTTATCTTTTTTATATATCTTCTTCTATTACCGGTATTATTAGCCCCTGAAGAAAATCGAAACTATTTCTATCTGGATGTACTGCAATCTTTGTAGAAACTCCCATTATACTTGTATTTACCCTCAAATAACCAAAATCATCGATATCATCTACTATAGCTTCTTGATATTCTCCATTTAGTGTTAATATAGTAACACTCGCATTCCTAAAAAAGATTTAAAAAATGTATATAAAATTGTAAAAATATTATTATAGAAATATATCAACGATGAATTTAAATTCAAAATTACTTATGCAACCAATATTTGTAATAAAGATTGTAGAAATGTTGTATGTTGCCCTTTTCTATATCATCTAACAGAATTTCCAATTGATTAAATACAAGTGCCAAATATTTTTCAAGAGAGAATGTTTCCAACTTTGTCTGATGTTTTTGATTATATTGTAAAATCACATCATTAATACATGTTGTAGGCTTGCTATTGGAGAGATTTATACCAACACCTAAAATACATATTCATGTTTGTTTTAAATAAATCAAATTATATTTGTATTGTGATCGTTGTGTTACATACCAATATCGCAAATATAATATGATGTATCAACAAGCGTCCGTACAATCAAACCACCAATTTTAGTCGATTTGCCAACATATATGTCGTTAGGCCATTTTATTCTAATATTAATAGCCTAAAATATGAGATAATCTGAATAATTATCATATATTAATAATTTCAATGTACTTCAAGTATTTACAATATTTTATAAATAAAATCTAAAACTTTCATAGATTAAAATCGCATATTAAAAATGGAAAAAAGAATACCTGATATTCTGGAATAGATCTTACAGCCGATACCATTGCTACAGCGACAATATGCTGTAGAAGCGATATTTGTTTACTGAGAATCGAATTTCTAGGAATATATACTTGTAAAGTGAACATGGCACAACCAATCGGACTAAGCCATACATGATTACCTCGACCTAAAAGTAAGTCTCGTTATAATTTTTCATTTGCATGTACAAATAAAAAATGAACCTTGTCCCTGTGTTTGTTGTCGTGGAATAACAACTAATCCGTGTTTCATGCGAGCACCCATTGCATGCATAGAAGATTTTAAAACATCTGCATATATTACTAATTGACCTAATTCCTTTGTATTAAGAAACTGGAAAAAATTAAGTTTTTTATAAAATTTAATTTTAAGTGTGAAACGCGAAATCTATCACTATATAATATCATATATCATATAAAAATGTATTAAGGGTGATTTCTAAATGTACATAATTAGAATATTGAAAAATTAGTTCTGTTTCATTAAAAATTTACCTGGTAGTACTGTTCAGGCGAGAAATTTTTCGGACGAAATTTATGATGCGTTACAATAGGCAGAAAAATATCTGTTACGGTAACATGTATTTCTTCATCTGTGTAAAACCGTATCGTTAAGGCGCCCAAATTTAACGTGTAATCCTCTGTCAATCCATCTATGTTTTTAAGCATTTCCCATTTCAGCTACAAATACAACAAGATATAAAATTATGACAAATCAATAGTCTTTAATTGTAGATTGTGTAATTCTTGATTTAAAATTACTATGAGAATAATTAATTAAGTTTACTCACATCTTCTTTTCTGCTTAGAAGATAACCAATGGAATATCCTTTGAATGCAGGAGCACGAGTTATTTCCATTTCTAGATATGTACTCAACAGGTCACTGATTATTCCTAAGCGTGCGGCGTCGTTTTCTTTGAGCGTCTCATATAATTGCTTTGCTCTTGAATATTCCATTGGATCTTTCTCCAAATGGATCTGGGAGAATACTACTTTACCCCCACTGCTGGCTAGAGTTGCGAGTAATATACTTGGATTTTGCCATGTTTCCTCCGTACCCAATATTTTCACATCAAACATATGTGAATTTCCTTTTTATCCTTAACACTAGTCGACTCTGGGAGATTTAGTGAAGGCCTGTAAAAGTAGATTGCGTTTTAAATATATCTTTAATATTTTCTTGTTTCTATTTTTCGATATATATTTTTGGTGCAATTGTATTATTTTATTAAGATACACAGAAAAAATATACATTATTTTACCTCGCATCTTCGTGATTTTCAACAAAGCCATTTCGCTTGGGAGACGCTTGATAGCAAAAAGTATCGTGCATCATACGCACACGTTTCCATTGCCCATATGAAAAATAAACAAGTTCATTCTCACGCACTTCTGCAGTCTTGAAGAATGGCAGCATTTTATGCAGCATATTCGAGCATAATGATAAAACTTTTCCACCGTGTATAATATATTCTACAAATCGATCAGCAATAACATCCATAATATTACCACAAACAACAACCAAAGCAACCTGATCTACCCAAGTGTTCTTAGGAAGATTTAATATTGTTAAATTATAGATAGTATATCTAAAAAGAAAAATTATATTAGCTAATAATTCTTGAGTTGAACTTCATTATTTTTGAAAGATGCTTAACTCGGAAAAGTTTCCAAAGCTTATTACAGTAATATTCATAACTGTATTATGAAATCTTAATGTACCTGTCTGGATCTAGTACTTTACTTAATACAGCCTTTACACTTTTGCCCGTCTCTATTTTATCTGTATAAATAAGTACATTTGGAGGTTTAGTTATCACATCCTCCTCTTCTTCCGATTGAGAAGATCTGTAAATTAATATAATTAATAAAACATTATTATAATGTTATTTGTAACAAATATAACAATCATAAAATTTTATTGTATATCCTTTAATATATTTTTTTATCTGTTATTAAATATATTACTTACTTGGAAGCACCTTCGGAAGTTTTTCTTCCATTGGTAATGCGCCGTTTGCATCGGATTTATTATGATTAACTGGATTTATTGTGAATGATAATATATCATTGATTTTCTCTTCAACCTCGCTTTCTACAAGTGTTTCTTTCAAAGGATCTAAACAATTCATTGTTTTAATGTTTAATAATGATAAAAGTTTAAAAATGTGCTTATATGTATACATAGAAAAATTATTTATATTATGCACAACATTAATTTACCTTCAATCTTTGGTTCTTCTTTGTAATCATCCAAATTTTTTTGCGGATGTACAATCACATCAGGAAATTTAGTAACCTCTGTAGGTTTATTCTGCTCCGAGGCTTCTTGAGCTGCTTTGCTAAATGCAATAACAGTTTCTAAATAAAAAATATATTAATGATATAACTATTGTAAAGAAATGTAACAATTACAAGAGCAAATTAATATTACTTGCCTGTAGTTCGTGGTGGGCTGAATAATTTTATACTATCTTCATAAACGCACGGGTTTCCTGATACTTCAACAGCTGAAAAGATAAATATATTATAAGATACAAACTTAAATACTTAATATTAAAACATATACTTTGATACATACTTTGTATACGTTTCATATATAAATTATTGTTAATAAAATATCGTCCTTGTATAAACATAGTTATAAAGTCTGTAATATGATCAATATCTGTTTCTAAAAGCAAATTTAGATTTTCATTCACAGACCATGCCTTGATTAAACCATAATCTTCAAGCTGTAAAATAATAAGTGCATAAATAGAAGTATTCCAATTAGTTTTTTCTTTTACATAAATATACAATAAAAAATATAAAAAATTAAGTATGCAATAAAAATATAAAAATTGAATATTACTTTTATACAGCATTCTGAGGTATCCGTATTATACGTTTGAAGATCAGTTTCAATAAGAACATAAAGATTAGATTTGCTTGAAATCTGATATCCATCAACTTTAAACAAGGGGAAAAGTGACTTTCCATCTTTATAATTCAGCCAGTTTGATATATCAATTTTTTGCTAGTAAAAAAATAATACATGTTATTCTTATCATTATCCATGTTTATAATTGCAAGTAAAAAATATTTCTTAAATATTACACATACCTGTGGATGTATAATGTACATTGCCATTGTAGCATCAAATGGTGACATCATATGAAGTTGAGCAAGATGCTTGTTATAACATAAATGAGAAGTCAAAGCATCTTTATCCCATTTTTTAGCAGATTCTAAAATAATTTATTTTTTAATTATTTAATATATATTTTTTCTTTAATAATTGTAAGTGATAGATATGATTGAGAAATAGTTTTTGACATAATATATATGTATAAAAACTCTTTATTAATTTACAACACATATTATTTAAAATATTCACAGATTGCATTAGCAAATGTAACATTACTAATAAATAATAAAATTTGCTACATAAAAAAGAGATTACCTCTGCTTCCACATTCACAGAATGCAGGATAAAACATAATAGAATATTGATTTTGGTATTCCTTAAGAGCTGCACATATTGCTGCTTTATACTTTGGTGTCCATCGTGCTCTTATAGCTGTGTATACCATAAAAGCAAATGTTAACATCATTTTTTTATAAAGATCTTCTGCGAGATTCACTTTAAAATCTTAATAATTTATTTCAATACAAGAATCCTCTCACTGCAGGCTCTTCTTAATTCTGAAAGATAAACACATTTGAGATAAGCATATATTAAACACATATATTTAGAAAAATATCAGTCACCATGCATTGTGTTCTAATAAAATATATTTTTTTATATACATGGAATATAAGATTATGCAGAAAAGCAAGTGACCTCTAAGCTGAACATGCAACATAAATATTGCGTTGAATTTGCAAAACAAAGATGATGTTATATTAAATAAACAAAATATAATATACTAAATTATAGTAAATTAAAATCTCTTAAATAATAATTATATGTATTTTTAATATATTTTTATAATTTTTAAAGCATCTTTTTGAGCGCAAAAAAATATTTGACACTTGCATTAGAACACAATACAATAAACAACAACTGTGTGCGAACTTGTGTGCGGAGACAATTTTGATAAACGCTAAAATGTTGAAAAGCACGAAACTATCGAAATTAACTTATTGTAATTGCGAAATTCGAATATTTACATATGTACATATAAATATACAAGCCGTGAAACAACACTTTTTACCTCTAGCGACGTCGAAATATGTGCCGGTATCGAACGTTTACATCGGAGCACATACATACACAATGATATATGCTGTTGCATTTCTCGTGATAACGATGCGATAACATGCGAAAAATCGTTCGTCACACGTGTTTTCGTTGGTCGTTTACGAAAAAGCGGAAAATTCATTGGTTCGCCACGGAAAACACATGATTTTTGAGAAATTTGACAGCTCAGAAAGGAGGTTAAAATTCTTCGTTCTGATTGGTCGATTCAATCATTAGAATGAAGTTTGTCGAACGCGCTGATTGGCTGTCAGGGATAGGGAAATTCTAAGAATTTCTGGGAACTTTTGCTCGTCCGATAAAATGTTGGCTACTTTTAGATCGTCGACGGTGATCGGGGGTTGTGACATTTCTCAGCTGATTGTGTTTTGAATGTTTGAATCCTATACTCGTGCAACAATATAATAATATCATGCGTTATAAAAGTCTCTGCGTAAATATTATGAAAAAAGTTGGATGTTAAATAGATATTTAAGTACTGTCGTAATTAAACGCGGTTATTCAAAAACAGCGGACCCGTCTTCGGAAAATGATGGAAAAACGACGCATTTTGGTTTCCAAACGATCAAGGAGAGCGAAAAACGAACGAAGGTAAAGATTATTTCCGTCAAATGAAATATTTACAATCTGTCTGACACACAGATGTCCATAGTTAAAAAAAAATTAAAATTACATATATAATTACATAATATATACACATATATATATATATATATATATATATATATATATAATATGATATATACATTAATATATAATTATATTAAAAATTACATATATGTATATATACAATTTAATTCAACAGTATTTATTTTTTTCAGTATATACTGTATTTGAAAATGTTGCCAATCATTACGACATAATGAATGATGCGATGAGTATGGGCATCCATCGTATTTGGAAGGATATTTTTGTACAAGAATTAGGACCTACTCATGGTACCCGTCTCTTGGATTCTGCTGGTGGCACAGGCGACATTACATTTCGGTATATAAACTTTTTGAAGACTACACCAAATCCGCAAGCTATACGTAGCTATGTAACTGTGTGCGATATTAATCAACATATGCTGGATGTTGGGAAAGAACGAGCAAACAGATTAGGCTTGTCACAGGACAGTAAATGCACTGTTACTTGGAAGCAAGAGAATGCAGAAAGTCTCTCCTTTCCTGAGGATTCTTTCACCGCTTATACCATAGCGTTTGGAATAAGAAATGTAACACATATTGACAAGGTGTTTATAATATACTGGATTTACTTGTTAATTATTTATATAAGATAAAGGTATATTAGAAGTACAATACTACTATATATTCTACAACTTTACTATAATATATACTGCAACTTTGAATTTATAAAATTGAATAGATAAATTTATAAAATTGAATAGAATGGATGAATTTATAAAATTGAATAGAATTTATATTTTTGTTCTCTCTAAAGAATATTTTTATTGCAGGCATTGTCTGAGGCGTACAGAGTTTTACAGCCAGGAGGAAGATTCTTATGCCTGGAATTTAGTCATGTTAATAATGAAACTTTACAATGGTATGCTTTGAAATGATAGAAAATTTATATAACATATAAAATAATATGCATTAAACTGTAACAAATTTTGAAATATTTCAGGTTGTATGATCAATATTCGTTTCAAATAATACCTGTGATGGGACAGTTGATATCAGGGCAGTGGAAAGCTTATCAGTATCTTGTAGAAAGTATAAGAAGATTTCCAAAACAAGAAGATTTTAAAGTAAAGTATCTATATCTATATTTTAATTCTATATATATAATTTTTTATATTTTTACTTGTTACACATAAATTTTAATGTCAGTATCGAGATATTTTTTGAACTTCTAATAATATTTTTAATTTTATGATCCAAGCTTTTCATTTCTGTTATATATAAAAATTTGCTATATGTATAATCTTTGTTTTTATAATTTTTATAATTGCATACTTATCATATTCTTTGTTATTTTTTTAGAATATGATTGAGACTGCTGGATTTAGAAATGTGACTTACAAGAATCTTACTTGTGGTGTGGTAGCTATCCATTCAGGTTTCAAATTATAAACAAGATATTGTTTTAGTGGAACAAAACAAATAACATAATATTTTGGTAAATAAAGAAACACAATATAATAATTTATCAAAGAATAAATAAGATGTGCAATAAAATATCTTTTTAGCTTTAATCATAATATTATATCATCTTAATATTACAATCTTATTTATTTCTTTCAGAAAGAAAATTTTATTATTTCTATTAATTATTTGTGCACACTATATTATAAAGAACAAAAGCTATATTTTATTGTTAGTTTATCATAAAGTTTAATTATAATTATTTTGATTGGATTATATAACAATTTATCAGATTTTGCTTTTATCAGTATTGTTCTTTGCAATTGCATGTAATTTCTTTTCGGTGTCACATAAATTATGCTGCTCTGAAAGCCCATTTCACTATGCTATTGTATATTTGGACTGCCACCTGTCCGAGTGTGAAATTCGCTTGCCTACTACGTAATCGCTCTACGTCTGCAACCCGCTCTATTGCGTAAGAGTCGTGCGACTCTTGGGTGCTCGGCTGATGCGACCAACGGTGCTCCTATCGCGATTTACTACGTATTTCTACGCAGGTCGTTTCCGCGGATCGTTCTCTCGCTAATACACAGAGCTGAAGATGCAAAGAAGTACGAGTGAAAATTCTGAGAAACGAGTTATTTCAAAACAAGATGATTCATTTTTCAAGATTTACAATTCTTCGCATCCAAACTAACTTTATGGAAATATATTGCGCTTGCGAATTTCACAATTATAATTTATATATATATATTTTTTTTAATTACATATGTGTGCATTTAAAAATAAAATATATACCTATATATAAATTTATTTTTTAAATTATATTAATTTTTATAAATTATATTACTGTTGTAAGTAAATAATCATTTTTTTGCGTGTACACAAACTGACTTAATTGTAATGTATGTCGAAATTTATTCATTGATTTTGATTGAACACAGAGGTGAAGAAGGGAAACCGTGGTGGTACTGGCCGATTTCTTCGAAGGAAGATACAACCGAATTTGCATTTCACAAGAGATAGCAGGCAGCAATTTTCCAACATTATAAAACTGTTTATATCGAGCCAGGAGAGTTCGAAGATATGGAAATCACAGCGAAAGGGATTTTAAGGAGGCAAAGATCGCGAAAGATAAGAAGAGGGAAGCTTCGACCCATAGAGGTGAGACGAGACCCAGTGAGAGAAACCTATCGTGTCGTGGTTGTCAACAACGACAATCACGCGGATCGAAGGCCGTCGTGACGACGGGGAATCCATTCTACGTGGCGTAATATCTACATGCGTCATGCGGTATGCTTTCTCTAGGAGGTGAAAATTCTTAACTTTCTTCGACTATAGAAACATTCCTATCTATCTATCTATCTATCTTGGTACCGATGATGCTTGGCCGCGCTCCCACATCTTTTCATTTACTCGTCTGCCTTATTGACGCATTTATCCCCTGCCTCTCGGGGAGGTATATTACTGGTGCTTACTACTGATTTCCCTTCGATCGAGCACAGAACATTGTATTTTTCACGGCAGATTAGATTTTTTTATTTTTATATTAGTTCCATTTTTGAGATACATATATTTTTTGTGAGTGTATTTTTTTCTTTCTCTCTCTTTCATATTTTTCGATAAATTATTCAGCAAGTATATATGATGCTATTAGATTTTAGTAGTTAGTATAATGTTATGGCATCGAAGAGAAAAATGTTTTACACTGAAAGAAAATTAGAATATACTTATAAACAAAAGTACCTATAATTTACCGGGTAATGAATTAGATACTTGTTAAAGCGGAAGAAATCTGACGAAGATGCAGATTCTCGCGATGCAGCTTCTTGCTGCACATATCGATTTTCCTGACCTCGGTGACCCCGCGTACCCCTTCCGCCTTGGATACTTCCTAGAAAGTATATAATGCATCGTTACCGCTTCGGTCTATGGTTTATATCCATCTGCCAGCAAGGATCGACGTTGCATTATTATACAACACACCGTTTCTCATGATATCCCCGTATACGATCGTCTCTCCGAGATTGATAAACATTATTGCTTTCAAATAGATTCTGATGAATAAGCAAAAATTGCGTCATACGCCTTAAATAAATCAATATTATATTTATAGAATAATTACAATCTTATTCGAGTTTGGAATTGATACAAGTCAATAAACTCTCAAGAGAGAGAAAGAAAGGATCATATTTTATATATACCCAGCAAACACCGATATATAATTGTTACATATCTATAATAAAACGGAATATAACAGATAATATAACGTGCACGTTACATGTAACATCCATGTTAGTTGTAATTTCCCACTCATAGATGTAACATTTTAATATAACATATATTACATTGTAGTTATATTGTAATTATATACCAAATAGCACATTGATGTATTGATAAGTCAGTGCTATCTTGCGATATAATGACAATATAACTACAATGTGATATATGTAATATTAAAAATGTTACATCTATGAGTGGGAAATTACAACTAACATATACGTTACATGTAACATGCTTAAGTATATAACATTTATATACTGTGTTTGCTGGGTATAATCTTCTTGATAAATTTATTTTACATTGTATTATATATATATATATATATATATATATATATATATATATATATATATATATATATATATATATATATATATATATACATACATTCTAAGTGAAACAAAACTCTGTATAGCGCATTTAATGTCATCTAGATTTAAAAGTATATGTGGGACGTAACATTTTTCTCCACTTGTTGTAAAAACCAGGTAGCAAGAGAGATATAAAACTCGCTTCATTCGAAAGTATGCTTTGATGGATACGCTGATGATGGATATCGCGAAAAACTCGGCTTCGCGCGCCAATTACTTCACCCATTAAAGGACGAATAGCGTCCAGATTACATCAGCAGACGCGAGAATTACGCGATGATTGCACCGATTAATCGAGAGTAACGCGGACGAGCAGGTAGTCGCGAGGTTCCCAGGAGGTGGGATCAAGGTGTTTCCGTTTCGCTGACGAGCTCGCAATAGTTTACAGAAATATATATTAATAGAGAGATTGTAATGAACAAAATTATTAAGATATATATATGTATATACACAAAATTCGCTAATACGATTTTTTTGTATGACAAACGAGAGATTTTTCGGGGAGATTCGGTCGATTAATTTAGCCGAAAATTTGCATGAATTTGAAGATGATGCTATTTAACACTAGCCATAGAAATGAACGATTCGACATGGTGTTTATAGCGTTCGACAGAGCTAATAGTATTGGAAAGGAGAGAAAGTGTTAGATAGGGATAGCTTGGCACTCTCTGGCGTTTACCTATGTTGTGGCGCCTCTCTTCGTGGCATTGCAATTATAAGACGATTGTCCGCACGAAAAATATTACGCCAGACCGGAGAGGAAAGATAAGATGATCGTGTGAAAGGAGAAGATTCCATCACGTCACGTCAAATCTTCTTCCTAATCACGTTCTATCGATATCATTGATCATCGTTTAGTCTTACACAAAATTACACCTGTGTCTATATGTCATATATATCGTATCTCTTTTCATATAATTTATATTTCAATCTAAATCTATATATAATTATATTATATATACAAAACATATAATCAAAATATTCCTTATATTTTATTACCATATAATAATTTAATTAAATGTTTTTCTTAATTTAACTGCTTCATATCCTTAGATAAATAACTTTCTCTTTCTTAATTTTTTCTTATCGTTAAGTCGATGAAATAAGATGTATATTCGAAGACTGACAAAAATCGCATTTAAATTGAGATATTCGTATGATAATTCGCAGATGCAGGATCGTGCCCCGGGGTGCCCAAATAAATTTCGAAAGAACGCAACGAGCGAGGATGAAGATGAGAATCGGGAGAGAAATAGACAGTTCGCTACAAACCGAAGGAGGAACCTCCGTGTCCTCGATGTGACGCTTTTACTAAGCGTTCGTGCAGACCGAGTAAGAGCGAGTGGGGCACGTAATTAAACTGCGTAAGGTCTCCCGTAAGTGAATGGGTAAATCGTAATCTCTGCCATGCTTCGTTGGACCCGCACGTTGATTCGACCGGACGTCCCGCGAAGCGCTCGAAGGTAGAAAGGATCCGAAGATCCTCGGTCGCTGAAGAGAAGGAAAGAGAGAAACTTTGTTCTTTCGGAAAGTGTTTCAATGAAAAATAATGTAAAACTCGAGAACACACACACACACACATATGTACCTATTAGCTCAATTTCTAACGTCTGATTTTTTCATTCAGAGATACATCTTATTTCATCGAGTCGATTATTAAAATAAACGATAGAGAAAGTTATTTATTTAAAGATGTAAAGTGGTAAATTATGGAAAATTAAATATAAAAATTTTAGATTATTGAAATTGAAATAAATTATACTTTGAATTCTTATATATAAATATATAAACTTTGTATTTATTATATATATAAATATAATATATATTATATAAATATATATTATTTAAATATTAAATATATACATATTTATATATAAATATATTATAATAAATATATAATAAATTTAAAAAGAATATAAAAATAATGTAAAAATTGAGTTATATACATATATAGGTATATAAATTATATATATACATATATCTTTATTCGGATGTGAGGCAATTTTTTACGCCTGGAGGATTACGTTAAGAGATCCTTTCGACGTAAGAAGACGCGAACTGCAGAGCACATTTACGCTGAAATTTCGTCACGAATGACGTTTCTCCCGTGCGAGAAACGGTTCATTCGTAACATTATAATTCATTTGCCGAGTGTCACGCTATCTCGAGTCTGCATCTCGCGGAACACGCGAGATTATATGTTTCGCGTATAATATTAGATCTACATATATAACGGCCTCGTACCCTCGACCGTTCCGACCCTCGCCATTGCCTCCCTATGTTGGTCGATATGCTCTATTACATGAACACTGAAATGAAGACACATAATATCTTGCATCGAGTCCGCGAGATCGAACGAGTTCTGTCCTATTTCGTGTCTTACCTTCGAGCTCTAACGAGTTTCTTACGGTCTCGCGAATAAATATGGCGCAATATTAATTTATATCTCTCGTCTACTCCCGCTCTCTTTCTTTTTTTTATTTTAGATAAAAATATTTTCCGTTCATAGGAAAACTATCGATTTTCCCATGATCTCGTATATTACGTCACGTTTATAATTCACGGCAGATTTGTTACGTACGTATATAAGAATTCTTTTTTTTTTTACCGTAAGAACGCATCGCGTTTCCTAAGCCACGCTAATCCTTATCCGCGTGGATCTTGTATAAGGATTTCACTATCTCTAAGAAGAAGTTTAGCGCTCGGTTTGCCTCGCGGGAAAATCGCGCGTGGAATTTATGAAAATATCCTACCATTATCGTTATATATTATATTCTAAGAGTACGAGAACACAAGCTGTAATGTCGTAAAGGCATAGTGCGCAAAAGTTACGTCTGCACGTTACGTAATTACGGTCGCGGAAAAAGAAGCGCATCGTGCACGATATTCGCAAGAGGAATGTGACGTCGTCGTCGTCGTTGTCGTCTACGGGGAGTTTAATTTGCACGTGATGCAAATTACGTTTCACGCTAGCTTTTACGACAACATAGTATAGTTCCATTCCGATAATAGTTTTCCGTACACACGCTTTTTTTTTCTCTCTCTCTCTCTCTCTCTGCATTTCGCGGGAATTTTTCTCACGAAGCGCCGTGATCTACTTTTATTTCTTCTTCGCCCTTTCTCCTTCATCGACTTCTTTAAGCGGCGCTCTCGAGAGCAGATTAGCTTGATTAAGTTGGAATATTTGAATTCGGCAGCGAGAGAAAAGCAAGAGCTATATAATTTACCAACATTTTGAATTAAATAACGTTTCTGACGCGTCGCGAGGAACTTTCTTCCGGCTAGTCGCTGGAAGAAAAAAGTATCGTAAAATAAATTAACGCGATAAATCTCCCAGGAGTTGCTCGCTGCGCTTTGCAATTTATGATTCCTCTCTTTAATTCACATGAATGCGTTATGCGATTCTCCTCTTTTTTCTCTTTCTCGCTCGTACACTGAACAAAAAATTTATTGAATTCGAATAAATATTCATTTCAATACTGCCTAATAAATAATTTATTTAAAACTAATGTAATATATATATATATATATATATATATATATATATATATATATATTTGATATAAGAAAATTCTTTTCAAAACATTTTGTTTCAAATAAATGATTGATTAGGCAGTATTGAAATAAATATTGATTGATTTAATAATTTTTACAGTGTATTTGTCCACGGCCTCGATAACCATCGCCGATCGCAAAATCGATCTCGAGTGATCGATAAAGATCCAGATCCATCTGCTCTCACATGGTGGAGAGAAAGAGAGAGAGAGAAAAGAGGGAAACGAAGGGAGAAAAAATGCAACCCGCTATTTCCTCTCTTCGTTGGGAAAGTTCCTCGATTCTTCCTGGATCGAGAAAAAAGAACGAAAGAAAGAAAATACGCGTATGTCGAATATTCGGGTCAAATGGATTTCGAGGTCCCTTTCTCTCTCTCTTTTTCTTCGTCTCGCGAAGAAGCAGCTTCTTCTGGGAAGGAAGACTTTCGGTTTCGCAACCGGAGGTTGACGATAATTCAACGACACGTCGCCGACAACACCGTCGAATAACACCAAGAGATTCGCTGAAATATCTATTAGACGGAAGAAACATCTGTTTTTAACGCGATCCGTCATCGTGATTATATGAAAACGCGATAGAAATTTGCTGACAATCGTGTCTCCTGGAATCTCTCTTTGCTCGGTCTCTATCTTAAGCTGTCATCTTTTTAATTATCTAACTTCTTATATCAATACACACATATCTCTATATCTTTTCTCTATTTATCCACAAACTAAAAGGTATCTGTGTCTACATGATTCGCAGACTAATAAATTTAGTCCGTACACAGAGAGAATTTTCTCTTAGAATTTTCCCTGAAAATCATTAATATCTATCACAATAAGATATAAAATATGTTCTATTAATTTGATGGTAGCAAATAGTAATCAGAGAAACTCTTACAAAATTCTTCCAATACCATATTACCATGATTTTCAGGGTAAATTCTAAGAGAAAACTCTCCATATTAGTAATTAATTTACAAAGTTTGCGAATAAAATAGATAAATTCGTTCATCAGAGCATCTGGAAACATTGAACTTATTTAAATTATTTTTTGTCTTTATTTCATTTCCGTCTGACTCACATATCGCCGTTGAACTAGAAACTCGAAGCTGCCTAGAACCTGCATGGGGACTTGCATCATTTATTATGTCATTCTTGAATCGTTCTCTTCGAAACCATATATATGTATACAGCCTCTCCTCATCTCTATATACTGTATCTAGACGCACGTGTAGGCCGGAGGGGCTTCGAACGTGCGTGAGAGGATACCTATTACCATCATACCCATCTAGCAAGGCTAACTAATTGTAGGACTTTTCGTCGACGTCCGAAAACGGAGATCTCGTTCTGCTTGTGATCTACTTATCATCTCGCGCGAAACGAGAGTCGATACGTCCGAAAAGAATTTTCATATTTTATATTCTACATTTAATTTTATATTCTATATTTAATATTATATTTAATATTATATTCTATGTTTAATATTATATTTAATATTATATTCTATATTTAATTTCATATAATTTTTATGATCTATATTTTTTTTATTGTTCACGATGACGATATTTCGGTGAGAAAACGAAAAAACGTGGGGATCAACTCTCTTTTTTTCTCCTTTCCAAGTCTTATACTATTTTTTTCTCGTGCACAAAACGCTTCCCCGAGGTAACCGAAATTTTTAACTTTCCTCTTCCTGCTCGCTTTCCAGCCTCCGAGTGATCGCGGAAGTAACCAATTCCATTGTTTCGGCCTCGAGTGGCGGAAAACAATTCGGTTACCGCGAATTAAATACTTAGTCAATCGCAATAGGTGTCTCGGTTTAACAAAAAAATGAGGTAAACGTTTACGTAGATCTCTAACGCGTAATGAAAGTGTCGTTTAAAACTTGATTCCCGATGCTCGTCGCATATTCTATATAAAAAAATTTATGATAAAATTTATAATAAAATTTGTAAATTATTTTTTATAAATTTTACAATCAGAAAAAAATCAATTTTTCAACAACTTTTTTTTTGTTTTTAAATTTTTCGCGAATTGGGGGGTTGCAAGAGGACATTTTTCCACGTCGCGGGAAATAAAATAAAATTATATACAAATTTTTCTTTATACGTATAATATAACATAATCGAACGAAATTGATCCAGCCGAGCATTCGTGGAGCAGCTGTTAAACGTACCGAGTGCACTTTCTACAAGATGTATCGAAACGCCGACGCTTTTAAGGTAATAACACGTGCAGCTATAATAAATTTTTAATTGTTTCATAACAATTTCAATTTTTTCCCACGATTGGAGTTGCGTAAACTGACATTTACAATAATATCGCACTATCGTCATCGTTCACATATCGACATATTCTATATGTCACGTGAAAATTATATGAAATCACATTCGTATGGTGAAAAACTAACATATTTTTATTTAATAATATTCCCGATTGATAATAATTCGATATTTACCTAACTGCGAGAATTTGAAATCGATGCTTTCGTAGGTGGCGAATATTGACTGTATATATTTACGAAGCTGTAGAAAACGGATTGAAATTCTTTTATGGACCAAAATGGTAAACCGCAGTATATATTTAACATATCGTGTATATATAATTCTTCTTTAAGTATCTACAAAGTATTATGAAATATCTTGCGCAAAAGTTTTATAGTGACCGCGCGAAATTTCATCAAGAATTCGTCGATCGCGAGTTTAAAAAATCTCTGACACTCGATAAAATCTACATTTATGTATGCAATATTTAATCTTAAAGGCGTGTATATATCATTCTCTGTTGACAATGACGCGTTTATATACAAGACCATATTTCACGTATAAAAATTTGCATACAAGAACATCGTGCAATCATTAAAATTAATAGAAACATCTCAATCAATAGCGTGAATGCTTCGTCGAAAAGACTCGGTCTTTTTGCCAGTCATTAAGATATATCGCGCTTAAAAAAAGAGGCGCAACTAGATACAAAGATCTTACGATTACTTGTATAATAAAGTGTCTTATGAGAGAGGGAGCGCATTTTTCACGCTCATTTGTCATTGAAATGAACGTTATACCTGACGGAGCCGCGCGCGCATCATAATCGATCCTATCCGGATCGAATGGCTGAATTTGAACGAAAGTACAGAGACAAATTTGTGTGAGAGATGCGCACACGGGTCCGTCTTCTCACGAGCAAGCAAGAGCCGGAGAAAAGAAAGAGGGAGAAAGAGAGAGAGAGCGATTTGCAATAGCTCCGTCGCATCTCATAGGTGATGGGTCGAGGCATCGAGTGGGGCCCAGGCTGGCCCGTATAAAAGGGGGCTTCAAGACATCCGCGGAGCATCAGTCCTCAAATCAAGGAACGGCAGCAACCATGAGGGCATTCCTGGTGAGTAGCGGGAACGAATTTCTCATTTCTCCGATTTCACGTTCCCCGCACATTTTCTTCCTTCTTCCTCTTACCACCTCTTCTTCTTCCTCTTCCTTTTGCCATTTAATCGGATTTGCCTCCTCTTAATTTTTGTCTTTTTGGACACCTGCAACGTGAAAAAAAAATTAATGCGAGATTTCTCGGAGAGAAAATCGCGAAATGTGAGAGGAAGCGAAGAGATACAAAATTCGTACGAGATCGAGATCGTGATCGGGGGTTCCATCCCCGGGAGGTGGGAGGCGGGAGAAAGTAAAAGGGGTGGGGAGGGTGCACGAGGGACATTGTGTGCGGTGTCAATGTACTCCGTGATAGTGACCAACCTGGGAACCGGTTCAGTGATTGTGCTACTTCTCTAGTTTCCGTTCACGCGAGATTTCAGAGAAAAAAATAATTAAATACCGAGAAGATTTTCCCTCCGTCTGTCTCTATATGTCTCCCCAGGTTTACGTAACACGTTAATAAACGCGGCTATGGCTAAACGAAAAGGATGCATCCTCCATGCTCGTGAATCCACCGCCGCTTTTTTCCAAAAATAATTTTAGATGCATTTATTGCACATATTTTTGACAACAAATATGCATATATCTTTGTTTTCTTCCATATTATCTGAAACAATAAGAAAATCATTTTTTTAGAAATATTAAGATCTTAATAAATTCTTCAGCTTTATTTATTCAAAATTTTACGCTAACAAGCAATTTAATTATAAAAAGAATTGTGTATAAGAAAAAAAATAGACAATATTTAAAAGATATATATAAATTTTGGAATATATAATAAATACGATAAAACAAAAGGATATATTAATAAAAAAAATGTTTGTTTGCAGATCCTGGCGCTCGTCGCGACGGCGATGGCGCGGCCGGAAGCCGGATATTCTTACAGTCAGCCGAGCAGTAGCTACGGTGCCCCTGGTGGTGGTGGTGGTGGTGGTGGTGGTGGTTTCGGCGGATCCGGTGGAGGACTCGGCGGAATCGGTGGCGGCGGACTCAGCGGCGGAGGATTCGGTGGCGGACTCGGCGGTCTTGGTGGCGGCGGACACGGCGGCGGTCTAGGAGGCGGCTTCGGCGGCGGCGGCGGCGACTTCGGCGGCGGCTTCGGCGGCGGCTTCGGCGGCTTCGGCGGCGGCGGCGGCGGCGGCTCGCTCATCCAGAAACACATCTACGTTCACGTGCCACCCCCGGAAGCGCCCGAGGACAGGCCGCTCAGGCCGATCGCGCCGCCGGCCCCGGCGCAGAAGCACTACAAGATCATCTTCATCAAGGCGCCGACTCCACCGACCCCGACCGCGCCTGTGATCCCGGCTCTACCACAGCAGGATGAGCAGAAGACGCTCATCTACGTCCTGGTGAAGAAACCCGAGGAGGCGCCCGAGATCAGTCTGCCCACCATCACGCCCACTCAACCCAGCAAACCGGAAGTCTATTTCATCAAGTACAAGACGCAGGTAAGAGAGGGATGAAAATTACCTCATCCTGAAATAAATATAATAACATATATTAATTTAAACAGAGAATGAACAAGAAAACCTTAAATATGATGAATCCAACATTGGTGTCCCACTTAATATCTCTTTTACTTACGCACTTTGCAGAAGGAAGTCACCGGTGGCGGCGGCGGCGGCGGAATCGGCGGCGGTCACGGCGGAATCGGCGGCGGAATCGGCGGCGGTGGACTCGGCGGTGGCGGACTCGGCGGCGGCGGACTCGGCGGCGGCGGACTCGGCGGCGGTGGACTCGGTGGCGGACTCGGCGGCACCGGTATCGGCGGCACCGGACCTAGCGGACCCAGCACGAATTACGGGCCACCCGGCGGGTCCGGGCCATACTAGTCAATTCACCGCTACCCCAAAAGTCGCGGCCCCTCCGTCCTTCTTCTCCCCCATCATTCACCGACACACACGCACACACCGCTCAACACATACCTCCGACAGGATCAGCGACGACGATACTCGCCGTATTGACGTATCGCTGTGTTGCATATCGCGCGATCGCCGAGATAAGAAGATGTCAATGATGATGATGATGAAGACGGCGATGATGATGACGATGTTGAATACGATGACGACGACGACGATGATAGTGATGATGATGATGACGATGACGATGATGATGATGACAATGATGATATCGATGATCACAACGACGACTACCACGATGATGATGATGATGATGATGATGATGATGATGATGATGACGACGATAATGATGATGATGATGATTACGACGACTAGAGCGAGGGAGAGATGTTTTTTTATACTTATTTTTTGCAAGAAAACGGTGGCGAAATAAAGCTTTTTTTATGTATTTTTACATAAAACCTATACGTTCTTAGCTCATTGTACACCCTTCCGATTCGATTATATAACCAGATGATTATGATAGAATTCCGATGGTCTCGAAAAATCTGAAACACGGTCTATTGTTTTTATAGATTCGTGCGGAATGTTGGTCGATTTTTCGAGATTTTGCGAATATAAATAAGAAACTTTTTCTTGTAATTCGACCGCTATTTTTACGGTCCATCAGTCTCAATCGATCGATGGCGCGATTCATCGATCCCGATAGTCTTTATGTTGCATGCTATTTTACATATATATATAGTTAAACGATGTGTTTTGCGTATACAAAAGGGATGCAAAAATCAGCCTCTTAGATCGACTCGTGTATTCCGAGCTTCTTTGTCGGACAGACAAAGTGTCACGGGGTTAATTCCCGTGGTATCTTTCTCAGAGCGTTTCCGTATGAGAACTCGCCGAGTGTTGCGCGACAATGGCAAGAATTCTCGATTCTCATTGCGAGAGAAGAGAGACGGAGGGAGGAAAACGTCTGCCTTTATCTCTTTCCGAAAAGGTAGCGCATCTCTCGCGAAGGAGAAACTTTCACTGCTCCTAAACAACCGCTAATCAAGAGACGAGAGCGACGTTCGTCGCCGGATTTCGTCCAGCCGTTTCTCCTCATCCTCTCTCTTTCTCTGACTTCTCTGACGCGTCGAAGACTCCTGGAAGAATCTTCGACGAGGTCGGATGAGTCGATGAAATGTTATACGAATTTCCCTCGTTCGATATGAAATTTGCTCCGAATGCGTAGACAGGGAGACGATTTTAATGATTGAAGAGAGCCACGTCTTGTGCGTGTCGCGGATTTAAAATGATCGCTCAATCGCTTTCGAGTTGAAAAAAGAGAGAGGAACATATGTTCCCTATATTTGACGACTTACTTTCGTCATATACGCGCACAACGCATTTGCATTATTAATCTCGAGAGAAAGAAAGAGCGCTACATATATATAATATTTTGCCGAGCGTGTAATGAAAAGCCTTGCGCAGGTATGGAACAGCTGTTTGCTACTTGAAATCGCCTCGGGGGAAAGATGAGACGACGACGAGCGAAAGCGCTCATTGACACGAGAGTTTAACAGGAGAGAGAGGACGAGAAAACGAATGAAAAGGAAGAAAGGGAAGCGTTCCGTATTTGTCTGGCTTTTCTCTCTCTCTCTGTCTTTTTCTATACACGTGACAACGATGGGAAATACAGAACGATTCGAATCACTTCGGATTCACGGTACGGCACGGCAAATAAATCAAGTGTTCTACGTTCGGTTTGAATTCTAGACGCTGCCTGCGCCTGGTTTTGTCCTTCCGGGTTGAGTCAAGTTTCCGAAACGGAACGAAACGTCTGGAGACGAATTGCACTTGTCAACTGTCCCATAAATTTCAGCGTCTTCTAATTTATGGCATAGTTTTTGAACCTTGAAATGGTATAAAAATGAATCGCATGCGAAATCACCTTTTTCTTAAATTAAAAAAAGATACGAAATATTTTAATATATTATTAAATATTTATATATATATTGTAATTTATATATTTATATATTTTAATATGTTATTAAATATTTTGAGACATACATATATATTTCTAACGTTGAGAACCAAAAAATTATAAATAGGAAAATGGGAAGGAATTCGTGGAGAGAAAAATACGAAATAAAACACAGGTGGAGCGAAACGTCAAAAGAAAAAGTGCATTCCCGACTCATAAATAATTAAAGCAGCTTTTTTAAATTTATAACATGGTTTTCGAATTTTAAAATGATATAAAAAATAGCTCGCATTTGAAAATTAAAAAGATGCGAAATATATTTATATGCGGAATAAAACACAGGTGGAGCGAAACGTCAAAAGAAAAAGTGCATTTTCGACTCATAAATAATTAAAGCAGCTTTTTTAATTTATAACATGTTTTTCGAATTTTAAAATGATATAAAAAATAGCTCGCATTTGAAAATTAAAAAGATGCGAAATATATTTATATGCGGAATAAAACACAGGTTGAGCGAAACGTCAAAAGAAAAAGTGCATTCCCGACTCATAAATAATTAAAGCAGCTTTTTTAAATTTATAACATGGTTTTCGAATTTTTAAAAATGATATAAAAAATAGCTCGCATTTGAAAATTAAAAAGATGCGAAATATATTTATATGCGGAATAAAACACAGGTTGAGCGAAACGTCAAAAGAAAAAGTGCATTTCCGACTCGTAAATAATTAAAGAAGCTTTTTTAAATTTATAACATGGTTTTCGAATTTTTTAAAAATGATATAAAAAACTAGCTCGCATTTGAAAATTAAAATAATGCGAAATATATTAATATACGGAATGAAACACAGGTGGAACGATGCGAAGGCGGTGAGGTGTTAGGAGGGAAAGGGGTGAATCGAGGGGGGTCGAAGGGGGAGGCCGTGTGTGACGGCATTCAGGTAGTAGCCAGGAGGCAACTTTCACGGGAATCTCGCGTTCCTTGTCTGTTTGTTTTTTTTTCTTTTAATTTCGTTTCTCCTGCTCTGAACGAGGAAGAGAGATGAGACTGGAGGAAGAGAAAAACACTTTCGAAAGGTCAGACTACGGCCTCCTTCAAAAATCGGACGACTCCGAGGCCGTTACTCGGACATTGTTTCTTCGGGATATCGTGATATCATCCGGTCGCCCGATTCTGGTATCCGAGCGTGAAAGCGTTCGTGATCCTTGTCCCCAATTTTCTGCCCTTCCAAATTCCTTATTTATTTTCAGATCGGTTTTTTCGGTCTTATATCTGTCATTCTCCCTTTCTCTCTTGTCGTTAAATTAAAGTGCTCTTGCTATATATAAAAATAAATTTGGCGAGAGAGAGAGAGAGTAAAAGTCGACGCACATGTCCGACTTTCAGTAGAAAAGTCAATAGCATTAATTAAGTTTTCTTGAACGAAAGAGAAAGAGAGAGGTGATCGATAATCAGGCGATAATAGACGCGCAATCGAGCGTGGAAATTACGTTTATATAACTCATATTACGTTTGCGGATAAAATCGCCGGTGCGTTTAATATATCGTTATCTATTATCTTCGGAGACTTCTATAATAATCGTTTATTATAAGGCCGATGCGCGAATAATCGATTCATTAAATTCGCGCAAGATTTATTAGTCCTCGACAAACTTCCCGGTTTGCCTCATCGAAACGATATGTTTCAAATATACATATATGCAATAAATGCGACAAATTTTAGATGATTTTTTGTCGAAAATGAAGGGGTCGAAATTTTTCCTCCGCGAATTTCTTCCCATTTTTCTATTTATAATTTTTTTGGTCTAAATATATAACATATTAATATATCTTCGTATTTATTTTTTTAATTTGCATGGCGAACCATTCTTTATATCATTTCAAAGTTCGACAATTATGTTATAAATTGAAAAAGCGGCTTTAATTATTTATGAGACAGAAGTGCATTTTTTCTTTTGACGTTTCTATACCTGTATTTTTTTCTCTCTACAAATTTCTTCCCATTTTCCTATTTATAATTTTCTTTTGGTCCTTAACATTAGAGATATGTTTTAAAATATTTAACATATTAATATATTTTGTACTATTTTATAACTTAAGAAAAAAGTTAATAAGTTTAAGGTCAAAAGTAACTGTGGTTGAAGTTAAAAATTTTTAAAATGAACTAAGCTAAGTTAAAAGTTATTAACTTTTTTTAAACTTTTAATTAATTAAAAACTTTTAACTAATTATCTAGTTATTAGCCAACCCTATGTATATGCATGCATATACATATGTATGTAAGATCGTCACGTGCGAGAAATGCATAAGGAAGAAACGAACGCGGGAGATTCCCGAAGATCTCATCCCACGAGTTTAAGGACGACGAGCTCGCGCGCGATCACGTGCATTCAGCCAATTCATTAGCAACATCGGAGATGCGCATCTCGACCGGAGAGGTCGAGGATCACTTTCACTGTCCCGGGTTTCCCGATCACCGGTTCCGCATGATCGCGCAATCTTCGTCGCCTTTGCGGAAATTCTCCGCGATTTATATATATATGTATATAGAGGAGATATGTCAGGATATTTTGAAATATTTTTATTAACATTTTTATTTAAGAGAATTAAAAATTTGAATTAACTATATTCTTATTCTAAATATAATTATTTTTTTTAGTTTATTTATATTTATTATTATTAATAATTTTTTGGATTTTTACCGCTTCAAGACACTTATAAGATTTTATTTATCTCTTTTACATTATGATTTTTAATAATTTTATTAAAAATCTTTAATTATATTGAAGATATAAAAAAATCATTAACTTACTCAACCCTGTATATTAATGATTTTTTAAAACTAACATTTAATTTAGTTAAGTTAAATTTTATGAACAAAAAATAAACTCAGTTAAAGTTAAGTTAATTTTAAATTAACTAAAGTTAAATCAAAAGTTAATTTTTAAAAAATATTATTTATATTAAATTAGAATTTTGTTTGTTAATTCTTTTAAAATATATAATACAAAGAAATTTTGATTTTTATATAGAAATATAAAAAGATCGGTTCAATAATAATTTTTAAATGAGATAAAAAATCATTAATATAATTAAAGATTTTTAATAAAATTATTAAAATTTATAATGCAAAAGAGATAAATAAAATCTTATAAGCGGTAAAAATCCTAAATTTAGAATAAGAATAGTTATATAATTAAAATTTTAAATTCTTTGAATAAAAATATTAATAAAAATATTTCAAAATAACCTGACATATATCCTTTACGCAAGATTCCCAGAGATTTCATCAAGATTTCTTATATATCAATTATTCCGGGGGCAACACAGGCACTTGCCCCCTGGAAAAAATTAAAAAAAAATAAATATATTGGTATAATAAATATTCCTGAATACTCCGAGTCATGCAGTTAATAAGGCTAATCGCTAATCGAGATCTAGAGAAATTCCAGCACCCAAGTTTTCGTTCTCTCACGGGAAAAAGGCATATATGAGAATGATTGCGCTTGATGGGAATTCTTCAGCACGTTCCGAAAGGCAGCCCGATAAAAATGCGATTATGCGACGTTCGCATGGGAGGCCACAGAACTGCAGAAACTTCACCTCCACCGCTTCCTCACCCAGGTGCATTTCTTACGTAAGGACACTCTCGGAGGATAGCACCGTGTGCCGGACTAATACGTAGGTGCGCGTCTCTGGACATAATATTATGGTCTTTCAGGATCTCTCTTTCTCTCTCTCTCTCTCTCTCTCTCTCTCTTCTCTCGCGAAGGAGCGAGAACTCTCTCGCGGGAACGTTAGATTGCAATTCGAGCGTGCCACATAATCCGAGAATACGATGGACCGCAGGATGACACGCGCGCGGTGAAAGGTGCCGAGAAATATTAACTATTATTTTATACGCGGCATTACTTATTTTCGCGTTATAGTGCTCGGCGAGAGCACGAGCGTACTCAAGAAGGCATTTGCTTCCCTCAAATCAGCACAAAATTAGCATGTGCTCCCCTTTTAAGTAAACACTGCAATTTATTTGCATATTTAATATTAAAAAATGAAAATAACAAAGTAACAAAAAATTAAATTTTAAAAAATTAAGAAAAATCATGATCCCCTCTGGAAAAAATCCTACAGAGGCCCATATAAATATACAAATTCAAATTTAAAAAAAGCGGATTAATAAAGACCAAATTAGGCACGACAAATTTGTTTTTAAATTCTTCTTTATTTAATTTAAACGTTTTCGGTCTTTTCTTTGGATCGATTAATAAAAAAATCAAGATGCATAAATTCTTTTAATCGATCAGCTGAAGATAGTACATAAGAGACTCCGAAAGGAGGTTTCAAATTAAATAGATGAATTTAAAAACAAGCCTAATGTATGAGTTTAGCTCTTATTAGATTTGAATATCCATTTCTACATCAAAGCCTCTTTGTTTTATTATGTAATACATGTAATAAATCAATAAAATATATAATAAATCATAATTATATATACATAACATCCTAAAATATAATATACAAAGTAAATCGTATGATTTACGATGAACGTAGAAAAAAGACTTTGTAAAATAAGATTATACTTGTATCGCAATATTAATCGAATGATTCATGATGAACGATCGCTTTGGACTTTCGACGATGCAAAGCAAAGACATATGGTATATATATATAAGCGAGTTCTAAGAGACATATTATCCCTCACAACGGCGATTAATTAAACGGCTATTATATTAATTATAATGTCCCGCATATTCAATCTCTGCTCGTTTCATTATCGGCGATTACCGTATAATGAAAAATAAGTGTAACCGCTGTGCGATGTGATCTCGCGCAATATGACAAAGCGATCGTTCGCGTGAGTAATGATATAGTGGTGGTAGCATAATAAGAGGCAACTATATTATTGCGTCACCCGCGCTCAAGTATGGTCAGGGCGAATGATCTCTTATTAACTCTTAGCTCGACATCTTATGTACATTGATTACGAATCTCGAAATAATTCGATTTTGTCATTTATTCGTTGTGAAACGAATGAAATGCTGCGAGAGACGAGGACCGAAGTTTGTATTCCAGTGCAAATTTAACGAAGATGTATTCCAAACTAATTGCTCTTATTCTCTACTGTACGTAATTTAATAAACTAACTGTAAAGTAACTTAGTGTGACGTGAGATATATATATATATATATATATATATATATATATATATATATATATATATTGATTTGTTCTTTGCTCTCGCTTACGATGTGACACACTTTTTTTGCCTCTGCTCCACTTATATAAATAAAAATATTTCGCCAAGAATAATACATGGAGAGAATTTTTCTTCATACTTTATTGCAAAATTTATTATAAATTTTATGTTTAATAATAAGTCAAAAATTACCATGCTGCATGTTAAAATAATAATCATATATATGAATGCTTAAGGTGAATTTTATGTTGCATTGTAAAATTATATAAAATATCTTATATATTGTTTATCATTTTTTCTTTGGCATCTATTTCCATTTAAAACACTCAAAGAATTGTAAGATTTTTTAAAAATGTAGTTTTTAATATATTTTACAATTATTAAAATGTTATTACCATATATGTATATATATATATTTTTTTTAATCAAATTAATTAAACGTACATGTTTTATATCTTATATGTGGTACATATGAATATTTTTTATTAATCAAAGAAGCTTATAGAATTGTCCCACAATTATCCTAAATTTCAGAATAAATTTTAAGAGAAAATTCTCTCTGTGCATACGCACACACTCTTCTTTAAATTAATTTATTAATATAATAAATAATTAATAAAAATGTAGCGCGAGGCGACTCGAGAGATTTAACAATTCTAAAATTATATTATATAAATATATAAATCTGTGAGAAGACGAAATATTTTTTTTTTAATTGAGCGCTCTTTTCGGAGTAAGAGGATGAATTTTGCAAGATCGCGGGAGAATCGTAGGTGGCTCATATACATATATGCATACGACATAAGGCACTTTGTGGCCTTTGCATTCGTGGAAACGTTTTCTTCGTACATACATATACATATATTACGTCACGAGCGGCACGTTAAAGTAGGTGACCAGCGGGGACGAATCCGAGAGATGAGACGAGAGACGCTACCGGGTGAAAGCATGGGGTCATCGTAAAGGCCAGGCAACGTGTTTTTAGCGTCCGATACATCGAATATCAGCTCACAATTACATGAAACTAACAGAGCGAGCGCGAGTTAAATTCAGTTAAACTCTTCGCGGCGGCCGAAAGTCGTCGTCGTCGGCGTCGTTTCCTCGCTCGAATCCTTTCCTTCGAACGGCGACATTTTACCGGAGCATGTTGCGCATTGCAACATATTCGCGTATTATTGCGAATACTACACACGTGTCATGTTTCCGCGCACCCGGGAATTATTATATGCATGAAATAACGCGGATGCTCTGCGAACGCTTTTTTCCCGCCTTTTTTTCGTTCGCGACGCAATCATCTCCGATCGATTCTTGTCATTTTTTTTAATTTAATTCATGTGTCTTGAATTAAATTGTACAATATTATAATAATATGAAAAATTTATATTTTTTTAAAAGAATTTCATATTTGTATTATTTTTTTTCTTATAAGAAAAATATAATTATAAATTTCTCATATTTATTATCTTATTGTACAATTTATAATTCAAGATACATGAATTAACTCTACAAGATATATATATATATATTTTACTGATAAAATTATGATTAAGTACACAAAATAAGAGATTAAAATAACATATGACAACATCGCTTTGACTTTTAATTATCGTTAATAATATATGTGTATTGATAATCATATAGATAACATTTTATTTTTAATTTCTCACGCAATAAAAAAATTACGTGTCCATCAATTAAGATTCTGATTATCAAGATTCAAAGTTGATAAACTTGAAATAATATATAAACATTGTTTACTCTAAATATTATTTTTATATAGTATATTAAAAAAAAAATTGTTCCGGAGTGTAAAAAAGAAACATAATAACATTTTTTAAATATATTAATTATATATAATATATTAATAATATAATATATAATAAAATGTTATTATATAAATTATATTCTTTTCGAAGATTTAATAAGCATGTAATTATATAAAGTGTGTCGCTTTAATTAGTTGATTAATTATGAAGAAATCTCTTATGTATAAGTGAAAGACTAAATATATAATTAATATAGAAAATCTTTTTTTTCTTTCATCCCAGAAATTTAACATATATACTTCCAATAATTATATAAATTTTACAATAATAATTAAATTGGAATAAATATTAATATTCAATGCTGCAATAATTCTCATGTTTATTTTTTCTAATTAGACAATATATATAGCTATTTTATTCTCTCTCTTTCTCTCTCTCTCTCTCTCTCTCTCTCTCTCTCTCTTCTCTTTCTTTTTCTCTCTTATTTTTATTTGTTTTCGTATAAACTATATATTATATATTTATTATTTAGTCAAACAAACTGCATCAAAATTTATACTTTTTAAGTTTAATTATTTAGTCTTTCTATGTTTATTTATAAAGAAATATGCCAAACATTACCTCGCACTTATTAATGTGGATGTACTTCATCGTTGATTTTGCGAAACGTCAATCTTGAATATATTTGACATCTCCCTGCTTTTCGAGAACAACGTAACACAAATGAAGACACATTTTATACCGAAAACTTAACTAATATTAGTCTAAAAAACGTAAATTGAGATCCGATAACTTAACGGACAAAATGAGATGATCCTGAATCAACAAGTTTGTCCCACGTGAAATTGGCCGCAAAACATGAGCGCGTCAGATTCCAAATCGCGGCGCGAGCGCCATCTAGCGGCGCGCGCTAGAACCACGTGAAGCTTTGACAGCTCGACGCGAGAGGCGCCTCGATCGCTCCGCGAGCCAATCAAATCGAAGAAGAAGAGGGAAGAGCGGGTGCCCTTCGGCCCGAGCACGGAAAATGGCGATTTGCGAGGTTGTTTGAAGCCTGAATTTTCGGTAAACACACTCAGCGAACTCGCAACTCGTTGGTTAAATGTGCCCTGAAAACCATGTAACGTCGACTGTGTGCGATGGCGAGCAAAGAGATAATCGGCCATCAGCAGCAGTTCGTTGAGGAAATCGATTATAATGAGATCGAAACTGAGCAGGTAGTTCTTCCAACGTATTCGTATTTCTCTCAATCGTCGTGATGTATTTCGTGAAAACGCGTTCCTCCTTAATTCGTTCGATAATATGTCGATTGCTGAACGAAACTTGTCTTGGATTTTTATCATTTTCACGGCGCAATTGATATATTAGCTAGATAACCTCAAATGAGAGAGATTGTGGTCCTATTAGTGATCATTGAGCCATTAAGAGTTATCTGGACTCTCCTTAGAGCAATTAACAGGATAATTTAATATTTTCAAAAAGAATAGAGAAAGGAGTGTCGAAAAAATCTTTTATATAAATACCAGTTGACAGCACAAAAAACAATATATAAAAAAAAGAAATCGTGGTCCTGCAGAGAGAATACATTCTTTCCAGCTAAACTGGCTGCACTAGTTTAGAATTTATCTCTTTCTTTCCAATGTGGAGTAAAAATGATAAACTCTGAACTGGGACAGTAATATATAACGATGCTTTTGCTTTTAACATCAATTAATTAATTGAGATTTGTTTTTAAACTATATTTGATAATCATAGGTAGTCGGCAAAGGTTCTTTTGGAGTCGTCTGGAAGGGAAGATGGAGAGGACAGGATGTCGCTGTGAAACACATAAACTCGGAAGGAGAAAGAAAAGCCTTTACTGTGGAAGTTCGACAGCTATCCAGAGTCGTTCATCCCAATATTGTTAAATTATATGGTGCATGTACCAAGAATCCAGTATGCTTGGTTATGGAGTATGCAGAAGGTGGATCATTGTATAATGGTAATATCTAATCTAGAAAAATCTATCGATTATCCATATAGTTATTATTTCAATGCAAATCAATTGTATCAAATTTTGTATGTACACTTACAGTACTACATTGTAATCCTCAACCACATTACACTACTAGTCATGCTATGAGTTGGGCTCTGCAATGTGCACGTGGTGTTGCGTATCTTCATAATATGAAGCCGAAACCATTGATACATAGGTAAAGATGATTAATTTTTGACTCTTGTGTCTTCTGAGAAACTAGAGGAAACTTTATTTTATTTTACAGAGACCTAAAGCCACCTAATCTGTTATTAGTCATGGGTGGACAGATGCTTAAGATCTGTGACTTTGGCACAGCCTGCGACTTACACACGTACATGACTAATAATAAAGGCTCAGCCGCATGGATGGCACCTGAGGTGTTTGAAGGCTCTAGGTATACAGAGAAGTGTGATGTATTTAGTTGGGGTATTATTTTGTGGGAGGTCTTAGCACGTCAAAAGCCCTTTGATGACATGGGTGGTGTCTCAGCCTTTAGGATAATGTGGGCTGTTCATGTAGGACAAAGACCTCCTTTAATAGAAGGATGTCCGAAACCACTCGAGAATCTTATGACTAGGTGAGAATTTTTAGTGATGCAACAGCATAGTTAATATGTTGTAAGATCAGTTATTAGATTAAAATTTATATAGATATTTGTACACAAAATAGATTTTTAATATTTGTAGATTGTTTACCAAAATAATGATATAATTGTAAAAATAATGTGCATAATTGTATTATAATATATAAAATAATTTATTTTTGTCTATATGTAATTTTGTTATATTTTTCAAGATGTTGGCAAAAAATACCTGAGGCAAGACCTTCTATGGACGAAGTAGTGAGGATAATGACCAAGCTGTCAGAATTTTTCAGTCATCATTTAGAACCTATTGAATATTCCTTAAGTATGTATATAACATATATTCATTATCTTAATTATATATATTATAAACGCGAATAATATGAAGTATTATTCCTTCAAATAATATTACACAAAAATATATATATATTTTTGTATTATAGGTAGCGAAGCTGATAACATAGATGAGGATCAAGCATCGAGGGAGGATACATTAGATGTAGCCAGTACATTAGATTCTCGCATGAACGGTTCCGTTGCAAACGGTACTATTTGTACAATTCCAAAACCCCTAGAGAAAGCTAACAAATGCTCCAGAGTAGAGAATTCATTGCCTTTTGCATTAAGTCAAGTAACGCCGTTCGGCGATACGCCAACGAATTTCTTGCCGCGGCAAAATAATTTAGGATTTCAACGAATACCTGACGAGTGTCCGGTACTAATATTGACTAACCATTTTCCTGGGAACGTGGATAGCAATTTAGAACACGCCAAATCGTCGATCTCTCAAAACGCAGCGGTACCGGCATATACCGACAAGTTCGATGCAACGCTGCAACGCAAAAATTGCAATTTTGCTCCATTACATGTGGAGTGTGATCCGGTTAGTGATTTAAATTGATAATCTGAGCTTAAATAATTTAATTTTTGTATTAATTTTATTTATACATTTTTCTTGTGTCATTCTTTTCTATGTAATATTTTTTCTATTTTTCTAAATCTATGTGTTATATTAAAATACTTAATTATTTCTGTTAAAGATAATATTTATACTATCGCATTTTTTCATGTTGCAGCATGCTTGGGATTTACCGAGTTCCTCTGACACATCTTGGGAAATTCCAAATAATATGGCCGGATTGGACAAAGTGGTTCAGAAAACGAAGAAAAATATTCAAAGTAAGTGTATTGTGTGGATTTGATTTGTCAAGAAGTGACACGAATATTTTCATATAATGTCGATTTACAAAGTGGGATTATTTCACGTAAAACAAATATTGCACATCAAATATAGAAGTTTTTTGAATTACAATTATTTTATATATAACAATTTTGGGAAATTTTTAAATTTTAAATTGTAAAGTATATCTTCGATTTTAACTGATTGACATTGCGTAAATATGATATTGTACAAGATTCATTTTCATTTAATTGCGAATGAGTAGGAAGAATTTCGCGGGACTTGTATTTGAATACGTACTCGAACCTTTCTCAGAATAGGTGTCGAAAAAAGATCGCAAAGAGGCTGCGGCACCAAACTGGCTGTCTATGCGAGACCTGTCTCTGTCGCGTTGACAAGGCACACTGCCAGAAAACATTAGAGAGAATTAGCAAGAATTATCTAGGCTTTATGCGACGATCGATGTATGAATTGTAACTACTGATATTAAAGTTGCGAGTCTCCAGATGTGTGACGGAACAAATCCAAGTATCAAGAAAACTAGAATTATATCTGATAATCAGATTCACAATACAATGATCGACTAGAAATATAGGATAGGAGACATCTGTAATGTTTTTTTCTATATAATTTATGCGAGAGAGAGAAAGATGTTAAGAAAAGAAGGTCCTAAAAAAAAAGTCCCAAAATCTCAGGTTCCAAGAATCTTTGCATAATTAATACGCGGAATAACGCGGGACATTAATGGCGCACAATGCCTGAACGCGAGCTGACACGCGTTTTGAGCTTACAGAGTAGCGCTTTGTGGTACACGAAGTAGATTATTTTCGGCCTAGAATACTAAGCACCGTGGCTGAGTCACCGGGCGCCTTCTTCGACTCCGGGTGTCTTCGTCTCCTCTCTCCCTCTCGTCTGCGTTGACTAACGCGCATAATGCGTTTATAAGCGTATCTGCGATTCGTCGTAATTATTATGCGCGCGCGCGAGCGATAATTATCCCATTATTACCGGGATATGGTGGAAATGGATTATTCATATATAGATAGAATAATATTTTCTTCTTTTTCGATCATTTATAATTTAATATATAGTTGTAATTGTATGCAATCCGAAAGATCTTTGCACACGAAGCTTGTAGACATTTATATTTATATGTCCACGTATATGAATGTCTCTACTGTTACATAGGAGAGTTAAAAGTATCTCCTCGCGCTATGATATATATATATATATATATATATATAAATAATGTACGGATGAAATTAATAGCGGTCGATCGGAAGGGCGGCAAGAAAGAAGAAACGAGCTCGACATGCTATATTCATCGAGGGTTCGTCGATCGGCGGAGTTTGCCGGTGTTACTCTGGCAAAGGGCCCGTGTAGCTGCAATAGCGAGTGCCGCGTGCACTAAATTTAACTGACGACTAATCGGTAGGACGTGTGACTCGCTTTTGATTGGCACGTTGCGACGGCGACGACGACGACGACGACGATGACGATGACGAAGAGGACGTGCGAGGAGCAAGAGGCGATTGTGGAAATAGCGGAAGAACGTTAGAGGGAGAAAGAGAAAGAGAGAGAGAGAGAGGGATAGAGAGGATGGAAGAAGACAAAGTGATATGCAAAGAGAGGAGGAGGAGGACGACGACAAGACGAGAGGATGAAGAAGAAGAAGAAAAAGAAGAAGTAGACACGAGATTCTCTCGAGGATGAATCAAGCTGCGAAGCGCGCTTTTGTTCTTGGCTCGTGTATACGAGCTCTCCGCGCGGTGTTCCTCGACGAGGAGCCCAGGGTGGGGGGTATTTAGAAGCAGGTGTGGCTGAGTCAGCATCCCCAATATAGACGTGCGTTTGTTTAGTAGAGAGCCGACTCCCTACGGACGAGCAACTCCCGTCGATCGCGCGGCTCGCCAAGCGCGCAATACGAGCTCGATTTTATCGAGGACACCTATCCGATCGATCCGACCGGGAATTGATCCCCGACTTCACCCGGCCATTCCCGGATCATTCCAATTCAAATTAGCCGTTATATTGTATTAGCGAGATCGCCGGTGAGATAGCAAGAATCCGGAGTCTCGTCGTCTCACCTGGACCCTTGTCTTACACGCCATCTCCCTGGAGATCTCCGAGAGCAACGAAGGAAGTATGCTGATGGGATCGGAGGACAATCGTGGACGTTAATACGTCGTCGGTGCGTGACTGCGGCTCGCGCGAGAGCGGCAGTTACCCAGGAAGATCATCGACATGTGCGACGACTACCCGGAGATCGTCGGCACCGACACTCTCAAGCGCTGCTGGGTCCTACTGCGTTAGTATAGTTTATTAGATTCTCCGGAGTCGTTTTACTCGATTGCTTCAAGTATTTAAGGAGGAAAACACGTTCTCTTCCTCTAATAGATTGGTAAGAGTAGGCGATAAGATAAGTGCGAGGATAAGAGTTTTTGATGGAATGCCATAGTCCTCTTTGCGATGAACGCGATATTAATATTCCGAAAGATGAGATGTCTAAGCCGCTCAGGCCATTTCCAATATCACTGGAAATAATCTGGCAATCTTATCGACAGTCTAATAAAGTCTAATGCGATGTCGTAGGTAGCAGCACCACGAGTGAAGACCTGGGCAATGTCTGTCGCCTTTTGGACGCCGACCTGAGGCCTCTGACGCCCGACGACACGTGCAAACGTTCGCGAGAGATCTTCGAGGAGCACAAGCAGATAGCGCAGGAGTACCTCAAGGTACAAACGGAGATTGCGTTGTTGAGCCAGCACAAGAACGAGATGTTGAAGAATCTGAGCATCGACAGTCTCAGGCAACAGCAGGAGCTGCAAAAGCTCGAAGATGAAAAGGTTTCTCTCTCCTTTTATTCTTTATATTCTCTACTATCGTCTCTTTTTTACAATTGTCCCTTCTGAAGAACCTCCTCGAGTTTTCCAGCTCCGAGAATAATTGCGATGACCGCGATAATTTACAGGAGTCGCTGCTGAAGCTGTGCCGCAACCTGCAGCGGCAACTGCAGATCATGAAGGATCAGAGGATCAAGGGAGCGTTGACAAACGCCGCCGCCGCTGCCGCAGCCACCGCCACGCCGACGATAGGACCAGCCGTTTCCGGAAACAACGGCTGGGTGGTGGTACCACGTCCGGACCCGTCGCGGCTTTCTTGAGGCTCGACGCGCGTTCAGCGAGGGTCTCGAATATGTACTTATATATCACGTTGTGGCGTTATCGGCCCGACGACGCGGTTGGTTGGAATCGTATACACGTTGTTGAAATTCCAATTCAATTTTATACGAATGCAAATCGCGCCGCTTACTACCGACGATAAAGTCGAGGCTACGCGAATATTATGATTATCTAGCGAAAGACGATCTGATTTTTATCACTGGACTGGATGTTCTGGATGTGGAGACTGTAATTGACTTCCGATCTCGCGTGATACCAGAAGGATTTCAGATAGACATTTCAGATATACAGGTACGCCTTTCATTAGATTTGTCTTACTTTTTTTTTAATCTTGCCAACGCGCATTTTTTATTCGCGCTGCAAGGTTTAGTGTGTAGGATTTTCTTATATGATAACGAAATTGATCAACATGGCAGCATGGAATTTTCCTATATGATAGCAGTATCTTTGAGAAGGCAATGGAAGATTATTTGCGTTTTGAAAGCCTCTCGGAGGCATTCTTGACGATATATAACGCAATCTAGTCGCTTCGACGATGACTCATGCAATTGAATCAAACTCTACATTTGGCTTACAAAGAATGCGTTGTACGATCTTTATTATGTAAGCTATTGCCTACCGATCGAAAATATTTTACACAGATTTTTCCATGCGATCTAATATAATGTATTCTAGAGAGAAGAATATTGCAAATCGGAGCAACGATCAACAAACATGGAAACATATAGATTATATTTGAATTTTATTTCCATGTACGATATATATACACATATATATCTGATTGAATTTATATTATCGTGTATCAGGAATATAGTCTGTATACGACTATAGTTATTACTTTTAGCCAATCGTATTGCAAAAAACGGATTAAAATTCGTTCTTATGTAAGATTTTTTTTCTTAATAATTGCTTTACTTAAATGCGAGATTGACATTTTCGGAGCAATTACAGGTCTAATAAATTGTAAAGATAAAGACGCTATTTAAGCGACAGTGAATTAATCGGGTGTGCAGAAGCATGTCTGAACGTTTTCTATTTTAATGAAACCGAGTAAGCGGCCGTCTGAGATGCAAAATAATTATCGGAACAAATTATTGTAAGATGTGTATCGGAAAAAAATAGAATGGAACGTCGAAAATTAGAGAATAGATGACAATCGTCGTTGATAATGTATCTTGAGTCTCTTCTTTTCAGCTGAATTGGCTGCACTAGTTCAGAATTTATCTGTAAGTCTGTTCTTTTTTGGCAACCTTTTTACTCCACATTGAAAGGAAAGAGATAAACTCTGAACTAGTGGTTAAACTAGTTTAAAGTTTATCTCAGGGGGTCGATTGTGTAACTTTTTTTAAAGTGGAAACGTGAAAAGTGAAAAGTTTCCGCCAATCACGCATTGATTTTAAAAGGAACTCGATGTGTGATTGGAAGAAATTTTCCACTTTTCACATTTTCACTTTAGAAAAAGTTACACAATCGACCCTCAGAAGGAATAATTTCCTTCTCCTCGTGACGTTTCCCTGACGCCACTGCCTCCTTTTTCCGTTGTTCTTCGAACTGAGCAATTAGATTTGGACAGTCTGGCTCGATTGGAATATCCCATTTAAGGAAATATTCCACTTTCCTCTTCAGCTGAAAAGAATAGACCTCTTGTCGCATCTTATCATCGAAAAGCCTTGATAGGAAATTGTTGCGCGTCAACAATTGAATAGTCAGAAAAACTCCATCTCGGGCTAATTTTCTTATTCACCGTTCCTATTTTAAATATTTATCTCAGGATCCCTTACCATATCCTTATTTCGTCTTCAAAAGAGAAGATGGAGACGTATGACAAAGTAATGATTAAATTCAAAGAGTTTATCGACGAGTTCCTTTCTGAGAATCTGTAAATTGTTTACATGAGCCTTATGTGAATACAATATGTATATATACAAATGTAAATATAATTTTGGAAGGTTGCAAGAGACTCTTTGACGCTTTCACAACACCTACAGCTGATCCCTCGCTTCGTGAGAGGAGGTGAAAAAATTCGCGCTCGAATTTACTAAATAAATTTACATGCGTAATTAGTAATTAGAGATTAATGAAATGTGCTATATATAAAAATGGATCATTTGATACTTTCATTCTTCAATTCAATTGCATGTCGAAGCTGTATTAGAAACCATGTATGAGAAATCCGGTCTCTATTTCGAATAATGCGAGTATCGAACTATATAATCAGATTATCGCGAGATGATTGTATTAGCGTGTGTACGTACAAGCTATATATATATATATATATATATATATATATATATATATATATATAATATGTGCGTATCATAACGATCTGACATGAAAACACGCGGATGCGGCTTCCGCAGTAAACTCGACGCAATAAGAGGCTACGCAGAACGAAGCCGGGATAGACGTATCGTCGACGGAGAGGATGTTGTACAACACCATCGGCGGAATCAATAAACCCGTCCTAGTCGTATCTCGGAACGAGGAGTAGAAAGGAAATGGGACGCGGCCGGTCAACCGGGGAAGCGGCAGGTGGAGAGACGAAGGAAGAGAGAGTGGGACGAGATAGTGAATGAAGAGAAGAGGACTGCAAGGAAGGGTATAATATGAATAGAGGTGTCGCGGATACGTGGGCGTGCGTTGGCTGAACGAGGAGGTCGGAGGTCGAAATTTTATGCTCCTGGAGGAAAAGAAAAACAGAGAGAGAGAGAGAGGACGGACGGAGATTATGAAACATGATTCGAGAGCATGATCCAGAATGGAAGAGGAGGGATAGGAAAAATAGCAGGTGGAATTGGCGAAACGGGAAAATATGTGCGCGCGCGCGTGGGCGCTCGACGAGGCAGAGGGAGGATGATTCTGAGGGAAGCAGTCCAGGGAGAGGGAGAGGACGCACGCCGAGGGAGAAGCTGAAGAAGGGATAGGGAAGATAGGCCGGAACTCTTTAGACGTCCACGGACCTGCCCGCGAGCCTCGTTCCCTCCCTTTAAGTTTCTCGCACGTTTTTTTCGCGCTCTATCATTTCTCTCTCTCTCTCTCTCTCTCTCTCTCTTTCCCGTTAGTTAGACCTCACCTTCTCCGTGCGGAGAGAATCCCCCGTAGCGAGGATCGCCCTACTCCAGGATGGCACACGCCGCCTCCGATGATATCAACGAGAAGAGCTACATCCTGGACGCGAGAAAGAATTTCGAGGACGTGAGTAAACTTCATTTTCACGCGAGATGTCTAGACCTCGTTCGGATGTGGTCTGCCACGTCGCCCGACTTTCGCTTCCGTGGAAACTATCGCAAAAAGAGCGACGGACGATTAAACGCACTGCAGGGAAAACAATATATCAATTTCAGGCTCTACTTCCTTCTTTGGCACGCAAACGCATGTTTGACAGATATCTCGGTTGCTCTATTAAATATAGATATAGCTGCACCGCATCCTGTCGTTCAATCCTGTACGCTCGTTTTAACGAAAGTCTACGTCGGAGAGTCCTGCATCTTTTTAACGATGTTAAAAAAATATTAAATTGTTACGTTAAAATGGTAAAACAAAGTAGTGAGAAAGTTATACAGCCGGCTCTTACCTCTTGCATCTACGACTTTCTCTACTCTGTCGATTTCATTGCGCTCTCTTATTGTTAAATTCGCGATTAAGCGCGGAGAGATCTTCGTTGTTTCACAATTCGCCTGATTTTTTTAATACCGCGATTTAATCGCGCAAACTGAACAAATGAAACGAAACAAAAAAAAACAATTATGAGTCTTCTATGAATGTGAATTTGATATTTGCAAGAGATTAGCACTTTAATTAAAGTTTTTGTCGGCGCGTCGAGAATAGAGAGGAGACATTCTTCTTCTCTCTCTCTCTTGACGATTCAATTTACCGTGAGAAATTTCCGCGATGACATTTCGTTCAATATCACAACTCATTTCAACTGTGATTTTCTCCGCAGGCTTCTCTGACGTCTCCCTTCTCATTATACAAATTTCTTGTGAATAGAGTGTTATCGTATCGGTCTATCTGAAACTGTCAATATCAGGATACTTATATGGGTGCACCCCATATATACCAATAAGTGTGTGCTGAACAAAGTAAAAGTACGAGCAAGATATAAGAAATCGCGCTTTAAATCGTTAAAAAATCGAATATTATATATTTTATACTCATTTATAGACTTAGGATATTTGTTACTTTTTTCATGTTCTACAAGAATATTAATAATGTGAACAAATTATGTTTTCAATTAATTAATATTAGTTGAAGATATTATAAATTTTTTTACATTATCAATGTGTGCCCTCGTAGAACGTGCAAAAAGTAATAAATATGCAATTTGCATATAATCTGAAGTCTACTTATTTACAATATTATAATATTTTTCGCAACTATCAGTTGACTTGTTCCGAAAATTCTCTTCGACAGGGCGGTAGTATTGCATCTGAAGAGTCCTATGATGACATGAGGCGATTAGTCGGGGTAAGAGAAATCTACATAATTTCACACTCCAATTTTTTTCATCTCATTTACTAAGATCACAGTTAATTAAGCCTCGCGTTCTCTCCTGAACGTCGCGCTATAATTTGTATTCGCTCTCATTGTGACTCATCACGCGATACAGTTCAGAGATTAACAGAAATTTCCACCGATCGACGTTTATTATTATTGACGTTCCAATAGATAGTCGACCGGCGAACGATGCACTTTCGATATTTGTCAATTTGTAGGATCATTGACCCCTATTACAAGACAGCACAACTTATCTACGCTATCGTACTCGGTTTTTTTCTCGCTTTTTTTAAGAGAATAAATATCGTTCCAAATTATTCCGCTAGTTAGGAATTATTTAGCTTGTATCTATGAGAGAAAAAGGGGTATAGTTTATAACAACCCGCGGCGCTTGACATATACGTATATAATACATATATAAATATATAGCTACACTTCGAAATGCCTTTTCGCGCTCGTATCATTAATATTCATCAGTCAGAAAATATAGGAACGTTATTATCGCGGAATATTCACGAGCGCCGCGCGAATATACGTGATATATGTTCTACCTAATTAACGTTGCACTGCATATACATCTATATTATAATATTCTCACGCTTAAATTATCGTAAACTATGCTATGATAATATCGACACGTGTCTGCGCAGGAGGAGGAGGAGGAGGAATCCGGTAAATTTAACAGCCTTCCGCTAGCCAGCTTCAACTTCATCAATTCCATCATCGGCAGCGGCGTGATCGGTAATAAATGAGCACCGAGTATATCCTGATCTGAAATTTATATCAAATATTTTATATTCATCCCTAACAGCGCAACATATCCGGAAGACGTTCAAAGGATATCCAGAAGACATCCGAACATTCTCTGGATGTCCTCTGAACATCTTTTGGATTTGTGTACTGTTAGGGATATTTCAGAAGAAAATAAAATAGAAGAACAGAGATTGAAATTTTGTTGTAAAATATCCCAGGTAGCAAACATATGTCATTTTGACGTCGAATAACGTCATTAAACGTCAAAATGACCTTATTTTGACGTTTAACGACGTCAGTTTGCTACTTAGAATTCGCGAAGCTTATCTTAGCTGCGTTTCTGAAAGTCAATGCGAATTTTTGTAGGTATACCATACGCTCTGCACCAGGCTGGCTTCGGTCTCGGCATCGTCCTGTTGATTCTGGTGGCAGTGTTGACCGACTACTCGTTGATTCTGATGGTGCGAAGCGGACACATCTGCGGCGAGATGAGTTATCAGGGTCTGATGCGAGCTAGCTTCGGTCGCACCGGATTCTATATCCTCACGGCATTGCAGTTCTTCTATCCCTTCATAGGTATGCCCAGCGACGTATTCTATTCCAGATGTGCTTCTTCCACTCTTATCGGTTTTTAACCGCTGCTATGGTGATTGCAGCTATGGTATCGTACAACGTCGTCGTCGGCGACACGGTCACGAAAGTCCTGATAAGGGTGACGGGGATAAACGAGACGAGCATCCTCGCGCATCGACAGGTCGTCATTCTTCTGGCGACCCTCGGCATCACCATCCCGCTCTGCTTATACAGAAACGTCGCGCGATTAGCGAAAATTTCCTTTCTCTCTCTGGTCTGCGTCGGATTCATCCTCCTCGCTATCTTCATCAGGATGGACACCATGTCCGCCATAGTGTAAGCGTGAGAGTAGTTTTCACTTGCCGAAAATGTAAAGGCGCGATTCCTCTCTCGTTGTAGAATCGCTGTATCCCGTTTATCATATATCCAGGCGTGATTGATTTGCAGTCCGAGTCAGAGCGACAGCTGGAGATTCGCCAATTTCCCGGGGGTCGTTCCGTCCGTGGGTATAATGGCGTTCGCCTTCATGTGCCACCACAACACCTTCCTAATTTACGGCTCGATCGAGCGAGCGACCCAACAAAAGTGGGACGTGGTGACGCATTGGTCCCTCTTCACGTCCTTCTTGATCGCCGCGATCTTCGGAGTCGTCGGCTACGCCACCTTTACCTCGTACGTACAGGGCGATCTTATGGAAAACTACTGCTGGGACGACGACCTGATGAACTTTGCCAGAGTCATGTTCAGTGGCACCATCCTGCTCACCTTCCCCATCGAATGCTTCGTTACTCGTGAGGTAAAACTTCTCTCTTCTTCTTCGCACATCTTGTTCCATTCCAGGTAGCAAACTGACGTCACTTTGACATTTAATGAACACAGCATGCATATTCAAAAGACGTTCAGAAGTACCCCGAAGATATCTTTAAGCGATAAGATGGGGTTTTTTGGTCCGATGAACTAAAAATTGCGCCAAAATATGACATTATTATACATCTCACATGGCTTTTCAGGTGCTCATGACCGCGATCAAGGGCACGGACGAGTTGGAGGGACATGAGGCGTACGTGCCGAATTCGGACCGCAAGTACCTGATACTCACCTTGACGATAGTAACCGCGACGTACCTGATCTCCATGTTGACGGATTGCCTGGGCGTCGTCCTCGAGCTGAACGGTATCCTCGCCGCGGTACCGCTCGCCTACATTCTTCCAGGTCTCTGCTACCTCAAGCTCGAGGAGGGTCCCGTTCTCTCGTCCAAGAAGCTGCCTGCGCTCGGTCTGATGACCGCCGGCATCCTGGCCGCCATCTCGGGCCTCCTGCTGCTGATAATCAACAGCAGCTCCGCCGGCAGCTGCTTCCACGGCAAGATTATGCCGTACTGCGTACTCAGCAACATGACGACGACGACGACGAGGACCCTGCAGTACGTTGACGCGACCACGATGTCCGCCGTTTTCAACACGGAGCTCCTCGCAGTCTAAGTGTAAAAGGAAAAACCTGTTAGTTTAGTCATAAGTCTGCCAAATTTTCGAATGAAAGTATATAGAGCGATTAAGTTCGCGCGTACAAATATATTGTATGTATATTTGCGCAACAATCGCCAGGATGCAATCGGTAATATTCATACACGGATATAAAATATTATAATGATATAGATGAAAAAAATTGTGATCATATACATAATTTTCCATGTGAAAATTATGAAACGCCAGACTTTGTACCAAGCTCCCAGAAAGAGGAGATTATTCAGTTTCGAAGCAGGATTTTATCCGTGAATGAATACACCGTTTAACGCGAGAATTATATATGATTACATTAAATGGAAGATAAAATTGCGCAAAGTATTTACAGAGAGTTTCAAAGAGAGTCCTGATCGACAAATCTTATATTACGAAGGTACTTTATGATGCACTTAATCTTGATGAAACATGGCGAGATTTGGGACACATTTATCAAAAAAATTAAACTTTATTATTTATGTTAATATTTAATTATTTAATTAATTTATTTGTTTCTTCGTATCTCCCAAAAGATTGGGAGATCATGCTTCGAATGCATATTCGCAATACGAAATCAATGCAATACAAAGGATTACAAGCGAGAAATCCGAAAATTGGCAATAGATCGTCCTTTCTGCCATTTGATGAAGTATATACTATAGTCCTCTGAATGTTCATCGTATTCAAATTTATCGAATTTATGATGGAGTAAAAAAATTATAATTTTTCAATATATTTACATAGTCGCGTGCACACAATGAGCTTGTGAGATAAATTTTGCTCGTAAAGAGACACCTGATTATTAATTTTCCGACGCACATTATTAGAGAGAGAGAGACAGAATTTTAACGTACCAATCGATGATTATTATCACACTTTCGAATATTATTATTATACCAATTGATAGACGCGGAAAATAGGATCCTTACGTCTAGTCTTAATTAACATTTCATGAAAGAATATCTTCGTGGTTATATTAATGCGCGAATTATTAAATAATAGTTATCTCGATTTAGATAATTGTGATTAGATAATTAATAGAGAGAAAGAAAGAAAAAGAGGGGGAACGTATAAGTTAAAAATCTCATTATATTTTTAAAAGAATGTTGATCAGATAAACCAGGGTTTATAAACAAGGATATATATGTATATGTATATACATATGACACACACATATACATACATCTGTATACACATACATGTATACATATTATATTTGTATTTTTCTCTTGATAAGGGACTAATAATATTGAATGTTGATAGTTGTGAGAGAACGTAAACAAATATTTTAAATGCTCACAAGTGATAATTATATAGTTGACGGCTTGAAAAAATGTATTGTATTATTTCATCTCCGAGAAATTTGCCTTATCTTGCCTAACAATTTATTTTCTTGGAGAAAAGAGAGGAATCATAACGTGTCGTCAATCGATTTTTAATCTTTTACGAGAATCAACCGATGGAATCCTATCTCTTTCGCGTGTATAAACTTTCTGAATACAATCAAATATATTGTTTACAACGTGAGTGAAATTGAAAGACTATGGAAAAACATAAAAACGATCGCGTATAAAATCTTCCGCTCGTACAATCATCGTTTAGACATTCTTTATTCATATTCTTGCTTGCAAAATTTCATTGAATCAAGATTCTACGGAAGATCGTGGAATATTTGCGTTTTTATAGCTTACAATTAGAGAAAAAAAGGGAGGAAAATAGAGAGAGAGTTGAAGTATCTATAATCAAAATAAAATCACACAAAGCCACAGTGAAAACGACACAATCACGAGGCGAAAGTAAGCTTCCGCTTCCTATAAATGACGCTTTACAAGAACTCACACAGATCAAAGACCACATGTAAGAGGAAAGTATTTACCGCATACTATAGGATTTAAGAATCAAACATGTTTACCTGTTTAGGAATATATTTGATGAATCTATATGAAGAAAGATTATGGAAAAAAGCCTATTTAGGATAAGACAAAATTATTAAAAAGAGTCTATATATATAAAGTTGATATATATATATATATTAAATATTAAATGAAAGAGGGATATACACCCCTCCCCCGTCCCTTTTGTCTCTCTTCTTCGGACAAAGGCGGAATATATATTATATGTATATTACCCGCCAATGAAAAAATACATAATATAATGTAAAGCGTGTAAAGAGACAAGAGGATATAAAGAGAGATCTGTATTTAAATTATATATATATATATATATATATATATATATATTATATATTTAAATTATATATATATATATATATATATATATATATATATATATTCATATATATTTATATGTGAATTCGTATGATACGCGTATATACATGCACATACACACGTCGTTCCGTGAAACGTTTGTAAGACAAATTATATGCCTCGTTGTGAGTGACAAGACGTGTTTTACGTATTATTACGCTTTAAGTAATCATTATATATGCATGTATGTGTGCGCGATGCATTCTTTGTACATTCTATGTATGTATACGTGTTTGGATAATTTTTAATCGTGGCGAAATAGGTGGAGCATGAGAGAGATGTGAATTTTATAAAACTTCTTCCGCCGTTCTTAAAATTTCGCGCTCGCTTTCAAGTTCTTCCTGTGTCGATCTCTGTCTTTTCAATGTTCGCTCGCACGTTTGACTTAAGAGTTCGATAAATAATTATATGGTTGTGAGCTTTTACGGTATACACTCGCCGCATATAGTAACATTAAAATTATCTTTATTGATTTAGATACTAAAGCAAGCGCGACTGCGTGTGAATGGATATGAGTGCATGTGCAATATGAATATACCTATATATTTATACGTATCATTTTTATAATATATTTCAAAGACGAGAGGACTCCAACTTCTCTATTTTTTTCGCTCGATTACCTCGTAATATTATCTTAAAAATATCCATAAAAGGTTTCCACCTTTAAAAATATTTCAAAATATAGAAGTGATTGAAGTGTCAAAGAACTTTTTACGGATATATTTATTGTTATTTTAATAATTGCTAAAAAAAGAGTTCGATTGTGCAATTAAAGATTAATGTTATTATTTTTTGCATTGCAAAAGATATAATATATAAAGTTAGTATCGAAAAAATGTTTCAAGTATCAATATTTGATATGCGAGAGAAAAAAGAGAAAGAGGAGGAAAATTTATTACAGACTTATGCAATCTCTTAACATTCGTAAATGCATTATTAATGACTATTTGCTGACGTTGAGTGAACTTTACACGCGGAGCAATCGTTAAAGATCGAGCGTAACATAAGAGTGTAATTTATTTATGTATGCAATATTAGTTCTACTCTATGTATGAGATAGTATATATGCGTATGTGTGTGTGTGTGATTTCATCACTGACTTAATATTTTTTGACGCGCAATCTTTGTTTCAACCTCATGTCATGTTTCCGGGAAACAGATTGAACAAAGTGTTTCGAAATGCAAGACTTACAAAAATGCGCGAAAGTTTCGTCTTTAATTAAATCATGTTTTTTCAAATTCCTTTCCACGCGCGTGAAAGCATAGAGAATGAATTTGCCGTATGAAGGAAAGTCGCGGGGAAGATCAGATTCAAATCGAATTAACAATTTCGTAAAAAAAAGAAGAAAATGTGCGTGCGTGCGAATGTGTGTATGTGTGTGTAAGAGTCATTATACCTTGTAAATGGCGATCTCGCGTTATTCCATCGTCTCGACGCGGGTCTTCCGACCATATTTATTCTGTGATAGATGATGCACGTGTTTTGCGAGGAATATATATGCGCGCATACCCGCCTATATATAATATATACGACGCTATATATATGATGTTACCTAAAGTATTATTTCGCGGAATAAAGGACAAATTTACGATTATAAACGAAGCAAAAAATCGTTTCCTCTGCGTACGCGTGTGCGCCCTTAAATATTTTCCCCTTTCATCTTCTATTTTTGGGCAACTGCAGCGGCAGCACATCGATTCAAGAATATAATCGGTGCTTTTCTCTCGATCGCGATGATTTATCACAGATTTTACCCGATAACGAGAGAGTAAAAGCGAGTGAAAGTGATTAGAGATATATTCTCGTGCGTTTCACCGCGCTTGAGTTTCCAGAGAAAGCGCCGGAGCCTTCTCCTCCTTCTCGCGATATATATCAAGTCGCCGATTCGATCTTTTGCGCCGAAATGACTGCGAGAGATTCACGAAAATCGCCGGAATAAAAATGACAGACTCACCGCGTTATATGGAATTTCTAGCGCGATCATCATACGATCGAGCGTTATTATTACTGACGTATTGTTACGCGATGACATGACAATAAGAGCGATAAAGCGACGAAAGTGAAAAAATCACCGTGACCTTGTCACAATCTGCGACGGCGCTGTACATACACCTTCTCGTTTCCCGCGCTCTCGATCGATTCGAGATACGAGAGTCGTGACGTCATCGCTTTCACCCCTGGCGCGTAATTCTCTATCTGCTTCAATTCATCGACCTACTTGGTTTCTCTCTCTGACGATCATTCAGTCTCGGTCTAATCATTTTATTAACAGCACAACATATCCAAATGACATTCAGAAGATATTCAGAGGACATCCGCGAAACGTCCGCAGGATTTTTTTCAGTAGGGGGCACAATTAATTTTTTTTCTTAATAAAAAAATTTGTTTATTTTATTTTCATTTTTTAATATTAAATATGCAAATAAATTTTAGTGTTCATTCAAAAGCATGTCTGAATATTTTTTAGACATGTGCTGTTAAATTCCGTTCAGAAGATATCCTCTGAATGTTTTATTATCGTATATATATATATGTGCTCTAATTAAGGGTTAGGTTGACAGCAAGAGAGAAGAAAAAAGAGAAAAAAAAGAAAGAAAGACTCACGTGAGTCGTCCCCGGGTCGTCAGTCGGCGTCTCGATAATTCGTGAGTAATAAATACTCGGCGACGTGTCACGTCGCGAGCGCCCGCAAGCCGTCCGTCTTCCCGCGCGCGGCGCCGAGCTGTCAGCTGTCAGCTGACAGCTGTCACATTGGCGCGTCGCGCGCAGCTGCGGCGCGTGGACCGCCACCACCGCCGCTGCGGCAACAACAACACAACGGTGGTGGACGACGAGGACGACGGGCAGTCGGTGGTGATAGTGGCGACGGTCGGTGGCGAAGGTTAATCACGGGCGTTCTCTGAAGCGGGAGCTCGACAACTCGCGTCGCGTCGATTAAGGGGTTACGTATACGGGAGGAGTTTAGTTTTAGTTTAGTACGCGCCGCGTCAACGACCAGAGCGGCCATGCTGCGAGTCTAGGAGAAGAATCGAGCAGTGCATCTGTGTATATCTTCGTTGTGCGTCGTCCTCTCGTCAACGTCATCCTCGTCGTTCCTCGAAGTCATGGAAAGCGAGACCTACAGCCCGGGCGGCCTGGCCAGGTTGTCGACGTTGCTGGGCGCCCAGGAGGCCGCGCTGCGTCTCCTCGTCTCCATTTTATTGGGTAATATATATATATATATATATATATATATATATATATATATACACATATATATCCGTTCTTCTGCTTCCCTCTTTCTTTTTTTCTCTTCCCTTTCGGAAATTCTATACACCCGGGAAAATCGATCCGAGTTCATTCATAAAACTTCGTTCTGTGGCTCGATCACCGGCGTGTGCTTCTTCCCTTTATCCCCTCCTTTTCTCCGGTATATCTGGCTTACTAGGGATTCCCTTCCGGTTGGAAAGGAGGGGGGTCACCCTCCGCGCGACGATGCTTGTATACGTGTCTGGCGCATACATTAGTAATGATAATCTATATAAACGTGGCGTTTTGCTGAAGGTTACTCACATCTATAATCGTTGTACTCTATATGTATTATGTACGGTTTTTTTCTCATTTTGCGCGTATCGCGCTATAAAGACTTGGGCCTTGGACGACGATGCCAGGAAAATCGTCCCATAATATATTATTCATATGCGTATATATGTGTATGAGTACGAAAATACTCGTAATTACCTAATTAATTCCGTACACACTCGTCAATTGACAGCTGCTAAGTTTTTGCTCAACAACGCGTGCGATTACACATTTATATATATTCACTGCTCCAGCTGTAAACACAAAGCGTGTACTCTGTGTACACACACAATTAAAGTGTGTGGGAGCAAAAAGCGTGCGTGTACTTGTTTGTTTGCCTTACGTAAGAGCCTCGTAGTTAGCAATATTTCACTGTCAACGAACAGGTGCAAAATCTATTTCGCGATAAAGCTGATAAAATCCGATATAAATTCATCTCTCTGTCTTTATAATGGAATTTTGTTCTATATATGTATAAGGACGCGCTTTGTACGGATAAATTACTATTTAAATTTAATACAGACAGATTTAATGACAGTTTGATCATAGATTTTCGATTTGCTTTTAATATGAAATTCTGAAGTACATTATTTGCATGTAAATTACTCTCGCGTTTATTGCGTTCTTTTGATATTTTATCTCGTAAAAAATTGAAAAAGCTAGTTATCTTATATGTTTTATGATTAATAATCAGTGTAGAGAAACTCATGATTTTGTGTTAATTACTTTAAAATTTTACGCTAATGAAACCTGATTGTATCTTAATCTCTTTTTTTCTCTCTCTTTCATGAGATTAATTCTAAATTATTTTGATGATTGTTGCTATTCCTATATGATAATATTTTGTATTTTGCTTCATAACAAAAACATATATTTTATCATATGCATACATTATAAATTATAAGCGTGTTTTTGTATGACTTATTATTCATATAGTTGAACTTTTTATTCTTAATTAGAATCAATATATAATCAATAATATAATCAATATAAATATCTATAATTATAATATAATAATATTATTATAAATAATAGTAATAAAATTTTAATAAATATATAATAATATTATAATAAATTATAATAATATGATCAATTATAAAAATAATATGAGAATAAAAAATTAATTATTTAAAAATTAGAAAGCTAAAAAATATATGAGATAATAAAAAAATTCTGCTTTCAGGATTTCCGGTTGCTCTCCTTCACAGATACACGCTCTACGGAAAGGATCCCATTCGTCAGCACTTATTTTTCATAGCGTGCGGTCTCTCAATTGGATACTGGAATTACGGTAATTCTCTCTCGAACTGAATATCTCAATTTACGAAGAATAAAAAAAAGCGGCGGCGCGTGCGTGCGTTCGTCTATTTTTTATAACGGAAATGTAACTTTCATTGTACATATATACTTATTTCCTCTCTCTTTTCGCAGATTGGAACATACTTCATTCATCAACGGCGGTATGTGGGACGTATCTGATCTTGACGATGCTCGGCAGTACCGGATTATTCGTTATCGTGACGTTTCTCTTCAACATGTCATATTTACTTTATGGTAAAGCAATGTAAACTTTAGACACAAGCGTCGTTCCAGCCAACGTTAAGAGTCTAATTATGCTTACGAAGTAAAAAATTAAACCGGTTTACGAATGCATCCACATATATCTATACTTAGATAACCGAGCTATTTATATTTACCTAACTCTTGAGCTATCTATCGAACGCGGTAGACACAATATCAACGTTTAACTAAAATAACGTTGAGTACGTGATTCAAGGTTTTTCTGAACAATTATCTCGCTAGTTAAACGATAAATGTTTCTTTTATGCGTTTTTTATTGTCGTATTGCGATGATACCTTGGACTGTTTGAAAAACACATCTTATATAAAAAATTCATTTTTTTGATTTGTCGCGTAATCATTTATTGAAATATTGTGTACTCTTGATGTACGTGAATGGTTTTGCGTAAATGGGTTTTTTTTCGAACGTTACAAAAAATTTGAACGAGAAATTTTATTTTTTTTCAAGGCTATTACACAACCAGCACCCAGGATTATGACATAAAATGGACAATGCCGCAATGCGTGCTGACCCTTAGGTTAATAGGACTTGCATTTAATTTATGGGATGGTAAAAAACCTGATGTACGAACTATTTCTTTTGAATAATTCCCAAGTAGCAAACTGACGTCATGAAACGTCAAAATGAGATCAGTTTGCTACTTGGCTGTTATCTTACGCGGGCGTGTAACGCAATTAATGGGACGAATATATTGCAGAAGGAGCTGTCCAGTAGCCAGAAAGAGGTGGCCTTGAAGGAACGACCGTCGCTACTGGAAATCGCAGCGTATGCTTATTTCCCAGGTGCCTTCCTTATCGGGCCGCAATTCAGTATGCGACGATACCTGGATTACGTCAGTGGCAGATTTTCCGAGCGCGTGCGTTGAATTTTAATGAAAACGATACGGCAATTATCTCTCGAATAATAAGTAACGCTCTCTCTTGTATTTTAGGATCCCGTGACCGGCGCCGTCAAGCTGCCAGATTGTGTGTCGGCCGGACTGCTGCGAGCCTTCGTCGGATTTATATACGTGGCGATATTCCAGATCGGGACGGTCTACGTTTCCGATCAGTATCTCTTCGAGCCGTCATTCCAGAAATTGAATCTGATAAAAAAATGTTTGCTCATCGGCCTGTGGGGCCGGATCAATCTCTACAAATACGTCAGCGTCTGGTTAATCACAGAAGGGGTACGTGACTTTTGCGCTTGCATCTTTCCTGTTGACATAATTGTCTGTAACATATACGTGTGTCTTAACGTTATTTCGTGATTTCAGGTGTGCATTACTTTCGGTCTGACTCACAATGGAAAAGACTCCCAGGGCCACGTGAAATGGGACGGCTGCGCGAACGTTAAACTGCGAATGTTTGAAACCTGCACGCAATTCAATCATTATATCCTCTCGTTTAATATAAACACCAATCATTGGTGCGCGGAGTACATCTACAAGAGGCTAAGGTTCCTGGGTTCAAAGATATACAGCCAAATAATAACGTTGTTCTTCCTCGCTCTCTGGCATGGTTTTCACTCCGGATACTATCACTGTTTCTTCATGGAATTTGTCATCATGTACTTTGAACGAAAGGTAAGTATGTGAGCTCATTGAAATTCAATTCGAGTATTTATTTGGCTTTACTGACTCACTTCCCGTTTTCTTTCTCTCTCTTTCTTCCAGTTCGAACCGATGTTGCAAAACAGCGAGAAGGTGCAGACGTTGCTAAAAACTCGATGGGAAGCACGTATACTCGCTTGGATCTTTCTGAAGCTTTACACTTTCGTTTTCATGGGGTATTGCCTCATATCGTTCGTACTTCTTTCGTATTCACGATATAATCAAGTCTACGCAAGTATTTATTATTGCGGACACGTGTTCTTCCTCTTCTCTGCGTTACTCGCGCCGTATATTAAACGATTGCTCTGCGAAAGGAACGAGCGCGAACGATCGCACCAAGAATAAGATCCCACAATCTCGCTCGCTTCCGATTCTCTTATTCTTGTTGTCGCGAATTGAAATATCCGAGTGAAAGCACTGGATGAACGCTGGTGTACTAGTTATACTAGTCTTCAAATTTTAAAAAAAGAATGTGATAGTGCATATCCAACCGAAAATAGGATATTATATATACATATATATATAGAGCACACATTATCATCACTATCGCCTTTCACAATACTTGAGAATTCTCTAAAACATAAATGCCGAATTTCTCCGTCACTTGACTATCTCGATAATCAAGTTTTACAAGCAACAAATTTCCTTCAGTAGTAATCCTGTAATGATCGTTTGAACGAAATAGTACGATAGTGTTGGAATGTTAATCCTGTATAAATGAAAATGATACTGCTAAGGAAGTTTCCATTTACAAATGAACGAGTTAACTTTAGACAAAGATTCCGCTGGTCGGGAATTTTGTGGATCTCTGTTATTTCGAAATTTGTAACTTCTTAACCTTATACAACACACAAATTTTGAAAGTCCCAATAATAATTCTAGATATTTTAGTATTGTTTTCATGCAACAATATATATGTGTTCTCGTATCTTCAATCTTGTACGTAGCGTATTCGATTGATGAAAAGTTTTGCTCACTTGTAAATATTTCATCGATAATCATCCGCGGAGATATTGCAATTAAGAAAGAAAAAATACATCGTTCTACATCCTTTTAATAATAAGAACGATTACAATCGTAATTGCGGTGTCGAGTGTCAATATTCCTGAAAGACTCGAAGGAGAAAGCAATTTATGTATTTAGATATTGCAATAAGAACGTCCACTCGTGAAAAGATAGATTGCGTCGCAAAGGATATCAGAGGGGATATAATACCGTAATTTTGTAAGTGCGAAAGTAGCTATGTAACACGCAGAAGAAAAAAAACGACGTAGATCAGTAATCTTCGGATACGCGTTCCTCATCTGGTGCGCGCGATTGAAATATCTATTTTACCGTAGTGCTGCATTATATCAATACCAATTTGAAAATACAATTTAACTGCGATTTTCGCTGTAGAGATGTAAATACACACACACATACATACAAGGATGATAGATTAAAATTGACTCTAGTCGAGTATGTATAGGGTACATACCTTGCAGTACACGTGTTTCTTTAGATCAATATAAAGTAAGGATTGAGAAGCGATTTTCGATCTAATGTATTCGCAGTTATTTTTTTAGATAAAAATCTAACAACGATCTACCTATCTATATCCATGTTGCGATAGCCCTGCGGCTCTCATTACGCACATATAGCCCTTACCATCGAAATTTAAAAATATAGAGTTACCAATATCCAATATTTATATATATACACACACATATGTATATGTACATATATATATATATATATATATATATATATATATATATATGAATGGAAAGTGCCCGGATACGATGATATATCTTGCGCGATCGCTCGATCTTGCATCGTTCGTACTTAGAAGCGATCAAATTATAGATCGACGACAAATAATTCGTAGTATATTTCGCCTAACAGTCTCTTAATTTATCGATCAAAGATGTTTCTGAGATAGTCGCGCGTACAGGTTTACACAGAGTTTTAGATACTTGGTTTGAAAATAAAAGAAATTATATATAATATATATATATAAAATATTATATATATATATATATATAATACATATATTATATAATATATATATATATATATATATATATATAATTATATATATATATTATATTATATTATATATATATATATTATATTATATAATATATATTATATATATTATATATAGGACGCATAGCAGTCAGAAATTGTATACACGTTTGACGATAGCGTTTATTAGAATTGAAACTAATAGAAAACAATTTAAAACTGACTTTCTCAATACAAGATCCTCATCTAGTTAATAAGCGCGATATCGCATTAATTTTGACAGTATTATATAAGAATCTGATACTTGCTGCTGATACTTAACGCTTAAATACGAAACTCTAAGCACACTCTGTTGCATATTTTTGCGAATATCTTATCTGGGAATTTTATATTTGTTTTTTGTTTTGTGTGAAGATTCCTTTATCGTTATGGCAAATTGTCGCGAATTTAGTCAATAATTTTGCGAGCGACATACACATTCCCGAATGATTTTCGAGATGCACTTGCAATATTGTTCAAAATAAAAGAAAAGAAGAAAGTAGTTAGCGGGATAGGATTTGCGAGTGCGATCTACATCTATTGACTATGTTTTGATTCTGTACTGTATCATTAAGAGAAGCTTGACGTGGATTGTAAGAGACAAAGGATAAGAAGAGAGAAAGGCGTTACGCACGAGGTGATTACATGTAATAATACTGACAATGAAAGTTGATATAAAAAATGTATATTTACGATTATTTTCTTAAAAGATACGAAAGAAACATCGACGTCTCGTATATACTAGTATATGAAATGATTTGTCTTGCATCTCTCTTTTTAAGAGAAGAAGAGAGACACGAGCTCTCTTTTTCTCTCGATCATATTCGATACTCGGCCAGTTATATTATCAGAGAATCACGTATATATACAGATATCTATATGTGCGTGCGAGTAAAAAACGCAACACGAAGACGCCCGCCTCTTAAGCATCTTTTAAAAAACACACAATGCGATCTATCTTACGAGATACACAGACGATATATATATACATCTCCTACAGTTATTAAGATCCAAGTGTATCCGGATATCCGGATTCACGGCCGCGTCATTGTGAGAAGTAAAAATGTGATCGAGAATAGAGAAACCACCTCCGAGAGTCGAAGGCGGCCGAGTTTTTTGAAGATTCTCGATTAATTCTTCACGACAAATTTAATACGGCCCACTGGGACCCGGATGCGGTGCTCCATAACTGTCGATAGGTTGTCCAGGTTGTTGTCCGGGTGGACCGTATTCGCCGCCCCCTGTTTCCTTCTGTAATGCGTAAAAATAAAAAAATATGTAAAGGGATAAAAAGAGAAAGAGACGGAGGGTGAAAGACTAAACGATATATGTATATGTACACGCGTAAAATATTTTTTCTACTCGTAGATCCTCGTGACCTTTTCCGCGATTGCAATTTGAATAGAATTCGGTGAATAGTTTCTCTCGCGTAATTTAAATCTCATCGGTACATGTAGCTCGAAGCAATTTAAAAGCCAAGACAGAGAGAGAGAGAGAGAAAAAGAGATCTCCCTCTCGGTAGCTGATTGATGCTGTAAAAAAATATTCCTCGGTCGATTCACTTCGCTAAGCGGAATGCGTAATAATATAATTAGATATTTTCTTTGCCAACAAAGAACTCTCGGTGCAGCCGATGAGCATGCGCGGTATAATTATAATAGTTGCATCTCTCTGAGATTTTGTTCTAGAAATTTTCAACGAGTATCATTATAACTGAAAGAGAGGAGAAACTTTCCACAATTATTCAAATCGCCAATATGGCAATTACCTTGACAATTTTTTACACGTCGATGAATGATTCGCGATCGGATTAACTATAAGCGTTAAATACTCGCTAAAATATATGACGTGTGGATATCATATAGCTTCTATATAACGTCTACACAAAAATATAAAAATTACGTCGCCTCGTTCGTTTTATCATTCAAATGAGCAATTTACATTCCGTGAGCGAGGCGCCACACTTTTCTCTTTCGTTATTGGGACATTCCGAGGAATCCGCGGAGATATGTTCGAGACTCGATAGAAGACTCGCTTTAATAACGCTTTATTTATTATTAAATATATATTTAATTAATTTAATATATTAAAATATTTAATATTTAATTTAAAATAAATTTTATATATTTAATATATTAAAATATTTAAAATATTAAATATTTAATATATATTATATATATTTATATATTAATATATATTATATTATATATATATATATACTTAATATATTAAATATTTAATATATACATATATATATTAAAAATAAAATGTGCAATATTTTCAGTCGTTTAAAAAATTACATAATAAATTGTTTTCTGCTCTCCTTCCAGAGTCAGTTATACAATAAACGCGGAAAAATGCAACCGCGAATTACGCGTAGAGAAAAGAAAAAAAAAGTAACATTACCTGAGTCTTATAGCGGATGAAGTAGACCTCGGGCTTGCTGGGCTGCGTTGGCGCCTGCGTCGGAAGTATGACGTCGGGCGCCTCTTCCGGCTTCTTGACGAGCACGTAGATCAACGTCTTCTCCTCGTCCGGCTGCGGCAGCGGCGGCAATTGCGGCGCGGTCGGCGTAGGCGGCGTCGGCGCCTTGATGAAGACGATCTTGTAGTGCTTCTGCGGCGGCTGCGGCAACGGCACGTGCTTCGGCGCCTTGTACTCGGGCGCTTCCGGTGGCGGCACGTGGACGTACACGTGCTTGTGGATCACCGGATTCTGCTGCGGCGGTCCATAACGGTCCGCGGGTGGCCCGTAGCTTCCGGACACGCCACCGCCACCACCCCCACCGGAGGGTGGAAAGTACGAGCTCACCGGCGGCTCCGGCGCCGGTTTCGCGAGCACCAGCGCGATCGACGAGCAGACGACCACGAAAATCGTACCCTAAAAAAATATCAATATATATTCGACATCATTTGTTGTTTCATTAAATAGTATAATTAATCGTTTATTAATTTTATATAGTGGGATATTAATTTGTTACGCGAGTTATCGCGAAGCGTAATATGATGAATTATTAATAATTGTTAATTAGGTATTTATTACATATTGTTATATATTTATTATAATTGTTAATTATATAACTCTTATGTACAGGATGTTTCTAAAATTTTTGTTGAAAATTAAGGGATATCTCATACCTCACGAAAAGGAGAGGTAAAAATTAGGTTTTTAATATTTGGACAAGTTAAAAAGATAAAATTTGATGGATATTTTTATTAGTAAAAAGAATATTTAATTTTTTTTTTAATCTTTCCGCATCGTTCTAAGGGGATGAAACTAACAACCCTTATCCAATTTTTTATTAGAACTTTTTAACGGACCGGAATGCGATCATGTAAAAATATGCGTTATAGAAAGCTTGATTTCTTTAGAAACTTTTTGATTTGTTTTTCGTAAAATCCACAATTTAAAAAAAAAAAAAAACTTATTCTTCAGGGAGGGATATATAAAAGTATATGTATATATAAAAAATCCCCTTAATTTTCGACAAAGAATCATCTCTTAAAATTTGTCGCACTTATTTCAAAATACCCTGTATATATCTATATATAATTTGTGTTAAATGCATTAATTTATTAAATAATTATTAATAAACAGTTTATTAATAATTTATCATATTAGCGAATGTATTATATGCTTTTTGACTCGCGTATAATGTAAGATATGTATATATACTAAATAGTATGTAATGTGTATGTACATATATATACATATATAATGTGTGTACGTATAAATTATCGTCCGTGAATGGGTGAAATATGTGCGCGCGAAACCATGTCGTTTGTTAGGGGACTAATTTGCAATGGATATTTCTTCATTCGCGCGATCCATCACTATATCAACGATTCATCCGCAAACCGCGACTTGTCGCGCGATGACTTTTGACTCCCGAGGAATCGCGTAATCATTGTACAACATATTTCTCGATAAAGGATGAGATTTCTCGAAATTGCGCGATACTTTCTCGCGTAATCGAATGTAAGAAACTCATTAGCGAGTTGAATACATTTTTCAAGGAGCCGATTTCGCGCGCAAATCGGTTCCTTCGAGGTTCCTGGCTTCTCGCCGCGGTCATGTCAGATTGTGACGTCAGAGGCGAGAAAATACACGCTGAAAATTCCTGCGTGCCATTTTGACGTGAAAAGATATGTTTTAATGAAACGACACTACAAATCTCTTTGGCACACTTGCAAAATAGTCTGAAAATTAATTTTTTCCCTTGACAGTCAATCAACAACCGTAAAATGATCGTGATCTTAGGACTTTCTCATGTGCAAAGACCAGTCATTTTACAGCTGTGATTCATTATAAAGGGAGAAAAAGATAGTTTTCGGACTATTTTAAAAATACGCTAAAGTACTGTTTCATCGAAATACATATCCTTTTACATAAAAATGACGCGCGAGAATTTTTCTCGTCTCTGACGTCACAATTCCAACATGATCAGCGAGGAACCAGTTCAATCTCTCTTATCTTTTCACCGTGGGGGAACGTGTGGGAGAGCGTTACGATCTTAGAATAGCATTTTCCATTCCCACATTTCCCGGTCGAGGCATGTATATATATTATCGCGGAAGAAGCGAAGAAGAGATACGATACGCTCTTCTCTTATGTGTCGCACGTCAATGTACGCGCGATAAAACTCGGGGGGCCTCGCTCGAGCGAAGCTTCCTACTCACTTAACGACCCGCGATCGTTTAATCATGCTTTAGAACGGTCGGCGGTGTCGGGAGAACTTTTGAGAGCAAGGAGCGGAGAGTTGCTTTCGCTATTTTCCTAGGTGGTATAATTATCAAGACCGTGTCGGTGAATAAGCGGGTGAGGAGGAGGCGGGAGGATCCCCTTTTACTTTTACACTGTGGTTGCGAATCCGCGGGATTCATATATATATATACACTTGATGCGCTTTTTCTCTCTCTCTCGGGAAAAACGCACCAGGTCACTTTCCATCGCCTAAAAGAAAGAAAGAAAAAAAAAGAAAAAGAAGCAGACGCCCGGTCACTGGAACCGATGATGTAAACGCGCGAGTAGATCTGTATTACTCGAGACACGAGTAGAAAGCGAATGTCTTTCGAAGATAATGTTTTAATGCGTAAATTTGTCGATCCCTTTTTTATCGACGCGGTAAAAAAAATTGTAAATAAATCAGAAAGAGAGAGAAAAAATGCAAGAGATGCGAATGTATCGGCGCGATTTCGCAAGGACGAACCGAAAGTTACTCTCGTTAAATGCACCTGGTCACTCGATTACTCGGTAAGAGGATTGCGCCAATCAAACTTTAAACTTATATTATATAGCAACCGGTTTCGAGTGTTCCCTAAGAGAGACGTATTTGTTTAATCTTCGAAGAGTGCGCTTCGAATATATAAATATAATATGTGATGGTTCTGACTCGATCAAATTATACCCTCGTTCTCGCAGATAAATATTACGTAGCCGTCGTAAAATATACCTTTTTTATCACATGATCGACGTGAGCAGTCGTAAAAGTAACATGCGTGCATTATGTAGCGTGAAATTTATAATATTATCTTTTATTGCGCTCTTAATCCCTAACATCAGAGGCTACCCAGGGATGCTATTGCGATTGCGTTTTTTTTCAGTATATCATCTCGCGTTTTAAAGAATATTATAGATATGATCGACGAGAAAAATGTCAATCTAATTTTATTTCTCGAGAGTGATTCGTTTCCTTAACTTATTCAGAGGATGTTTGGATGTCCTTTGGATGTCTTTGGATATGCGTACCGTTAGGGAAACGAGAAACGAATCACTTTCGAGAAATAAAATTAGATTAAAATTCTTCTCGACGATCTACATATTTATAATATTTCTTAAAACGCGAGATGATATCGAAAAAAAAAACGCAATAGCATCCCTCGGCGACCCCCCAAAGCTTAGTATCGAGTAATAATTAAAGTTGATCGCGTTTACTTACTGCGGCGGTCCGCATTTCTCCCAAGTGTGTATTCGGATATAATATTCAGGTGGTAACTCCCGAAATGTGAGGCACGTAGAAAAAGAGGAACGTGTCGAGAGCGGGCGGCGTTTTCACTTGCGGAGCTTTCACGCGTGTGGCGTGCGGTTGAGGCTCTTCCGAACTTTTATAGAGGCCACCGAGAGGGATACCTACCAGCCTACCTACGGAAAAGGAAGGCACAGGAAGGTGGATACGCGGTGGTACGTCTCCAACACCATCATCATCGTCGTCGTCATCGTCATCGTTACGAGCTCTGCGGGCCCTCTCTTTAGAGGGTTCGACTCCTCTTTCGCATCATCATCATCATCATCATCATCCGCCGTCTCCTTCTCGGCGCCGAGCTCTCGACCCGGCACATCGAACAGACGTACGTCTTATCCACGAGGTGCGACACGGCATGGAGAAAATGAAAGTACTCGAGATGAAGATTCATCGTCCCGCGGAACAATTTGCCGCCTAGCTCTGACGTCGCTTGACCGAGATTTTTCTTCCTGTATATATATATATATATATATATCATCGAGATGAAAGTCAATTTTCTCACGACGATTATCGATGATCAATCCGATCCTGGGGTGTCTTGCGTGCGCATCTGAAAATTCAATCATTGAATTATACACTGACAAAATTGTGTTCTTATTTTTTTTTTTAATTTTCTATTTTTTATTTTAAACGCCCCATTCTCAAAAGAATTCTCTTAGCTTAAGATGGGAATTTTTTCAAGATTTTATTAAAAAATCTAATTTATATAGAATATAAGTATATACTACTACACAGAGAATTTTTTCTTAGAATTTACCCTGATCTTATTGTGATAGATATTAATATTTTTAGTGTGATAAATATTTTAATCAGAGAAACTCTTACAAAATATATTATCCCTCGACTACCATGATTTTCAGCGGAAATTCTAATAAGGGAAAATTCTCTTCGTCTATAAATTTATAAAAGTCTAGTTTATATAAAAATGTATTCTTACATTAACAAGAAAGTATATTATTTCATAGCACACATCAAAGAAAGCTAGACATATAGATCGACCATAAAGGACGAGACCTGGGTCTTGAACGATTTAATTGGGTTACATATTATTTATTCGTGAACACTTCCTTTAAATCGTTCAAGCGTTTTCTTTTTTGATTTATTATAATTTCATACATTCTTCTAATAAATTAAAATCATTCAGTGACAAACACTGCAGTGCATAATAAATTACAACACTATATTACCATATATGTTGCTGTAACAATATGATAATATAATGCCAAATAAATCCGTAAAAACGACTATTACGACATTAACAAAAAATATATTCTTAGTTTTAAGAACACTTGATATGTTAAGAGAAATTTTGCAACATATAATCCTCTTACTTTGAGAATACATTTTTTTTATAGAACTAACTTAATGATTTAGAACACGCTCGCAAAACGTCAAATTTTTTTATTTCAACTCGGGCATGATAAATGTGTTTCGCAAAAGTAAAAGCTATACCACATTTCTCGTATTTAGTCGATTTAAAATTAAAATCGACAAATGAAAAATACCTATACAAAACTCACCACCGATCGTTTCGTTCTTTAATCTCGGAGTTCTCAGAGCAATTACGTCGGACAATATAAATTCTAATACTCCATTCACCAAGAGGGAATGCAAAATAATGATTGAGGAAACTGTGCGAGCGAGTTTCAAACGCGAATTTAAAACGAAGAAATATAAAACGGTGAGATTTTTGCGCGCAAATGAAAATAATAGTATATATCGTCCTGGGGAAGATGATGCTGGAATATTTTTCACTTTCTTCCTCGTCCCCGAGAGACAGACGCCAGGTTACCGCATACTCTACACGCATTACGTAAAATGCGTGAAAAGGTATTTCTGGACGACACCGTGGGCTAATAAAAAGCTATATTTTACTATCGATTAAATATCCGATTAACTCGATATATAGGTGCCTAAAATGCTGATGCTAGAAACGAGGAGTTATTCATTGCTCGTATCGTAATCACGAGAATCCTGGTGCGAAATCGCTCTTGACATAACTACCTACTCCCGATCGATGGTACCAATGAATTATTCATCATTCGCTCGTACAGCAAATACGTCGGAGAGAGAAACAGAGTAGAAGAGATAGCTTGTAGGCCTAGAAGATATAAAAGAAAAAAAAAAGCCGCGGCTACTGTATATGCTAATCCCAATGGTACTCCTTAGAGACTCATTATCTACACCCGGAGAGACTCCCGCTACCATTACCGGACGTCAGACGATCGCTTCGTTACCCAATGTATAACTTTCTTCCGCGAGTAACGCACGTACATGCACATACATACGTATACGTAGAACGTTTTACTTTGTTGCCGTGCGATTATCCGGTGTACGTCGTCCGCGAAGCGGTCTCTGGACGACGTGTGACGACGCGGGAGGAGAGCAACGGGACGTGCGAATTCGCTTCTCTATCTTGTACCGGGTAGCGGCGCGCGTTACGCGATCGCGACGATGGAGGGATATGACCGGCATTCGTAAAACGGTGTGTGCGGATCGCGGGATATCGCGAATGCGTCTCCAGGAGGCTTTGATATGCGTCGCGCATTCGCGCGTCCGAGCATTTCACTCGCGGATTTCATCCTCGGGCGCTTGACCGCCGAGTTATTTATCGGACGTGTCATCCTCGTGAACGGAAGTTACATATATGCACATATACAGGGTGTATTTAAATAAGATTAATTTTACGAGGTGATTTTTTCTCCAAAATTAAGGAGAGTTTTTTTAATATAAACAGGTACTCTTATATTCCTCCCTAAGGAGTTTTTATTTATTTATTTTTTTTAAATTATAGACAAATTTAAAAAATGGAACTTGGTGGATATTTAATTTTGTAATTTAAATTTTCGACAAAGGGAATCATCTCAAATTTTTCAAACTTATTTTAGATACACCTTGTACAAATTCGCGGAAACACAAATCGAGGATGATGTAAGTCAGGGTGGTCCTCCTTCGTGGGCCAATTATACATATTAAATTAAAAAAAAAAAAAATTTTTTTGTTAAAATTATGATGTAAAAAAATGCGTCAATTAAAAATAAAAAATTATACATACATAATATATCTTTGCGGAATTGCCAAGATGTATGTTTTTTATATAAAAACATTTTAAAAAATGTCAAAATACCAATGAGATACAAAATATCATATATCAATATAAAAGTGATAGTGTTAAATATATCATATATGAATTCCACAAGAAATATATGTATAATTTTTTATATGCAAATTTTCAAAAAAATATCTATAAATAGCTGTAAAGTTAAAAGAGACCTTTAAAATAACATGTATTATTCGATTCCTATTTTCAATAAAAATGTTTCAATGCGTAGCTATACTCTACCGAAAGAGATAAGGCGCGATTTTTATTATAATCATCTTTCCCTTGAAAATTGACATATTGCGTGCAAATTAATCGGCTATAAATTTCGTTAATTTATTCCGTATAATAAAGGTCCATATAAATCCAATTTATACCTCTTAACTTGTCACCAATTAGGCCTATCGAAAACCCGATCGGACCGAGATACTCTTATTATAATTATGCGGATCGCAAGATATACGATTCGCCTCGCGGCGAATCAGACACGTGTTTTTGACAGATGTATAAAAAAGATTAAAAAAATATGAATTTAAAATACACATGATTCTCTCTGATTTATGGAAAGCTCGCGAGGAAAGAAGAGATATTCGGTGATATCCGGTCGGAATTGTTTTCTTCTTCCTCGCCCTCTACTTATCGCGTTAGGTGCATCTCTTTGCGACGTTATCAGGACGAAGGTATCAGAGCGAATCGCATAAATCCGACGCTACATAAATTTTACGGCGTTCGTCGGAGACGCGAGTGAACGTACTCGCCGTGTAATATTACATGTACATAGTATGACGCAGCTCTTTTAACGCGCGCGCACATATATTATTTATTATTATATGTAAGACGCGGGTACTTTGCCCACCCCGACTGACGAGAGCGATTGCGTGATTTGAGATTGCCTCCCCCTCCTCTATCTCTGTACAACCATATCTACAGTGTTTTCCCCGGTTATTACAAACGAGAAATCATAATAGAAGCTCGTAAACAATTAGCTATAAGTGATATAATCGGCGCGATAAATCCCGGAGGAGTTTACTCTCGGTACACACCTATTCGACTACGCGAGATAGGAGGTCGGTTACTCAATGTTTATTCTCGTGGCTATGCACAATTGAAAAAATCGATCCGCGTTTTATGTATATATACAAAGTGTCGTCGCGAAAGCGGCCAAGCTGTCACGCGCAAATGTCGATTCTAATTAATAACATTATACGATTTTCGCATGAAAGTTACGCGACTAATGGTCGCCGCCGTCGCAGTCGTCGTGGATGACGAGTTTCACCAAGAGAGCCGAGAGATTAGGAGAGATCTTGCGGATCGTCGGGATAAATCGAGGAAGCTGTTCTCAATCTCAGACGATTCCTCCAGATTGCCTTCTATTGTATACGTTCACCTTTACATTCTTATCTGCATTGCGCCTCGGATACTATTTACGATCAATTATGTCCGCATTTTTTTAGCACGTTCATTCAACTACTCTCGATTTCTTTAATTATGAAAGAATTTTTTCTTACACTGTAAATACGATTGACAGAAATCAACTGATTTGACAGAAAACAGCTGATTTGACAGGAATCAGTTGATTTTGACAGGAATCAGCTGATTTAATAGAAATCAACTAATTTTAATAGGAATCAGCTGATTGACGTCATCACAATCGATGAGATGGCGAAAACTCTATTTTTAATCTTCGCGCAATTTGTGTGAAGAGTAAATAAAATGAAATTTTCAGCGAAAAATAATTAATTGATCAAAATGATCTTCCGTGAATCGAAAAAAAAAATAGTCGTTGGCGTCTCTTATAAATTAATTTCAAACACGAATCGCGCAAATTGTTTGATCTCGGTTTAACATTTGCAAGAAATATATACATGACTTTTCGCTTTCGATGTCATAATCCAAGGCGCAGAGTCGCAGTAAGGGACTTATAAGAGCATATCTTATAATGTTAAACGCGCGCCTGGATATCTGCCAGGGGAGATTCGCAATTCATGACACGCAATTTCAAAAGAACAGTCCTAAGAGATTATATATAAAAATGGCAAAAGGTTTCTCCGTCGCTATAATCCTCTCCAAGTGTCGAAATCACATTATACAGGCGCCTCTGTTCTCTCTCTCTCCCTCTCGTCTACCCTTAGATATATAATACATAATATTCAATCGCTAGAGATCCCAAAATTCTACGATAAAAATCCGAATGTCTCCTAATCTTTCGAAACCACGGAGAATCTAAGAGAGACTTTCGACTGATTGACTCAAGGCTGACGGGATCTGTCTACCTATTAATACGTCGCCGACATTTAAACGATATCGATTACGGGACTCTCCCGCGTGGCCTGTGACCCGTAATGTAATGTATATGATAATAATGGAGATAATAATATTTATCTCTCAGAGAAAAAGAGAGAGAGAGAGAGAGAAAGAGAGAGAAAAAGGACCGAGAAATTCGCACGCGCCCTTGGCCGATATAAACATATATATGACTTCGGCCCCCGTATCGATTTCAAAATCTGCTCCTGTCGGTGTGAAAAATCGCACCGACTCGTCCGTATCGTTCGATTGGTCCGATCGGATGGCAAAAGAAGGAGACAGGGGGGTCTCATAGGTCCTCAACCATGGCCGCCCACTTGGACGACGGCATGGGTGAGCGCGATGGGTGAAAGTCAAACTAATTACGGCGAGTACGTATATACTACACGTGTTGCAAAACCAACACCTCGCGATTCGCACGTCTCTCTCTCTGGGGAACGAATACCGGACCGGAACATACGTAGCTGCGTATATGTATCTCAGTCTTTTTTTTTCGCCTAATCTCTCCCCGATGATCTCCGCGAATATTTTTGTGGTCGATCCCGTTTTCTTTTTCCTCTCGTTTCTCACATCGTTATATGTGTAACTCTCTTACGTGTGTTCCGAATCGTTATACATACTTCCCGCGGATGCGAATACCGTTCATCAGTTCGTAGTATATCCAGGTAGAACGTAAAACTTATAATAACATCGTTGATGACATCACTTAAAATTCATTTTGGAAATTTTTTTTATATTACAATTATTTATTTATTCTATTGTTCACGTATATTCTAACAATATTCAAGTAACATAAATTTTTTGAAAACTATAAAGCGATTATATTAGGGAGCTTTAAATTTATAATTCTTTTTGTCATCTTTAAATCATTTTTGAATCATTTTTGTCCAGATAACTTTTAAGTGGTAATAAAATCATGATAATGTTATTATGAGTTTTATATTCTACCTGAGTAGATACTTTGAGTTAGAGCGAGAGAGAGGCGCATGATGCGTCATATGCATATATCGAATATCCATACATGAATTATATCTGATTGTAAAATGGGACACCTGTTCGGCAATGCGCTCCTCCATCTCGTGCCCGATTTACCGGATAAATTTCACCGTACGAATTTCACCATACGCGCATAATATCGTATGAAACTTGCGAAAGCATCAGAAAACTCTTAAACGTCGCGCTGCGATTAAGCCGCTTTAATATATAGATGGATCGGTGTACAAGATTTTGTCGTCTATGAATATATCGCAAATATATTCGCCCATAATTCATCGACAAATATCCTATCCTTACGTAAAAAATAGAAAAATAAAAATAAAAAAATGTGTATATTTTTTACATATAACGAGAATGTTTTATTTGATCACATTATTTGATCGCATGTGATAAAATGCTTATTTAATTACACTCGCTTTCATTCTACATAAGAATTAAGAACTCAAGAAATCTTCGTAAACCTCTATAAATGGCACAATTATTAACCGAGCGTTAAATTAATTTTGAATAGTATACATGCTACTCAAAATTAATAAGAATTATAATTCTATACTAGAATTATATTACTTCTTATATTACTTATTATATAATACTTCTTATTAATACTTCTATACTAGAATTATAGTTCTATACTTATTATTGAGATGCCAATTAACTTGCAGCGGACGCATTGGTGGAATCGTTCGATCGATGCACTACCTTCGAATATTCGGAATGAATTCTTACTGTTCCTTTGTACGTATTTCGTTTTGACTTTCTACTTTCAATTGTCGCGGTCGCATTTCTATTAAAGTTAACGGCACCTCGAATTGGCGGAGCGGCAGAGTTAATAATTTCGTGCAACTTTTGCACGATATAATTTTCTACAACAGGCTGTTTATAATTACCGTGAGACGACGGGGCGATCGACGGAGAAGTCGTAACCTTGGAATTAGTAGGATGTAGGATGGGTATCTCGGAAATGAATGTTAGGTTGCCACGATCCAATTCGGCGATTAGTCGAACTCTCTTTCGAGGATCAACGCTGGTCCATGATGCTTCGACATATCGACCTCTGACTTTCGGCAAGAGATACGTCTTCGTCTCGTCTGGTTTCTCCAGAGTCTTGTTAATATAGTAGAATCCTTCGCGCACCATTGCCATCCCATTGACGTTGGTCGCTTTGCTAGTAATACCTAATTTTGATAGGAACCAGTTAAAGATGCCTTGGTACCAGTTGTCAGAAGATGCTTCCTTGTTCGGAAGCGTGTCAGGAGCCTTGCTATCCTCGACATCCGGCAAATAGGGAGCCAGACCGCCAAGGTTGTCGAGGAAACTCAGGTCGACCTTCGTCTCCTCCTCGGCCGACGAATTCCTTTCGTCGGTCGTACGGGAGATTTCACCTTGCGCGATCCTGACGTAATTCCGCTCTCGGTGGTCGCTGATCTCCTTCGCGGGGACGTGAGTTCTCGCTTGCCGGTCTACGTAAGGTCGAAGGATTCTTATGAAATATTTTCACTTGGCAGCGCAATCTCCTCGCACGAAAATTCTTTCTCTTTCTCTTACCTTTCAGTTTCTCCCCGCCGTTGTCTTCCATTATAGATTCAATTTCCACTGGATTTATCTTGTACTTGTGATACATGTGAATCTTAAATATTGGGTAGAGTCGAGGATCCAAGTTCGATGGCAAGATAATTCTGGAATGCGGTTCTGCTGCTGGATCCGACCACGAAATAATTCTCCTTCGAAGATCGTCGGTTGTCTTCTTGTCATCTGGCGTCGATCCTCCGGTTAACCAGGTCAATTGCACGACGATACAGCCGAGGAGTAGCAATCGCACAATCTAAGGAAATGATAAGTAGACTTTAATATACGTACGTTTCGTAAGAGATTGCTTCTCTATCGTTTAGTATTCTCGGCGTTTCACTTTTAAGTCAAGAGAAGGATGTTCCGAATTATTTCCGGATAATATTCCGTAAATTACACGCGAGTATTACGACGAATGGATGGAACGTTACCGATTCCACGAGTACGGCGGGATGAGTACGTCTGCGTATGTATATGTGTACACGTGTACAGAGATTCTAAACTCATTTCATTCCATTCTTTCGACACCACGAAAGCGAAAGCAGGCCGGAATCGACGTGGTTCACCGGTTCAGCGATGGACCATGTGTCTCAAAGTTTGCAAACGTATATGTAGGAAAATAGAGAACATATATAAGAGATCGTGACCTCGATCGGACTAATGTTGTGCATATTAAATTCAACAAGTTTTTCTTAGCGTCGGTATTTAAAGTATTTTAAGTATTCACACGTGTTAAGCTATGAATCAGATTATTACGTATTGAAGATTGAAATTTCACTAATCGGGGCAAGGAAATTTTAGTTCCTTTTGATCCAATTAATCAAATTCTAATCTTCAATCTTCGATTCGTCAATCCGATACGGGCTTGCAAAGCACGTCCGTACAACTTAAAGCAGAACATTAGCTTAACAATGAGAGGTCGCTCTTATATAACAAAGATACCTTTCTCCGATATTACTCCGTAATTGCCGGTAAAATTATATGAATGGATCGTTTCTGAAGTCAAAAGTGCTGCACGGAAGGTACAGTATTACTAATCGCGAATGTGTTTCCGGTGTATTCTTTCGACATTAACGCTCGGTCGAGACCTATAAGAGATGATATTTGGACGTTTAATCGTTGCTATATATTTACATATCTTCTATATGTAGAATATATAAAGTTATATATATATATATAGAATATTCTGTAAATTTTTATATATAATTATACATCAAATAATATAAATATAGACATATATATTAAAATAATAATTCTAATTATATATAAAATATATTTGAAGATATCATAAAAGCTATATATGTCGTATATGAATATAGTTGCCAGAATTGCTTCAATTATACAATAAGTGTAACGAGCCAACTTCCGAAAAGTTACAACAACACATACTTCCGTGTAAATCCTCGTTATTCTACTTCTATAACATATAAGTAGGATATCATAAAATCTCGGAACTCTGTGGCAAAAAGTATATATGTATGATAGCTCTCCGCGAACGCGTACGGATAGTTATGACTCATTAGGCCCGGCAGAATCTAATTACGCTACGCGATTAGCGTGTAGCGAGGCGAGTGCTCGAGGAGAAAATAACGTTGGCAGGTCATGCGCCAAGTGGTCTGCATAAAATGTTACGTGTTTTTTCGTCGTTGCCACCACGACGTTCGTTTCTTCATCTCTGCGGGACATTTTCGCTGACCCGAGAAGATTCGATCAAAAATAAAATTGAAAAAATATGTATATATATTACGACAAAATTTATAAAATGTGTACATTGCGATGCTTTAAAAAGGTAAACGTGCGAATTTTTTAATATACACTCGCCTCTCTGCACCGCACAAACATGTTTCCCGCGATGTTTCGCTTACACAAGCGACTGACCGACTGACTTACTGCGATGATCCCTTCGAAGACGCATTCCTCTCTTTAGATTAGATCTTCATCATTATTTGGGGCTTTTCAAAGCAGAGTTCGTGTTTGTCGCTAAGGGACCCGTTTGGTCTCCCCCTTCCGTGAAAAACGTTTTCCGTACTTTCCTCGAATTCCAATCGCCTGCCTCGTCGAGTCATCACGGAATGCGTTTGCCTTCTCCGCTGCCATAGATTTACGAGTCGTCGTGACTTTCACTCGGAATGCCCTATTACGAGAAATAACGAATAGAATGTATAAAAATGTAACTAAAAGTTATCTATATACACATTTTATAATATAGATATAGAGAGATATATATAGATATATAGAAATAATAAGAATAATAATAAGAAATATATAATAATAATAATATATATATAGAACAATATAATAATAAAAAAATATATAATTTATAATAAATATATATATGTATAAATATATATATATATATATATATATATAATAATAATTATATATATATATATATAAATATATAATAATATAAAATATATATAATTTATAATAAATATATATATGTATAATATATATATATATATATATATATATATATATTTATGGATATAATAAATGTCCTATATTGTATATATAATACTTGCCGATATTGTGTGTGCGTGTATACATATATAACGGCAAGAATTAATTGTGACAATAATGTATATATATTAATATATACATATACTTTACGAAAAGTGTGTATATGTATGTTAATTAATTCTGCCGTGATTAACATACTTTTAAATAAATAAAATATAAAATATATTAAAGTGATGTGAAACAATTTTTGGCAAAAATATTTTCAATAATCCATTAACCCCATTTCTCCTCCCCCCCTAACTGAACGAAAGATGCAATACATATATATATAGAAATTTTGTATATATATATCGCACTATTCATTTTCATTTTCTAACAATTACAAAATAATTGTTGCGCAAATGCATCCTTAGCCTTCAAGATACGTAAAAGCATGAAAAAATCTTACAATAAAAGTTATAAAATTGCAATTAATTACCTTTGCATCCCGACATGACTCGTCAAAACAAAAGAGAGAGAGATAGAGAATATATATGCTACTCTCGCAATATTTCGATATATCGATTGTCCATTATATCGATATAAAAACTAATTTATCGTAAAATAAAAGTAGGTTCGTGTTTCGGACAACTGCGTTCAAAAATTGAGAAAATAATTACCAAAATTATTTTCTATTAAAATATTAAAAAACATTAATTCTAAATGTTATATTAATAAAAAAGACACCATTCGAGAGAGATAAGATTACAGATAATTTGTTATTTATCGTATCACTTTTTATCATTTATCAGTAATAGAGTTCCTAGAAATAAATAATAAATAAATAATAAATAATAAAATAAATAATAAAAATAATAATAAAATAAATAATAAAAAAAATAATAAAATAAATAATAAAAATAACAATAATAATAAATAAGAAATATTTCTAGAGACTATCAGTTTCTTCAAAAAAGACTCCGTCTACAAGTTTGACAGGTCTATGGCCGAAAGCGAACTCGCTTAAAGGAGAGACCGTTCAAAATGGCGGCGTACTTGGCAGTTGTCTGTTGTACAAAATAGGTTATCGGGGTTGGTGCGCCTATATGTGACCGATAATCCTTGCGAGATCCCACGAGAGAGAGAGAGAGAGCTAAGGAAAGAAAAAAAAAGACCGCGAAAGTAATATTATGATCATCGCCAGATAAGATTCGTGTAAACGGCGCGTTTTAATCTCCCGTACATCGAGGGCATCCGGAAGATAATGGCCGAAAATGTCACCGCAGGTGACGACGAGCTCCTGAAAAACATTAAAACCCTCCTCTGGGGTTCGACCGTCAAGGAAGACATTTTCAAGCGATGGGCGCAAGGTAGCGAAGAGTTATTTACCTCATTTGACATTTCATAGACGGGATGAGTCATGTAACGTCGTATTGCGCCGGTGTAATTGGTGTAATGGCCGATCAACAGTGATAACAGTAATCATTTTTCCATGAAGACGGCTTGAGAATTCATTCTTCACGATGTTCCTTGTGTCCTGCAGACTCTTGCTTCATAAATCCTGTGGAATCGATCGATTTAATAATTTGAATAAAATATAGATACTAAATAAACTTTGGGATAAGCATGTGTGCTTTACAGAATTACAGAGAATTATTTTTTCATAATAAATTACTATAAGTTTATAGCTACATACTTTATAGACAAGTAGCTTTAATAATTATTGTTTTTTTTTTTAGGCTTTTATTTCAGTATAGATGAACCTACTGCACTTGTACAGAGAGAAGGAGGGCCTTGCGCAGTGATAGCCTCGGTTCAAGCATTTATCTTGAAACAGTTACTATTGGAGAGTGATGTTGTGACTTGGAAGACTTACAAGGCCGAAAAATGTGATCAATTACTTATAAAGGCTATGATTGAAATTATTAATCAGGCTGTCAACGTTCGGGATCCTAAGTACTCGATAGTCTATGCCAATGACTCCAATGACTTTGTATCCAGCAATGAAGGCTCTGATTCGAAGTTGACAGAATCTGCAATAAATTCAGCCCAAGATACTAGCGAAGCAAATCAAATTAGTGATACACAAGTTACGAAACAAGAGCGATTAGAATCGGAAGTTTTTCATTCTCAATTAAGGTATAGTTTATGCCAGAAGAGTATACATACCTTTAATTATGGATGGAACTATCTTTTTAAATATTTAGTCATTGCTGATATTTTTACTTATTATATTTCAGGATATTTATTACAAGAAACATCGACGATGTAGAAGATTTCTTCACAGAACGAATTGGAATGTTAAAAGATCAGTATGGTGTTTTGTTACTACTTTACACAGTGATGTGTACAAAAGGGGCTCCGGAAATATGCCTTGAAATGTTGGAACCCATAGAACCCATGATTGATTCTACCTATGGATATGGAAGTCAAAATTTAATAAATTTAATGCTCACTGGCCGAGCAGTTAGCCATGTTTGGGATCATGATCAAGATATTAGTGGATTAAGTGAGATGAATGTTTTGTATTTCTTTGACATGACTATTTATATAACACAATTTTATATGTCTTGATATATAAATAGTACATAATGAATCATTCTTCATTCTATTAATATATTACGTCTTTTGCAGAATTACGTGGGATAGATAAACAGAATAAAGTGGGATTTTTGACTTTGTTGGAGCACTTACGTTATTGTGAAGTGGGAACATTTCTAAAGTCACCATCGCATCCGATTTGGGTAGTAGGATCAGATACGCATTTAACCGTGCTCTTTTCTATGGAGAAACGATTAGTGAGTCCAGAAACACCGGCGGAGCAGGCACGAAGAGTTTTTAAACGCTTTGATCCAGAAGGGAATAATTTTATCGCAGCAAATCAACTGCAGAATGTAATGGCGGAATTAGGGCTTGTAACTGATGCAGAATAGTACGTAGTCCTTTTCTTCCTCTCTAAGTTTCTCTGTAGATTATTTGTGTCGATACTGCAAAGCAAATAGTAAAAGTGCTTGTATTAAATATCAAAATATTTGATCTGTCAAAATATTTTTATTAAAAATTGGAATATTGTTGCAGCGTCAATATTATAAGGAGGAAATTGGATAGTGAAAATCTAGGAATAATACTTCTCGCATTGTTTATGGATGAATTTTTCCCCGAGGAACCATGTATGTGTCCAGACACATTCGTCTTGTATCACTACAATGGTCTGCAACATAGCAATCCGGAAAATAGAGTCAAGTATCACATGGGACAGGCAGTATTGCTCGAGTGCACCGTGAAGTGTATCATGGATAGCAATCCAATGTTGACAGTCCTGCAGACAAAGTGGCCAAGGATTGAGATACAGTGGGACATAGGACGGAATCCTAGTTTAAATTAGACTTTATAAACTGTAATATATATATATATATATATATCTATACATACATACACTGAACACAAATACAATAGGGCCGAACGCATAGAGTGACTTGACCGAGCGCTTCTATAGAATATCGTTGAGAGAGAATAACCATTTTAAGACCGTAGTCTAGTCAAATCGGCCATCCTCTGATTCGTATTGATGAATATTGGTGATACACTCCTGCCAATAAGAAATGTTATTTATTTCCACGAAAATATAATGTATTTGTAACACACATGGTCAAAGTAAAAATCTATTACAAGTATTTTACATCATTTAGAGCTGGTTTTTCCAACTTCTTGGTAAGTTTTACTCGACAGGTAGCATATTTTTGTCTCTTTTCAGATAAATTCTAAAAAAAGAGACGAAGATATGCTACCTGTTGGGTAAAACTTATCAAGAGTTGGAACAACCGGCTCTTAATGTCAAAATATTGCACCGCACTGTCTACATCAGTGAGATTAAAGTGTATTTTGGGGACCTTTTTAATATGTATATATATATATATATATATATAAAATCACAATTTCTCTCTTTAAATATTTTGCAAAAAAGAATATTTCGATAAAACTTCACAGCACAATAGAATTTAATGATGGTCGATTGCAAATAGCTTACTACAATGACACAAGACAAGGTTCTCAAAAAAATTCTACTTACTCTCGCGCAGTTTATTTCATAATAAAATTATTCGTTATGTTTTGCGGCAGAAAATAATGGATTCTTTAGGCGAGCTAAACAAAATTCATTTTGTTGTATATTATATGATAGATAAAGTATTATGTAATATATAATATAATTATATAATATATTATATACAATATTATTACACAAAACTATATAAAAAATATGCAGTGTCACCATTTTGAGACTTTGCATATGTCATTATTTCACAATTCTTGCCATAAATATGACTTATGTTGCTTTAAAAAAAAAGCACTTTTTCAATTAAATTAAAATTTGGAATTTTTTTTTTAATAGTATAGCAAACAATAGGGCTATATAACTTATATAAAAATTTATGTATGACAAAATATTAATGTTTTTGACACATTACTTAATAATTTTCATAATTATTTTATTAATGTTTATTTTATATAACTATTGCAAAAGTGCAGTAAAGTGAAATAAACTTATTACTTTTGATTAAAAATAGTTACCACAATTTGACTGTTTTGCAATAATTGAAATCTAACCTACTCTAAGATAAAAATCTTTTGTAGTAATTACAAATTGTGAATTCCAGTATTTTTTAACCCACTCTCTTCAATCCTATAAATGTTATTTTAAATCATTCATCTTGTTATAATTCTCTAATATACTAGATCAGTTTTATATATTAGAAATTTATATTTATGTTTATTACACTATATGTATATATATTAGAGCCCTATAATTCAATCATATTTATTATTGTCATATTTACATTGTATAAATCAGACATAATCTATATTTGCAATTAATATATATATAGAATGGTTTACCTTATACTATATTTATTCACTAAATTTTAAAAATGCATACACTTTAATCACTTGCATCATCAGCTTGATTGTCTCCACCACTTCCTGCAGACGTTTCAGAATTAGATTCATCATCTGAATCTTTAAGTGCCTTTCCTTTAATATTCTTTTTGGGCCTATGCGTTTCAATATCTGATCCTTCCTCATCCGATGAATAAATGTTTGAAGCTACAGAGATAATATTTTTTTAAATATTGTAAAAGAATAATTGCACAATACTGCTTTTAATATACAGAATAAATCAATGATATGATTTTATATTTATACAAAAGAGATGATAAAGATTTAAGTTATTTATTTTAGTATAATATATAGAACTGACCTTTAGAAGGAATTGCTGCGACTCCTTTTTTATATTTATTTTTTATAGCTGCCAATGAAATTGCACCCTCGTCATCAGAACCATCGTCATGATAAGCATCGCCACTATATGCTCCTGCAGTACGATTAGTATTTCTGATACCACTTGTACTCTTCTTCGTTTTATTTTGGACTCGCATAGCCATACGTAGTTTTTCCTCCTCTTTCTAAAATAAAAAAATAAAATATGTATATAATGATACTTTGAAGCATAAGTATTTATAATAATGTAATATTGTAATAATAATATAATAATGTTATTATAATAATAAAAATATTATTATAATAATAGTAATAATAAAAAGTACAGAAATTGTAATACCTTTATCATCTCGTATCTGTTCTGGTCTGGATTCATTCCCACTTGAGAAAGAACCTTGATGCCGGAAGTCTTTTGCGACCTATCAGCCAGAGACATAGTCATCTTCCTGTGCGTGAACGATTCGGTGGAGTGCGGTCGGAAAGTTAATTTTGTTCTAAACACCGCTTGGCCTTGTAAACCGGTACCTTGGCGAATATAAAGATGGTTGTGATCGCCCTGTAAAGGTTGTTTGTACACGTCGAAGATCTCCGAGCCCAGATGCAACGACATGCTACCGTCCGACCACTTGACGAATCTCGCGTTGCTCTCCTTCACCATTTTGCCGTCGTCGTCGAACGTGTCCTTCCACCTCAATGTATTTTCAACTTTGAGCTTCAATCGTGCCCGGCCCTCCTCGTCCAGAGTCTCCTCCTCGTCGATCTCATCCTCGTAGGTTTCATGATCGAACGGTCTTGTCTCAACGGATAAGAAATTCGGCAACTTTACGAAGTGAATTTCACGTCCCAGATCGGTAGTGATTTTCGGAATTTCTACATCGATTCTAGTTTCCGGAGGTGGCTCTGGTTCCTCTTCCTTGTCTTTATCCTCTTCCTACGCACAGAATACATTTTACGTTAGAACATCTCTGCGATTTCGCTTTTCTCGTCTTTTTATTTTTATTAAATTAAAATTTTCATTATTAAATTATTATTTACTTAATGTATCATTATATTATTTGATTTAATAATAATTATTAAATTATTATTAAATGAAATAAAATAAAATAAAATTTTTTATTATTAAATTAAGGATTAAGAATAAGTCGTGTCCTGAAAGTACATTGCGAAAGGATGTAAAGATTATTATTTGCCAGTCTTGTTAACTTACATCTTCAATAATGGCGCGATGGCTCGGACCTTCACCACCGCTCTCGGATCTGCCCCGACTGTGACTTCTGCTTCTGCTTCTGCTTCTACTTCTGCTTTTGCTTTTGCTACGACTTCTGCTTCTGCTCCGACTACGCTCCCGTTCCTTCTCTTTCTCTTCTTCCTTCTTCTCCTTCTCGTCATCTGTGCTAATGTCACTTGCGTCACCGAATAATGCGTCCGCTGTTGGAGCTACGCTGTTCTCCTTGTCCGCCGTCTCGTTTTCAGAATCCGAGTTTATTCTCGCCTTAACTCGTTTGACAATTTTTTCGGTATCCGAACCAGAACCGCTGTTTTGTCGTTTAACTTTCAAACGTTCTTCATCGCTCTCGTCAGATTTTGGACTTCGATCTAAGGAAGAAGAAAAGTTTACAACATTAGAGAGGAAGAGATCAGAGACAAATCTAACTTTTAACTTATTGAAAACTTAAGATACCATTTCAGCATGCTGCCACAGCAGTTTGTTGCTATTGATGAAGTTCAATTGAAGAAACAGCAAAGGCAGCAAAGCAGAAAAACACGCAACTAGTTGATTCTAATTATTATAATAATTGTATTAGTTAAATAATAGATTTTCAGAACAAAATAGATTATTATGAGAATGTAAAAGCAAAAATTGTAATTTCAACCTTGACATAATAAGAAAACAAAGAAATATGTTCTAATAAATTTTGATCATGTGACTGATTTGCTGCTGCAGCATGCTGCGTACGAAAAGGCACCTTTATATATATATATATATATTCACAGGAAGGAAACATTCTGATCACAGCGGAACAAACCTGCTCTGTTTGATTCATTATCGCTCTTATCATTCTTTGGACTTTTAGACCTCGATCTCTTGTCGTCAGACTTTTCAGAACCCGCTCTCTCAGCTGGACTCGCGGAACCAGCTGATTTATTGCTTCTCTGCGAAGAAACGCTTCTGGATCGACGACTCTTCGGAGACTCTGACACGTTGGATCCAGGAGAGGCCGGAGTCTTGGACTTCCTCTCCGCCGAATGAGCGGACCTCGAGCTAACAGGCGACTTCGGACTCGAGGAACGCACGCTGCCACGTGGAGACGGCGAGCGGGATCTGGCGGACTTCTGAGAGTCTGCGGAACTGTTGGAGGCCACCGACTTCGGGCTGCCGCTCCTGGATCTCGCGGAATCGGACTTCTCGCTCTGGGCGGAGCTCGAGCGTCGCGAACGCCTCGAGCCCGAGCCCGGTGAACCCGGGCTCTCCGATTTGCGGCTGCCGCCGTCCAGCTTGTTCGACTCGACGGAGGACCTGGAAGCGTTCGACGCGGGCGAAGCCGGCGCGCCGTTCTCATCCTCGGAGTGCTCGTCTCTCCTGACGTCGCTCGACGTTTGCGCGGGACCCTGCGACGCGCGACTTCCGCTGCGACTCGATCTCGAGGACGCGGATCCGTTGTCCGATTCTGATCCTGGAAACGAAATCGGAACGATTCAAAAAGAATTTAATAATAAATTATAAATAATATATATAATAATAATTATATACAATATATAATATATATAATATTATAATAATTATATATTATAATGTATATGTGTTATAAATTATAAATAAATTTAATAAATTAAAAATTTATCTTTTCCTTTCCAATGAGAAGTATAAAATATACATTCTGAACTAATGCAGCCAGTGCAGCTTAAAAACAAAAACAGAGATCTGTATTTTGTTAAATAAATAATAATTAATTTTCAAACATAACCTCAAATATATTTCGGAACTGATCGCACTTAATTATCGTATTGTATAAACATTAATTTTTTTATAGAGTTATAGAATTTGTGAGGAAACGAAAAATTTATTAAAATTAGAAAAACAGAGGTCTGTTAATATTTACGTACCAGAATCGCCGCTGGAATCGCGCAAAGTTTCACGCACCGGCGACATGTTTACTCGTTTGTTTGAAGTTGGTCGCAGATCGCTTCGATAGGATGCACCGTGACGTCACAGACGTGTTTCGAGTTGTTTAATTCCGGCTACGTTCACCAGATGGCGACGCTCGCGAGTATCATCTGTCTTCGTTCAACTTTCGATGAATGACAAGGATGAAGTGATCCCACGTGCGTGAACTGTCAAATGAAATGAGCCTTGACAGATTGGAAGCACCGAGTGGAACATGTTTTTTTTTTTTTAGCGTCTGCTAAGCACATGCGCGATTTATGACACAAACAAATGTCCTAACCTTAAAAATGCCGCCTTTGATAATTTATTATACACTTTGCGATATCAAGCGTTTAATTTAATATTTTTGCTGCACGAGAAGAATGCGTTGATGGACCCTTTTGGTCGAAATTTATTTATTTTATTTTTTCTAAATATTTGGCGCGAAGAGAACAAATGCTGTGGACTTTGTAATCATTACGAAAGCATGACGAACACGTTGAATGGTAATGTGCATTAACCTCGAGAATAATTAATTCGGAAAAAATGGTGAAATCATCAACAGATAATTACATTTCAGCTGGCGTAAAATTGATATTTGACAGATAAGTTAATTCCGAGAGGAGATATTGACGTGTGCCTATGTAAAAAAATAGATATGGCAGAGAAGGGTGCCCATTTGACTGGAACTGCGTTCATCAAGCCTTCTATCTTTGAAATTATCGCCCAGGAATCGCTTGCGTCCACCCTCGAACCAGCTTTTAAAAAAATCCTTTCGGTACATTATTGTTATTTGAGGAATATTTCTCAAACACAATTTCCTCCTTTCAATCTCTGTTAAAAAGTCTATTTTTGATAAACAATAAATATATATTTCTTTATAAATATTTTGTGTATTTATATTTGTGTTATATTTAAAATGTATGTAAATTTTTTTAAGTTAAATTTTATCATTTCAGTTCCTAGTTTCTTTTAATCCTGAAAGGTATGGACATATTCTTCAATGGGCAGACGAGGGCTATTTAATTTTTAATGCAATTCTTCAACGATATTACCTAAAGAAATATTGTAAGTATTTTTGTAATAAATAATGTTTAATAATTATTAATAATATTGAGCTATGATAATCTCTTCTGTAGAAAGAAAAATTATTTTGTTATCACAATTATTTTCAGCTGCATCATTTTCTGAAACATTTTATGGTTTGAAGCGTGTTGCAGTAGTCGATTCTACACTCAAAGGAAACCTATCGCATAAGCAACAAATACTATCATTAATATTAATTGTGATATTTCCATATCTAAAAAATAAACTTGCACAACTCAGTTCGAGATACAAACTCGAAGAAGTAGATGGTCAAGCATTAAGAGAGGCAAGTTTAAAATATACAAAGCATATTTAAAGAATTTATCTTTGACTATATATCATGCAATAACTGGTTAATAACATTAAATAATTATATTGATTACAGAGAGGGCGGAATTTTTTTCATAAATATATTGTTAAAGGACACTCGATTCTTTTTATAACATACGAATCACTCGTACTGTATAATTATATACTTTATATATCGGAAAAATCAGTGTATCCATCACCTTTGTTGAGATTATTATCAGTTACACTTACATATGCCGATCCACACTCTGCTCTCACTATTGCAGAATTGTTGAGGAAGATAAAATACAATTCATTCACTGTTGGTGATGGATGGAATATATTTCAAAGAATTGTCACTGGATCCCTCGAAATGGGGGCCTTTTTCCTACAATTTCTCTCATGGTGGACCCAGGAAAATTATGATAAGGATATCATGAGTCTTCCAGCTCCTCCACCTCCAAAAGTAAATATAAATGGATTACATAAATCAGCTTATAATTAAAAGCTAATAAACAATTTTAGTTACCTTGAATAATATAATTTTGTTTTAACAGGTGCCAACTATTGCACAGCGATACAAAGGAATTTGTCCACTTTGTCATAAGCCTCATCGTATACATACGGTGCTTATGGTATCTGGGTAAGTAAATAATGCAAAGTATAATATAGTATAAATATAGTATAGCACTAGTATAATATAGTATAAATACCTTTATCTTGATTTTAAACAAAATAATAAATTAGATTGATTTAATTTTGTAGTTATGTATTTTGCTATCATTGCATTTTATCGGAAATACGAAAAAATAAGAGGTGCCCAGTGACGCATTATCCTGCCAAAGAAGATGATTTAATACGTCTGTATATAGAATAAAGTATATATATATATATAATATAATTAAATAATATATAAAAAATATATAATTTGTTATAATATAATGTATTATATATATATATATTCAAAGATGAAAAGTGTCGGAAAATAAACCGCCGATCGGCCATAATCATATAACATATCGTTTCCGAAAATTATTTGCACGCGTGATATATTGAATTATTGTATATATATATTAGTAGGAAGAGAAGTTAATTTTTTTCTCAAAATAACAGGTTTTATTTTTCTATGACATTTTGCAGCATATTAAATGGCAAGGTACTTCTAATTGATTACTAATATATATACTTATAATATAATTTTTACAAGTTTAAATATAAGATAAAGTAATAGCTTAAATATAAGATAAAGTAGATCTTTAGTTAGATCATTATTGCAGAGTTACAACAAAATAACGACACAATAAAATATACGAGTCGGAGAGTAATGAATATAAACATTCCAAACATTTTTTATACATAATTTAGATGTGTTAATGTGCGTTGTGTTCTTTTATCTAGTTCCTAATATAGCTAAAATCCTTAGAATGATCATTGTATACTATGTACTATGTACAAATCAGAGAGTATTACACTATCTAAAAAATTGAAACCGCTATCTAAGATAGATATAACATAATAAGGCACATTTTTTTCTTAAAAATATATAATAGCTTCTAATAGCTTTGAATAATTTTGTTTCTATGTGCATTGAAATGTCAATTCCTCTTTATATTTATATAAATTTCAATTTAAAAAATTTATTTAAATTACTAATATAAATATTGCATCCAAAAATATAATGAAATATTTATGTCTTGATAGATACACTGGTATCAATAATTGTTATGTCATTGTATATTGATAAAAGTATGTAATATTGTATGACTCAGGCATTAATTTATTATAATAATCACATCTAGAAAATACTGAGCGTTTTAAAAAGTATCAATTATTTATTACTATTTTTCCTAGTTTAAAATTTTAAGTTTAAAATAAGGAAAATTGAATAATAAATGTAAATTTCAAAACTGATTAATAGCTGAGCAGGAAGTCCAAAATTATAATATTTACAGATACAATATTTTCTTATGCTGTATACAATATTAATTCATATTGTGTTTGATTGCAAATCCAATGTATGCAGTATATGTAATATTTACAACGCTCACATTATTAATTTGATTTGTGTACTTGGACACGACTCGATAACTTTAAGATGTTGCATAATTCGATTAACTCGGGCAGTCAAAGTTTATTTAAATTTTAACTTCTACCTGATATTCGCAAATATCTCGAAAATAGAGTATGTCAATGCTTAAGTTACATATTTAACAATGTATATATGAATCACAGATAATATGTGGGTTTGACTTGGACAAAGTGAAAAAAAGAAACAATTCCACAAAGGAATTTCTTACATATGTATACATAGAAGTGTTTTATCTGTGTTATGTATATTCATTATGTTTATAGTTATATATGAAACATTGTATATTCGATGTACAGCCTGTATAAAAAATAATTATATAAGTGTTTAAAACAGATGATAAATATATCTAATCATGTTTATATTGGTTTTATAAGTTAAATATGCAAGCATATAATTATGCCAGTTTTTGTTAAGCATTTTAATGGCTTAATTCCTATAGACAAACTTATCATTTGAAAGCACATAAGCTATGATCAAATATATATAATAATTTCTGATACTTTATATTATTGTGTGTCTCTCAACAAACATAAGAGTTATATGCATATTTAACATGTTAAATCTTCAAAGATTTAAATATAGTTACCTGATATTTTTTCACACAGTAAGTTGAATGAAAAATGTACAACAATAACAATACATGTAAAAAAATATATTGATTGTCAAGAGATGAGATGTCAAAGATAGATTAATTTTTCAGTTATACAATGAAGCATAAATTTGTGCGTTTAGGCACTTATGATTGATGTGGCAATTAATTTGTTAATAAAAGGGCACAATACATGTATATATAGGTACATGGATATCATAACATGTCTATTGGAATTTATAATACACAGTAAAATAAATATGTGTATATATAAATCTGTTTTAATGTGGGAAATATACGAAAATAGCAAATTTATTTTGATTTGTTCGTAAACATGCAAATATACATTCATATGCAAATCAACTGAATATTTATATGCATGCAAATTTATCTAACAAATTGTGTCATAATAGTATAAAATGTACATATCCTGCATATACAGAGCGTTCCATTGTTATACTAAACCAAAATAATTTAAAATAAATTTTGTCATTGTAACACTTAAAAAAATCGAAATAGAGGCGCAGTATCTTTTTGAGTGAAGGAATCAAGAATTAATGTATAAGATCTAAAATGACTTAGTGATCAACACATTAAAAATTGAGTTAGATTTCTATCACTCGCGCCCAATATTTTTTTCGTTAATGTGGTTGTAATGGAATGTTATATTTGTAACATACAATTTCATAATTAATTTTTATATTAATAAAATTTTCTTCAAGTTTTTACTTGTAAAAATTAACAATTCTAAATTCGTTGAGAAATCTGGCAGTATAATCCGATGCAAAATGGTGATGGAACACTCTGTGATATATCATATCTTGAGTATTACATATGTACGTATTTTATAGTCTTATTTTTAAAATTCAATTCCTAGCACCACATATCTATCAACATCCGCTTTTCAACAACTACAATTCTTCAAAGAAGGCGACTCTAGCTTTAGTAGATCCCGACTTCACCTTTTTCAGCGTGCTGTACTTGTTCTCACCGAGTCGCACCTGCTCCTCGTGGAGTTGATCTAATTCGCACTGCTTTTCACCGACTTTCAGAACTTCAATTTCGGAACGTAACTCCCGCAGTTGTTCCTGCAAGTTTTTACTTTTCTCCCAATAATCGCTCCGTTCCTTTTCAATCTCTAATGAAAGTTGGTCGACATCTCCGTCACCAATAAGATCGTAAGATGTTAAATCAGGTGGCAAAGGTTCTGCGTCCAGCTGCAGAGTTTGAAGATCCGCTTGCAGATCTGATGGAAGCACTTGCGTCGAGGGAAATAGATTTGGCACAGGCTATCGACAAGTTAAACGAACCATTCATAAGTTCACCTTATATAACATTGTATACGACTAAGCGTTATATAAATTACTAGGTATGCTCTTTCTATATATCACACTGTTTTTAAATAAACATTGAAGCTATACTTACAGTTATGGTATTGGGTATGTAGGCGTTTCTGCTGAGAAACTCTAATAGCTTTTCTTTAGCTTCTTTCTCGGCTACTCTTGCGCGTAATAGCTCGTCCTTTAACCTTTCCGCTTCAGCAGCTCTGCGCTCTGACTCCTGGACCAGTCTTTCCGTTAATAATTCAGCCTCTCTAGTCTTCCGTTCCAAGTGAACCTTTTCTTCTTCAGTCTTCATATTGTTCAGCCGTATGCGCGTAATCTCTTGTTCGGCTTCCGATGCTTTCTGACCTAAAAGCATCGCTTCTTCTTCGGCTACGCGACTTTTCTCAGCTAAAAGATCTGCAGTCTCTTCGGATCTTCTCTACAAAAAAAAATATTACATCAATTTAATATAGTATAGATTAGTTTTAATTTATATTTCTATTTATAATTGTCATATTCTTTTGGTATCCTTTCATATCTATAATCATATCTTACAAGAGCTTCATTTGCAAGTCGTATTTCCTCTTGATATTGTAAGAGTCGATGCTCCATTGCAATCTTTTCCCTTTCTGCCGTTTCTCTTAATTGTTTTTCTCGTGCTAATTTGTTTCTCTCAATTTGCCTCCTAATAATATCATAATTATTTGTAAGAAAGTTTCAAGTAATTACATAAATATATGTCTTACATATTTATATATATGTATAACATATATATGTTATTTATACAAGCATCTAAAAGTTCTACAAAAGAGTTTTATTTTCAAAAATTTTTAGATTATAGATTGTTAAAATATATGTATAAGAGTATTACATAAATAATATTTATTTACTAACCTTAATACATACATATATAAAAAGAACATGTTGAAAACACACATGTTTAAATATTGCTTCCTATAAAATTGGCAAAAAAAAGAGCTACATTTTGTTAAAATTATAGTTATAAGGGCTAAGAACGAGCAAGATTACAAAAGCTAAATTTTAATAAATTCTTTTTAATATTGAAGCTAAAAATAAGAATTATTATTTAATCTACATCTACATAATATATGCCTTCGTAGATTTAATTTTAATTTGTGCAGTATTTTTAATAATATTAAAATTTGTGTTACTCAAAGCATGTTAAGTTGTGGTAATTATCAAATAAGCTGCTACTGTGTATTGTAGTATAAGAAAAAAAAAATAAAGAAAAAGTATGTTAAATTGTATATTATTTTAAATTAAATTATTTTTCAATTTTTTAAATATATTCAATATTTTAAATATATTGTTTACAATTGTAATTCTCTAAAAATGTAATTAAATTTTCTTACTAGCAATTAAATTGTCAACCTATTAAAAATATGAGTTTTTAATTGTTTTATAAAGCTTGTAATCGAATGGCATTTGTTTAATTCCAAATTACATTAATTAAAAAATTCGAAAAATATATATTACAAATTAATCATCTCGAATACAATCAACACGAAAAACATTTCTCGCATCAAAACAAGATATTTTTACAAAAGAATATGCATTTACTTGCCTGGATTTTTCTTCCTTGGCCTGCGCTTTCATCTGTTGAACCTCCATGGAGTCTGGTTTGCGCCTCCTCATATACAGATCGTGGTTGCCAATACACAGGTCCAGGATCTTAACAAATAATACGTGAGCAGCTTTGTCACTATTATGTTCGTCCAACCCTAAAGCTATCAAATTCTTCACCCAGCTGCCAACATCTGACTGTTTCTTTACCAATTTGTTCATGCGAACTTTCTGCGAGAAGAACACGAAGTTTGGTGACGTTTTCTCCACAGTTTTGATAACAAACTTCTTGTCGTCGAAACTGATGTGACGGATTTCCGACCATTGAAACGTAGTCTTCGGCGCTAGTTTGTTTTCCTTTTCGTAGATGTTCAATCCCAATGCTGTTACTCCAAGCCAAAGATCTGTTTCCTTCTTATTCTATAAGGCAAGAGTTAATGTTAAGAATGGATCAAAATCATACTGCAAATAATGCAAATTTAAGAAGTGAGATAAAAATAAACAATACAAAATATATCGACTGACGTCTCGGCACTTACACTAATAGGAAAATAGTTTACACCATACATATCGAGATCCTGAGTAATCTTAAGATATTCCATTTCGGCTTCATCCCGAGACATGCCACGATGATCGGCGTACCAAATCTTTATCCTGTCCTCCCACATTTCTGGAGTCATTTGGTATTGATCTATAACTCTCTGAGGAAGCAAATCTTCGCTGGCAAGCATTCCAGGGCGATATGAAACTTCATCGTAATCACCATACTAATAAATAAAATTAAAATTACAAAATCTCCTTTACTGTAGACACAAATTATTTTCATTACTCAATATTTATAAAATCAATTTTTTGACAATACATTCAAATTTTACAATATAATTAATGCAAAATAGTACTTGATATGAAATATCTAGTGATACAGTGAATTTCTAAGTGCAAAATTTATGCATTTTAAAAATAGAATCCTATTTAATAGGTACATTACAACTTTTGGACTGGATCCATCTCGTGCCTAAGCAACTAATATTTTCATTCAAAATGTATATAACTTAACAAGTACGCTTTTAAATTGTTCAGATAAACTTTCCCAATATTTTTTAATTGTATTGAAAAAACTATCATTTAAATATATAAAATTACATGTTGTATATACTCGTATCTGGTACAAATAAAATTCCAGAATACCCAAAACAAGTCTACGATTTATTTAAAATACTTTTATCCATTGTATATAAAATTAATTTTAAAATTAATTTTATAAATTATATGAATAGCTTTACCTGTAAATTATTATTAGATTAGATAGGAAGATACCTTTGCTTGGACAGCATAGGAAGCAAGTAACACAGAAGCCTCAGGCGGGCAATAAATGTCCATCGATAAAATAGCCTGTTTCACTTGTAAGAAAACAAATGTTGAGTGACCTCTTGCACAAGCTCTTCGGCCACATCCTCAGGATAAAATTTTGCCAGAAACATGAACGGTGTCGTTGGCTGCTGGGAGATGCCCTGATCCTGTACTGTAACCAGTTCAGCGTCATTACAACAAACACATTCAATGTTATCTGAATCTGGACACAGTCGAACATAAACACAACACTCGATTACAATCACCTTTCTTGTCTAGTTTTAGCCAGGAGATGAAACCCTTCGAGTCTTCGTACTGGAGTCCAAAGTACCATGTCTCTCTCAATCCTATTGTGCGGCACACCAGGTCGAATAAATCTCTGCCTGTCGACCTCCACTGCGGCACAGAAAATGAATGTTAATTCATGAGAATTATCATAAATAATTAATTATCACAAATAAATAAGAAATAATACAATATATATAATAAAAGAAATAATAAAAGAAATTAAAAAAATGTACAAAATACGTGAGACAAACACTGTGACATCACTAACTTCCAAGTTGAACTCGAGCTCCGCGTCCAGGGTGCAGACCTTGACGGGGAAGGACCTTCCCGACTTCTTCCTGCGAAACGGCATCGCGAAGGACGTGTTGCCGATCGCTCGTCGCGAAAGATCAGAGCTGGCGTTGATTTCGTACAACATTTCGGCGAAACGGCGACATTTTTCTCGCGATTTCGTCGTCAGGAAACGCGACAAATTGGACGAGTGAATCGAATAACCTCTTACATATCTCTCTCTTTCTCTCGCTCTTTTTCTCTATCCCTCTCTCTCTCTCTCTCTCTTTTGACGCGTGTCCCCTCCCGCCCTTCGATCGCGAAATTACGCGAATGTCTAAAATCGTGACAGCTCCCGTTCAAACGTCTGACATTTTTCCTCGCGCGTGCTCACGTCCCGCCTGTGACTCGCTAATTTCATACACGATCGCGCACTTGATATTTTCGCAGAACACGCAACACGCTCCGCGCATGCGCCGACCCGCCGACTCCGAGCCGCCCATTATGATTGCGCCGAACAGCGGGAAACTACTTTACCGACATATGAATTACAGAGTCCTCCATTATCGACAGCTGATAATGCAGGCTACGAAAATACCGTGTCGGTCCACCGCTATTATTTCAATTGAAATAATAGCGCGGTGGAACAGTCAATAAAATATATATTATATTATATTTATTATTTATATGCATATATATATATATATATATTAATATATATTATATATATTATATTAATTACATTAATATAATTGACTTTTACAATTGTTCCTTAAATTGATAACATTATTATTTTAAATAATTATTACAATTATAATTCTGAAGAGTACTTATAGCAGATATTAATTTTTTTCTATTTTTTAATTTTTTTATAAATATACTGGGAAAAGAGAATAATGCATTTTTTGTAATAATATTAATAAGAAAAACTATAATAAAGTTTCGTCTGTGATCTACATTTATTGAACAAATTTGTATTAATTAAAATGCGATTTTTTTTCATGAAAAAAATGTTCGTTTTCCACACGTGTGTTGCATCGGTTTTTTTGTCGGCAAGAAATCACGATTATTCTTCTTTCCAGTATTATAACTCGTTTATAACTGTTTTGCGCGAAAAATAAACGGGAAAAGTGCATAGTTCCGGTTAACGGTTAAAGTTGGGAAATACTAAACGTGAATCTGAACGATGATGCTGGTATATTAATTAAATATTCGCATGTTCTCATTTCGTGGAATACAACTTGCCGCATATGGGATAGGGGAAAACCAGAGAGGAAAATGAAGGAATGAGAGTAGAATTGGCGGTTCTTTCTATGGCAAAACGAAAGCTACGGTGAAGCGGGAACACCATATTTTACGGTTGTTCGTAATGTTGATAATTTGTTGGTGTTTTACTTCGATTTATAACTATAATAACAACAATTCAGAAATCTAATAATATGTGAATTCTGATAAAAGCATATTTTTTCTTTTACTTCTTTTGTATTATTACGAGAATAAATAAAGTTGTTATATACATAAAATTCTGTTCTAAATTTGTCGAAAATTGTACAAGTAGTTTGATGGATTTAAATTGAAGATATATCCGAAGAAATGTTTGGCAAACTAAACGTCGTAACTGTGAATGGGAATCCAAACTTTCTTTTCCAGACAATATCGAATGGCTTTCATACTCTAATTTAAAGTATTTAAGGAATTCACGCATGCAAAAGTGAAACGGAGAAAAAGTGTAATGTACCTTATAAACGATTTATAGCTTCGTTTTTTTAATCATTTGCCTGTCTTAATATTATCTTTCCATAATAGGCGACATTTTATTACTTTATAAGCTAAAAAATATTACATATTTAAATATACATATTTTTAGTACATAGAATAACTTCTCTCTGTATCTAATTGTGATCTTATTGTTAAATTTTACTTTAAATTCAAGTAACGAATTTTGAAAAGAGCGAAGGAATATTAATATTATAAATATTAATATTCATAATTTTCTATCTCGAAATAACGTTTTTCTTTTATAAGGTATATATGTCTAATGTAATTTCTTCTTTACACTTATTTAACTTTTTTCTTTGGCATGTCGACGGACAATTTTTTTTATCTCTTTTCTGTCGAAATTACTCTAAAATCAATTTAATTACTCCGGTGAAATTGAGCGTCGTAAGTATAACGAGACGCACAATATTTGAGAATGAAGGAGGAAAAAATTGAGAAGAGGAGTCATTAAAATCCCCTTCCACATGCGGCCAATGTCACTTTCACGACCTCGCGTTCCGCTACTGTTGAACGTAAGACAATAAAAGCCAGATTATATCTGGCGTGTTATAATTTTTCCGTAAGGGAAAAAAAGCATTGTTAACTTTATCTTTCGAAATAACGTCAAACTTTCTCACACGCAAACGCGCAGAATATCGCATTTTCAAGGGACTCGTAGAAAATGAAAGATCGCAGAGGGTCTGCCTAAAGATTAAGGAGTAATTCCTGCTTTCAGGCATCCAGAGAAATTAATTTTCCACGGAAGAATTTTATAAGAGTTTCTCTGATTGATATTTTTACCACAATAAAAAATATTAATATCTATATATATTTATTTTAATAAAATTATTACAATTTATTAAATTTATTAAATATTATAGTTATATTTTATTAAATTATAATAAAAAGAATTATTATATTAAATATTAATATAATATTACAATAAGATATAAAATAGGTTTGATTAATTTTACTATGTATATATTAATATTTTTTATTGTGATATTAATCATAAAAACTCTTATAAAATTCTTCCAATATTATATTTGTTTCACGACTATCATGATTTTCGGGGTAAATTCTAATATTCTCTGATTAATATTTTTACCACAATAAAAATATTAATATCTATATATATTTATTTTAATAAAATTATTACAATTTTATTAAATTTATTAAATATTATAATTATATTTTATTAAATTATAATAAAAAGAATTATTATATTAAATATTAATATAATATCACAATAAGATATAAAATATAGGTTTGATTAATTTTACTATGTACATAATAAAATTTACTATGTATACATATATTAATATTTTTTATTGTGATATTAATCAGAAAAACTCTTATAAAATTCTTCCAATATTATATTTGTTTCACGACTATCATGATTTTCAGGGTAAATTCTCTGCATTTACCCTCCTGAGTTTGTACACCACTTGGTTCCCTCTTTGCTCTCATCTGTTCTCCGGGTTCTCTTCCCCTCCCGGTTTCCTCCGGGAGACGGTGAACGACGAGGATGCTGGAGGGATTTTGTAGGTGGCTTGGCTTGCTGTAAGCGGCGTCTTCGTTCTCTCGCGTGGGGATAACTGGAGCTTCGGCTTAAGTCAACTGTATCACGTCGGGATCAAGTAGTACACTCTGCCTCGTTGCGTCGTGCACACTTCGGATTAGTGACGGACGTCCCGCAGGCAGATCGGCGCGCGCCTAAGGGAGAACACCCCGGAAATCGGCGGCGGGAAGACAGGAAGAGGACTATCGCTCGTTAAATGCATCATTAAAGCAGGAGATATGCGACTCTACGCTGTGAGTTTCATCGGATTTGCATGCGTGCATTTTTCTTCCGCGTTTCACTGGCTCCTCTTCACGTCCCATTGTTTGCATCTGAAATAGACATATACTGAATTAATATTTTTAATTGCACTGAGCGAAGAAAATTTATGACGTATCCTATTATAAGTGGAATACGAAAAAAATTTACATAAAATTATCCTATTGTAAAAATACAGTAAAATATATTTAATTGCATTTAAGAAATAATGATGAATAATATTTTTCTATCCATTTTTAATTACATCAAAATATATATTATAAATAATAATTGAATAATAATAAATATATAATTATACATAATAAATATAATTGAATTTAAAATGATGACGAATACAATTTTTTAATTAATTTTAAATAATCAAAATACATAGTAGATTGAAAATATATTTAATTATATTTCATTAATATTTTTAATTAAATTTTAACTCTAAAATAATGAATAAAATTTGTATGTTAATTTTAAATTATATCAAAATATATAGGTAAAATTCATTATTGCATAAAAGGTGCATCATATTTGTTCTTTTTACAGGTTGCTCTTGTCATATGGGCGGCAACAATAACAGCATTTTCGGTACCCAACGTCGCAAATTTAAGTGATGAAAAGGTAAATAAAAAAATTATTTTTCACATTTAGAAAAATAACTTACAGTATAGAACATTGCATCTCGTTAATGCGAATTGCATAAAGTTTATCGACATGCATCATTTAACATTTCATTATCTATAACAATACAGCATATAACAAAGAAGTATAGAGTCGCAATTATAATTTTTCTCTTCGATTACAAATAAATTGAAGTAAAAAGTAACCAATCCATTTATTACTAACACAAACTTTTAGAAAAAAAGATCCATAAATTTCGATCTACATTCTACATCTTCATCTTCATCAAATTGATATATTCGGGTTAAAGCGCTTGATAATATAAAATCAATCAAGGCGATTTTAAAATAAATGACGAGGAAGCATATGGTCCAAAATACGATCTAGGTTCGACAGTTCTGACATAAATCGGAGAAAAAAAGAGAGACCTGACGGATACACGCGAATGAAAGTGGTCGAAAAAAATTTCTTCTTTTTTCGAGCGCGCGCGACAGTTGATAGCTTCGGGCGGCCTCGTCGGAGGCCCTAGGAGCTTGATGAGAGAACCGAGATGCTTACAAACATCCTTAACCTTGGGGCATAGAAATCTTTAACCTCGATCTACTTGCGGCGCGTCATTCAAGTGCTACTTTACGTATAGGCGCGACGGGCCGAGATAAAATTACAGCTGGGAGCTGGTGGGACACACAGACCGGATGAATGTCGCCGGTCCCCCGGTTGCTTCCGGATTTCTTCACTCGCAAAATATAATCGTGCATGTAATTCTACTTGGAACATTTAATGGGAATCGTTCGACCACGAGATTATCCCGCACCTTGTTCAAATCGGCTATCCTGAAGCGCGAACAGAGTCGGAAAAAAAGGCAGCAAGCGTGTAATCATTCTCACGTTATTCGCACCTGTGTGCAAATCGCATTAATTAGTTTACGGTACTGTAATAATGTAAAGTTATATTACGGAAGAGAATATAAATTTTAAATGTACCGTGTATGAATAATGGGATGATTCGAATATTATATTAATATAAATATATATGGAAAGAAGTGTATACTTTATATACTTTCTCTTAAAATTAGAGGAAGTTACGCCGATGTAACTGATATTTTGGAATTTAACCGACCTGGAGAAAACGGTAGTCTCAAGAAAGTCGAATAGCTTCGCGTACATTTTTCATTTGCATACTGCGAATTTTCACATTTTCGTGTCAGAACTTTCGTTTGCATTTTATATAGCAAGAACTTGCCGGTAGAAAGCTCAAATTATTTAGCTAAATATTGTATATATTATAATGTTCTTATATACTTTTTTAATTAATTCTATATTTATATATAAAGATGCAGGAAAATATTGTGTAGAAGAAAAAAATGTATAACAAATCTATAAAACTTCAAATAAAACCTAATAAAAAATTACATCACAAAAAAAGAATAAAAAAAAATTAAAAAATATGCGAGTTCTTTAAGCCTTATAAAATTCTTAAAAAATTAAAATCTATTTTTCCGTGCATGATTTAATAAAAGTATAGATAAAATTATTAATTTTCTCATAAATTGAAAATAATAATCTATAACAGGAAATGTAATAAACTACAGTAAAATTGCAATAAAATGTAAATTTACTTCCGAGTACTTTTTATCTAAATATTATTTCTTTTTGATCGTGCATGAAAGCGATCTTCGATTTGCTTTGATTAAAGGTGAATACTCTTTATTCGCGCAGCAACATGCAATAAAAAAATCTATTTATGCGTGTATAATTTAATAAAATATAGATAAAATTATTAATTTTCTCATAAATTGAAAATTACAATCTATAACACAAGAAGAAATGTACATTTCTTAAATAAACTGTAATAAAAGTTGCAATAAAATGTAAATTTACTTCCGAGTATTTTTTTACTGAAATATTTTTTTCTCACGCATAAAAGCGATCTCCGATTCGCTTTGATTAAAGGTGAATACTCTTTCGTGCAGTGAGTTCCCTGAATTTCCTTTGTCACGCAAAGTAAAACAGCGTTTATACCGTTTAGGAATAAACGGTGAAAATGTGATTCCACGTGATTCCACGTGACGTGTAAAAGCGCGAGTCCCAGCGCGAGCGAATTAATCGCGGGGCACATTATAGTGCATCCCAGCGAGTGAAATTGACGCAAGGCTAGACAAATACCCGGGGCGCTGAATTAAAAAAGACGGCTGAATTAAGAGAGTCACGGACAAGGTGGAATACGCGACGTGACGACGTGACACGCGGAGGAGAGCGCGCGCACGCATTTTCTTCGCGCGTTAAAAAGGAAACTCACTTCAGTGAAAGTGCCCATGCACACATACTATATATACGCGGACGTTAAATTCGTTTCCCCCGTTATGGTGATTGCCGATGTTGTTTCGATATGCGGGGATGCACCGGCGCGGCGCCGCAAATGTCACGTTATACAATGACACGCAACTCATGGGAGACGAATCGATTGACGTGCCGCGAAGGGATTGAGAAAATTTCAATTTCGATCAACGTCAATTGTCTCTTCTTAAACGGGATTTAAATATTAATCATTAATATGGAATTCAAAATTATAATATTATTATGAAAATTAATAAATATTATAAAAAAATTAATTACAATATTAATGAAATGAAATAAATAAAAAGTATGAAGTTTCTCTTAAACTCTACTTAATTTTCCCTTTAATATATATATTATCATATTTAAACGATAATGAATTTTTAATTTTATTAAATTTAAAAAATAATTATATATTAAATTATTTTGCATTGCATCGAATCCCCTAATTTAATTTCGATAGAAAGGTCTCGAGGTGAACAAACAAATTGAAGCACTTATGCACTTATCGTCGAGAGCGCATTCCTTTGAATATTTGAAACAAGATTATTGTTCGATATAATGGCGGGTTCTCGTCGATATTTATTCCCTTACGACGGCGAAACAATGTGCGGAGAAAGTTGTTTTCGACATGTTTTCATATATATATATATGTATCAATCATGTACGAAATTGGAAAGGTGAAGCTGCGCTCGTTCTTCATTTGTAGAAAACTATTCGCCTTCGAACAAATTACAATCGTTTCTTTATTGGTATTTCATATCTGCTGCTATACTCGAAGTAGCGCTCCTTCGTTATTATTATTTATTTCAATGCACCACTTCTCTCTATATCCGTGTCGGACGAGGCAAACGGTAAATACGCAGTCAGTTATGTCTTGATTTATCCGTAATATTTACGCAGCCATGCGCTATTACAGATCCGCAACACGTGCAAAAAATTCCCGCCTTTTCCAGAGCACGCGTTGATGATGAAAACATTATTCAAATCAGGTCACATATAAAAGACGACTTGGAATATCTCGGAAGAAATGCACAAAATGATGCTACAATTATATCTCCATGTAATATATAATGATATAATTTTCTTCTGAAAAAGAGTATATCACTGTAAAAAATATGTAATACATTTTCATTATTTATCATGCAATTTTCTACTTATTATTTACGTAATTTTACATACTTTTTTACAGTGTACACCGCATAAAAGCTATCAATCTAATTATAAGCTCTAAAATGTAAAGAAACAACAAAATCTTATCATCTACTTCTATGTAGTTTCCCAGCAAATCTTCCTTAATGTTTATTCGAACAGCTGTTAAAAAACTGAAATTCCTTCTTAGAAATGATATTGACAACTGCAATTATTATTGCAAAATTGATCAAAAATTCACGATTAATTAGATCTGAGAGAAATGCGGTTTGCGAATTGATATCTCTCTCTCTCTCTCTGCTATGCATCGAATCCCTCAATTAAAATCATACGTGGCCATATATGCTCCGCAAAGGAAAGAGAAATATGGCGGGGCTTTCGGCAGTAAAGTAAAGGGAAAGTAAAGGACCAGTCGGCGAGACGAGATGATTGAGGACATATATCAAGTTGTACCCCTTCTCGCTGGACCCATCCACGGGATTTACTGGCGACTCTCACTGGTTTTTCTTTTGCGCGCGTGGTGCAAGAATGCCGGCATCTCTTCTCCCCGTTTCTCCTCATCTATCTTCTCAAGCCTCGTCGGACGATATATATACCGGAGAAAGGGAGCTCGCGAATGCGGCGGGTACCGTAACTGCACCTTTCTCTCATCCAAGACGCGTTATTTTCGATCTCCCCGTGACGGGAGACGCCGAGGAATTCTTCATCTTCACGGGGTGTGTCCCGTATATCGCCGGCACTTCTTTTCCAGAACCGGCTACTTCTCTCTCCGATGACGGGGCATTAACTAGCCAATTCTTTTTGCTTTCCCGAGGAAGCGAAACGTTATCTACTTTCCTTGTGGACTCTTTTTCCGAAAGAAAATTTACTGCCGGATTCGATAATGAGCACCATGGGTGTCCGCAGGATTTTTTCTAGAAGGAAGCATCATTAGTTTTTTTTTATTTATATATTAAATATGCAAATTTTAATGTTTATTTATCAAAGAAGAGCAAATGCTTGATCTTTTTTACCGATTCCAAGGAGAAGAAGCAAATATCGCCTCTGTGCGGTCGCCCATAATGAATACTTCCATGTCTCGCTGTACGCGATAATCCTTTATAAAACACCGTAATCATAGCGGCCGCTAATTTTAATAATGTAACGTAATCTTAATAATGTAGATTTACTTACGCAAAGTGGAACGCATGCAGATTTCGCCGGCGAGAATTTATTTTTCGTTCCTTTCTTCGCTCGCGAAAAAGTGTGCCGACATTGTTGGCCTCTCGATACTCGATGATACTCCATCATTGATATTTTTGCGCCTCTCTTCCTCTACAAAATATCTTCTGGGTCACCGCGATTTGCTCCATTTGGAAATCCACGGCGTCTGGATGCGATCGAGATGAGTTTCCGATGAGTGCCGATGCGAAGAGACACCTAAACGGATAACGAGTGACTTTAATGCAAGAGGAAAGAACTTAACAAGATATCGCTCGAGATATCTATTTTTATGTTATTTTAATATTCTTATATAAAGATAATAATTGCGGAAATGAGCGGGACAATAATTCTTGTGTGCATATATATATATATATATATATATATATATATATATATCGGGTGATTTCGATGATATTTCGTTTCTCCTGAATAAATCCCCGTCGTAATCCGCGTTTAAAGAGCCCGGAAGAGTGAAAGGGAAGTAACGATTTATATATATAAAACAGTATTTAACGCAGCTCTTGCTGCTAATTTCTAGCTCGATACGGCACGTTTTATTATCGATTTCTAATCTCTCGTCTAATCTCTCATTAAGCCTCTTATTTAATTTCAACCTCCTCATTGCGCTATGTTTTGTGCAAATATAATATATACGTAGATATAATAAACATGTCGATATTTTTAAACACCGTGTATATTTATATAAAATTTTTATTTTCGAGGTAATCGTTCGAATGTGAGCTCTCGATAAATTTATTCAGTTTGAGGAGAAAACAATAATTGATGCTAATTGTAAGTTATATAAATTGCGACGAATGTAGGATTTGATTGAAATATTCTTTTTCACCGAATCCTTTCATAAAATTATACATATTCCGCGGAACACATGCCTGACGTATGATTAATGTTCCCATAGGATTCTCCCAGGAGCGCAGTTCCGCAATTTCTCAAGGTAGCTTTCGCGGCGAAATTATCCCGAGTACAACCGCAAATTTTCTGGACGACCCCTTTACGACCGACTCATATTTTTCAGGCTGTAGATTACACGGAGCTTCGTGATTTGCCGGAGAAGCGAGCAGATGTGGAAGCGAGAAGTTTCGAGATCACCGGGGATCATCGTCATCATCCTGACGTCGGTTCGAGAGGATCAGCTGACGCGAAGGGCTCGTTTGACGTTTCTCCCACTTCGGAGGCCATTTACGCGACGCCGGTCGCCGAAACGATCGACGGATATCCGTTTCAAGAGCGGAGTCGCGAGTCAGGATACGCCGTCCCCGAAGAGCAGATCCTCCTCGTCGAGAATGCCGGCAGTTTTGGCCAGAAGGTCTGGCAAGATCATCCGAGAGGCAGAACTAAACCTCGGAAGGACGACGGCTACGCGAGTTTCCGGAAGTCCCACGTCGTTTCCGGTAGCACCGCGTCGCCGCTTCGATCTTACGTGACGGTGACGTCGGAACCTTACGTGTTCGCGTTGAAGAAAGAGCACGACATGGCGGATGAAGGTCATCTTCCAAGGTCATCTTCCAAGGACGATTCCGAAGTGATTGAATCCAAAGTACCTGAGGAAAAAAAAGAGAACAAAGTGGTCAATTCTATTGAAAGTATGGGAGAATCCTCGGCATCGACTAATGTCGCTTCTTCGATCCTAGAGGAAAATAACGTCGTACCTGAAGATCCTCAGCCTCCACGAGCAAGGTCGTCCCGAGCTTACGACAACGGTACGGATGAAGAAACTGCGGAAGGACCTGTCAAAAAGAGCGTCGTGCGAGTGTCCTCGTCGACGTCCGTGGAAATCAGTCCCTCGTTGCAGCCGGTCAAGTTTTCGGGTCCCATCGTCGTAGCTGATCTGGCTAGCAAAGAGACTCCGGTTGATTATCCTGACGAAGCGGCCGAGGTGTCGTTGCCGTTCAGGTCGGCTGAGAACGTTGAAATCGCGCCAGGAAGCTACGCCGAAGGCTCCCAATCGTCGATTCCTCTCAACGACGATGACATAGCGACGTCCTCGATCATGTTGAACCCTCTCCAGGTGGGGATCGCCCTGGTGAACGCCGATGAGACCAGTTTGACGAATGACAACGAGCAATCCGCCGCGACGGATAGCAAGGATTACGCTCAGGACTACCTCCAGGACGAGCTGCAGCGTCTGTCGACGGTGGATAAAAAGTTAGTCGAGAGCGACGTCGAGAATCGATCGCGGGTCGATTATAAGGACGAGAGAGAAGGAGAGAAGGCTGAGTCGGTTGAGACTGTCGTGCAGAAGGTACCTGAGAATTCCGTCGAGATTCAGAAGTCGGTCGAAATTTTCCATACCGCACCCGTGCACGAGATCCATTATCCTCCGGTGTACATCCAGCAGACCTCCAATCTCGGTGTCATCGAGTCGAATAATATCGGGAGAGCCAATCAGCCGTACGGTCAGGATGAACAATCGGAATCACGGATGAATTACGATGCCTATCGAGGTAATGTCAAATTATTACATTGTTGGATCTCTTTGCTTTAATATCGATGATTTGATTTCTTATTTATTCCATAACGTTTTTTTTGTGGGCCAACAAAATGGCAAGAAAATTAAAATTATTTTTTTTTAATTTGAAATTGTATAGATACACGAAGAGAGAATTTTCTCTTAGAATTTACTCTGTAAATAATGATTGATAATCGTGGGACAATATGGTATTGGACTAATTTTCTAAGAGTTTTTTTCTGATTAATAAATCTTTCAATTTTCTCTGATTAATATTTACGACAATAAAAAATATGTTTTTGTACATAGTAAAATTAATCCAACATATCTTACATTTATTGCGGTAAATATTAATATTTTTTATTGCGATAAAAATATTAATCAGAGAAAATCTTATAAAATTCTTCCAATACTAATAATGTCCCACGATTATTATAATTTTAGGGTAAATTATAAGAAAAAAAATTTGTTAACTTGACTGAATATTTACCTAAATATTATTTTGCTAATTGAAAATATAAAAATATTTAAATTAAATATAACATATTTATACACATATTATTACAAATAGTAATATAATTGAAAGGTTTAGTCAAGTTAAACAATTTTGTTCAATGTAGCTATCGCGCTATTCAGTTCACGTAAAGTTAAAAAACCGCACGAAGAAGTATTAACTTTCATTAATAATTTATGGATGAGAGTCGACGATATATATATATGTGTATGTATTACGCAAGCTCCGACTTACAATTAGTTATAACACGCAACACGTCGAATTAATAATGCCGAGTATGCTGTGCGTAATAATAATTTTACGCCTCGGAGCACGCGACAAATTGCCAGGTTTCACCCGCGAAAGAAGACTGCAGACAGACATCACATAATGCGTTGATGTGTCGGGCATTTCCGTTTTCCAGGTAACGAGCCGAACGTCGTCAAGGCGCAGCTTCCGGAGCAGATGAAGCTCACCCGAAACCGATACAACTCCCTCGAGGACGATGCCCTTGGTAAAGCAACAACCTCAGCTGTCATCACCGAATACTCGTCGTCGTCGGGTGAGCAAACTCCCGTAGAATCGCAGTCCTACAAGTACAATGACGTGCATCATCCGGTTCTGCTGGTGCCGAATCAGTTCGAGGAGACGTCGTACGATCAGTCCGATGTGCGGCACAATTTCAAGGACGACGTGTCGGCGCACGCTGCCAAGCTTCTCACCTATGGAGGCACTTCGAGGCAGGAATCGGCGAGCGAAATCTATCGATCCGATCAGCAGCAACCGATTACCGATCACCAGTTTCGCACCTCGGAGATAAGACGACCGGAAGCGTCGCCTCAGCAGCTCCTTCTCAAGATCATCCCCGAGGGCTCCGTGGACAACGGCTTCGTGGTACCGATCCCTCGGCCCTTCCCGATCGAGAAGATCATCGAGAAGACGGTCCACGTGCCGCATCCGATCGAGATCGAGAAGCTGATCGAGAGGAAGGTGCCGTATCCGGTGGAACGGGTGGTCGAGAAGCGGGTCCAGGTGCCGGTGACGGTTCCCCAGGCGTATCCGCAGATGCACGTGCAGGTACCGATGCTCGAGAAGCAGATGATACGCTTGCCCCAGTCTGTCTATCCGGTCCACGTGATCGAGAGAAGAGTTCCGTACACGGTGCAGCGAGTTCTGGTGCAGCCTGTCCCGTCGTATCAGCTGCGACTCCAGCAGGCTTCGACGACCCAGGAGAAGCCGGCGACCCCGTCAAGGTCATCCGCGGGGTCTCGACCCTATCGCTCGGACGCGGAGAGACCCGTCGACCTGCTTGACAGCTCGAAGATCAACGATGTACCTGGAAAATATCGACTTAAGTCTCCGACTTCCGGAAAACCCCTTCGTGACTCCGAGTCGCAAAATGAGGGAAATACCTCACGGTTTTATAGTTCTTCCATTCCTCCCTATGGAAGACCTTTGACGTACGATTACAACATCGATGTTGGCAAAGGCTACGTCCCCTTCAGCGACGTCAAGCTGATGATTCTGCCGAGGAAGTACAGCAACCACGTGGTCCTGCGACCCCATCAGACGACGGTGCCGCTTCGCCAGATTGTGTACAACCTGGTGGAGAAGAACAAGGACGATAATTACCTGGGTCCGACGCCGCCGCGGAAGACCTCGCAGAGCAAGTCGCAGTCTTCTTCGTCCTCATCCTCGTCCTCGGCAGCTCTGAGGCGATCCAGGCATCCGGATACCCAGTATCCCGGAAGTTTCAGACAGTCCAAGATGGAGTACGGCTTCAAGCCGCCTATGGTACCGTCGGTGCAATACGACGAGTTGACCGCGACTCAAGTGGAGAATTAACGCGATCGTCCACGATAGCGATTTCAATAGTAGAAATGCGTAACGAGGCATCTCAAGGACGTCCTTAGGTATCTCAAGGAAGGAGATTTTTATATGCGTCTTGCGTTATTCGGATTTATATACAAGAAATGAATCGATAGAGGAGGATTCATTCCTCCTTCGAAATGTAACGCAAATTTCATCATTTATTTTGTTTGTATATTTATTTGTTACGAAAATTCGTACTTTTTAATTGATATTGATTTTAATTGATAGTGATATCAAAAATGTTTTTTTTTTACACATGGAGAGAATTTTCTCTTAGAATTTACCCTGAAAATTATGATAGTCGTGAAACAAATAAAATATTGGAAGAATTTTATAAGAGTTTTTTGATTAATCGCAATAAAAATATTAATATATACATAGTAAATTTTATTATGTATACATAGTAAAATTAATCGAACATATTTTATATCTTATTGTGGTATTATATTAATATTTAATATAATAATTTTTTATTTAATAAATTTAATAAAATTATAATTTTATTAAAATAAATATTAATCAGAGAAACGATTATAAAATTCTTCCAATGCCACATTGACCCACGATTAGAATGCTTTTCAGGGTAAATTCTAAGAATAAATTCTCTCTGTGCAGTTTAGTTGCTATATCTTGTTACATATCTTATAATAAAACGTTACACCTTGTATATCTTATATTTAATTAATTGAAATGAAAATTTCTGAAATTGTTGTTGAAAAATATTGTTGAATAATATAATGAAAGTAAGACGATAGTTGGCGCAAGTACACTTACATGAATTTTTTTACTATAATACTGTTGTATAAATAACGAATATTTAGATTTAATATATAGTGAAAGAAATTTGTTTAATTACATATTAAATACTCGTTTTGCTAGAAAAACATCTTGTAATGATATATTAGGATCAACACGAGCTTAGGCACCGATCAACGCACTTTAAAGCACACTTATCGTAGCATTCAAACCTCTTTAGTCAAGGGTTACTGACTAAATAACACTGCGAGTCCCCTTATTACATGTTTACAATCGATCCACTTCAGCAATTCACAACCTTGAATCAAGCCGTCGTAAAAATAAGTAATGTGTACGCTTTTGCACTCGAGACTATATTTTGATTTTGTTATACGTATAGTATACAATATTTTATAATATATTCAAAAGCCTCTTTATTTAAAAATAAATAAAAAAAAAATTTTTTTTAATTAATACATTTTTTATCTAATAAATATAATTTATAAGTAAAAATAAATAAATTTTTTATGGGATAAAATTTTTTCTAAAGAAATATAAAAGAATTTTATTTTATTTTTTTTTAAATTTAATTTAATTTAATTTTATTTTATCAAAATCACTTCGATAATAAGATTGAATAAAGTCAAATAAGATTTTTAATTTTTTTTCTCAAAAAATATGAGTTTATAAATGGACCACAGAAATGTCATTTGTTTACAACGACGAATTGATTCGAGATTTCGCTAATAAAAAACGATAAGAAAATTTTATACCGAAATTTTCTTCAATTAATTAGCAATTATTGGCTATGAAAGATCTAAGTGATGATCAAAATTTGTAGTTTGCTACGAAAAGCAATTCAATGTACCTTATATCACTAGTGCCTAATTGAAATTGTTATTTGAATGTTATCGATTTAATATTATTGTTGCTAATACAAATTTTGAAAATAGAATATTTAATTAAGTTTTGTATAATATATTTTTTATTTTCATATATTCTTATCACTATATTTATTTCATGTCTCTCCATATTATTCCTTGCTCCTTTATATATTTATGTGTCATAAACGTATTACACATATATCAAAAATAAAAAAGTTTTTTAAATAAAATAATTTTTAAAGAAAAACATTAAATAACAGAAAATTAAAAAATTTTTATATTTGAAATATAAACTTAAAAGCTTTTTTAATTAGCTTGCACTATGTTACCAATTAAATTATAAATTTAATATTAAATAAAAGTATTAAATTAAATATTAATATAATTTTGAGTAAATAAGTAAATTAATTAATAAATTCATAAATTACATGTAATAAAAATGTAAACCTTTGTTTCTTTTTTTACAACAATTTTACGGCTTAATCTTGAATTTCGATCATTCCTGTCTGTTAATTGTCTTCTAAGTCAAGTTATTATTAGTAGATATTATGCCTGCAGTAGATATACTAATATTACAACAATATTACAAGGCTTGAGAGAACTGAATTATCGACATAGGCAGAGTGTTGTAAATAGAAAGTAGACTGAAACTTACCTTAAATAACGACCAACTGTATGCTAACAAGAATATAGAAATAAAAATTTGATTTCCAGCTTAGCTTGTCGATCGATAAAATATAAAAAATATGTGTAAATAAAAGGTATTATTTAAATAATAATATATATTTCTCTATTCAATGCTTTTTGCAAGAGGAAAAGCCAAGCATTTAAAACGCTTACAACAACACACAGCCGGGGGCACATTTTTCCCTTCTCACATTGCCCAATTTGCTCCGTTTTCAGCCTGGCCTGGCTGCACATTTTCTATTTGCGATAAAATTTGCCAACACTTTATATATCTTTGAGAGCATCGTTGCGTACCGCTAAACGAACCGCGACGCGATTTTCTGTAATGCCGGGTGTGCATGCATGCATTCGCGAATTACAGCCTGCTGTAATTCGAGCCGTTTAAAAACGTGTTTGACCATTTAATAACTTGCTACATTTAACGAGCCGTATAAAAAATCTCTCACCTTCACGCCTTTTGCTCGCGTTTCTATATCGAGCAAAAATAAGCTCCATAAATAAATATAAAATCAATTTTCCCAATCAATTTTGTCGAACAGATGCGTCTATTTTTGTCTACAAAATATAAATTGTAAATATATATCCGGTTAAATAATTTATTTGATCGAATCGAATCCAAAGTCAAAATTTTATTCCTATTTTCGACTTTAATTTTTTTACAATTCAAAAGGATTTTAATACACTGAAAAAAATGACTACGTTAAATATTTATTTTAATAAATCATTGATTTGAAACGAATAAATATTTATTTTTTTCGAAAAGAATTTCTTACATCAAATCAATATTATTAGTTTCCAATAAATGATTTATTTGGCAGAAATAAATACTTATTCGAATTCAATAAATTTTATTTCCAGTGTGGATTTAATTTATATCTATCTCAAATATAAATATACTTTGATATTTAGAAATTTTTGGTAAAACTATTAGAGTGAATAGAGTTTCAAAAAGATGATGGGGTTTATAAAATATTTAAAGTAGACTTTTTAATTAAAAATTCAAATCAAAGGAGGAAAATTTTCGACTCGAGATGCTCGGAATTCTAATTCCGAAACTAATCGCCGTGTTTCGAACAGAGAGAGAGAGAGAGAGAGAGAAGAGATCGAGAGGAAATTTTCGCGTGGGAAAATCTCAGGAGAAGTGAAACAATCTTGTCGAATGTACATTATTTTAACAGAATACGTTCCTGCCACATTATTGAGAAATTAGATGTATCATTTTAGCTGCACGAAAAAGAAAAATTATTGCGCCAAAGTAAAATTGCGTCAGCGCAATTTTTAAGAAAATCTCCCTTGTTTTACCATCTCTCCAATTTAACTAAATAAAAATATTGGTGAGATTAATAAAAAAAAATTAATCCTAAAATCGAAATAAGAGCATCATTCAGCTGAATCGGAGGTGCTGAAAAATAGGGAGGAATTTAAACTGTTCCCACCTTATCGCTTCCTCGAGGGTTTGGGAGATAGTTACATATTCGCGCTCTTTTTCCTCGCAATAAAATGCACATAGACCGGCAATCATCATCCGAGATTATGCGCACGGAGGTGGATCCCCGATGGTGGACGCTGATGAGGGAGAGATTGCGTGACCGAAATGCGCGGCGCGCTGCGCGCGTTGCAAAACGAATTATTCGCCGTTAGGTAATCATAGGTAAGAAGAGCAAATAGCGTCAAATTTAAATCAGATTGTATCACCGCGCGAGCCGGCATTCCTGAACGGCGGCTCTCCAGGTGAAAAGCAAGCAACGCGTGAAACGCATCACTTAGAAAAGCCGAGCTAAGTGGCTTAACGTGAACCGAGGAGACGATGATTGGCCTCTTACAAATACATAATAAATAATAATTTATTAATATTGAATTAAATCAAATCTATATATAATATAAATCAAATAAATAAATATATATATATATATTTGATTTATATTATATTGATATATGTATATTTGATTTGATTCAATATCAAATATATTATTATATATATAATAAATATATTATATATATTTTTATTACACATATATATTTATATATGTAATAAAGAAATAAAATAAATATTAAGAATTTAAATGTATATTATCTATGTATATTTTCGAAATAATATTCTATTATAGAGGAAATGTGTGTTGATAAAAATCTAATAGTGATTTATGCATGCATTTATATGCAACTAATTTCGTGAATTATCTGGAAAACTGAAAAAAAAAAACAAACGCTAATTTAATAAGCGTTTCGACTGATGGAGGGTTAAATGCTTGAAATTTGCTGGAGGATAGCGTGATGTGCACGACGCCTCTGCTATCTATCTATAAGTGCATTTATGGAGTCGAGAGACTCTGATGTATTAAAGGCGATTCACGTAATATATTAATGTGTGCCGTCAATCCGCGCACGCAAATTGCGGGATAATACGAGCTGTTGTTCTTTCGCGAAAACGAACGTCATTAAAAACAAATAAACTTGCGCGGGATTGTATCGCGTGTAAAGAACGACGTGTATGTATACGATCCGACTGGGTGGTCCCGATACTTTTGTCATCTTGTCCATTAAATCCTAACGATAATGTGTTCAACTAATGATATCCGGATAAAAAAACCGGCAATAATTCCGACAAAAATCGATATCCATCTTTTAAACAAGCTTCTACACGAAAAAATTTTCTCTTAGAATTTACCATGAAAATTATGAGACGATATTGGTTTTGGAAGAATTTTATAAAAGTTTTTCTGATTAATATATTACAATAACAAATATTATAATATATATATATATATATATATAGTAAATTTTATTTAATAATTTTATTATGTATATAATGAAATTTACTATGTATATATATATTAATATTTTTATAAGAATTTCTCTGATTAATATTTGTCACAATAAGAAAATTAATATCTATACTACAATAAGATATGAAATTTGATTAATTTAATTTCGATTACATAGTAAATTTTACTATGTAATAATTAATTGAACATATTTCATATCTTATTGTAGTATAGATATTAATTTTTTTATTGTGATAAATATTCAAAAAAGATCAGAGAAAAAATAAAAATTCTTACATCTCTTATAAAATTCTTATTTCTTCTCAATACCATATTGTTCGACGATTGCGATGACTTTCAAGCTAAATTTTAAGAGAAATTCTCTCTGTGTACAAAGCACTTAATTAATTTTATTTAAGAAAATTTCCCCCTAATTTAGATATAATTTAATCGTGAAAGTTGCGCGAAAAGCTATAGAGATGTAAATTCGAATGTTCGTGGAGGAAAGATTAGCATTTTCGATTTAAATATATATATATCGGTCCGTTCACCGAATAAAACCTATCCTAGTCTATCTCGCTGCGCAAATCTCTCTCATACATTTCTGTAACGCTGTTACAACGGTGAAGATGAAGTATGCCCATAATTGGATCCCGCCATAAGCGAAAGGGTTAACCCGTTAAGCCGTTCGGATCTTACGCGGTCTAACTATACTTGACGTAACGAGCTACGTACGTATTGCGGCATTAGCATATCGTTACGGTCGTTGCACGTCGGTGCACGTCGTATTAATATTACAGGGAAGAGGATGATGACACGCCGGTGTCTTGCGTAGAGCGGAGATCTTTCAAGGACACCTTTCAGGGATCGGCGTGCGTAAGTATATACCTTAAGTATATATTTGCGAAAAGAGAAGAGGGAAAAAAAACGAGAGGTGAGAGTCGTCGTCGTCGTCGTCGTCGTTAGCGATGCTCCAGATGAGAGCGTGGGCCCTTCCTCGACGACGCGATACAAAGGAGATCGAAAGGCAGGATTTACCGAGCGCGCGCTGGCCATCTCCTGCATATAATTAAGGCACCGATTTTGCGCAATTATTCAAACAGGAGCGACGTCGCTGCTCCTATTTCCTCGCCGAGGCATTTTCCAAGGGCGTTTTCTTGTGCGACGTCAAGATCTCATTGGAAAATCTTTATCAGAAAATTGATTTAGTTTTAATTTAATATTTAGTTATTGTTTAACTCATTAGAATTTGTATTATAATAATATATATTATTTAATATAATTTATATTATATTAATTAATATAATAATTAATTCTATTATAATAATTTATATTATATTATATAAATATATATTATATATATATATATATATATATATATTTAATTTTTAATTTAATATCGCAAGTAATAAACTGACGTCATTAGATGTCAAAATAATGTAATTTTGACGTTTAGTGATGTCATTCGACGTCAAAACGACGTTGCTTGCTACCTGGGATATATTATATTTATATTATATTATATTAATTATAAATTAAATTTTTTAATGTAATATAATATTTAATATAGGATATTAAATTAAAAATTTAATTTGCAATTAATATAATATATAAATATAATATCCTAGGTAGCAAGCACACGTCGTTTTGACGTTGAATGACGTACAAGCTACTTGGGATTTAATTCGAGCTGTGAATCTTGTTCGCATAATTATTTGAATAATAATAATTAGTGTACCGTTGAACGGGTTAACGCGAACCACCCTTCTTCATCCCCTTTCTTTCGCGATTCTCTTATTCGGTAGCCCGATGAACGAGCGCGCGATCGCTCATCTTCATTCCCGTGGACCGTCGTCGATCGCGTCCGCTGGTCCTGCGACTTAATTAAGTCTCAAACGCCTAATTAGTTCGCTCTAAGAAGGCGAGCAGCCGCCACGGGCTGTCCCACGCGATGAAGTAATCAGCTTTCTCCGCGCTAGGCTCGGCTCGGCTCGTCTAGCTCACCTCGAGAAGCGCGCGCTTCTTCTTCGGCGTTCTCCCCGAAATACGCTTGTGGGAACAATGAGAAACGAAGCTCCCTATGTGAACTGGAGTACACGCGGTCGTCGTCTCTTATACTGCCTACGTCGCTCGAGCGAATCCCCAGGTCCGCAGGTCTCCCCCAGGCGACGTGGAGGCGGTGGTGGTGGCGGCGACAGGAAACGGATCCTCTTCTTCGCGTGGAAACAGGGAGAGAGAGAGAGAGAGAAAGAGCTCTCTCTATATAAGCACCGGTATGCCCGCCGAAACGTCACCACATTTCAGCATTCAGTCCTCGGTGCTCCTCTTCCTCTCTGCTACTCTCGACTGCGCGTCGTCGTCGAGACCAACCACCACCGTCGTCTTCGTCCAACCCCCGCGAGCGATCATTGTTCCCCGAGTATGGATTTGATAGTGCGACAGGTAATGCGATACATCGTGTGACAGGGTAGAACGACAGTGGATTTTTCACGTGCTTTTTTTGGCCGATCTTTAGATCGATTCGTTGAACGATCGGTTGAATGTTTTTCACTCCCTCGCTGAAAAAATGATTAAATTAATATACATGTTTAATTCAACTGTCAAATGAATCATTTGTTTGAAACAAAGAAATATTGATTTGTTTTGAAAAGGATTTTCTTATGTCAAATAAATATTATTAGTTTCTAATAAATGATTCATTTGGCAGCACTGAAATAAATACTTATTCGAATTCAATAAATTTTTTTTCAGTGCTCTTTCTTTGTATTTTTTTTTTTTTTTTTTGCTATTGTTGTCGGTCGTGTAATCGCGGGTGTGCTTATCGTAAATATGTGGTAACTAAATCAAACGAGCTTCTGATATTGGAAAAAAATTCTTGATCGGATCATTGACGTATCTGTTTTATTTATTGGATTTTTTCGTTTCGTAAAATTCTGAGAGACTTGTAATGTTAATGCATATATATGTATTTCAAGTGACTTAAATTTTTTTATTCAACAACTACTAACATGCTTATTAGTGACGGATTAAAATTTTAAGATCTTAATCTCTGAAATCTGAGCGAAATGGAAAATGCAATTCGTACCGTGAGAAAACTGGGACAAGGTAAATGATTTATTATCTCACTTGTGCATGAGAATTTAGTTAGAGGATACGAACCAGAAGAAAGGCTGTCAATCTGTAACAATGCAGATTCCCGAAATTGTCTTTTTAAATTTGTCGTTGTAACTTATTTTTTTATTTATTTATAGTTACCCGTTATTTAAATTACGTGGAATATCTGTCACACATTCTCGATCTAATATTACAAGTCTTCTAGATTTATGAAATAAAGTCTGGGGTTGTTTTTTTGAATTTATGATTGAAAAACAATTATGTAAAAAAATATATACCGAGCAAAATTAATCATATAAATTTCAGATGTACATTTTTCCACAAATATATATGTAATAAGTTTAGTGTTTTCGTTCAATGTTTAAAGTATGTACATTTTAATTTATTCCATTCAATTTTCTCTTTGTTTTGAAAAAAATTAATAATTGACATCATTTTCCATCCTTGTGTTTTTAGAATTAAAAAAACGGTATTAAAAAATATTTTATAATATAACTATTCTATTAATTTGCAAAATGTAAGACTGTTTTTATGCGGCCAAGACAAAAGTCAAAAAACAAAGTAATGCAATTTAAATATTTTAAATTTATTTTATATATATGTATATATTTTCTATTCTGTAATTATTAGAAATTAAGCAAATTTGCCAATTACTAACTGTATACAAATTTTGCATGTTGCATGTTGCATTAAGTTTTAATCGTATATGTTTAATAAATATTATTTATTATTTATTAGCAGAGAAGAGGATGGAGGGCAAAAGTCTTTTAGTTTGTCCTGCAAGCTTTATAGAGAAAATAATAAAATAATAATCAAAACCAGATTGATAATATAAAGAAGCGATAATAATACTAAAGTAAAAAAGAGATTATATAAATTATATCTTTTTAACATACATATGCAACGACTTTTACTAACAAATGTTAACATGCTTGCTAATACTAATTACCAACATTGTCATCAAGACCGATATTTAATCTACATATCGTACAAGATATACGTTAAGATACATTGTGTACATTATGCTAATATACACAATCATTACATTCTTATAGTTCATTAGAGTAGAGAAATGTGGCTAATTAATGTGTATGGAAAAAGTTGCTATTAATTCGGATTCCTTTCATTAGTAGATGATTGATATGTAATGGAAAATAATGTCTTTTGTTGAATGTATAATTATTCAAAAGATTTATCGAATTTCTCTTTCGCTCACAAATTTTGTAAATATACATATATATCACATATATTTCGTATTAACTTTTTTACATAAAATTAATATTATATATATATATATATATATATATATATATATATATATATACATATAAATTAAATATATGTATATAAATATGTATACAAAAATTATTTAATGTATATAATCAAAATTTAAATGTAATATATTTAACATGTAAAATTTTATATATAACACTTAATGCACTTGATGCAATTTTGCTCAAGACTTTTAATAATTGCAGAACAGATAAGTCTAATAATCGAAGATATGTACTCTTCCATAAACATATCGGCTCAATGTGAATGTCGTAAAATACATATTGCATAAAATCGATTTACGTTTATAGGAGAGTTTATATCCCCGCTCGTATATCTCCTAGAGGCGCGTGTTGGAGCGTGTTTGATGCAGCTGCTTAATTATCTGAAAAATCGTATGCGTTTTCCCGGAGAAAAGTCACGGATTACGCGCTTGAAGAGCCCGCCGATTCTTTTACAGTTATGTTTAGTCTTGCGTCAGTTTTTAAAGTGCCGGTGATGTAATATCGTGCACCTTCTCACGATATACGGCGCAGAAATGACGCCGAGGGAAGAAAAGATAGAGGCGCGTGACTCTAATTTCCCGCCTACGCAACGCGCACGTAGCTGATCATCTGACGTTCTCATCTGAATCACCCGTGAAAAGCATCCCACGGAAAGTCCCATATATATATATATATATATATGGGACTTATTTTTTATTTATTTATAGTTACCCGTTATTTAAATTACATGGAATATCTGTCACACATTCTCGATCTAATATTACAAGTCTTCTAGATTTATGAAATAAAGTCTGGGGTTGTTTTTTTAAATTTATGATTGGAGAACAATTATGTAAAAATCTTTCAATATATATACACGTACATATATTATATATATATATGTACACGTATATATATTGAAAATATTTTCGGGACTAATTACCGGGACTAATTCGCCGAGCGCGCGAATTTTTAATTGCTCCCTCTTGCACACTCTGTGATTTTGCGCGAGCTAGCTTATTATTTCGCTGTTACACTTAACGAATTACGCTTATAGTTACAGCGTAGCACGTTTACGCGACTGCTTGTTACGATAAATTCCCCTTTTTGTTCTCACACTCGGCCGCAGTCTCAATTATCGCACTTATGTTAGCTAATCTTGAAAAAAGATATTTCATAAGTTACCGAGAAATGTTTATTACGTTCTTTTTTGGCCAAATATATAATTTTGTATAATATATAAGTTACTATAGATATTTATTTTTTATCGTAAGATTAAATATTTATTAATCTAGAAGCAGAGTCACAAATATTTACCTCTTTTAGGTACACGAAGAGAATTTTCTTTTAGAATTGACTTGTAGAAAATCGTGATAATCGTAGGACAATATGGTATTGGAAAAATTTGATAAGAGATTCTCTGGTTAATATTTAGCACAAGAAAAAATATTAAAATGTACATAGTAAAATTAATCGAACATATTTTATATATTATTGTGGTCGATATTAATATCTTTATTGTGGTAAATATTAACCAGAGAAAGTTTCATCAAATTCTTCCAATACTATAATATTGTCCCACGATTACCATGATTTTCTGAGTAAATTCTAAGAGAAAATTCTCTTTGTGTAGAATTGTGAAATATCCATTTTTCATTATAATTAAAATATTTGCTTCTAAACAAGCTTAGGGCACATTTAACAATTATAAATTATTTTATTATTATTATTATTATTATTAATAATAATAAAATAATTTAATAAATATATATATTATTTTATTATTATTATTGATTAATTTAATGAATATATTTGAAAAGGTACTGCTCGCCCTGATGATGGCGAGCATCAGCATCGTCCGGGGTGAACCACCCCTCAGCAATCAGTACGGCGTCCCCGGAAATTACGCAGGTGGAAGTCATCATGGGGCACAAGGTGGTGGGAACGGATTCGGCGGCCATTATGACGGAGGCCATCATGATCAAGATTACGTAGATAATGAGGTATTTGTAATATATATTATATATTATATGAGGCTCTCTGAGCAACCTTCAACCAAGTCGCACGCATGATCGAGAAGACAATGTATCCCATTCATCCCTGTAATTCTTTGCTACAACTTCGTTGTAATATTGGAATTACTTACTCGGACCTTCCTCGAAATGAGAATGGATCTTTACCGACTATTATATATATATATTATTCGAGATATATAATTGATTGTCTAATTGTAATTCTGTTGAAATCATTTGAAATTCAGTTCCTTGTCTTTTCGTTCTATACATCGATAGACAGAGAGAGAGTTGTCTCTTAAAATTTACCCTGAAAATCATGGTAATCGTGGAATAATTAAAAAATAGGATAATTAAATGAGAAAGGATAATTAAAAATATGAGATATAAAATATTTTCGATTAATTTTACCATGTACCTAATAATATTTACTATTATTATTAATATTATTGTTATTTCCTATTAATATTTTTTATTATGATAAATATTAATCAGAGAAACTCTTCTAAAATTCTTCCAATAGAATATTTTCCCACGATTATCATGATTTTCAGGGTAAATTCTCTCTGCGTATCAGTAAAATGTCGAGAGAGTAATTTTTAAACAGATGCAAATAAGAGTTGCACATGTCCGATTAAAAATTCGTGCCATATAATCTGACATAACGCGAGCTCGAATCCCGATTTTCCCATCTTCGATCTTCCTTCGACGATTGCTAAACACTTCAATAGCTGGTGCAGCGTGTTTTGCGCAATCGCAGGCCTCAAATTGCATGATCGTAATTAAGCTAGATGCTCGTTGCGTAATTAAACGGGGTGCGTTTTTCGCATTGATAAATCGTTCGTAAAATGATGCAAAGTTATTAGTATCGATCATCATCAACGAAGAAGGATGAGGAACTACATATACATTCTCATTAAATGAATCTCTCCCTCTCTCTCTCTCTCTATCTCTTCCTCGTAGGAAAATATTATCGACAATAGCGACTTTCGAGTTTTCAATTTCGCGAAATTCAAGCTGAACTCGCGTGATATAGTAGTCATGAAATTCGATGATTTTGACGATTGCGCGATGCGAAGCATTAACGTATGTTACGTCATCAGAGGCTCTTTTGTTCGGGCCGTAATTCAATGTTGCTTTCTAAATCTAGATTCCCGCTCCTAATATACGTACGTACATATTTTGCCCATCATTTTGATCGGCTCTTGAGAAAAGATCAGGCACTCCCGAGGTCAGAGTTTAACATCTCGGATCTAGATTCGATTCGGTCTTGCAAGTGTAACATTGAACTTTTCGGATAAAGAACTGCCTGACCCAATTACGCAAACTTGGCCCAAAGTAGAGTTGCTTGAGCTTAAACCGACTCTATTTGTTTGTCCCGAGAGGTTTTTGCGATGTCAATTAGTTTTGAAATATTTTATATTTTGTATATATGCACTTGAAAAAAAATCTATTTAATTCGAATAAGTATTTATTTCAATACTGCCAAATGAATCATTTATTTGAAACTAATAATATTTATTTGATATGTGGAAAATATTTATTCGATATAAGAAAATCCTTTCCAAAACGAATAAATATTTATTTGTTTCAAATAAATGATTCATTTGGCAGTATTGAACTAATAATATGTATAATAAATATGTATTAATTCAGTCAATTTTTCAGTGTGTGCACTGAAAAAAAATTGGTTAACTTGATTAAACCTTTCAACTAAATATTATTTTGTTAATTAAACGTACAAAAATATTTAAATTAAATGTAACATATCAAATCTAACAAAACGTATATTTGACTTGAATACTAATATATGTTCAATTAACAAAATAGTAATTTAGTTAAAAGGTTTAGTGAAGTTAACAAAATTTTGTTTCAGCGTGTTTGTCTCGATGCTTCTCTTTTATCTCTCGTAATCTTTAATAATTACGATCTATAGAATCATCCTGATATCATCGTAAGAAATCTACACTACCCACTTACCTCAAATCATTATTGATACCAAGGCTGCATCACCTCTCACGCCGATGTTTATCTTCAGTTTCATCACGGAAGGGAACCTCTCGATGACTGAATCTGAAAAACAAGTATTTACTTAATTAGATCAATCGATAATTACCGATTAATTAAGACGTCGCTTGTGTCGAATAGGTATACATAATACGCTCAAGTATCGTCCAATTCTTTCGCATTCCATCCATTTATTAAACTACTCCTCAACTATCACAACGGAAACAATGAGTCTTACATTCGCAAGAAAAAAAAAAAAAGAAAAACGCGTCGCGGAGATAAACGCAGCGAGATGTATTTCGTGGAATAATTAACACTCCGTAAATTGATTTCTCCTCACGATTCACACATATCCGAGAGAAGCCTAGACATCAACAAAAAGAAAAAAAAATTTCCTCTGTGTAATCTCTCGGTACAGAGCAAATCGTCTCTTTTGCGCAAGGCGTCTTGCACAAATCCAATCAACTCGGGTTAAAAATCAGCGACGATCAAAGGATATGTTCTCTGCTCTCGATTAATACCTTACCTACATTTATTATATACATATATATCTCGCGTATTGTTTGATCGCGTGATTACGCGAACCTCGAGGATCGATGCGACGCATCATCGACAAAATGAGTCTCTGGCGAGCGAGTGTGAGTTCGAGGAGACAGACGATGCTACAAATTCGAATCCGGTACGGAGCCGAGGAGAAGCGTGGCGCAAACGCGCCACACGGGGATGACGTAACAATATTAATAGGGTGAACCGCGACCGCGGGCATAATTCACGGTAAATCGTTATTGCTGGTTAGCTAATCGTCCCGGGAATCTGAACGCTTGGAGAAGAAAGAGAGAGATGCGCGAATCTGCCTTCGGCGAACGAGCGAGCGAAGGTGATGGTAAGAGCGACCAAGAGGATGAGATGGTGTGCGGCGTGAGCCAGATTAAATCGCGGCCTCTCTTCTCAAGCATCGTTTCGCTCCACTTTACCGAGGGGCCAGAGGAAGGGAAGAAGGAGAGAGGAGCCAGCTCGCGTTTCGTCTGACGAGAGGTTGCGTCGCATTATTAATACGTTCATTCGTTACCTTTTCATTTATTACCTTTCCAAGGCGTTCATCTCGCTTTATCAAGATGGGAATGTTCTATATTCGTTGTTTTCTCCTTCTACCTTCGTCCTCAACCCTATCAGTTTCTATCTTCTATTCATCTCTAATATAACATATCCCAAGGACGTTTACAGGATTATCCAAAGGATGTTGGGTATCCTTCGTCTGATCTTTGCTTCTTCAGCCCAAGAGCTACAAAGATATTCAGAGAATATCCCAAGATCTTTGGATATCCCTCTGAATAGGTGTGCTCTTAGAAATGAGAGAGGGAAAAAGGAGAGATCTCATCTCCCTCGTCTGATCTTGCTTCTTCAGCCCAAGAAATACACAAGACATCCAACATCCTTCGGATGTCTTCTGGATGTCCCTTAGATATGTACTAATAGGATGAAAGAAAAAGAAGAAAATAAGAACCTCATACTCCTTCTTGCTTTTTCAGCCCAAGAGCTACATAAAATATCCAGAGGATATCCCAAGATCCTTGGATGTCCTTCGGATATGTGTACTCTTATGAATAAGATAGGGAAAAAGGAGAGACGTCATCTCCCTCGTTTGATCTTGCTTCTTCAGTCCAAGAACTACAGAGGACATCCAAAGGATATCCAAAGGACATCCAACATCCTTTGGATGTTCTCTGGATGTTCTTCGGAATAAGATAGGGAAAAAGAAGAGACCTCATCTCCCTCGTTTGATCTTGCTTCTTCAGCCCAAGAGCTACGAGTTCGGCTATTCCGTGAAGGACGACGCAACCGGAAACGACTTTGGCAGACGCGAGTCAAGCGACGGCGAGACCGTCCGCGGCGAGTACAGATCCAGTTACCGGACGGCAGGACGCAAATCGTCACCTACACACCCGCCGACTGGAGGACCGGGTCCACGCGGACGGAGGTACGAGGGTACCGCGAACTATCCGGATCAGTACAACGCCGGAGGTGGATACCCGCCGCCGGCCAGGTTTCGCTACCCGGGGAGCCAGATCGGCGGCCATGGAGGCGGGGATATATACCGGGGGTCGTAGAATCCTCTTTTTATTTCTAAAAAAGACATCTATATTTTCATTTGCAATATTTTTATTTTATTATATATATATAATATTTAGATATTAATATTTAATATTTTTTTATTATATACCTATAATATCTAATATATTTTATAATATATATTTTATTCCTAATATATATATCTCTCTATATATCTCTTCTCTCTCCTCCCCTCTCTCTCTCCTCTCTCTTCTCCTCCCCTCTTCCCCCTATATCTTCTCTATTTTTGTTTCTTCCCCTCTCTTTCCTCTTCCTCTTTTTATGTCTCCTGTCCTCTCTACCTTTCTCTCCTCTTTCTTCCGTTATTGAATCCCTGTGTTATCTCGATTTTTTATGCATCAACAGGCAGCCAAGGTGGCTATAATAATTATCCATCAGGAGGTGGACAATATGCCAACAGCGCCAACAACTACAACTATCAACCTGGCTCGAATTCTATAGATAGTTATAACAATTTCGGTGCCAGGAATACTTATTCGGGGATACCGTCGCCTACATACGGTCCAGCTTTTCGTTAGAACATAGAAGACAGTATTATCATAGGATTATCGATTTGATCGCTTGAGAGTGTAATCTTTTTTTTTTTAAATAAAGACACTTTTTCTTAAAGATTCCTCTATTGTGTACACGATTAGACCTTTTAATTCATAGAAATAATTAATGTGTTATGGTTCGACAAGAGAGAGAAAAAAAGAGAGAAGAAGAAGAGAGCGAAAACTGCATTCAATTTCTTTTTTAAATCAATTTCTAATATACCTTTCTATTTTGTGGTTATTAATCTTCGGCGAGTTAATTATCTGCTCACGACGAAAAATCATGGCGACAGATACATACCTATGCGATTAAAATAACATCGCAATATTAACTAATGATACATTTCCGTCATAATTATAAAGTTGATGAGAAAGCATTTTGATTATTCAACCTCGTGCAACTCGCGCATTACATTTGCCATGTATGTATCGTAGGTAATCTCGGAAAATAGATATATATTCAATTCGTGCCATATTTGGTCCTTTCGTTTCTCTCGTATAAATGAGATGAAATATAAAATTATTCCTTCAAACAGCAATAATATACTCGAGGGTCTTTATTTTTCTCCCACATAGATTACTGTATTTATGAAAAAGATTTATATATACTTTCGTCAAATTGAATGAGATGCATTTCCTAAAAATATAAAATATAAATATTTTTTTATTATAAAATATAAATATTTTTATTTAGTAAAATGTCAAACTTCGCTTTCAATTTTTTTTTTTTTTTACAAACGAACACTTTCCGGTGTCTAACTAGAGTAATCATTTGCGAAGGTAAGAAAGATATATACTTTGCTTTTTTTTCTTATTATGTCAAGTTCAACGCTTAGGTTACTTTGTAAGAACACCGTTGGATGATGCCGCTATATGTTTTCCATTATGTCATCAGGAAGTTTACGTACACGTCCGCAGAGATAAACTTTCTCTAACGTGTAACATACTAAATTGCACACTCTAAATTTCATTAAGTCGCGAGCACGCGTCATCACACGGGTATAAAAGCACTCGTGTGCCATCATCATGAGATATATGAATATATATTGCCATACCGCGACACTAAATGACATCGTAAAGATTTGCAAGACTAAAAGTCATAATATTATATCACAATTAGCTGTCATCAAATAAGTCTCTTCGTGACGTATAGCAAACAAATATTATTTATATATATAAAACAATGTATTAAAATAAAAAATTATAAAATAAAATTATTGAAATGAATAAGAGAGCTATATGTATAAGATACTTTTTAAAACCAACAAATGTTCTTTTAACAGATTCTCTGATCAAGTTAATAAAGTCGATTTTTCCTTAACAAAAATATCGAGAGGGATTCATTTTTCAAATTTTGTATATATCTTTAAACTAATTATAAGCCTCAAATATTAAAATTTTATCGAAGTAAATTCAATTGACTAAAAAACATAGTTTTAATTTTTTGATTTTATAAAGTTTAGTTTGAAAAGTCCTTTTTCTCTTTGTTGATGCTCCCATATATTTGCTAAAAAAATCGTCGTTAAATTGATCCAAGAATTTACTATTAAAAACATCTAAGGATTATAATGGGATATTACTATGATAATACTCTGTATAATAAAAATGAGGAAAATATATAAAGTACATTATTATATATTTATTTATATATATATATATATATATATATTAATAAATAATAATAAAATATACAAAAGTGTATTTTGTTAATATACACTTTTATACATTTACTACATTATTATGATATATTTTAATAAAATACTTGAAAGAAAAATTGATTTATGGCAAATTTGACACTTGATCGCCTACCAAAAATCTTTCGAAACTTTTTTTTTTTGCAAAGTGGGTTGTCCATCAGTGTTGCGGACTCTTCATGCTCTATAGCGTGACCATGTAATTCGGACAAAAGGGTGACCTAACAGAAGTAAAGGTGAAGGTGATCGCGTGTGTCCTTGCCGCTGGTCCGAAGCCATTTAAAAATGTTATACGTATATTACGAATCTCGAGTCGAGTAGGTGAGATATTCGGGACGATCGCGTACGCGTGAAAGGAGTTCACAAGGAGAGTTTACGAGTTGTTGGCAAACAAATAAGCCCGGGATGCTCCGACAGTGTGTTCATCAGAGAAAGTGCATTTTCGCCTATGCGACTCGCGAATCGATTAAGAAAGAGTCTTCGTTAAGGGATTTCTGATCTCACACATTCCCACTCTATCACTCCAATAATATATTTAAAGATTTCTCTTCTTCTAATTGACTCGTAAGTCCCGATTATCGAGAGTCGCGCAAAATAATCCGTCATAGCATTGCATATTTTTTAAATTTTTTCTACGGTGAAATAAAGGAATATAGAAATTTTTTTTTAACATCTCATCAAGTTTAGCATATATAATAAAATATTACAT